CTTCTTCGGCATGACAGCATTACATTGATACGCATCTCCCGATGACCCATCCCATAGCTTCGTACGTCGACATTTTCGCCGTGCCCGCTGCAAAGAAGGGCAAAATCTTTCACGTTCAAAGGGCAGACATTTTACCCTCAGGTGCGTTCGATCAGGTGCTTGAACAAGCTTGCTCGCCAGGTTTCGCCAAGGAAATGCGTGCGGGCCTTTTGCTCCCTTTGCCGCCTGCGCTAAGGCCCTGACCCCGCATGCCCCAATCTCTCTACTTTTCTCCCTCTCAATCAGGTTCGGACCGTTCAGCATATCGCGGCGACACGCTGCGACTCTCCCCGTCCGGTCGGGCGCTCCTAGCAACGACGCGCGGCAAGACTTCTTCCGTGCGGGGATACGTTCGTGCTTGGTCGTGGGACAGCACGGGTTCGCAAGTGGAGGGATTGGGAGCGGCAGGTCCGTTGGGCGAGGTTCTGCACACGTACAGCACGCCCACTTCGGGCGGGAAAGCCAATGCGATCGAATGGGCGCCTAGGTACTCTTCTTCCCTCGCGCTCCATCGCCATGCTCCACTCACCACGGCGCAAGATTCCTCCTCTTTCCCCATCTCGTCTGCCCAATCTGGAGAGCAGCAAAACAGCGAGATGCAGGAAGATCAAGAAGAGGATTGGGCAGTCTTGACGGACGATGAAGAGGGACATGTGCTGGTGCTGCGCTGGACGGGAAAAGATCTGGAGGAAGTGTCGAGGGTCACTCTTCGAGGTGCATACGGTGGCGAAGCGGGCAAGGAAGAGGGTCAACAGGTAGGAGCTAGCCATGCCATATGGCTCAGCTGATTTCCTTATCAAACGTTGTATGGCTCAGTTGATTTTCTTATCAAACGTTGTACGCAGCATAGATTCCCCGCTTGTGCGCCCAGATCGCATTGGCATCGTCCCGACTGGGCGTGAATCTTATTTTGGTGACGTGGAAGATTGGAGTACATGATAGGCAGTCGGAGAGCGACACAGACTCGAGGCAAGAAAGTGGCGCGTCGTGTCGAACTGAATGAGTGAGACTTGTAGTGTCAGATGGCGGAGCGAGGACATGGAGAGGAAGACGTGCAAGGGCAGAAGTGGTGGGTCAAGTGGAAAAGCGAAAGAGCGCCAAGAGCTCGTATGCAACTCTCTATCTTCATCCAGATCCAGATCCTTCAAGAGCTCTAACGATGGCAAAGCTAGCCGCTGCAGCCGAAGCGCCCACGGCCAGCGTAGAGATGGCGCCCCAAGCCAAACCTCTCACATCGGTCGCTCCTCCCGCAAATCTCTGTTTTGCCACGCCAAAGAGGAGCAGGATGATGCCGGTGATGATGATGGACCAAGTCAATGCTTCGGATACCGTCGTGATGAAAATGTAGGGCAAGAGCGGGATGAAACCCCCGATGCTGATGTTTGGGAGCAAAAGATAAATGCGGGGCAGTTGTGTGTGAGCCGCGGCGCCCCGATGCAGGCACTCTGGAGACATACAATAGGCTTCGAAAGACTCACAAGTAGCTTGCTCCGATGGTGATTGCGCTTTGCCACACCCTCCCATCCTGCACCTCCTCTAGTCCCTCTCCCAATCGAAGTATAAAAGGCGTCAAGCCTCTCGAAGGTCCCTTGAGTCCATCGCTCCTCACAAACCGCTCGGGTCGAGAAGAGACGGGCCTAGGCAGGTCGGCTACATGAGAGCATTCCCTCTCTTCCACATTCAACAGCTTGTCGGCCACCAGGCCCGCCACGTCCGCAGGCACACCAAAAGGTGAAAGGATGGAGATGACCTCCCTCTCCATCTCGCCGGCGCACGATTGACGCACTCGGTCCGACGTGGCACGAGAGAGGTAGCGGTAGTGTTGCAGCTCGGCTTGAGCGCTCAGTAGACCACCTGGGAAGCGACGAGATGCGAGAAAGGGATAAGCATGTACCTACGTCGAGAGCTACTCGTGAGGCACTACGCACCTACGCCCATGCTGATGGCACCGCTCACCAGCTCAGCCATTCCAGCCACGACGACGATGCGACTGGAGCCAATGCCGGACAATCCAGCAGTGAGTGCAAAGGGGACCTGGGATGTGTAGCGTTCTTTAGCGCGCCGAGTAGTGACGAGGCAAGAGTCAAGCGAGGCCCACTACTCACAGTCAGACCATCGCTCAGACCGATGATGCAGTCTCGAACCAGATCAGGATTGAGCAGCGTAGCTTCTTCCTTTTTCAGCTCCTTGCAGCAAATGCCCCTCTCTCCGTTTCTCGCCTCGCAGGCAGAGGTCACACTGTGCTGATGTTCAGGCTCGAGTGCGGTATCGGAAGAAGAGGCGGGGGAATTTTGATTTGCAGCCTTCAACAATGGGGTGCTCTCCACTCCTTCTTCTTCTTCGGTAGGAGGAACATAGGTGGTGTTTGTCGTAGTGGTGCTCCATACCGACGCTCTGTTGTTCTGCTGCTGAGCTTCAGGATCGTGGGCATTGCGAGCGGAGGAACGAGGTAGCGCCATGCTGGGTCCTCGCGCCTCTTCGGCTTTGCTAGATGAAGCACCTTTGGATCGCGCACATGGACCCGAGCCGGCATTGGCACCGCATTTACAATTTGCGCAAGGCATGCCGGGCGATCGATGAATGCGACTGCGAGGGTGAGGGCGATGAAGGCAGGGGACGCTAGAAGATGCTCGTTTGATCGAGGATTCGAGCGGCTGGGCGCAGGTGAACCTGGCGTGTTTGCTGGTGGTGGTGGTGGTGATGATGGGGTGTGTATGCTACAGGAATCCGAGGAGGAACGCAACCATTCTCTCGCGAGATTTGATCGATTGGCTTTTCGAAGCATTCACGATTGCAATCAGAATGAAATTGCCGACTCGAATCTCGGAAACATCTTTTCGAATCTGCGCGCAACAATTAACCACGCATTCCTCCCCTCCCCATGCAACGAATCACAGCGCGTCCAATTCCAAGCCGCACCCACGCCTACAGGGCAGCGCAAGACTGCTCAAGTGCTCAAAAAGTCTTGAGTACCAACAAGCCACACATGCCCGCTACACACTGTGTGACTGTACAGGTACTCTGTACACATCCATGCTGCAGTCCACGCGCAAAAGTTCAAATTAAGACGTGCTTCGAAGGTCTTGATTGCCTTGCAGCCAGCATGCCATTGCGACTGCAGCAGATGCAGGCAGCCATCGCAGCCATCGCAGCCATCCAGCCATCCAGCCATCCAGCCATTCGCGTTCATTCATCCTCGCGCTGTGCATCCCAGCGGTGGACGGGCGACGATGCATGGCGCACAGCAATTAAACGGCTGCATGGATGCATGCATGCATGGTGGGCAGGTGCGCCGGATTATTATCGTGTTCCGCCGGTCGGTCGGCCTGCCGGCACGTCCTCGATGAGCGGTGCGCGATATTCGAACTCACGACTTATAGCAGTCGCGCGGGAGTGGACCACCATATGGCTCTCGACTGTATACTCGTGACTGTATGTGCATGGCTGGATGTGTGCATGCCGTCCCAGTAGTCAAGAGTGTGAGTATACATACCGCGCGGTATGTGCTGTATGCTGGAATCGCGAGATGGGTACGTACATTGTGAGTCGCGAGTGACGATCAGATCCCCAAGTCACGAGTCTTCATTCAGTGATTCGTGATTTGAGCCAGGCAAGGCTCGGAACTTTGTCGAAGAGGAGAGGCAATTTGGGCGCTTCACGATTCACCGTTCAAGATCCATCGCATCAGGTCAACGCAAGTTGTCAGACAGGAGGGCAGCGTCAAGACTGTTTGCGTGATCGGAAAGAGGGGAGGGGCGGGAACATCGATTTGAGGCAGGCGACGCGAGAATGTTGGCCTTGGTGCTAGAGCAGCGAGTCTCGAATGACGGGGCGAAAGAGCTAAGCTACGATCTTCGCGAACTTCCTCTGCCCAGTCTGGAGGAGGAAGAGCGCAGCTCGCAAGTCGAGGTGGCATCACAGCATCATCAGCAAGAGGAATCCGGTCACGCTGTGATCAAGGTCTATGCCAGCGCTATTCATCCTTCCGACCTGCTCAATTCCCGAGGTGGCTTTCCCTACACCACCTTCCAGCAGACAGGCACGAGTAACGTTGGGCATCAAGGACCCTACCGAGTGCTGGGAAGAGACTTGTCAGGCGTGGTGCAGAGCGTCTCTCGAGGCGCTTCCCTCTCTGCACAAACATGGATCAACAAGCAAGTTGTCTGCACTTCTGGCTACGATCTATCTTTCTCTCGGCACGGCACCTCTGCGCAATACGTCGTGCTTCCCCTCTCGGCTCTGGTAGAGAAGCCGTCGAGTCTAAGCTGGTCACAAGCTGCTCTGCTTGGCGTGCCCTTGCAGACAGCTTCGCTCATGATCCAACGAGCGCAGATCCAAGCCTATGAAGAGGGTCGACAACAGCAGAAGCTCGACATGCTTGTGCTAGGCTGTTCGGGCAATGTAGGTCGCATGTTGGTCGAACTACTCAGAAGCACGGGTCATAACATCATCACTGCCGCTCGCGGGACCGGCGCCATGCTGAACCTAGCCAGCGCTGCAGGTGCTGATGAAGGCTCTCCAAGCTGGACCGAACAGCTCAAAGAACTGACAGGATCAAAAGGAGCAGACATCATCTTCGACTGCACGGGCAATTTTGAAGTGCAATCCGCCTCTCTTTGCGTCTTGGCGAAATTTGGCAAGTTCCTCTTCATCGCCGCTCCAAAAGGCGGTGCGCCCGGTTCCACAGTGCTGGGCATAGACATGATGAGGATGTACAGACTGGGCCAGTCTTTGTTGGGCGTCAATAGTCTACTGTACGACGTGGCTCAGGCGAACGCGCAGCTCAATCATTCCCTTGCCCTTATCGACCACACGAAACCTTTGTTGGCACAGGAAGAGATTGAAGAGGTGCCACTCCGACTAGCCAAGCAGACCTACGATCTGCTCAATGGCAAACAAGGCAGAGCCGGCAAAAAGTACTGCATCGTCTTTGATGAAGCGCACTAGGGGCATTGAAAGCTTTGCAAAGCGAAGCACGCAAAAAGCATCTGATTGCGAGCAATTGCCAGATTCGTCGAACATGCTATCATATGTCACATCTGCTGGTGCTACAACGCCACAGAGGAAGTGAGTCGCCCGAAGAGCGTTACGATGACGCTTCTCAGACATCGCTGAAGAACTTTTGGAAAAATTCAAGAGGGTGGGACGCGTCAGCTACGTGGTTCAGGCGAACCGTTCACGCATCGAAATATCTGAGCACGAACCTTGGTGTGAAGCTCCGAGCTGAGCTCATCCTTGCGCGAGACGAGCTCCTTGAAGTCGGCATTTTCCGTGTGGAACTGCAGAGCACGAGTAGAGGAAGCCATGCAACGCTTCAGCGGCGCGGCATGCAAGACATGTTCCCAAAACGGCAGTGACGTTGTGCTCCAAGCTACTCACAGCCATGGCAGCAGCATCGTTGTAGACCTCGTAGACATTGACCACGTTCTTATCGAGAGCTCCGCGAGTGATGCGGTACTAGCAAGACGAGATGCACAATATGCACAAGCGAGGGCGCGGTGTCAGCTTAGTCACTCGCGGGACGATACTCGGCAGGTCAAATACAGGACCTTGAATTCTTGAGCAGCTTGAAGTCACTCTGCGGGGGCTGTGTGGAGCGCTCTGCACGTCACAGCAGCCTATCGGCGCGCTCCGAGGCGCAAGTACAAAGCTCTGCCATCACTCGTTATGGAAAACTCACCACCGAAGTTCCAGGCTCCTGGTCCGAAAGAGCCTTGCTCTGAATCTTTTTCAAGAGACGAACGATCTCGTCCGTCTTGCCGCTGTCGCGTCCCACGATGGTGACGTTGAGGATGAGGGGAGTGACACCCGAGGGTGGAGACATGAGATCATCGCTCTTGAGCGCCATGCTGGGCTGAAGTGTTGAAGTTGTTATGAGTCGAGGTGGACCGGGGTGGCTTGCGCTTGGAGTTTACAAGTCAATCGTGAATGGGACTCGGCTTGATGTCTGACGCAAGTCGTAAGTGATGGATGTGGTGTCAAGAGGGGCAGAGGCAGCACGTCAACACTCGACCTGTTGTTCAAGCTTTCGCTACCATCCGAGGGCATTGCAGAGGACCCGCTGTAGGATGGACACCGGACCGGTGCATGCAAGAAACGAAGTTCCGGGTCGGGGAGGGGGGCTGAGCGTGCATGGCGGGACGAGAGGGCTATCCGTACGTGGGCTGTAAGCATGCTGTACCGGTAGGCCCTTTACAAGCCCGTGTTAGAGTGGAGGCCCCACCATGCAGCCTCGCTTCTGCGGTTCGCCCGCGCCAGCTTGTACAGATGCCGGCACAGCATATTTGCCGCGCTACTACTCGTGACTTGATGAGACTCTGCCAGGCAGGATTCGAAGAGGGCCGAGCGGAGAAAGCGATCCCTGCTGCTGCTGCTGCTGCTGCTGCTGATGAAGATGAGGATGCGGACGCGATGCAGCGCCTGCTGGGATGGTGCGGCGTCGTGCGAGCGCATCCAAAGAAAGAATTTGATCAAAAGGGAGAGCTATCTGATCAGTCACCACAATCAAGATGCTCCACAACGATTAGGATTGGGAGTTTGAGCGTGAATCACAGTCACAATCACGAGTCTTTAGAGTGTGAGTGCGGAGTCGGGAGTTCTTGGGCGGCAAGCTCTTCGTTGAGAGCGTTCGGTGCATCGGCTCGCTGATGCTCGATGCCTCGCTGGTGCGGAAGACTTGGGCTGTCCAAGCTCTCGTGACGCGGTCCCACCATCACCCACCCACTCACTGTTCCATCTTCCTCTGCATTCGTGATTTACGACCGAGCCTCCTGCATGGTGCATAACAAAGATCACGCTGGCAGATGGCTGAGCAGAGGTCAGAATGCGCACGGGCCAGGACGGAGGCATTGGTGATGGTGCAAAAGGGACCCCCACAAGGGTAGCTGCCAATTTGTGGCTAGCAGGTCTTGATCAGCTTCGCTCAGCCAGCCAGCTCGAGCAGCTCGGCATTACGCACATTGTCAACGCGACGAGAGAACATGCAGACGTATTTCCGGATGAAGGTTTTGTGAGGGTACGGATCGCGGCTAGCGATAATGCTCAAGAAAGGCTTTCTCCTCATTTCGAGCGGATAGCAGAGCTGATCAGGCAGGCTAGAGGCGCCAAAGGGGCCCAAGTACTGATTCATTGTCACGAAGGCATCTCCAGAAGCGCTACTTTGGCCCTGGCTGCTGTGCTCATACTGGACGGAAAAGGTCTGAGCGAGGCGATCGAGCAGATGAGAAGATGCAGAGCTCCCGTCGAGGTGGAGCCCAACCCCTCCTTTCTCCACGAGCTCAGGCAGCTGGAACTTCGACTCTTTGGCAGATTTTCAGCAAACAAACTCACCAGACTGGACGATTGTAGGTCGCCGATCGCTGAGCACAGCGTCCGAGAAGACATTGCACGATTACTCGCTCGAGCGGCGTCGGAGCCTACAGCCGTCGAAGGGTTCTATCCAGAAGCGGATCGCGTCGCATTGCAGCTTGCGAGCAGCTTTGAGCGAGATCAGACGTTCGAGAAGGACGTTTTGTGTATGTTGGAGCAATACGCTGTCGGGTTCAGACCTCAGCACGAAGCCGCGGTCAAGGTGCTGCTACACATCTTGCTCAGCTTGTCAAAGGAGCTGGGTTGCGGCGGCGCTGCCCTTGTGCTTGGCAGACTGCAGCAATGGCTTCGAGTCAATCAGCTCGAGTTGCGAATGGATGCACCTCAGGCGCTCAAGCATGCCGATGCCATCATGCAAGCATTGGCAGCCGAGACGGACAAGATGAAATGATCGCGTCAAGATGTTCAAGGACCATTATTCGATACAAGCCACTCGCGCACCATGAGCAACTCTCTGCAGTCAAGCCGATTCATTTTTTGTGCGAAGCGCACGACTGGAGCGGAAGAGCTTTGCATCAATAATCATTCGACGGTGGTATGCAGCAGTCAGTCGATTGGAGGTAATGATGATACAATAGTAACTTAGACGATGAGAGGGGCAGCAAAAAGCGATCGGTCGAAAGGGGGGCACAGCGGAGTAGACTCTGGAACCTTTGGTGTGTCTTTTTTCCCGTCGTTCAAGCAGCTTGAGAGGGCGAAGGGTTGTGCGTGAGGTGCTCATCCGAGCCCTTCTCACCGTGCGACGCGGTTTCCTTTCTCTCCTTGTCCTGTCGGATCTCCCTGGGCACCAGAGCCAGTCCGGCGAGGTACACCACACCGACCACACCAGCCCAGACCCAAATGACAATGCGAGGCGCATTTCCAGGTTGCCAAGTCCACAGTTTGAAGCCTTCGCTGATGTTCCAGACTGCCAGACCGAACATGACGACACCGTTGAAGATGTGGAAGAAACCGACCCATCTGAAGCCTGTTCGCTTGCGGATCTCGTGCGTCGTTGCTCCCAGGATGGCTTGAATGAGGATGAGAATGAAGAGCGCAAGACCGAGCTTGTGGTGCAGCAATCTCCACTGTGGTGTGCCGCGCTGACGGTAGTTGTAGACGCCGAGAGCGAAACCGATGATGACGAAGACGACTGCCAAACTTTGAACGGCACTGTGGTAAGGGAACCACTTGAACATTGTGCGTCCAAATCGGCCGATGAAGGCGCCCAGGGGCACCAGCAGCATCCAGCCCAGTACCATGAACATCTGTGTCACGACACCAATTCCAAGCTTGGACGTCAGCCCTCCCCTACACTCGGTCACGTATGAGCAGCAAGCGCCACATCAGAACTCACCATGTGAGCGAACCAGATTTGAGTCGTCTTGTTGCTCAGGTCTCGCTGCGCGGGGCCGTATCCGGCAGTGCCTGCACCTCCATCTCCCGTGCTTGCGCCCTGACCGCCAGCAAGGCCAGCGGGTGCAGCGCCGGTGTACTCCTTGGTCAGATCGAGGGTGAAAAATCCACGGCTGTCGTGGTAACGGATGGTGGCGGCGGAGTCTGCCGAAGCTGGAGCCTTGGCCGCTCCAGCGTAGGCAAAGATGTGATCGATGGTTCCGGGAGCCTCGGCTTGACCGAAGAGCCAACTACTGATGGTGTGCTGCTGCGTCTGAACGGATTGTGCAGCGTTCCTTTCGAAGCCCTGCGCTTGTTGTGCGCTGACGCGAGCTTCGGTAGGCATCACCTCACCAGGGGCGGATCTGTGCGAGGTGGTGACGCTTCCATCCGCATTGGGCCAAGTCACCAAGATGTTGGCTCCGGACATTTGCGTTCCTTGTCCGATACCCGTCCATCCGTACTGTCCAGTCTGAGCGACGACCAGAGTATAGTTGATGGCCTGCCGTTCGGGCAGGTACAATCCCGTAACGCAAAAGTCGCCCGCTGTGCTGCAGAAACTGTCAGACGTCATGCCAGCTGCCCTTGGGACTTGGGCTTGCGCCAGGGTCGCGAGCCCAAGAGCGCTGAGCGCCGTCAAGAGACCGGTGCGCATCGTGAGTGCAAGACAAGGAGGCAATGGAATGCAGCTGCCGCTGTTGATGTTGCTTGTGGATCCTTCTGTCACGCGACACTAGGGCGGCGCAGAAATATGATGGAACAAGGATTGTTGTCGGAAAGGAGGCAGGACAAGCATGGAAGGGGAGGGGAAAACTTTAAATGCATTTCATTCATCAGGTGGGTTATGACCATTCGTAGCTGCTGGACGGATACGTGCTCCAACAGAGAGGCTGTAGGCCAGAAAAAGCAGTCACAGAGTGGCAGGGAGAGAGGCTTGCCAAGAGGAGCCGCAGAGCGCAACAGTCGCAGGATGCAACCAGGCGCGTGAGCAACGAAATCAGCTCATTTGGTGATGCCGCATCGCCTGCTGGCCCGGCAGGCATCTGCAGTCGTGAGTGGGGAGTCTCTCTCTGGTGGCCCTGCCTGGGCGGCGGTCATTCATGACTTTCTTGATTTCAAATCAAAATTTTGAATCCCAACGCATGACCGCTCGTTGGGCCTTTGGGTCTGGAGCGTTCACCTCGGCTAGCCGATCTGCGGGGCCAACTGCTGGATGCTTCCCCTGCTTAGGAGATCACTGAAAATCAATCGGAGCTACAATAAGCGGAAGCGTTGGATCTGGCACGTTCACGATATCGACCGCATTCGACTGATTTCAGCGAGTGTCGGAGGCTGGTGCGGGACCATTTGACCATCTCTGAGAAAGCTGCAGCCAGTCGTTGGCTGCCGATTGGTCAGGGATGCACCTCACCTGCGATCACGATTGTGATTCACGATTGGAGCACTACACGCCTGCTGCACGTCATTGAACGCGTACAGGTCTCGATGGGACATCTACACGAGACGCAGGAGGAGGGGGCAGGGCAGTGTCAGAGGGGAGCGACATGGCCAAGGCCAAGGCAAGGCGAAAGCTTGGTCACTATTCTTGGCCACTTTTGTGATGCTTGGCTTGAGTGGCTAGAGATCTCTGTTCCCAGCAGCAGGCAGCAAACACGAGCTTCAAGTCAGCTGCTGCTGCATGCGCCTCCTCTCTTTGGACCGCGACCCGCCTCGATGCTCCACGGTCGCTGCTGATGCACGATCGACCTGCCACGATCGACCCATTTCGAAGCAAGCGCGCATAAGCCAAGACGGGCGAGATGCTGCCTGCTGAAAGCCCTGCACAAGCACCGGCTGCATGCTTCCCGCCTGCTGTTGGTTGGAACTTGTCAGCCCATAAAAAACGCCAGCATCGTGCTTTGTGATTCGGTGATTCGTGATCCGGGATGGCAGTAAGTCACACTCAGTCAAGACTCGCAATTTCGCATTCCAAAGTGCTCCACTCGTGACCCTGATACACAGCAGAAGAGTCAGAGCCATAGCGACGAGTCGTGAGTGCCTGCATCTGGTGCTCTGCTACAGTATCGGCGTTACTACACAGTGTACGGGTAGCGTGCCCGTGTAGGTATATAGGTATAGTCACTGAGTCGTTGAGTATGGGGTTGCCTCACCACGGACCTTTAATTCGTGCCGAAAACGGCTGCGGATCTCGGATCTGACGCTTAAGTCAAGAGGCCAGAAGATGAATCCTCTAGTCTTGAGTGCCAAAGCTCGAGACAACATATCGAGCCGCTTCCGTTTGGACTCACGTGTTCCCCCTGCTTGCTCAAGCACGGTGGTCAAGAGTCAAGAGTTGAGTGACGCCGCTTCAGTCAGTCAAGGGCATATAGCGTTGGCATGGCGTCCAGGGCTCATTTCCGCACTCCAGACGCGCCAGTCATCTACTTGCGTGCTGCTGAGAAGCTCAACCCAACGAAGTGGCTAGAAGATGATTGCTATTCCATGTATACTTGCCAACAATCACATTATTGTGTGGTAGGGACGGGGCTCGAAAAGACGAAGCAGTCGAATGATGCGACGGATCTGAATATCCACGCAACTTTCGCGCGGCACAGTAGCCGCCCGCATCCTCAAGTGGGCAAGCTCTAACGACGGCCGAAGCCAAGGGCCCTCCACATACCGAGATGAAGAGAGCGTCTGGCAGAGTCCGCCTGGCCAGAAGAAGCCTCTTCGGAGCTGGAAGTTGGAGCTGCAGCAATGGCGCCAGCGATGCTGGTAGCGACCGAGTCCGAGTCCGCCGAGAGGGCTGAGAGTGCTGCCTGCTCCTGCGTCGAGTCTCGAGAAGTCGTAATGTTGGTCGTGTCCACGCTGTTACCTGCTACAGCGCCCGATCTGATCATCACAAGGGTGCGCGAAAAGGTTCAGCTTCGGCTCCGGCGCTACTCGAAGATCCTACTGCTAGTGTTCTACACTCACGCAACGGCAGAGGCATTCACTCCGATTGTGATCCAACCCCAAGCCCCGTTGGCAATGTCAGATCCATCGAAAGCTTCGATATCGAGCATGGAGCTTGCACCCGAATTGGCAGTCGCCTCTAGAATGTTGTCCTCATCGTTCGTTGTCCTTGTACCCGTGTTCGAAGCATACGCCGCATTCTGAAGATACGCCTGAGTCTCGTCTTCGCTAATGAAGAGCTGGCCAGTGTGAAGCAGAGTGTTGCTCTGGATGGTGGCGTTGGCGTTGAGAGTCACGTTTGCGTGGACCTTGTAGTGCACGTGAACCGCGCGTCCCGAGTAATGACCTGGGAAGAGCGTGTAGATCTCTACGACTCCATCCTCGTTGGTTGGCCAGATGCCACGTAAAAAGGAGGTGTTGTCGGTGGGTCCTGAGGAAGAGCCAGGCCCACCGCTAGATCCAGATCCGCCTGGTGCTCCAGAGCTTGAGGTAGTGTTACCGCTGCCGGACGGCGGCGTGCCCGAAGGCATGCCACTCGCTGCAGACGCAGACGCCGATTGTGAGCCAGTGGCAGAGAAGATGGTTTGAGAGGAGCTGCCTGATGCGGAAAGAGCACTTGAGGAGTCCGAGGCGCTGGTCCCAGGGCTGGATTCGCCACCTCCACCACCTGGGTTGCTGGCCGTGTAACCAGAATAGTAGCCCTATGCATCCCGATGACATTCGGCAAGGTGGTCAGCGATGCGTTCTGCTTTGCAAAGATGATCAGCCTGACTCACTGTCGAGTTTGCGTGCCAGAATTCTACATAGACGTTGGGCACCGGTTGGCAGGTTTCGATGTCGAGAAAGCCCATGTTGAGATGGAGAGCGGCGCCTGCTTGACCTTCGGTGATGTTCTGACGGATCAGTTCGCCAACGACATAGTAAGGACCTTCGGTCATCTCTGGGCTAAGAACGCAAGTGTCATTTTGCGTGATTGGGTTCATATGAGCTGCAATGAAGGGTCTGAGTCAGTCATCAACATATGAACTCTCAAGATACGCCTCGCAACTCACGTTCGACGCGCTTCTGCAGAAGGTCGCCGAAGTGCTCGTCCATCACGCTACGGATGCTTGCGTTGCCTAGTCCGCGCCGACTATGAAGCTTTCTAGCTTCCTTATAAGCTCTACTCTTGTGGGAACAATGGGCTGCACGAGCTTGAAGAGCTTCATCGGCTCGACGCATGTGAGCAAGCTCACGCTTCGACACGGAGTGGTGCGGATGAGCTGTGGCGGCAAGAGCCAGGGCAAGGAGTAAGGTGGGAGTAAGGAGCTGCATCTTAGACATGAACGGTGTTTATGGTGTGAGAGATGAGGTTCAGGTCCAGATCAAGTGGTGTGTATGAGGAAAAAGCTGAAAGAGTGTTCTCAACTTGGGCTCCCTTTATACCTTCGCTACAGTGAAGCGATTGACGCAAACCATACGAGCTGCGTTCTTTGTCATTTTCTGGTTGCCAGCGCCTGCCCAATAACAGGTGCCGCGTTGCCGCGATGCTGTGAAGACCAGCTGCGCATTCTTGGGCCTTGAGCTCAGACGACGACAGCCGTTGGACTCTGAGGACCAACGAGGGTCAACGTATTTGCGAGCAAGCGCAGTCGACATTGGCGCTATCGCTGCAAGTGCAAGATTAGGAGCTGCCGAGAGCCGTAGGCAACAGCGCTTTGCAAAAGGTTCGGCACACCGTTGCCCCTGTTCGACTTGCGCCCCTGCTCGTTTCAACGACGCTCGTCTCCTCAAGTGTCAGCCAATGCACCGTGATTCATTACTTTGCGAGAAGCCGGCGGCGGTGCTGTGGGCGAGCCGCTTCGCGAAGGCGCCTATTCAAGAGTCGGGTCATCGTTAGGTGAGCCGGGCTTGCCTCTTTGACAGGAAAAAATGATCACGTCAGCAAGAAGAGACACGCTCAGTCGAGCAGCAAAGGATGAGGCATTACAAAACACCTCTCATACATGCTTGCATGACTTGCCGAAGGCTATGCCATTCCCACGCATCCCGCTTGTGAGCCCTTTCGTTGTGTGAACGCTTCTTCTGCGCTCAAGGCCTCCCTGCGAAGGAGCTCGAGAGCTTGATCCAAGCCACTTGGATTGCTTTCTGTTGACCCGCATCTCTTGGCGTGCCCCTTTCCGCATATAGCATTTATCCGACTGTCTTCTTCTCTGAAAAGGTGCGTTCTGAGACGCTTCTGTGCTCCTAGCCATTCCTCCAGGATTGAGACGTGGTGGGTGTGGGGAGAATTATGCTCGAATTCGCCTGCGGAGCCTCAAAGCCTACGCTCCGGTCGCTGCATGGCTTGTTGCATCGGCTGGCGAGGCGGTGCTTGCTACGCTCAATCGAGGACAAGCGTGCGCAGAAAGTCGAGACTAATCTTGAATCTGTAGAGTGTGTGTGGATGCGGGTCACGTGTCTCTATGACTAGCGCCGTGCGCGGATCGTCCGAGAGCAGGGCGTCATCATCGCGGCTGTTGCACGCGCGCACGGTGACCATGCAGTCTTGTGTCACGTATCCTGCATCGATCCGCACCGTGTGTAGCGGTCCTCGCACCCGCCTGCGTAGTCTTGAGTAGCGCGCTGCTGCTGGATGGATGCGCATGATACGGTACGATGTGCTAGGTACGCTCACACGAATGACGAGTGCATGGAGTCGATACCAAAGACACTTGACTCGCTGTTCACAATCTTGAATCACATCACTATAGGTAGTTGAAGACGCGCTCAATTCGCGACTCCATCCTCGGCCACATCTTGAGTAGCTGTCAGTGGTAGTGGTGGTAGAGCTAGCCTCTTTTGGAGCCCATGCGATCCCGGACCTCAAATTACAGAGATTCTCCACCAACCTCGTCGATCTCTGGCATCCTCTTTCCGCAAGGATCATCTTTCAGAGGAACACCTACAACATCGGGTACGCATAGTGGGCCGTCCTGAAGGTGTGCTGCGCTGTCTTTGGAGCTGGAATTGAGACAGGCCCAACAAATTTATCCGCTCTCCGCCACAGAGGAAGGCGGAGACTTCAGGGAACCAGTCATCAGCCCCCCGCCGGAAGACGAGACTGCAATCACACAGTCATCACTTAGGCGATCTCGGCGACACGAGGCGCCATGGCTCCCAAGTCGCTGATAGCAGCTTCGAGAGAGCGTAAGTCCTGCGATCAGAAGCAAGGCGCACTGAGCAAGGGAGCTAGCTGATCATGCCGCTTGCGAATCCACGCATCCAGGCTACCTTAACACTATCCGCTCTGTGCAGCCATCGACGAGATGGAAGATTCTGGTCGTGGACAATTTTGTACGCCAACATTTGAACAGCCTCTTGAAGCTGGACACCATACTGCGGGAGAATGTGACGCTTGTGGAAAACTTGGAGAATGGCAACAGAGAAGCGCAGCCCAACTACGAGGCTGCGTACTTTGTAACGCCCACGTCAAGCAACATCGAGAGGATCATCAGGGACCTGACACCTGATCATGCGACGGGATCGACGAGGTACAGCGCGGGTCATGTTTTCTTCGTTGATGGTGAGTAATGAAGTGGCTTCGATGCCGACGGGAACGGGCAAGGGCGTTCGTAATAAGACTAAGGCTGGAAGGCCGCGCTCATAGACTGTGGCCCAATTGACCTTGAACACAATGACCGACGACCCTCCTGCTCGCAGCTCTCTCTGACGCCTTGCTGCAGCGACTGACGAGCTCACCCGCTGAGCCGCGCTTGCGGCAAGTCATCGAATTGTACAACAACTTCTGGGGTGCGTACATGCGTGCCCTGCGCGTCCTATTCCCTATTCGGTGCTGACTAGGGCCCCGCCTCTCCCTCATGCAATGCAGCACTCGAGGCTCAGGTATTCTCATTAAAGACGCCAGAATCATTCTTCACCATCTTTCAGCCTCCTGGAGGAGCATGGGGAGTGGATTCGGCCGAAGCCCTCAAAGGCATCGAGGAGGAACTGCAATTCAGCGTGCAGACTTTGCTCAATGTATGCGTCTCTCTTAACGAGTTTCCCTTGATACGATACTACAATCCTTCTCACCCGCCGCTGGGACCTCTGGCAAATCAACAAGGAGAGTCGAGCGGGACGATCCCCGCACCCGCGCCAGCTTCCGCCTACGCCTCTAGCATGCGCATGGCCCGACTACGAGCGGGAGGCGATTCGAGCGCAGCGGGCAGGCCGGGTGCTGCGTCGGGTCCGGATCATTTCACCCGCAAGCTGGCGCTCCGATTGCAAGAAGCCATCGATGCCTACGTGGCCGATAATCAGCCCAAGCCCGACTCGACGAGGCCAAGGGGTGTCTTGTTCATCACGGACCGGACTATGGATACAGTGTCACCCTTCCTGCACGAATTCTCATACCAAGCAATGGTGGCTGATTTGCTGCCTCTCGAAGAAGACGGGACAGTCTATTCTTACAAGTTCCTGAACGCTGTCGGCCAGAAGGAGGACAGAAGAGCACGATTGTCCGACGAAGAGAGTGTGTGGAGGGCAATCAGGCACCTTCACATTGCCGAGGCAATCGACAGGTTGACGAAGGATTTCACGCAGCACGCAGGAACCGCAGCAGCTCATCAAAATTCGAGCAGTCTGCATGACATGAGGGACATGCTCGCGACTCTGCCTGAGATGCAAGAGACCAAAGAGGCGTTGAGTCTGCATTTGACTATGGCACAGGAGTGCATGAACATCTTCGAGAGAAGCAGACTACCACAGCAGGCCATGGTTGAACAGAACTGTGCAACGAGGACAACGCCCGATGGAGCGAAACCGCGGACCTTGGTCGAGGATATGGTGCCACTGTTGGATGATCGAGAGATCAGCAACGCGGACAAGGTCCGTATCATCGCGCTTTACATCATGTATAGCGAAGGCGTTCCGGACGAGGACCGGAAACGGCTGTTTCAGCACGCCAGGCTGGGTCTGCACGAGATGGACGCAGTGGACAATCTGGTGCACTTGGGGGCTAGAGTACTCAAGGATCCCCAGAACAGTGGGTGGGACGCGTGGTTCAAGAAGGGCAAGAGGAGGCAAGCGCCGGGCGAAAACGAGTACGAGCTGAGCAGGTACCAGCCTTTGGTCAAGCTCATGCTGGAGGATCACTTTGCGGGAAGGCTGGACCAGACCACCTATCCCTACGTCAAGGATGCGCCCCCCGACTTTGCGTCCGCATCCTCGCTTAGCGCAGCGAGCACCGGAGGACTGGGCAGCCTGAGAGATGCGGCATCGGCCATCTCAAGGGGCGCAAGCCCTGCTTTGAGCGGCAATGCAGCTGCGCCCCGAGGACCCCCGACTAGCTTGAGATCTGCAAAGCCCACGTGGGCCCAGAAAGGCAGAGGTGGAGGACATAGCGGGGGCAGCAGCAACCACGCGGAACGGGCTGACATTACAAGGCAGAGAGTGCTCGTGTTCGTTGCTGGTGGCATGACTTACTCTGAGGTCCGCAGCGCCTATCAAATCTCAGATAGGTTGGCCAAAGACGTCTATATTGGTGAGTCAAACCCACAGAGAAGAGCTCTGCGCGGGAACACGCGACTCACCCTGATATCTTGACGCCTCTCCAGGCTCTTCGCACATTTTTACTCCTGCTTCCTTCCTCGACTCGCTGAAAAGGTTCGGCAAGGCGAGTGGAGCTGGCGCACATCATCACCAAGGTGCAGGCCAGCATCATTCTGGCGGTCGACCTGGCCTTGCGAGCGGTCTTCCGACCGGCGCAAATCAATTTTCGAAGCCGGATAACGATGCGAGCGGCTTGCGATCTAGTGCTGCCGCTGCGCGCTCCGGTCGAGGAGGATCTCGTCAGTATGCAGATTATGGAGATAGTGCACATCAGCAGGGTTACGGAGGCGGGCGCAATGGCCATTCAGCCTCGGTTCCATCTCAACGATTCGAGGCTGATCAAGGAGCATACGAGCGTCGCTATGGGGGAGGAGCTGCGCCTGCTCCGCAAGACACTTCTCATCACGGATACGGACAATCGAGCGCTCAATCAAACCATAGCTCGGCTTCTCGGCCGCAAGCTTCACGTGCTCCTCAGACATATGGACCATCTTCGAGCGCTTCCTTGTATAACTCGCACCATCAGGCCTCGGGCGCCGTTTCGACGTCGGGTCACCAGTCTGCAGACGGCAGGTCCCTCAGTCCAGCTCCTTCCGCTACTTATTCCATTCAAAGCAACCCTGTTGGAGCAGCTGGCAAGGAGAAAAAGAGGCTCAAGGTGAGTCGCGCGCCCTCGGGATGGATGTAGGATGCGACTGTGAGAAGAGTTGCTGCTGACTATTGATTGCCGGCTTTGTCCTAGAATTTGTTCTCTTCCAAAAAGTAATGCAGCCCCTGGCAACTTCTGCGTCTCTCGCGTGGCTTGCACTCGTCATTCGCCTTTGCGCACACTTCTTGCACTCCCTCCACCCTGACAACGGTCGGCTTCCCACTGCGTCCTGTCTGTCATTTTCTCACAAGCTATCGTTACGAGCGCCATCACAGCGTGCGCGTCTGTTACCCAATGTCTATTGCATTATTTTGTTGAGCGGCTCTGCCCTTGGATCACGGACGGTGTCGACACGTGCTGCCTGTAAGAATGACTGGGCACTTTGGGACCAGGCAGCTTGCGATATGTCCGACTTGCCACATCGTCGCTTTGGGTCCCCAAAATGAGAGCAAAAGAAAGCTATCAAATGGGATCTTAGCTTGAGCAGAGTCCAAACCTCCATTGCCTAGACATTAAAGCGACGGCGCAGGAGGAAATGCGTGCTGCCATGAGCGAGCGTGAAAGAGGGCGCGTGCAGTGATGCGCGCCAGGTGCGTGGATGTCGACCGACTGCGCGCGAGCGAGAAGTACTCACCATGCACTGTGCAGTACGGCGACTTGACACCATGACGGACCGCGTTGCTGTTCCCCGCAAAGAGTAGTCGAATGCACCAGAATACACCCGTCGGTTTGATGCTCGAAAATGCTGCTATGTCGCCATGGGACCGCGCTCGTCGACTCACCTGCTGCTGTTCGGGGCCAGAAGGCATCTGCATCATATATGCAAGCTGCGAGCTGATGCTGGGCTAATGCACGATGATCTTCTCTCTCTTGCTCTGGTCTTCACGACTACCGTCACGTTCCAACGCGCGCGCGCGCTTCTTTCTGTCTGCTTAGGTGAGACCCTCGCCCTGGGGCTACCGCACCCGAGTCTGTACGAACCTGGCCTGGAGGTTGCCGCACTGCTTCCGTGCCTGCGTCTATAGCTACGCTGTAAAGCCAGAACTTCGTCCGCGCACTACGCCTGATCGTCCAGGCGTTGGGACGGGTGACGTCAGGTTCATCTATGGTTGTCTCTTGCGCTTGACTTTGGCTGTCCCGGGCGCGAATTCACTTGCCGTGAGGCGTCTACTTGTGAGGCCTTGCTTCAAAAGCCTACGGACTCTCGGTAGGCAGCTCGCTCTGAACGCTATATGAGGGCTCAGCGTCTGGGACAGATAGATGGCGGGATTAGCTATAGGCATGCGGGAGCAGCAGATGCCATGCAAATAAGGGGCGGATACGAAGCGCGGACCCAAATCGGAGTCCACGCAATTAATTTACACGCACTGCGCGGCGGGGCGCGTGTCTCGGCACCTGCAGCGAGGCAAAGAGAGGACGAGCACTGAACCAGTCTTGCAGCGGATCGAATACGACGCGGCTAGCGCGCTCTTCTGCATTCGAGGGAAGATGCTGCTCAGGTGCCCGCAGCGCTCTATCCAAGGGAGAAGCCCGCGTTTGCATGAGCAAGGCGCGCGCACCACACCCCCGCGCCATATGTGATGTTTGCTCTCCCACCATGATGCAGCGACGCGCCCCTTCTCTGACCACCTCCGGTTGCAAAATCGGGCGCCTCCGACTTCCAAACGCTTTTCGCTCCTCTACTACTAATTCCCCACATCACCACCTACGGAATTTAATCACTTTGCTCCCGATCACTCCATAACACACACTCCTTTCTCATACACTTCGCCTTTCCGCGATACCGACACTCGTTCTTTCGCGCCACTGCCGCATCCGTCCACAGCGACGAACAGTCTCCGCGGCGTAGCGTCCACCTACATTCCGAAAGCGCCAGCTTGGCATCTCACTTGGCGCTATTCATTAGTGTCAAACGTGCAAGCAGCAGCCCGTACTCACTTTTGTAGTCTGACGACGTTCGGATCTAAACATCACTCGGGGGCCACGTTTCTCAGCCGGTCAGCTCCCACTCATACCGCCCGGCCGTTGCACTGCCGCTTCGGATCACAGCTTCGTCGCACGTACTCGATTCTACTTCCGCACGGAAACTCTTGCGTAGGTGGACGACAGTTTTCTTTGCATCAAGCGACTACTTTTAAGGTATTGTTCCTCGTCTCTCGACTCGCTCCTCGCTCCACCACAACGGTTCATCTGGCTACCCGATCTCCACAGCGTCCTCGTACTTCTCTCTACACCTATACACATCTCTCGTACGGATCATCAATGTCGACTCAGCGAATGCAACGCGTTCGCTCTCGCGCCGCAGGCTCTCTCGATGAGCTCGCTCTTCACTTGGAGAAAAGACAAGGTGCTCTCACAGGCGTGACGAGCGGGTTGGAGAGCGGTGCTAACAAAGCAGGCGACAAGGCTTCTTCCTACACTTCTGGTCTTAATCAATGGGAAATCCTGGCCGTCGCAGCAGCTGGTGTCGCTTTGATCGCCCTCGTTTGCACTTGGACCTGGCTCGTGTGCAACAGAAAGCGCAAAGCAAGGGAAGCAGCCAAAGCAAAGGAGGAAGAGGAGATTGCCGCTGCTGAAAAGCTGAGGAGGACAAACACCATGACGCAGTCTTCTCACGGTCATCATGGATCCAAAGAGTCGCAATCTCAACGAAAGTCCTTGCTCGCTAATGCAGCGCCTGCTGGCATGGCCAGGGAGGACCTACGCGTCAACACTGCGAGCGCTGCCAAGATGGGACAAGACCTTCACTCGCCACGCAGTCCTGGTCCTCGCGACCCGTTCCTGCCTCCATCACCCAAAGGGCACCAAGCTCAATTGGCGCATTCCAACATCTCCTCCGCCGCCTTTCACGCATCTGCCGCTACGCCTTATGCGCAACATCACGAAGGCCCATCGTACGGCATGGAAGCTACGTCGCCCAACAGCAGACGTTCGTATCACCAGGTAGTCTATCCCGATCAACCTCTGCCGCAATCTGTGGACCTCCGAGAGCCTCTGCCATTGGCCATCTCTCGATCACCTCCTCGCTCAAGCCATGTGCCACTCCCTCGCGCCCCAGCGCCGCAGTACGGATATCAAGGTGGCATGTCGAACCCATACGCGGAAGAGCACACATCGGCTCATGAGCCCATCTCTGCTTACGGCGCTCAGCCTGCGGAAGGGTACGGTATGCCGATGCCCCAGTATCAAAGGCCCATGTCATACGGCCAGCCTTCGAATCGGATGTCGCATTATGGTGCTGCCCTCTGATCAACCGTTCACAAAGCAGCAGCTCTCCGACGCCTTGCTTTGAATATACCAACATCTCTCTCGACTCTTCTAAGCGAAAATCAGATCTGAGCAAGCTTTCGAGCCGCCGATTCCCCACGCTCATTTTGGTCTTGTGCTATCTTTTCCACGATCGCGCAAACCTCCTCCTTTGATCTTGTTGTCCCACCTCCCAAGGCTTTCGCACCCTTTGTCTGATTGTATTTTTAGCCGCTTTTCAGTTGAGTCGATACGTGTTGCGAAATATGTTCGTTGAACCGTCTTGAACCTTTAGGACACAGACTGTTCGGGCGGTCTTGGCTACACACGTACCTGCATCCAGACCGTGCACGTGGGCTCTTCGCTTACATCAAGTCGGAAAGCTGTGTCGATACGCATCGCTTCGTGCTACAGGCAAGAACGAACCACGCAGGATCGGCGTCTATACGCTTCTTGTGTGCGCTTTTGTCAACACAATGTCCCACTCCGCGAACTCACCCCGCGGCAGACAAACACACGTTTCCGACAGAAGCAGGCCTTCACCACCAAGTGTCGCTCTGGCATTTGCCTCTGCGAACGCGCCGAGCGACGCGGAAGGGAAGGCCACCGATAGCTCAGACGGGATGGGGGGGGGGGGGGGGGGGGGGGGGGGCGCCGATGACGACGAGCATTCTGAGTGTATAGGTGCCTCCATCTGCAAAACACTCCATCCCTCCCTCGCCTGCGCTGCGTTCCATGCCTTCACGTTGTCATGACGCCTCTGCATGATACTTTACTAGCTACGAAAGAAACAAATTCCTCACCGACCACCAACAGAACGACACTACTCAGCTCCCCGTGAGACGTCAGAAACCTCACCGTCAGTGTACCACTCAGTACGACAGTAGTCATTGAGTACGAAGCGACGCTAAAACATGCAATTTTGAATCACAATCAAAAATCCATTCACGATTCCAATTCGTGAATCCATGTGCCGTGCGGTGTGCGGCGTGCGGCGTGCAAATCAAGAATCAGGAGGAAAGTATTCACGTGATTCGTGATTCACACGTGAACGGTCGTCAATGCAGGCGTCAACGCCGGCAGCGTGGAATTATGGCTGGGCCGCGGGCGCGCCCGTGCAATCCGCGGGAAAAAGGAAAAGGACGCTCATCGCTGCTTTTCTTTCTGAATCGAGGGTTCTCCCCTATAGAGCTGCTATCTCTTCTCCCTTCTCAATTGGTGCAAATAGCGTCACTTTTGTTCCATGAGAGAGCGCTTGGCATCATGCTAGGCGTTCTAGGCGTACTTTGCATCAATCGTTCGACCCGAATAAGACCTACGGCCCTACAGTAAGCTTGGCCCTTACAGCTTTACTCGTGCGCTAAGTGGCTCGTGACTAGCACATGCCGCGACGGTCGATTGCGCCCGCAGCAATGCGTCACCGCGATCGATAGGCACGCATGACGGCTCGTTCGGCCTCCGAGCCCCCCCCCCCCCCCCCTCCTTACCCTGTATAGGAAAGCCAGGCCCACAATCAATCGAGCTCGATAATGACGCCAACAAGGCCGCATGCAAAGCGAATTGTTTCAGCTACCTTCCATTCGCCGCCTTCCACAAGTTTAGGACTGGTTGACTGACTGTTGTATCGTCGGCTTCGCGTACCCACTGAGTGGCACACTGGTGTTCAGGCTCTATGACGTTTTATCGTGGTGCTCACAATTGTCCTACCGTCGTTGGTGGTCGGTGAGGAATCGTGTCTTTCGTAATTTCGTACGAACCCTCAAATTCGCGTAAGGTGGAGGCAGGGCGGACACGAACAGAGGCCATGCTTGGGAAAGAAAAGCTCGGACTCGGGGTCATGTCAGTCGAGCGTGATGAGTCGCTTTGCGTCAAAAGCGGCATATATGTCGAGTAAAGCGCCATCTTGCGGCTTTGTGACGTTTTGAAACTTCGAAAGCGCGCACGCAAGCGTTCAGGGCGACTCTTTATCCTCCACCTACGAGTGAGCTTCAGGAACAGCATGAAATCAAGCGCGTTCAACATCCCACCTCCGACTTCGTTCCGAGAGCTGATAACGCCTGGCGCAGGTGTGCTGCCCTTGTTTAGCAGGCAGATTGATCGTCGCATCGTGCTGAGTGGAGCACTGACGGCCAGCTTATCTGCCGTGACGTTGAACTATGCAATCCAATCCAATCCAATCCGTTCTTTCAGGGCCTGAGGAACTTCCTTTCCTGATTGGGGATGCGTCGCGAATGGCCATGCTTCGATAGGCTCGAAACGCTCTTGATGTGCTGTACAGTCGTTTCGCTGTACAGAGTAGCGTTTCGCGTCAGCTGCGGTACGGTACGGTACATGCTGTGGATGAATATCCGTTGAATTGGATGCATGCTGGTGTGCTCCAGCAGCGACACGTGCGAGCATGCAGCAGCAAGCGCATTCCAGCCCCAAGATTCAGCTATTGACACGCATTCACACGATCCCTTTTCGGCTAGTGTTCTATAGCTCGCTGCTTGCGAGGCGCCAATTTGGGCTTCGATGGGTGGCCCAGCCAGAACGTGGGACACACTCGCTATGGCTCGCTATCACCGAGTGCGGGCGGCGAGCGTTGCGAGGCATGACAGTACTGCTGCAAGCGTCGAGGTACAAATTGCCGGACCGGTCGGGGAGAAAGGGAAGGATGGCGACCGATCGAAGGGGGCCTTTGCGAAATCACCTTGACAGGCCAGCTAGGGGCAAAGGGCGTCGTCGCGTATCGCCGAGGCCGAGGCCGAGGCTGAGGCTGAGGCTCCTGCTCGTGTATTGGTATTCGTTGATGTGTAAATCAGGATAAACTACATCGGAAGCAGTAAGAAGCGCTCTCATGGCGGGCGTGCCTGGCGTGCTTGGCGTGCTTCGCTGGACTGGATCAACCAGGTGGGTCCAACTCGAATCGCTATGAGCAACGCTCGGCCTAGCAGCGCGACTAGTGTTCTGCAGGCGATGATTCTGATCATCTGGCTGATGCCTTGGACAAGCAGCGGCGTTCTCGCACCCAACCAAGCGATCTAGAGTCACAGACTCACATTCAATCGTTTCGTCATTATGATAGCTGCTGGCACTTGACTGACTGTGTACAGGAGAGCCGCGCCATTGCGCAATACTCACGATTGTGCATGATTCTGATTGCTGGGCTCAATCAGCAGGAATGCGCTGCTGCTGCTGCTGCTGCATGCATGCATGCATGCAGCATGTGCTTCTTGACCAGATCGAGCCTTACGCCAACGGGCGCGACTCCGAAAAACCGTGACCGTTGTGGGTCAGGTGACTGTTGCGTGTCGAGCAGCAGCTCTAGAGAATCTGAATGGAAACATAGTCGTTGATCCACACATGTTCTGCGCGCATGGCCATGCGGTGCGTCTTCGGGTCCATGCATGCGGCTGGACGCCCTAGAGATGTTCGCGATGGATAAACTGCGTGCAGTTAGGTACAGGTACCGGTACATATGTCCGCTCAGGACTTGGACCACAGCCACAACAGCCCTCGAGCCTGCGGACTGCATGCACGATGGTGTACATACACACGGTCACGGTCGTGTCGTGGGTACTTTGTGAGGGGCAGGCATCCTTACCATCAGAGAAGAAGAAGTCGGTGGCGAGGGAAGAGAAGCAATTACAATGACGGTAGAGATAGCCAAAGTCCCGTCTGCCGAAAATTACGATCGAATGAGACAAGAGTCGGGAAAAGGCGCCGCCGACTGCGGACGCGGGATGAAACGTCAGTCGCATTTTGATTTTAGCCAGATTGTCAGAGTTTAACCGGCTCGTGCCTTTCTTGGCTGCCGGAAGACACACGCTGCTACATCGAGCGTTGGCTACGCGTACCGAGACAATGGTCCATCTCTGTTGTGCGCGGTCCTCCTCTGGTGTGAAAGAGGGGTCAGCAGGCGCGCCATTCCCTTGCTGCTGCTGCTCTTCTCTCACACAAGCCGTGGATGTGTCCGATAGGGGATGCAGCACATGCGCTGCAGGCACGATGCGGTGCACTCGTAAGGCAGCTTTGATGCGGAAAGCAGCCGTCATATATAAGAGGATCACTGAGTTGCAGGCTCTCGGAGTCCGATCCGCATCCTCATCACAACGTCCATTGGGTTTTCCTGACACATCTCAGCGAAGTCCATCACCACCACGACTGGCTTGGGAGACATCTTTAGGAAGTTTGACGGTTCATCGCTGCGCCTGAACATATGACCGTGCCCAAGATGGTGCCAAAGCCACCGGCAAAATTCAGAAAGGCATGTGACGATGTGAGTGGTGAAAAGGCTCCCACATTCCAGCTTTGGCATCCACTGCACATCTCGATGCTGAAACGGCACCTCTTTATTTCATCGTATCGCTGGTGTGACCGTCATAGTGTCACGCCAACAAGGTCAAATGCCTGCCTGGTCCAGGTGCTGTACCCGCTCCGGACGGAGCTGCACCAACGGCGTCTTGCGTACGATGCATTCGTCTGGGCATCCCTTGTCACTTTTCGCCTCCCGATCCGCGTCGGACAAAGAAGCGAAGACGAAGCGAGGAAGATGACAGCAGACGCGACAGTACGCACGATGAAAGCACTGCCTCGGAGAACGAGCACAACTTCGCACAACATCGGCGCTTTAGCAGCGCGCTATCGGAGCAATCTCATCTCAGCTTTCCATCCTGGACATCAAACAACGGCTCGACCGTCGCTTTGCAACCCGCCGAAGTTGCGGCGACCAGCTCCGACTCATACTATGGTGATTTCATCCCCAACGCTTTCCCAGGCTTGCCAGACGCTGTTCAGCGCAGGGATCCACCGAATTGGTCCGCTAGGACCATGGCGATCTTTGCTCTCAACGGCTCGAGCGATCCAGGCACAAACGCAGCTTTGTCCTCTCGTGGCTCGGCAAGTCTCGAAGAAGAGATGGCTGGCATCTTGAGCCAATCATCTGCTCCGCCGCAGCAATGGTGGCAGCCTTTGGACCCCTCAAACCCACCGAGCGTCGCCAGTCAATTTCCCACCAGTCAAGACGCCGTATCGACGTTTCGCGACTGGTCAACCACAGCCCCTGCGTCCAACTTCGTACCGGCCGAGATCGAACTTTCTACCACCCATTCTGGCGCACTCTATCCCACGGTCGTGAAATCCGAATCGACACAATTAGAAAACAGCCCACCAGGTGAGCCGCACATCTCTTGTCCGCGCCGGCGATCTCAATCGAAACGTGACGACTTACATTCTGTGCAAGACGTGCTCCTGCTAGAGCCTCTATGCGCAAGTGTTACGACCCAACCTGTCGCGAGCGACCGTCGCAGCAGCCTTTCGAGTATACGACATGGTTCGCCAACTTTGTCGCTGGATTCGCAGTCTACCAGATTGTCCAGAGAGATACAAGAGGCTACCGAAGATTTCCAACAGATCTTTTCAAGCCCTCCGGACGACTATTCACAGGGCACAGTGGGTCTCGCGCATGCCCCCTTGCAAGATCGAATGTCGTTCAGCAAAGAAGAGCGGCGTGCGGCGGTTCAAACGCTGTTTGGACTTCTCGGAGAGTCCATCAATCACCTCGCGACTACGATCGTGTGGATAGAGAGCAACAGCCATCTTGCGAGATCGACCAGTCGGCCTATTCCGAATCAAGCACCACCTACTGCGACGAGCGGTATGCTCTGGATGACTCAGGCCTCACTCACCACGAGCGCACTGGTCAGACTGGCTGGCGCTTGCATCGCTCGAGATCATTGCCCGAACGCACCGTCCCACCTGAAGATCCTTGGTGGAATGGAGCTGTTTGCCTACTGCTCTCCCCTCGTCACTGCTCAGCTTTCCTGTGCAGCCATACTCGAGAGCATAGATTTCAAGATCAGCGACGAGTCTGACGATGCGCAATCACGGAGACGTGATAGCCCTCGTGTGCCTGGAAGATCGCCGCAGTCGAGTTGCACTTCGCAATCCGGCGGACAGGCGTCCATGCTAGCAGCCTCCTTGTGCAACGACATCACAGCCACCTCTATCTGGGATGACCTGCCATTGGACGACGTCGAAGCGCAAGCAGCCAGAAGAAGGAACGATCAGAGTCGCCAAGCCACCGTCTTGCAGATCTTGCGCACTCTAGCTCAGACCTTTTGCAGTGTGATGCGAAGGTGCGAAAGATCTGCGTTGAGGAGCCATTTCAAGTCGTCCAACAGGCTGCATACTGGCAACGGTGTCAATCAACTTTCACACCAGCACAATGGCGCCTTGCCCATTCCGAACGGTCTCGCAGCGCCAGCGCCCAACACGGCAAGCTCTTTGCACCGCGACGAAGCGCCTTTGGCATCCCGCACCGGTAAGTCGTCGACATATCAGCTGCTGTCACACAACGAAAGACCTCGTGCTCATTTTCAGGTCTCTCTGGCTCCTATTCTTCTCTTTCGCAGTGCCTGATATGGCAGATACTCCGTGTGTGGCTCGCATCACGGCGGAGCACTTTAGAGTGACGGCTGAAGAGGTGGATCAGAGGCTACAACATGCGCTCAAAAGTCTATTGGCTGAACCCTAGACTGAGTCGAGATGAGCGAGTCGGTTAGTGGCGTGACTTCTTTGACGCTGCTAGTGCGCACTCCTACACTCGTGACTGCTACGTAAGAAGCCATCTACGCCACCGGGTCTCCTCTCTACCCTGCTCTACTCGCGCCATCCCTGTATCTGTCTTCAGTCACCCATGCGCAATCGCAATAGTCTTGTCTTCTTTTGGCTTTCATTCGTTGCATGTCGAGGCAAGTGTGACTCATATAGCACGAGAGAAAGTCGAGTACGCTCGAGGCGATGAACGGTTTGGGCTTGATTGGTGTGGCGGGGATACAAAGTCCACAAGATTTGATTTGGGATTGTAATTAGTACAAGCAACTTGCGTCAGTTCAGATCAAATCAGAGCTGAGAGGGGTGCTGCATCAATTGTGAACGAACAGAGCAGGGTAGAATTTTCGAGGGTCACACGTGTCCACGAACTCCTTTCACCTTTGTGCCAAGGACGGTGTCTGTACCTGTTGTTGTGCTGGTGCGCCTGCTTGCGCGGACTGTTGTGGTGCCGGTTGCTGGGCAGACTGCAGAGCCAAGATGGCCGCTTGTGACGGCTTCTCTTCCAGCGCGTCGTACATCAGTACCATATCTGGGAGCCGCACGAAAAAGAAGGGGGAGAGCACTAAGCACCATACTCGAGCGCGCGCCCTCCGGATCTCGTGGCCTCACCTTTGGACACCTTGTCCCAAGTCCGCGGATCGAAGAATACGTAAGAGCCCCTCTCGTACGTCGGCGTCTTTTGCGTTGGTTCGCCATTTTGCGTGAGCCATAATTGCAGCTCGACGTGAAATCGCCAATTGCGTTGGTAGCTATCGCAAAAGCAGCGTAGCAGGGCGTGTGAGTGATACAATGCCTCGAATAACGATTCAAGCACAGGTAACAGCTATCATTGAACTCACAGCTCGGCAGCGGCAATCTGCTGCATTACGTCCCTAGGCATGGAGTAGAAGATGAAAAAGAGGGTCTCGTCGCTGAAGCTGTCCACCTTGTGATGTGCTGGCGAAGGAGGAGAGACATTGTAACATGACGGCAAGTGAAACTCTGGCTCCACTTGCAAAGCTGCGGCCATGTTGTTGTCCGACAGCGGTGTGATAAGAGACGAGTACAGCGCTCTGCGTGAGGCAAAGGCAAGAGCAAGAGTGAAGAGCAACAGCGTGAGTGGTCCACCATCTTCCGCCGAGTCTATGATAGTCGCTAGTGAGCCGTGACTCACTCCGGAGCCTCCAAGCTCAGTCCCATCGCTTGCAAATCAGTCCCCAGAGACAACATTTGAACATCAGGATCTTGCATCTTGATGATGCTCAGCAAGCCCAACAACCCAAATCTATCCGCCGGAGAAGACAAGACCTGTGACACGGGAGCAGACCTCATCACTGCGGCCTGTATCGCTTGCTGATGCTGCTGTTGCCTCTGCTGTTGTTGCTGCTGCAATTGATGCTGCTGCTGCGCGTGCTGCGAGGCTGCAGAGCCGTCATCCAACCTCGATAGTGTCCCTGCGCGGGGCGAGTCCGCAAGAAAGGGCGCTTCAGCCTGAGCACCCATCATCGCAGCTCCTCTCGCCAACACGCACCTCCTGAGGGCCAAGCAGACGCCATGCCGGGCGACGCTCCCATGCCGGGTTTCGCCGCGTAATTCTGAGTGAGGGTGGGCGAGTGCTAGTCAGCACGCAGCCGTGCTCTCAGCTGAAGCATTCGCGAAGCAGAGATTGGTGTGGCCAGGTAACCTTCCCTTGTCGCCAAGCCGACCCAATCCTGCTCAGCCAAACATGCTCGGGCCGCCCCGACCCGCAGAAGGGCACATTCCTCCTAGCTGTCTGGATCCTCGCGACAGCCTGCCACCCTGCTTCTCACTCACCCTTTCTGCGTCTCCGAAACCGCCGCGAGCCGCATTCAAGGGATTGGCGATGCCGTTGGCGTTTGTAGAACCATTTACGCCCTGCGCGTTGGCGACAGAAGGAGACAAGCTGCCGAGCAAGTTGAGTCTATGCGCTTCCCTCGCAGCATGCTGAGCATGCAAGGCAGCCGCCGCCGAAGCTTGTTCGCCCGCACCCGCGCCTCCCACAGCGTTTGCACCACCAGCCGCAACATTCGCCAGTGAAGCAGATGCGGTAGCAGCGCTATTTGCGTTGCTCAATGTTTCGCTCGTCTCCCTGACCCCTGCATTGCCACTCGCAGCGGTAGCTGGATTGGAAGGCGCACCCAATGCTGGGAAGTCGTCATTGTTCAATGATCCACCTGCTCCTCCCGCTCCACTTGCAGCTCCTAATGCTCCATTCCTCAATGTGCTACTGTAGAGCTCCGACCCGAACCTTTGCGTATTACTGCCTAGCCCGTGCTGCTGAGCTGCTGCTGCTGCTGCCGCCGCTTGAGCCTGAGCTTGCGCAGCTGCAAATTGTTGAGCGTTGAGTAGACCTCCAAGATTGGAAGCTCCATTTCCTGAAGCTGCTCCCGAAAAGCCACTGGCGTTGCCTTTATGGCCTCAAGAGACAGGTAGACGAGTGAAGGTGTGGCGCGGTCAGCATATCTTAGCGTCTAGGGCGCTCTGATCTCTGCTCCCTCTCTGGCTAGAGTCAATCCCAGACAGAGCAGGGGCTGCTGAGCGCAAACGCACCTCTACCAAAGCCAGCTTCGCTGCCCGATCCTAGGGTCAAGCCGGGTGCACCTCCACCGGTAAAAGCATTGCCTGAAGCCGCTGCACCTCTCCCGAATCCGCTCAAGCCAGGCGCACCCGCGGATGTGTAGGAGCTGTAGCCGCTCGTCCCAGGCGCTGCTGATCCAGGAACAGAAGTCGGCCTAGACATGATTGAGCGGGCTGTGATGAGAGCCAAAGCTGCTTGCTGAGGGCTACGTGTGCTCAATGTGGTCAAGATGAGGGAAACTGGTAGATAGAGCTGAAGCCAGGATGGGGTCGAAGCCGAGCGATGAGCCGATCGAATTTGTCGAGCTGGTGAGCTGAATGCAGCGTGTGTATGCTCTGACAAGCTGCGAAAGAAATGGGCAGCTACAACGCCGCTCAAGGCAGTGCGGTGATTGTCGCAATGACGATGTAGATGTCCGACTCTGTCACTAAAAGCGTCTGATCCGCACCTTTTGAATGCAACCTGAGTCGCTGACGACGTGCTGCTGCGTGCAACTCGGCTTGTACGACGTTCGATCGCTCGAAGTTGATGTTTTGCCGTTCCACTGATCCAGTCACACCGTCGTGATGAGTTGCTCGGCGGGCTTGTGCGTGTGATGAGGGCTGTGCGTTGCAGCTTGCAGGGATATGGACCTGCACGAACCACGTGGCACCCTGCTTGCTGCCATGCAGTCCTTGTGCGCGGCCCGCACGGCCTGCATGGTGCGCGGGCACGCGCGTAATTCAGCATGCGCGCACCATAATCAAACCAGCATCACGGTGAACCAAAATTGGAAGCCAAGTCGATCGTGATAGTCTTCGTTCAAGATCCTTTGCTGCTCGATCGGCTTGGTACGCTTTCGTTGGTGCCCATTTCACATGACCGCCGAGCGAAGCTTCTTGAACGTCGTGCACAGCTTGAAGCACACGAGCCGGCATTGCAAGACGCTGCATCTCTGAGTTCAGAGAACCTCTTCTTCGGGGTCAAAGAACGCGACGCACAAGCCCACGTCACGGAGTGCAGATCGCCTACCTCCCATTCCATCTTGCTCGTCCACACTTTCATATTCGCACGTATTCGTGACTGTACGCTGCGTCTGCTCATCTTACCTGAACCTTCTTCCACGACCGAGAAGTACAGCTTCGGACGCCCCATCCAGGATGTACTTAAGCTCTAGCTCTTCACCGCTCGCATTTGATCGTCCACTCTAATTATGTTAATAGCGCACAGGTAGCGATCTATTCCCCCTCTTGAACTCAATCAAGCGGGCGCACCTCGGGAGCATCTAGCATTGATGTACGGCCCCAGCACGTCCCTCAGCCGCATCGCCCAAAGCTTGCATGACTGTGAACCCAGACCCATGAAGAATACGTGTAAGCTTGCAAGGGAATTGGCCTCTGGCGCGTGGTTGCTGAGCGCGTTGATTGCGAGTTGGACAAGCGCCCGCAAGACTTACCGCTGATGACGAGAACTGCAAGCCCAAAGAGGGCAGTGACGACGGCCAAAGGTTTGGTAGAGGCCCACCATGGTCTCTTTTGAGATCCGGGTGGTCGCTGCCTAGCTCTAGCTCCCGGTCTGAGTGGCAATTCCACCTCATCCACCGTCAAATCCGCCTCGTTCATTCCAGCTTCGCCTTCCAAATCGCTCAGTTGCGCATCCTCGTCTTCGCTCTCTTCGCCTTCTCCATCACCACCTGATCTTCTGGTCGTCCGTCCTCGAGAAGTCGTATTGCTCTCGCTCGTCAGCTCTGGCACGACTCGATCCACCCTTGCGCTGGACGAGCTATCGTTGGCCAGCTTGAGAAAACAGATGCTTGGAAAAATAAAGGCGAGGGTAGTAGCGCTCAGGCCTCCTGTCAATTCCAGCACTATTCCCAAATCGCACGTGGATAGGCTGACTATCATGGCCGAAACGACGAGGGCAGAGGTGAAGATGATGTGCCGGGTCTGATCAAATTCGCCCGCAAAAAAGTAGGTCTCGAGCACTTCGCGAGCTACAAAGGCTTCTAACGGTAGCGTGGTGAACATGTTGACGCCGAACAGAAATCGAGCCACGTTGACCATTGTGTCTTCGTGAGGAAAATTATTCTGCGAGCAGAAGGAGGGGCGACGAGATATGAGTTGACGTGAATTTAGCCAAGCAAGCTTGTGTGCAGCTCGCGCGAAAGGCTCACAAGGACATTGCTCAGGGTCTTGTCTGTAAAGGACCAGTATCCAGCGATGCTCATCGCGATGGCAGCACTTGCAGCAATAGCTGTGCTGTAGTGCGTCACTCGCTGGAACTTATCCATCGATGGTTCCTTGAGCGAGCCGTAGATGACTTGCCGCGCGCTCAGGGTCAAGGTCAGCAAGCAGCTTCGCGACAGCACTACCACCCAGAACACATACTCACGCAGCGAATTGTGATGGCAGACGAAAGCGAAGGAAATGACTGCGATGGAGCGTACGATGCCGCTGGGGGCAATGATGGTGAACTGAAGGTCCAGCCACGTGATCATGATGTTAGCCGAGAAGCGCGCCACGATCAAGTCTTCCTGCCGACTATAACTCACCCTTTGAGCAGGGTCTCCCTTCAATTCAGGAGGCATCGCTGGCCCCCTAACAATGACGGCCACAATGATCAGGACCATACTAAAGAGGGCCACTGCGCTAGCGCGACTGAGAGACTCGATGTCTCGATACAGCGATAGCGGGTAGGAGATGCCTAGCGTGCAGACTGTGATGATGAACATCCTACCCGTCAAGAACGAGTCTGCCAAAAAGGGCAGCAGCTGTTTGAGCACGCTCGGAATAGTATCGCCTGTGTGCAAAATACCTTCATGTTGTGAGCTGTTGCGACCTTACGAACAGATCCGAGCACATAGAAACACGCACCGATCACGACCTGCAATTCGAAAGCCAGCAGAGAATTGCAGCATGAGCCATGATGAATCGTCCAATGTCTTCGCGTTCTAAATCTGCCACGTTCTACACTTACACAGAAAGCGCACATTCCACCAAAAGCAAAAGCGAATTGGAAGAGAGACACGGCAGCTCTTCCATGGTTTCCAAAGCAATGCTGCATGATATCGATATACGTCGTTCTTCCGCTCAATTTGGCGTTGAGGACGATCAGACGGATGGTCCAATCTGTCAATAAGGCCAGACCTGCCAAGAGACCGAGGCCTGCCACGAAACCGGAAGTGCGAAGCGAGTAGGGAAGACCTAAGAGGGGGCGATGTGTCCAAGGGGATGAGAAGGTCAGAGAACAAACAGCTGCTCTGCCCCGAGAAGCCTCAAGCGCAATCGCAGTATCGTGCGCCGGTTATAGAGCGCGCGTCCGAACCACTGCAGCTGACGCAGCACACATGACTCACCGACCACTCCTGCACCTAGGATAGAATTCGCCATATTGACAGTGGCTTCGAAGACTCCAGCTCCTCTTCTGAGCCAATCCGGGAGCTCGATATCCCTCAGCTGATTCCTGATCTCCACCAGTCCTTCGGTTATGCCATCGGTCGAGTGTCTAGACAAGGCAGCAGGCAGAGGTATACGATCTATGAGGGGTATGGATCTGGATCCCGATGTTGACGTTGATGCCAAGCCTGATGCTGAGGAGGTACCAGCACCGGCGCGAGCTGATCGATTCCGACCTGATCCTGCACCACCTCGTGAAGATGGATCTTGGTTCAACGTAGCTGTCGAAACGCTCAAAGCGTCCAGATCTTCATCTCCCAGCTCATCGCTATCCGCATCGTACTGCGCCTCTTTAGAAGAAGTCGTACTTTTCAATCCCAATGTCGTTACCCCTCCACCACCTCCACTTGAATTTGATCGTTTCCCACTTGCGCTCGCTTCTCCTTTTCGATTGCCGGTGCCGGAAAGAGCATCCCCCTCGTCAGCCGACTCGTCCGAGACGTCGTAGGAGAATAAAGCGCTTGATGGAGGCGAATTGGGAGAATGGAAATCGTTTGTGCTAGCGAAACGTACGGAGCGAGATGGGTGGATCGGATCATCTGCTACCAGGTTGGAGCCGCTGGCACGCTCTGAAATATCCATGACGTCGACGCAGTCCCTCGCTTGTATGCTGTGCTTGGACCGGTGGATGGGGGCGATGCTGGTTTTCTGATTCTAGCTGCGACGGAAAGTTGAACTTTGTGCTAGGCAGCCAGAGAAGTGATGATGACAGATTGGCAGGTGTACACGTTGGAAGAACAAGACACGCACATCTACAAGCTGTCCCGAATGGTATCAGAGTGACGCTGGAGCGTGTATGCCGTCGGCAATCTCTTGCCGCGTCACACTCTTCCTAATCGTCGATCTGATTGTCTTGTTTCAGCTTGGGCGGGAGTCGCGAAGCTTTGATCCAGAGATTACTCGTGAATGAAATAGCCAAGGATCAAATGCTCGAATTCGAGTGCAGAAGAGAGTAACGAGTGATGGGCGATGGGTGCGTGTGGGATGTATGCGTAGAGATAAAGACTGCTGGGTCTGCCTCTTTCGTGCTCGGTGTTGAAGGTCGGCGTCCTCGCATTCACCATTCGTGAATGCAACGTAGCGCAACGCAGGTCTCATGCTGCATGCACGAAGTTCGGTTCGAGTCGAGTGCGCCGTGCACGCTGGATTTAGTCCAATTGGAAGGGCTGTGGGGAGCGTCACGTGCTCGAAGACGATTTGAGTTTGTGGTTTCTCGAGCATGAGCGACATCAAGGTGTGCCGATACACAGGTACGCACCGCACCGCCTCGCTTCCAAAGCTAACCACTATACTCCCAAGCAAAGGAAACCCTCGAAATTATACGGAGGAAGACGTGATCTTGAGCCTCTTTCTGATCCTGCTTCCATACGTCGAGCAACCAGCGCCGGCAACACAAGCGCAAGCGCAAGCGCACGCACAAAGGATCGATACGAACGATTCCTCGGTCGCTTCGCTCATCTTCCTCGCTGCGATCCGGCTGTTGAGTCACCTCGAGAAAGCATCAACGAACGAGCCTGGAAATCAAGGAGAAAGCATGACACGACAAACGGTATTGGTCAAGGCGAGGAAGAAAGCGAACGAAGAGGTGCCGGAGGATTGGGACGCGCAACAATCAGACTCGGATTGCGCATCTGGATCTGGATCAGGGTCTGATGGAGGTGCGCAAGCCGGTGCTCGACTGAATGCGCGGCATGAGCATACGAGATATGCGAATGGTGCGAGCGCAAGCGTCGATGCTGGAGCTGGAGCTGGTTCTGGAGCTGTTGCTGGAAAGTCGGCTGCTGGGTCGGGGTCCCGCGGAGACACGGGTAGAGTGAAGCCGCCGAAAGCTGACGTTGGGGCTGAACCTAGGGCAGAAGCTGCTGGCCAGCATACCCAATCCGCGCAGACATCAACATCAGCGCCTTCTACTGCACGCTCTGAACAGAAGATAAGAATCTTGGCGGGTGGAGGTGGCTCAGCGTTAGCTGGCCTCACATCAACATCCACCAAATTGCGAGGCAGTACTGGCAGCGTTGCTGCTCCTGCTGGGTACGCTGACGCATGGGATGATGAGCAAGCGTATGAGGTGGACGCGCACCTCAATACACCGGGTGGGTCAAGTGGACCTGCGCAGGCACGTGGGCCAGGAGACATCAATGGTGGAGCTGCAGAATGGGCTTCGAAGGAATGGAACGCTGCGTGAGTCCGCTCTTGGGGTTTGACTGTGCTCTTCCTGCACCTAAATTGACGCTTCATGTGCTCCCGCGACTCTGGTCTTATCGTTGCGTCATGAAGCAATTCTCAATTACCCACACTGGCACCCACCTTGTCTTCGCGAGGCACACTTCCATCCCTCTTGGGTCCCTCTCTGAACACATCAGACGTCTCGCGCCAACCTCCCAAGATTCTCAGTCGACCAAAAGATCAATACGGTAATGTGTTGGGGCTGAAACAGGATGAGAGAGGGAGCGGAGCAGCAAAGAAAAAGACGTTGAAGGAGAGAGAGGAAGAGTATAGGGAAGCTAGAGACAGGATATTTGGGGCTGCTGCTGGTGGTACGCAGGAGCAGACGAAGGAGACGCGTGGCTCTACATCTACATCTACATCTACATCTACATCTGCTGCCACTGCCACTGCCACTGCCACTGCCACTGCCACTACTGTCTCAAGCACGGGAGCGAAACGCAACATGGACAAGAAAGGCGCTCCTAGACCGGCGCGCAATCTCGAGGGACAAGCACAAAGCCGACTGCGTTCAGTCCCTTCTGATCTGCAAGAAGCAGCAGTCCTCGGCTCGCAAAAGGCTAGGATCTTGCATGCCGGTCAAGCACAACCTCGTGCGCCACTGCCCTCATCCGCATCCTCTGGATCAATAGGATTCAAAAATTACAATCGACAACCAGCACGAAATAGAGCGGGAGCAGGAACAATAGAGGAGTCGCAGATGTCTAGAGGTAGCGGTGTTTGATCATCGCGCCCATTTGAATAAGGTCATGCCCATTGAATGGAGAAGGAGGTCGCCAGTCCATCGGTGTATTCCCATGCTATCATTGCTGCGAATTTTCAGACATTTGCTACACGCTCTGACGTCCACCACCAAGGAGTCAGATGGACAAATATTCATGCGTGGTATGTACGGACTTGGCTTCATGATGATCGCCGCCGACGCAGCACGCATAGTCGAAAGGATCACCAAAAGCATCGTGGGCAGCTACAAGGGAGCAACGTAACGCCTCGCTCTCGCTGTCGCTTGTGAACCCGGGCTTGCAAGTGCAGCGTGACGCGACGCGACGCGACGCGGACGGACGTAGCGAGTGATAGACGCGCAGCAAGTAGGGGCCAAGCACTCATGCCAACTCTCGCTCTGCAGCAGGATAGTCTCTGCAGCCGCCATGTGTCATTTGCCGATGTCAACGTAGTTTCTTGCGCAAGGATGTGAGGGTGCACAGTGCGGGGCTTGTTCGACTTGCTGCAGTGGCGCATGCGCAAGGCAAGGCAACGCGGCGTTTCGCATGATTGGGAGAAGAGACGGATGGTACTGACGTGCTGCGTTGCGGTCGGGCCCATGTTCTATTTGATGGATGACTTTGGCACATTCGAGAAGGTGCTTCGTGCTGTGACCCGTAGCACAGGCAGGGTCGATTCGAGAGCTCCAAGCAAAACATGCTTGTGTCCCTGCGCAGGGTCAGCCCAATCGTCTGGAAGCACAGGCCGATCAGCCTGCATGAAAAGATCCGGAAAGGGAGTCGGAAAAGGTCAGGGCTGGTGTCTTCAGTGGCGGTGTAGCAGCACGATTGCTGCGCCGGTGAGGCGAGCCGAAGCTATGAGCGCAGGCCGGAGCCCTCTCGCTTCCTTCTGCCCGGATCCAAGCATCGAGCGCGTTTGATGTAATAGACACTGAAATGCCGTGATGCTCGATGCAACTATCATTTGATGTCACTTGGAAGTCCATGTTGAAGTGCTTTCTAAGTCCGCAAGGCTGCGCTTCCTCCGGCTAGAAAATTTGCGCCAAAATCTGCGTTGGACCATCTGGAGATGTGGATATGGCACACAGATCTCTCCTCTCGACGGCCTCTTACTGTCTCAATCCTCCTCTTTCTTCTTCTTCTTCTTGCTCGTCTCTCCGCTCGCATTCGCTCCCGCCGAAGCATTGGGGGCTTCTTTCCTCTTCTTTTTGGTGCTCGTAGCCGTGCTCGTGCTCTGTGAAGGTTCGTCGTGTGTAGTAGAGGGAGTTGGACTACCAGCCTTGTTGGCAGCCGCTGACCCCTTCTTGGAAGAGGGCGGCGGAGCGTCGTCCGCGCCTGTCCCAGCGACAGAATTGCGTGCGGATGAAGCCGTTGCGTGACTCGCTGCTTTTTTGCCCTCATTAGCCTTGAGCTCCAGCGAACGCGTGTAGGTTGCTGATGAAGTGCTAAACAATCTGTCTTCGATTGGAATTTCAGAAGGCGCGAGTCCTAACATGGATCCCGAGATGCCTCCTGATCCTCCTCCTCCTCCAGTCGCCCCGCTCCTCCCACCATGTGCCAACTTTAGATAGCCATCGAATCCCTTAATGATGTTCCCACCGCTAGAAGCTGTGCTGGATAGATAACTGCCTTCGAAGAGGTAGATCTGAGATTCGAGATCCGTCAATGTTCGATCGATTTGTCGCTTTTTGGAAAGGCCGGAGCGCAGCGTGGACTTGGTCGACTCGTAGCGCTCTTTGGCCTCTTCTAGCGAGCCGGGTAACGAGGTGGTGGCGGTAGATGCTCCTGCCCCTGACTTTATCGATGCCGCGGATATGGATGACGCTGCTGGCATCTTGCTCGCGATGCTTGAAGTTGGCGCAGGACGCACCGAAGGTATGCTCGATTTCCGATCTCAATTGCAAGTCCTTTGAAAGTGGAAATGGCAATCAAGTGACTATCGGTCTCACCGAGGCATTTACACGCGCGTCGCTTCAGCTTCGAGGATGCGTCTGGTCTCAGTCGAGATGCGCTAGCGTCCAAGTGTGTCTGTGAGTCAAGTGTGTCGGCAAGTGTGAGAGTCAGAGTCTAGCCACAAGCCGTGAAGTCAACTTGAGGGGCTAGACAGCAGGAGGAGAGAGAGTGGAGCGTGGGCATGTATACGATAGTCTGAGTGATGGGTTGTGTTACGCGCGCGTCTTGAGGCCGTGATCAGCCACGTGCAACGCAACACGTGACGCGTCAAAATCAGGGGCGCAGGCGGCGGAATTCACGATTCACGCTTCACGATTATGGGCTGGCGACGCTCGTGACTGCATAGGTGTCCCCGCTGTATATACATGGCCGTGCAGTGCAGCCCTCCATTCAAGATTCGCGGTCGAGTCCAGCATCACCAGCTTTATTACAACTGCAACTGCAATTGCGCCAACGATCACGGTGACACTCCCGCTCACATTCCAACAGTTCCCCATTCCTTCGACGCGCTAAGTGTAAGCGTGGCAAGTCACACGAACCATGGACTTTCCTCAATCATCCCCAGCCGGTTACTCGACCCTCAGTCCTCACAAGACGGGAGGTAGCGGGACGCAAACGCAGCAAGAGCTTGAAGAGGAGGTGGCTCGGAGCAGAGCAGATAGGGCCAAGAGGCGTAGCAGGTTGAGCGGAGGAGCTGCGATGGGAAGCGGTATTGCCAACCGTACAGATGGTCTGCCGTCCTCAACATTCGCAGCTTCGAGCATGGATGCGGGTGCGGGCGCGGTCACGGGTGCGAATCGATCTAGCGCTGGTCTCTTGGCCCGCTATGGGGGAGCTGCGGGCCCGACAGGCCACGCTTCAGTCAACGCTGCAGGCCCCACATCTCTTGCTTCCTTTATCGGAGGCAAAGCAGCAGGTCCCAGGTTGGGCAAGCTGGCAGGCGATGGAAGGAGCGCTCCTCCTGAGTGTCAAGGTGCTACGAGCGCAAGCGAAGTTCAACAAAAGAGGGCTCTGCACGGAATGGTCGTCGGACCTGCTGGAGGCATGGCGGGAATGATGGAAGCGCGCAAAAGGGAGTTGGCGAACAGAGACGGTCAAGGCGCTGGTAATGTGGTTGGCAAAACGCACTTGGAAAGAAGGCAGACCAGCCCAACGCGTCCAACGCCCATGGCCTCCGCTCGACCCGAATTGCCAGAACCTATACGGGCTTCGACGACAAGCAGCACCACTATTCGCACCGAATCGCCCAGTATACTCAAGTCCGAGCCGCTTAGGCCTGCTTCTCCCGAGCGCAAACGATCTTGGGACGCTCCGCTACGAGCTTCTGGCGCTGTGCTTGGCGGTGGGTCGAGCACTTCGACCACATCCAACACGCTTCGATCACCGTCTCCGACCAGGACCGCCACATCTCCAACGCGCTCTTGGCAGACACCTCTGCGTCCCGCGTCTCCCGAGCGACACTCGCAACCCAAAGTTCAGACGCCCGCGCTAGCCCAGCCCAAATCACCTTCCCCTTCAGCTATCGCAAGTCCCAATTTGAACAACACGCAAAAGGTTTCGCCCGCCTTTTCTCCGCAGACACCTTCGAGCGCGGATAAGCCCCCAAGCGCTAGCATAACACGATTGAGAGGTCGATCGATGGTGCAGCAGCGCCTTCGAGAAGCTCAAGAGAGGGAAGCGGGCTCGAACGATTCGGATGCTGCACCTAGTCTGGTTGGCGATCCTCCACAGAGGAGCGGTGCTAAAAAGTGGACACCACCTGTCAAGACTGCGTCGGCCAGCAGCTTGCCGGTGCCCATGCAGCCACCGACGAGCCAATCCAACACTCCCGCAGCCACGCAGACGAGGAAATGGACAGTGCCAGCTGTCAAAGCTGATGAAGCTTCCCAGACATCGAGCCAGAAAGCTTGGACACCTGGAAAGGGCGCGCAAATGCTGCCTGGCCTTGGAGCCCCTCGCAGTGCGACAGAGGGTGCGGCGGCAGGTAGGAGCCCCAGCCCCACGCGCATACATCCGCCCCCTGTACGAGACCCGAGCCCGGAACGAGTCAATGTTGCGCCCATCAGGCTTCCCGGAATGGGCGGCGCTGTCAGCCCCTTTAAACCTCGCTCGCCAGTCGATCCGGACCCGGCTGAGCAAATGGCCGCGCAAAAAGAGACTTCGGAGCAAAAACTCACACATCTGGCCGCGGGTAGAGCAAAGGGACCAAAGAAGAGCGCTAGGAAACAGCCTTCGACACAAGCTACGGCTACGGACAGCACTATCTTGCAAGGTGCGGCAAGTGACGCGGTGTCCACGCCAGTTGGCGAGTCTATCCGTGCGTCACATACACAGACTGAAGATCAGCGCACGATATCATCTATACTTGCGCTACCACCGCAAAATGATGATCCGACGATCTCGCGCTTATTGGGAAGCGAGCAGGATACTTTTCAAGCTATCAAACCTTCGGACCGTGCGAGCGCAGACTCTACAGGTCGGATGAGCGTGCGAGAGGTCGAAGAAGGCATTCGAACGGGTCTTCCGGAAGCTGGCAAGCAGAGATCGACAAGTGGCAAGAGAATCTGCGTGTTGATCTCTGGTAACGGAAGCAATCTGCAAGCTCTAATTGACGCTACCCTGCTCGATCGGGATGAGTTGCCAAACGCTCAAATTTCACTGGTCGTTTCGAACCGCAAGGCTGCGTATGGATTGCAAAGAGCTGCGGGTGCCAATCCGCCTATTCCGACGCTCGTCAGTGCGCTCAAGACGTATCAGAATAAGAACCCGGGAGCAACGCGGGACGATTACGACGAGGATTTGGCATTGAAGGTCATGAACGCTCACGAAGGGCTCGCTCCCGATCTCATCGTCCTAGCTGGGTTTATGCACATCGTCTCTCCCACCTTCCTCAGAGCTTTTGGACACGAGACGAACGAAGCGCCGGGCATAGTCCCTGCATGGGCACCTGCTCGCGCTGTGCCCATCATCAACCTTCATCCGGCTTTACCCGGTGCGTTCGACGGAGCAGGGGCCATCGAGAGGGCTTACGAAGCTTTCAAGGACGGGAAAGTGGACAAGACTGGCATCATGGTGCACGAAGTCATTGCGGAGGTGGATAGGGGTGCACCCGTGATTGTGCAGGAAATACCCATGCGCAAAGGAGAGAGCTTGCAGGAACTTCAGGAAAGAATGCACAGCGTGGAACATGGTCTCATCGTTGCTGGAGCGAAAGAAATTCTGCAGCGAGAACTGCAGTCAAAGGTGAAGGTGCAGAGCCAGGAGATCGTCAATCCGTGGGCTACGTCGACGGTGCGGGCCAAAGCCTCCCCTCTACTTGAAGAAAAGAGCGCGTATCAGGCCCCAACTCAGAACTTGCCACCTCGCCCATCAGCACCAACACCCGTCTCTGCTACATTTGCGTACGCAAGGCCTCATACAGAGTCTGCATCTGAGACAGTGGACTCGAACGCTCAATTTGCAAGCGTCAGGGATTCCATTGCCGCATGGGGTCAACCTACGCAAGTTTCTCCAGACGATGTCAATGCGCCTACAAGCGCGATTGCACCCGCTGCATCTGGCTCTCTACCGCCCCTGTCTAGCTCTTCAGGCAGCGCAGGGAGCGGCGCAGTACCTCGGCCGCGAAGACGCACTCTTAGTCGGCCATCAAGCGTGTATGGAGGATCATCGCCCTTGCCGGATTTGATCGAACAGCCAGAAGGAAGCGTAGCTGAGGCCGCTGCGAGATGGGGCGACCAATCAAGCTCTGCTCAACAATCGACAGTTCGAACGAGGAAGATTTCGAGCGCAAACAGACCGCAGACTATGTACGCAGCGGTGCCGGCCCAGAATCAGCTTGCCGCGCCCAGAGACGCATCTGCTGCGCCAACCAGATCGGATAGCGTCAGGAAGCTTGAGACGCAGGCTGCTCAACTTGGCGCATTTGTCAATCATCGGTCAGGGACTGTCGGCCTTTCGCCCGTCTCGCCCGTCGTGGCTACGCCCACCAGCCAAAATCTCGTCAAATTGGATCTCTTACTTATCTCTCCCGCCCCATTCGACGCCAAGGCCTTTGCGTCCGAGCACGCGCGCCTGATGCAATCTCGCAGCGCTTCTTTGAAACAGCTCGAAGATGCTCGGAACACTCTCAGCGTCGAGGTCATCTCTGTGCTTCCTACCGGATCCACAGTGACCATTCCGGAAGCGGAGCAGCACATCCTGTACGAAGGAGAGACGTTGGCAGTGATACATCGACGAAGAGAAGCTTCTTTGGTCCGCACTGAGCTGTTCATTCGTACAGGAAGAGCTTCGTCAGCTATCAATAGGAGTCCGGCGGAAACGGCTAGGATTCAGGACCTGGCGAAACGCTTCAACACTAGTGTTGTCGAGGTTAGGGTAGGCGATGAACCCAAGGGTTTGGTGAATGCATTTCCGCACGGAATCGTCTCGAGATTTGGAAGTAGAGCCAGGTGGGACGAACAAAGCACCATCTTGTACGAGATTAGAGTTCTTCCGAACGGCGCTACTCTGATTGAGCAGGTGGACTTGGTGAGTTTGTTCCAAAAATTTCACCGGTTCAAGCTGCATTTGTTGATCCGAGATTGGACTTTGCTCGCTCCTGCGCTGGAACACAACGCATCAGGAAACTTCGAGTTTGTGCTCAGCTTTTGGCTACATTGCTAGTGTGGTGGGGACCCCTTTCCTCTGGCACGGGCTCGGCACCACGGAGAATGAGCGCGAATCGACGCGAGCTCTTGTGGCTCCCCTCTTTCCTGGCTTGTTCAGCCACGACGAGGCAGAAATTGACGTGGCGGAGTACATTGAAGGATCCGAAGATGCTACTTTCTGGGCCTACTTTGACCAGGAAGTACCGTATGCTCGATCGGCTTTGCATGCTGTGGCATCCGCCGATTCGTACACTGCAAAGGGAGCCATCCTCTACGATGTAAGGGATGCAAAGGTCACCCCTCGTCTGGACCAGACTTATGCTCTAAAGTCAGCAAGCGCGCACGACTTGGATCCAGCGACTGTACAGATTGTGCACTCGTCAATAGAGACGTACGTACTGATTGGTCAAGAAGCTCGGAGCTCGCGCCAAGACATCGATCTGGCATTGAGAGCTGCAGAAACTCTAGCATCTTCGAATTCGACCCTTTCGACCGAGTCCAGTGATAAAGCGGCCGAAACACCTGCCCATGTCGTCATCTATCCCAGTGCGCTCCCCCTTGAGCTCAAAAAACTCCTTCGAGGATGGAATGCTGCGCCTCCTAGCCTCCTCGAACTTGACTCGACATCACTCATGAACGTGCTCAACCTCAGACAAGCGCGGACAGAATTGGAACGACATAGCTTCGATGCTCGAGAGCTTCGAGATCCGACCTGGTTGCCTTGTGGCGTCGCCCCGTCCAACGTGGAGGGTCTTTTCTGAAGATCAACCTGCTCAAAGATCTGCAATGCTCATTATGACATTTGATCCGATTGGTGGCACGCACCCGCACAATTCCCAATCAATTGTTGATGCGCCGGCTGAGTCCAGCGATGTGTGAGAAAGTGTTTTAGATTGTCCAAGTGCTAGACGACTGGTAGTCGTCGCCTGTATCGGGCGCATTTTCGATGGCATCGAGCAGCGCTTGCTGACTGATTCCTTTACTTGATGCTTTACCAGTGCCAGAACCATTCGGCTGCGCCTCATCCGCACTTCCGAACAGGTCTAAAACTTGGTCTGTCTCCATGCTCTCTAGGCCAGCATTTTGCTGCGTCACAACCGAGTGCGCGACGTTCAATTTGAAGCGCTGCAGACTGAAGATTCGAAGGAGGAGAATGCCGTTAGCCGGGGTCCTTTCGAGTCATCACTTTGGGGTACTCACCCCATGATCTTAGCTTCGAGCGTGTCTCTGGTGATGAGACGGTACACATTGACGACCTTCTTTTGACCAAGACGATGCGCGCGGTCCATAGCCTGTAAATCTCGCATAGGGTTCCAGTCGTGCTCCACGAAAATGACTGTGTCAGCGCCGGTGAGCGTGAGGCCCAAGCCGCCCACGGATGTGGTCAAAAGCAGAACATCGATGCTTGGGTCCGAGTTGAAGGTTTGCACGATGCCATGGCGCTTGTCTGCACTGACACTTCCGTCCAAACGCATGTAGGAAACATCCGGCATGTGGACTCGGAACAATTGCTGCTCCACAATGTCTAGCATTTGCTTCAGCTGACAGAAGATGAGCACTCGATGTTGAGCCACAGCGCCTTCCGCAAACGTGTCTGACGCCTCTGTCTTCACCTTGACGCCAATCCCGCAGTCATTGAGCAATTGCTGAAGAGCAAGTAGCTTGGGCGCGTGGCTGATGTCCTGAAGCGATCCTCCCGCCGCGACTATTTCTTTCTCGATTTCGCGATGATTGGCGCGGGCTTGGTCGAACACGAGTGTGGGATGGTTGACAAGCTTGCGCAAATACTGCAGTTCTTGAAAGACGTGCTGTTGCTTGCTGTCACTCTCCGAACTTTTCTGCTCGGAGCTCAATGCATCTTCGAGCTCCTGCCTGTTCGCGGATCGCTGGTAGTCGTCGTACAACTTCCGCTGAACGGGTCCAAGCTCACATTCGATATCCTGGATGATCTTCGGCGGCAAGTCGTCCAAAACATCCTCTTTGAGGCGTCGAAGGAGGAATGGCAGCACTTGCTTGTGGAGCGCTTCAAGCGCAAGCGTAGCAGCTTCTTGTTCGCGACTTGAAACCTTCCCTTCTCGCGCGGCGCCAATAGGTTTGGCGTATCGCACTTGAAAGCTCTGCTCGGTGCCCAGGAAACCAGGCATGAGGAAGTCAAAGAGACTCCACAATTCAAGGACATTGTTCTGAATAGGCGTGCCGGACAAAAGCAATCGATGCTGAGCCCGAATCTTTTTCACCGCCTGCGTCGTCTTCGTCTTGGCGTTCTTGATGACGTGGCCCTCGTCGAGGATGCAGTAAAGCCAATCGATGCTCGACAAGAAGTCGACATCATTGCGAACGACGTCGTATGACGTGATCACAACCTCAAATTGTCGTATCCGAGCTTGCAGCGAGCGCCGATCCTGTGGTTGTCCTACATACATAACAGGCCGCAAGTTGTTGGCGTACTTCTGCACCTCGTGGTGCCAATGTCCCACCAAGGTAGGCGGGCACACGATGAGTGAAGGCAACGGCGCGGCGTCTGGAGGCTGACCTGCCGCGAATCGCTGAGCTCGTTCATGATGGCGAGCTGATACAATGCATATGGACTGCAGTGTCTTGCCGAGGCCCATATCATCGCAAAGAATGCCATGGAGCTGAAACTTGGACAAGAAGGCCATCCAGCTGACTCCGTCCCGCTGATAAGACCTGAGGTCAGCATTGATCTTGACGGGCAGCTCGTAAGGCTCCACCCTGGACCCGTCGAGAAGCTGAGCCAAGAAGGTTCTTTCCTGCTCACGGCGAAGCAAGATTTCCTTCGAGAAGCCCGGTGGGTCGGGAAGACCAGCCTCGAGAGGGACCATCTTGATGAGAGAGGCAAACGAGCTGGTCGCTGTCAGCCTGACCTGCTCGTCCACGTCGCTCATGCGTCCCAAGACCGGTACAACGAGCAAGATAACGTATGGCAGGATTTTGACATCCAGCACCTTGATGACCTGTGCCAAGGTCTCGACGGCACCTTGGCGTGTGGCAGCATGTGTGGCATCCCCGAGCAGAGGTAGAACATGCTCGACAATGTGCAGCAATGTCCTTTCGGTCAAGTTGTTGGCAAGGATGCTCAACGTGCGTGCGGCAGCGCCGCGAATAGCCGTGTACTGACTGCGCAGCCTCTGCGTAAGCGGCGAGAGAACCTCCAGAGCCTTGCCTTGAAGGCCCGTGTGCAGTCGTGGCACCAGTACGCCGATCAGCGTGCAAGAATCGAGGATTGCCTGTCCTTTCGCATCATCCAAATCGTCTTCGGTGGCAGGCGCTGAAGCTAGTCCGCCCGAAGCGTTGTCCCACAATGTTGGGATCTGGGCGAAGGCTTCCTTCCCAAAGACCTCTGCGACTTCTCCTAAAGCGGCCTCAGCACCTCTCCGAATAAGCTCGCCTTGCCTTTGTTCTTCCGTCTTGTCGGGCTGCTCCGTTTTCGCAGCAGCATGCGCACCGCTCGGCACCGAGGATTGCTCGCGCAGGAAGAGCACGCCGTGGTGGTCCGCTTTGACGGCGGTGAAGATAGGGGTCTTTGACACGTCCTGGCAGACGAAAGCACACAAATTCTTGATGATTTTGTCGGAAGGATTTGCACGAGCGTCTGGTCTGCTGCATAGAGCGATCAGGCAGGCTACCCCTCGCGCAGCTCGCATCTGTAGGTCGATGTTCTCCTCGAACTGTCAAACCAGAAAGATGTTGTCTGAGCATGACTTCGTTCGCTGACCATCATCATCCACTCACCTTGACTGCATTCATCAAGCTCTTGATGAGCGGATTGAGTTTCGCAGGAACAGTCTCAAGAGCAACCAGAGCTGTCGCGCACCCAGCAAAGACCTGACAATCCTGCTGCTCTTTGGTAGCTTGATATCTGCCAAGCAAGGTTACAAGTTTTCGCACTCTTTCTTGGAGACCCTCTAACGCGACTTTTTTCGCTTTTGATGACGCCGCGCCGGTGTCGATGAGCTCTTGTAGGCCCGTACTGACAACATATCTGGCGAGTTCCACAGTAAACGCCTTCGCGTTGGTACCCAGTGGATCGACAGTGCTCGGAAGCTCTGGAACAGATGCTTTTGGAACCTTGACCTCTCTCGCAGCCGTGTTGAAGAGTCCTTGGCACTCCAATTGGATGCGCTGCAACATTACGGACATTTCGCCGTAAGTCGGAGGTGGCGGAGCAGCGACTTGGTCAAACAGAATGGAGGAGATGTCATGTGCTACACTACCTGAGCGCAATACTTCGAACACGTTCCGTGACTTGGCAAAGACTGCCCATTCTTGTATCACGGCATATGCGAGGCACCGTTGCAGAGCGCTTGCAGAGACAAGATACTGCTTCAGATGCCGACCAAACGCATCCTGTGGCGACGAAAGATGCGCCGTAGCCAACCGTCAGTAATAGCTCATGACACAGATACCAAGCTATACTCACGGCGTCATCTTCCTTCCAAGATGCAAATACACCACCAAGAGCCTTCGCAGCGCCTAACCTGCTCCGGATGACGACATCGACTCCGACCAGGCTGAGGTCTTGTGCCAATGCATGCTTGTCTACGTCGTGACCCTGCGTTGATCGGCCCGAGGCACGGTAGAACAGAGACAGGTTGAAAGGCATGCCGATGGGTGTCATCAGAATTTGGAACAGAGTGTCCAAATGCGGGGCGAGATGGTCGGCCAGCGTCCCAGATGCGCCGCCTTTCACACTCGTTAGAGAAGCGACCAAGACCTTCTCCCACATGGTGGCGGACAGAGCTCGAATGTTCGACTTCTCCTCGACTATAAGATTCTGAAAGAGCAAGCGAAGTAGCTTGTCATCGATGAGGTGCGTCGAGGCGGACGAATTGTCCAAAAGTGCGCTGAGCACGTTCAAAACAGCTTGCCGAACCGATGAGATTGTGTGTCGGAAGAATGGGAAGAGGCTAGGCACAAGCAAAGACAATGAATCCGCGCCGCTTGCAGCCATCCGCTGAATGACTGCTGGTTGTGATACCAATTTGGCTACCGAGAAGCAGGTAGATCTTGCTCAGTGTGGCTTCTTGACAAGTCGGTCAGCGCGTCTGCATCCGCTCATACTCACAGAGCAAATCCATGACTCCGGCTGCGCTGCTAGAGAGGTCGTCCTTGAGGTCGCCGAGGCAGGCCCACAATTCTGACAAGACAATATCGAGCTCCATCGGCATACTCTTCACAATTTGTTCTGCAACTGGAAGAAGCGCTTGAGCAGCAACGTGGCGAACATCATCATCCTCGTCTCGCAAGCTGGAGGCAAGATGCAAGGAACAGAACTCAGCTGTCTTGCCTTGTGCAGTGATTTCTCCTCGTAGCATGAGGACGCCACTCACCAAGCAACAGCGACCTGAACGCTGCGCTTCAACAGATCGCTAGGAGAGGCATGATGCTCAGTGAGACCTGGGCCGTTCTCCTTCTTGGCATTGTCATTCTGAGATTGTCCGGCTTCAAGCAAGTCAGTACGAACACTGACGAGCCATCGAATGCCGAGCAGGCCAGAGTGTCTAGCTTCCCAGGCGTATCCCTTGTACCGTCTACCAGCGTCCAGTTTCCTCAACCCCTGCCACGCAACGTCAGATTTCGGGTCGGATGCAGGCACCACCCAGTCTTGCTTGACCATATCGACGAGGACTCTCTGAACAGCCTCTACTCCCTCCTTGGATATATGCCTTAGAAGCGCCGCGAGGGCTTGTGCAGCCGTTTCCCTCACAGGGGTGACCACATGATCAAAGACAAAGTCCGCTAGTCTGTCAAGCGCTAGCACGCAAGCAAGCCTCAGCGCAGCATCGTTGCTCCATTCTTCGTGACCGACGACGTTGGACTGCAAGCTGTTGAATAGGCACATGCCTCCGCCAGATCCTTGAGTGGCATACAGAGACCTTAGTCCAAGAGCTGCCCCGTGTCTCACTTCCCATTTCGCTGCAAAGAGATCAGCCTGCAAGAGCGAATGTAGAACCTTGAAAGGCCACTCGCCGTCCGGCGAAGTCAGCGAGGTTGGCCGCGGGGCTGGAGAGGTGCCGGGCGTGCCCCCGGCTGGGACAGTCGAGGATTGGTTCGCGCCGGCTCCCGGAGCAACGCTGGGCGAAGCACTACCGCTCGACGTCTCCAAAATCCGTTTCCTGCGTGAGAAAAGATGGTTAGCGTTCGCGATCACGAGTTTGAAATTGTGACAGTTGCAATCACTTGTTGTCCGACGAAGAGCGCTCCAAAGATGAGGGAGTCGAGTCCGCAACGCCCAGTTTCCTTTTCCTCTTGAGCTGATTCCGTTCGCGAGCTGACAACTTGCTCATATCAATTTCAGGTGGAGCAGCAGGTGATTGAGATGCTGATTCTTCATGTTTGACAGTAGACTCTGGAACGCTGCTTGAAGCTCCCATCTTGACAGTAGCGGTATCTGACGCGCCCTTCAATTCACTCTCTACGTCGACTCCGATGTCCATCTCTTCGCCTGCCATGCCGATCAGTCCCAATCGTTCCATGTCCTTTTTAGCATTAGCAAGGCGCTCTTCCACGCTTAGATGCGAGCCGACGTCGTATTCCGTGCCAGTTGATGAGAGAAGTTTCTTACCCGTAGAAAGCACATTCGCAATGGCAAATGTTTCAAAGGACATTCTGTCGCTGGGCTGAGTTGTCACGAAACCCTCTTCCTTGGGCGTTTTCTGCTTCTCCCTGGTCTCGGTTGTACCAAAGTAAGGGTCCCATGTGCCCGCAGCGGCGCATACAAGCTCCACAGCTGAAGCAGCCGCAATCCTAGTGTCCCACGCATTGCTTCTCAGAGAAGGTAAGATTCTAGCCAGCAGAGAAAGAGCTTCGTTCCAATCCGCCTCCGGGCCAGTTCTCGAGAGATTGCGAGCAGAGTCAAATCTCGAAGAACTGGCAGATGATGACGCTATGACTTCTGCTCGAGTGGCGGCTGAAGAGGAGGACGACGAGCCTGCTTGATTCGGGCCTCCTCCACCATGCATGCGTAGAGCACATATTTGACCTAATTGCTGAGCTGCAATGTTCCTGACTGTCGGATTGGAGCCAGTACCGAGCAGACCTACGAGACGATCCAGGCCTACGATGAAAACATAGCCATCAAGGAAGGACGTCCAAGTGAGCTTGTCACATCCCTGGAGCTTGTTCCTACTCTTTATGATCGACAGAGCTGATCCTGATCCACTCACGGCTCTGACTGGTTCTCTGCTGCTGCTGCTGCTGCTGAGGAGGAGGAGCTTGGGAAGCACCCGCCACTTGCCCTCCTCCTTTGACCTCTCCGATGGCCATTTTCTGCTCCTTCATAGCCTTATCACTTGTCACTCAGGTGTGTAGCATTCCGGCAAAGAAAGGTGGGTATGATCTCGAAGATCACTAGAGGCTCACACCAGCTAGACTCGGACGTGCGAGCGCCATTCACGTCAAGTGAGCCCCGCCGCAGATGGGTTTTGAGACGGAGTGAAGCGCACGCGTAGCGGTAGCTGAATCGCTTGACGCCCACTGGTCTCGTTGATAGGTCGTCAAGTAAGAGGTCGTTAAGTCAAAAGTATGCCGATGATAGCTGCTTGCTTGTTTGTCAATGATGGGTGCGGTCTGGACGATCAAGCGTAAAGCCTGCTGCACGAGGAATCAAATCAAGAATATCGCCAGTCTGGAAAGTGAATGCACGCGTGCAAAAGTATGTTCTGCGCTCGTTCGCGCAATTTGATGCAACTCGATCATTTACAATCCGCTCATTCGTCAACACTCGCGATTGAGCCCATTTTGAGCTCACGGAAATTGGGGCCATGAGGCTGCTTCGTGGCTCAGGTCACTCTGAGCTGGAAGCAGCGCGTGCTCGGTACGATCAGCTGCGAACCAAGCAAATCAAGAATAACGACTGCTGATCCACGCCTCATTAGCTCTGATGCGTCCCTCCTTTTGCATTAGTCGTCTATAGCCTAGCTGACTTTATGACTTTGAAAGATCCAACCAGCTTTCGAAATGACTTGTCATAGTCGTGTGTCGTTTGAATTGGCTTTCCGAGTCCCGAATTCGGCGCCGAGTGTTCAAGACAGTCGCCCTGATGCGAGCACGTTGCAGCCAAAACACAAGCCGCACACAACCGCGAAGCCTCGGTCACACGAGATGGAAGCGTGCTGCGTCGTCCGCGAAGATCACAGGGGAGCTTTGACATAAATATGGTGCCGCACTCCCCTCGATCCTCCCCCGTTAAGACGGTGATCCTGCTCGAGCCCCAAGCGTCCAGTCAAGTCTCGACAATGCCGCGAGGTCAGCGCTAAACCGCTGCTCTTGGCCTGGAAGCCGATGAATGAAGCTGCTCCATAACTTTCACGCCAGTGTTCTAAGATAGATCGTCTCAATTTGGATGATTCTCATTTCTCTTCGATCGCCACTCCATCCTTGACCGCTCTCCTCTGGTACACGCCCCCCGAAACCTTTCTGTAGTACGCCGCATCGAACCCTGCTGATGTCATGCGTGGGCCATCAGGATAGCCTGACTTTGGGTTGACAGGTGTACCGCCGGCCTCTTCGGAACCTCTGTACACATAAGGTCTGAGGTTCTGTGTAGGATAAGAATGCGTAAGCATGCAAGTCCAAGGCACGCGAGAAATGTCTGGTTCCAGCGCATGGTCTGCTGCTCTCGTCGATGTACATTGAGTTCCGAGGCGATCAGCCACTCACGTTCGTGTCGTTCAGACCAGGTGGAACGATGTACGCTGGAACGCGCAGCTCGTCTAATCTGTGCGTCATCAAGGTCCACGTCTTTTTATCCAGCTGTTGACCTTTGCGGTCGGCCAATGCTATCCTCTTCCTTCGCAAGACATTTAGCGCTCCCGTACCTGCGTCATGGAGAAGTCATGATGTCAGCTGGCGACGTAGCAACCAAGAGGACAGCCCTTGACGTAGCAGTCTGTGCATATCTCTACACTCGCGCAGAAGCTCGGGACTGGTCTCAATTACGCACCCTTGTAGAAATCTTTGTTAGCTTTCTTCGAGGTCAAGGGTAACCTGGAAGCTTTCGAAAATAGAGCAGAGGTGGCCCGAAACATGATCTGTGCGGTTTTGCTGAACAGTCAGTCAGCTTCCGCAGATGAGACAGATCGACCGGCGCGGAGTTCAGCTTGAGGTCGACGAATGTCCAGAAGAGCGCAGCGCAAGGTCTGTAGCGGGCAAGGGTTGGAAAGGCTGTCAAGGCGATTCGTGGTACGAGAGTGCAAGGACGCTTGGACAAAGAGAAGAAGCGCGAAGTGGACGTGAGCTTGTCCGTGTGTTGCGATGGGAGAGGGTGAGTGACGAGTGACGAGTGGTGAATGTTGAAAAGAGGAAATGGAGAGCCGGTACACCACGGTTTGGTGAGCTGCGAGTGGCCGTGGCGTCGCTGCCTTGGCTCGATGTGCCTTTCGCGCGAGAAAATTCACGCGGCGTGGCTGCATGTTTGATGGTCCTGCGGGCGATCGATTGAACTCAGACTCGTGACTTATTCGCGGGTCCCAGGCCATGCAACCTTGAATGCGCACTTCAAGATCGATCTTGGCCGAATCGAAATATGAATTCGCATCCGAGCATCAAACATGCATTCAATCACCCACAACCTTCGAGACTCTCCGCGGCTCACCCTGTCTAGCAGACTACGCATACGCTGGCTCACTCAAGACGCTCGCTCCTTCATCCTAGCTTTGAGCATTGCGTGAGGGATCCACGTCGATTTCTCTCTTGCACGCTGAAGCCAATTGGCTCCTGTTCACCGCTCCTGGTCTGCCGCGCACAACCAAAGCCGTCCAATTCGCCCAATAGGGACGTCCGGTTAGCTGCCAGACCCTTACGAAGACCTGCTGGACACTCTAAGCGCCTGCATACATACATCGGACCCGTCTCCGAGCTGCTACTTGTCTCGCTTCCCTTGCACTCAACATGGCGGCACCGGGACGCGGCTCTCGCGTCATCTTCGGTTAGTATCGGCTCGCCTTCTTTGCTGGACGTCGCTTCTCGGGACGGATGCCTCACTAGTCTTGAGGAAGACCCGGCACCATGCTGCCTGCGTGGCTCTGCCACATCTTTTTGAGAGATCATTGATTGCATTTGGAATTAGATCTTTTGCTCTTGTTAGCGTGCATCGCTGACCAGGCTATGCTACCTCCGCCTCGATCTTTCGTGACCGATCACACGTGTTGCCATACCACTCTTCAACTCCGATGCATCGTCTTGCAGTGGGAAACATTCCCTATGATATGTCAGAGGAGCAGCTCATCGGGGTGTTTCAAGAGGTTGGCAAAGTGATTGGATTTCGGTGAGTCTCCACGCACATATACGCTTCTGCGGCCCTATCTAAAGCACACCAACTTCTTTTGATTCTGCGGAATTTGCAGATTAGTATTTGACAGGGACACAGGCAAACCAAAGGGCTATGGGTTCTGCGAGTTCGAAGATGTCGAGACTGCAGCCTCTGCTGTTCGGAACCTTCACGACGTGGATGTAGGCGGACGAACATTAAGAATAGACTACGCCGACGTAGATCCTCTCTTCGAAGGCAAGACTACTTCCATGGGACACATGGAAGCGAACGAGCTACCTCCTGGAAGCAGCAGAAAGGAGAGAATGCCAAACTCGGTCGAGAGAGGCAGGGTCGGCAACACGGGAGGGCCACCGCCTAGAGGTGCACCTGCTCAGGGCTGGGGAGGGGCACAACAATCTACTGGGCCATTTGGGCAGGCTGCTCCGACTAACTTACCCCAGGGTCAGGCGCTACCACCAGGTGCGGATCCTACCGATGCCATTTCCCAAACACTGGCCGCTCTTCCGCCGGGTCAATTGCTAGAGATCATTGGACACCTCAAGGTGTGTGCTGCAAAGCGTTGGTTCCAGAATTTTGCTGACACGCACCCTGGTGTGCTCAATCTTTGTTCGCATCATTAGGCCCTGGTGAACAACTCGCCTGACCAAGCGCGAAGTTTGTTGGCCAGCAATCCTCAGATCAGCTATGCGGTATTTCAAGCCATGCTGATGATGAACGTTGTAGATCCCGCAGTCCTGCAAGTGAGTCTGCTATTCCCTCTCGCAGTGTAGCTCGATGCTGACAGAAAACGCGCTCGCTCTCTCATGTCGTAGAGGATCATCACCGCTCAAGCTGGAGGTCAAGCAGGCGTGCCGACTTACGGAGCACCGGCACCCGCCCAAGCACCAGTGCCTATGACCGCTTACGGAGCAGGCGCACCTCAAGCACCTCAATCTGGCTACGGCGGGTACGGCGCGCCTGCTCAGGCCCCCGTGCCAGCCCCTAGTCAACCAGCTGCCGCTGCATCACAAGGCCTCGGCAACGCGGATTTGCCAGAGGATCAAAAGGTGTGTCTTTCATCTCTCTTTATTAGTCTGCTTGCGTGCAAGCTTCCGGTCTCCAAGGTATCGATTAGCCCACTCTAACATGGCGCCCCCCTCTCCCTTTCCCCCCCTCTTAATCGCTCCTTGTTACAGGCGCTACTTTTGCAAGTCCTCCAACTCACGCCCGAACAGATCAATGCGCTTCCAGAGGATCAGAGAGCCGGCGTGCTAGCTCTCAAAGCTCAAATGGGTCAATAAGATCGCAGACAAAGTCTGCACGGTCGCGACTGTCACCTTGTATCAATATCCAAAACCCGCGAATGATAGGATTCGACGCGGGAGGTAATAAAACTCGTTTGAGAATCAGTTGAAACGATTGCAGCTCTTGTTTGAGCCAGGAGTGTCAGGCCGTCAGACATGCACAGGACTTTGGCCGCCTCTTGTGATTTGCTGAGCGCAAAAGTAGCGGGTGCACATACCGAGCACGTTCTTGATGGGGACGCCGATCAAAGCAGTGATGTGGTGTCGTTCGCATGGGGTCGAAATCTAACATGAGATTGCGCATTCGTCGCCAAGCTGAAGACTCGAATACTAGGTCTAGACTTTTCAGCCTATAAGCTGGACTGGTGAGAAGAGTTGGACTTCATCAAAGCGCTGCCGACGCATGACCAGCAGATGACACCTGATCAGTCGAGGTTCTCAAAATGTCCGGATGCTGTAGTAGTGGGAGGGTTGGCTCCCGTAGGTGCGGTCCTACTATGATGAGCCTGAGCATTCAACAAGGCTTGCCTATTCTCTGATCTTTCCAACCTCTCAATCTGCAAATCCCTGACCGCTTCCTGCCACCTGTGCAATTTGGCAGTCTCGTGAGTAGGAAAGCCGAAAATTCGAGGTCTGTAGCGCTCCACTTTGGAAGCTGCGTTGGATGTGCTGACTCCAGAAGCGCCCGTAGGACCGGGCGTCGAACCGCCTGCTCCGCTCGTGACACCTCCATCGGGCGTCAATCCACCACCGGGACCCAATGACCCCTCCCTTCCGTATCCGTCTCGATCGCGCGCATTGATCAAGAAGGGAGACGGCGCAGAGGGTGACTTTGATGGGAGCAAGTGTGGGTACGCCATGAACTGCGTGGAACGCCGTATGTTTATCGGGCAATCAAAGAGACACTGCTCAGCAAATGGCGCGCATACGAGTAGCAACTTGCCAATTGTCTGCCAAGTGCTCGACTCACAAGCATGTGTGGAAAAGTACTGCCAAAGAATGCCCCATCGATTGTCCCATGTCGGCTGCTTTTGGGCGAGTAGATATCCTCGCATCGTGGACAAAACAATTTGACGGCCTTGTGGAATGGCAAGTCGGACAAACCGACGGGCAGTAGCGCTTGCTGGTAGCAAAGCACGCGCGGACATCGTCCAAAGTCGTCTCTCTTGTACTTGTCCACCTAGCAAAAGTGCCGATATAGACTGCGTCAGCTTCGGCGTCCACGGACGCGTGCTAAGAAAGGAACTTGTTGTGGGACGCGGCGCGCACTCACCATCTTTTGCAGACCTCTCGTGGTCACAATGAATCGCGCGTGCACTAGACCGTACAGTAATCTTGCCTGATTCTCGACATGGTCACGCGCTTCGTCTTCCAAGTCCTCCTCTGGGTGCATTGGGATCGAGGAGTGAGCCAGCATGACACGCGCGCAAACCCGGCGGCGACCATGACTTGTCTACCAGCCCACGTCTAGCATGTTGATGTGGCCAGTCAAGCCACTTTGAAAGACCTGCACCTTCCAGCAATCCAATAGCCTGCAGCTTCCAACTTCACAACTCACCAAGCGCATCAGTGATTAGGTCCAAAGCCTGAGGGTAGTTTTGCACCTCGGCATTCAGTCCCGTCAAGTTGAACCTGTCCAGAATATACTCTTCATCCACTTCGCAAAAGTACTCGTTGCCCTTTGTGCTCAAGAACCACGTCACCCAGCTATTTGCTGCATAGTCCGACGAGCCTGACGAGAGATCGTCGACTGCGGAGGGGGGAGGGGGCGAAGCAGGGTCAGCGGGAGCGAGGAGACGCGTGACTTGGAAGGGAAGCTGCTGCTGCTGCTGCTGCTGCTGCTGTCAATGCTCCTGCTTGAGGTGCTGCACTCACGAGCACTCATCTCTACGCTCGTGACCCTGTTGCTAAGCGTGCGTGCCTGAACGTCACCCTGCTCGTGCCTATGAAGAGAACTTCCGCCAGACCTTTCCAGAGGTTGGCTTTCCGTAGATCCTCCGAGAAGCGCGAAGACCCGTGATCAATTATCTTGCGATGTAAGCGAGTCCAGGATACAATCTAATGCGAATGGATGGAGACAATCGGCGCGAAAATGTCGTTGCTGGCGAAAGTCGTGCAAAGTCGGTGGAGCAATGCGTCGAAGGCGTCGGCGTCGGCGTCGGCGTCGAGGAGGGCGTGGAGTATCTTGCAGGGTATGAAGCACGACCGCGCAGCCACCCAGCAGTCCTTGGCAAGCTCGGTCCAGGTCAAGAGCGATGTGGTGGATGGTTCGCAGCTAGCAATCAAAGCGTGTCGAAAGCGTGATTGATGGTCCTGCATTCAAACAAACAGCACCAGCTAGCGGGTGCCTGATGTCGATCGTGAGCGTGATGGCGAGTCGTCGTGAACGAGTGAGTGCATGCACGCGCGCGCGCGCCTTTCTTGATTTTTGATGCAGCAGAGCAGATCGACAATAAGCAGCGAACAGAAGTCATCCCAAGCAGCAGGCAGCAATAATAAGTTGTGAATCGGTCGTGTCGGGCGCGCCGTGCCGACTGAGCGGGACGCATATACACACTGGCGCAACAGTCGTGCATGGGTAGAGAGGGTCAGATCAGTGACGAGTGTGAGTCTTGAGTCTTGATGAGTCACGAGTCTTCAGCTTCGCGCCCTATTTCAGTTGAGTCAGTCAAACATCGTGAGTCGTGTGTATCGAGTCGAGTCTTGAGTGTCTCGCCAATGGGCAGCCAGGAAGACTCGAACCTGGGACACGGCGCAATCTTGATGTTGGGAAAGACTTTGCTCGGACTCTTTGATTGCAAATACTCGTGCACTTTTGTAACGAGCTTGAACTGCAGTCTGAACCCAAACACGGCAACGCTGCTGCTCGCTCAGCACTTGGCAAGCTCATCCTCACCCAATGCCTCGTCAGAACACGGTCCGCGATATGACATTGAAGATCATCTCTCGAGCTACGAAACGTAAAAGGGTGCACTTGCCGACAACAAGAATAGAGCCGCAGTGGCGACCACGACGGCGAAGAATCAGGTCCTAGGCGCTCAATGCGGCACCACAGGCAGTAAAGGCACTCGTAAGGCTGCCGAAACTTCATCAAGGGAGGGATGTCGGACAGATTTCGCCTAACAGGACCCGCATATTGACGATTGCACAGGTGAATGGGCAAGAGCGCTACTTGCCAGAAGTCTTGACGACGATGGGAATGATGATGATGCAAAGCAGGATGATGATGCCCACAATGATGATGATGCGCATCTTCATCTGTAAGACGATGAGCGACACAGTAGAAGCGCACGCTCATCAGCTTCCATCTGGCGTATTGTGGGCTTTCGCTTGTCGCATAATCTTCAGCACTCACGTCTTTCCACCACATTTGCTTGCGGACTCGGTTGGCACCACGACGGAAACCTTGCGCTGAAACCGCGAGGTTATCTGCAAAGCAAAAAGTCGCATAAGCAACCTGGTCAGCAAAGGCTCCTAAGCAACAATGCGACAGCGCTAGATGCCATCCCGACAGCCTCTCCGCCGAAGGCTCGCATAGCTTGTCTTCTGCGCCGAAGACCTCCACGCGCTCGTCGCTCGAGCAAACGCCATTGCTCGCGTTCTAAATCGGTCTTCGCCTCAATTTAGCTTTCATGCTCCGAGGAGGTCGAAAGGAGCGCACACTGCAGGAGCGCCCTCTCGCTATACAAGGCTGACCTCGAGGCCAGCGTGCGGGTCGTGCAGCCGCACCGGTATGCCTTGGTGTGGATGGACAATATGACAGACACTGACGATGCGGTTGGTATCGCAGGTGCTTTGTCCCCCTCGCCTCCCCTTCCCCCAAAACCAAACAAACGTGGGCTACGTTGCTTCCTCCCTCACTTCCCCAGCAATGCGCTTTCGCGTGCGCTCCTTGCGGTTCTTTGCGTTGGGCGATCCCGGCTTGATTGCTCATCTCTTGCTTTCATCCTGCCGATCCTGCCCTACTTAAGACGACCGTGACAGTCCGACTACTTACCAGTCTTGCCCTGCAAGTCGTTGAGTCCCTCGCCACGCTCCGACACCTTCTGCAAGTTGTCCCTCATCACTCCAACCGTCTCATCAATCTGCTGCTGAATAGCTGCAGTTCGCAAATCGCCCGCACGACCATTGCAGAGCAGCACCGTTCCCGAGATGCATCGTGAGGTGGCATGCGAATAAGGTTTGGTCGGATCGAGAAGTCGTAGGAGAGCAGAGAAAGTAAGTAGAAGTCGAGTGAGCAATCCAGCTTGGATGCGCCCGGCACCTCAGAGAGGCAGAACCGCATCATCTGATCCACTTACCCGCAGTCCTGTTGTTACCCTGGGCACCGCTGCCCGAGGGCGCAACGTATGGGTCATAAGGCTCCGACATGTTGACTTAGTGAGGATAAAGCAAGAGGTGCTTTGGCTGGAGATCGGGACCAGTAGCGCTCGGCCAAGAAATCAGAGCAGTGGAGACGAGTGTGAACGTATAGGATCGTGGAAGAGGCGTAAGATGATGATGACGATGATAGAGATGCAAAACAGTCTGATGGCTCTGAAGCGACTCAGACTTGATCGACGTTCTCATCCAAGCCAGTACGTGCAGCAAGCATCGACCGACCTGCTCGATTTGGATCGTGCCTAGTGCTGTGCATGATGAATCACGAGTGGGCGCACACCGTTTGGCTGCGTCGAGGCCGGGCAAGGCGATAGCTGGCTGCTGCAAGCGCACGCATGCGCCGCGTACCTATGGCTGCTGTGTGTGCTCGTGCTCATAGCTTGGCTGCTGCCAAGTCATCAAAAGCATTCAACCAGCCGGCGCGAACACCAATTAAGCAGCAGCATGCAGGAGGGGATGAGGCGCAGTTCGATCCTGCACGGTCGTGTAGCATCAATTCACGATTAATTCAACGGTACTTCAGCAGTCTTTTCAAAAGTGAGGGCACGCGGGGCATCTGAGCCGGGCTACGCGCGCGCGCGGGAGGGAGCACAGCCTTGCGCCGCGGCGCACGAGCGGATCCCGGCTGCATGATCTCTGCTGATGCATGGGCTGCGCGCCTCTGCCGGTGCACTCGCAAGCTCAATCATGCGGGTTGGCACAGCCGCGTGCGCGTTCCTCCCTCCTCGCTGCCGGTCACTCGATCACGACTCATGCTGCTCGTCACAACGATTGCCTGCTCCGCACACTCACGACTCGGGCCGAGGGAGTCACGAGACAAAATCCGGTCCGTCGTGGGTCGCACTCTGACTGGCGCACGACAAGCTTCAGGACGTAACATACATGAAGGGTTGGTCGCAAGTCGTAGTCAGAGTGGTGACAAGAGCGGGCAACGTGCCGATTTCAAGGTGATGGTCAAAACGCCATCGCTCCATCCACGAGTTATGGCGCATTATGGCCTCAAATTTTGGCAACGTTGATGATGGCCAGCAAGTGATTGTCGCCATTCAGGGCCCAATTGAAGCTACAGAATCGGGGAGCAAAGCGAAATACTCATGCGCAGCAAGTATTCTTCGCATTGGTCTCAAGTCTTGTTGTAATCAAGTATGAGAGCCTTTATGTAGACAAACTTGGTGATCGATGCGCCAGTGATAGGAAGCATGGGCAGTCCCGACCCAACGAAATATTGCTCCCCTTACTGCCGTAAGTGATGTGATGACAGACAAGAGGTCTTGTCGAGCATATCAACCTCCTCGGCTTGATCGGGATGAAGATCGGCTGAAACTTCGACGCCCGCTCGAAGATCCCTGAAGCTGGCGCAGAGATCCAGAGTGCAGCATCATTCTAGGATCTCCCGCGAGGTTATGAGGCACCTCTGGCAGCATAGACTTGTGAATATAGATGGAGTCGGGATCGAAAGAGGGTCGTCGAGTATGCGTCGGTGCGGATGATCCTGCCTGTTCAGACGGCAGAGCGCGTCTCTGGGAAGTGCTGGTGCGCTCACGCAAAGAATCTTTGTGCACTATCATCGTGTCCGGATCATCCCTCCACTCGCCATGCGACGCTTCTGCGAGACTGGCCCTGGGAGGGCTGTGTGACGAGCTAGGCATGGTCGCTTTGCCCTTGCCTAATGCAGCGCTCTGGAATTTTTCACGCGAGAGAATGTGAGTACATAGCGCAACGAACATTCACTATTCACCTCAAGCTAGTGACTCACCTCTTCAGCTCGCCACTGCTGTAGCTTGGCATACATCGGCAGACCCTTGACGTCGAACGACTTTTGGGGCTCGAGTCTCCTGGGAACGTCGCCGGTATGTAATTCGGCCCTTGCCCATTCTGCTGGCTTGGGAAAGCCTGGCTCTGATGGTCCAGGTGTGTGTGGCTGTTGGGCTTTTCTCGAGTACGATCCTACGCCGCATCCAGAGCTGCTGCGGAAGCACCCAAATAGCTCCCCCAAAAGCCCCCTCTTTTCGAGCGCAAGCTTCGCTTGAGACGACGAGAAGTCCCTGCGTCCATCTTCACCTTTGACACGAGCAATATCATCGCCGCTGTTTCGCCTGCTCAGACGATGCTTTGAAAGTGCCCAGCCAGTCGCTCCTGGCTTATGGACAAAGTCGGGATGACGTTCGGCACGGACACCATGAGCCATCTCGTGATGAATGTCGTTGGCGCTATCGCCAGTCATTTCGTCGACACGCCAAGCCGCCGGATGGAGTTGTCCTTCCATTCGACCATCATCTTCCTCCTGATGATGCGGCACGTCGTGACTATCCAAGTCCATTTTGGGACGACCATGTCGCGTGACGGGGCGTGCATTCTCTCGAAGCTGTTCTTGTCCGCGATGAATGCTATGGACGCTGCTCTCACCATAAGAAGCCATCAAGCGCTCGTAAGGCGTGGAGCCTGAGCCCGGGCTTGCTCCACGGTTCGGCCGCAAATTACCACTCTCGGTCTGAGTGCTGGATGTAGAGACAGTGTGGGGCTCCCCGTGCCTGCCACCATGCGACGCCATCAAGCGCTCGTAAGGCGTAGAGCTTGAGCTCGCTCGGCGACCTGACTGCGGACTGTCAGGTGCGATGGGGCTGCGAGACGTTGAGGGAGTGTGATGCCAGCCATGCAGCGCGGCAATGTCAGCATCCGAGCGGAAGCGAGGATACTCGTGATCAGGGTGACTGAAGCCGCTGTCCAGGTGGTTCAAGCGGTCGAGCTCTTGCTGACGGCTGCGATCGACTTGGGCCCCGACGGCGGCCGCGACTGCACCGTGCCGTCTATCTCGTGCGGTGGCCGAAGAAGTACGGTGCGCAAACCAACCTAGTCCCGGTGTGTATGCTTGCGTCGTTGTCTGCAACCTCGAGGGATACGAGTTCTGATGAATTCCTGTAATGATCATCGAGGTGGATCAGCCGTACTGCATCGAGATACACACGTCACCTTCCAGCACGTGTCAAGATGTCTAACCCATTACCCGGGAACGAGGGTGCCGGCGACTCACGGGTTAGGGAGCCAGCAGGCGAGGTGTGGCCGTCGTAATTTTGGCCTTGAGCGCTGCTGCGGCTTCGAGTCATACTGGAGCTGCTAGACTCTCCAAGGCGGTTGATGCCAGAGGTCATTCGTCGAAGCCGCTCTACCTCATCTGGGGTGAAGCGGCGCTCCAGAGTCGACCAAATGTGTTGACTGCGGCGCTCCAGTCGTCTATCAGCCATATGCGAAGCAGTTTCGCCATCCTGATCAGTCAGGTCCTTGACGCTCACCCCTCCTGCTCGGGAGCGCTGCATGGTCTCATCAATTTTAGTGTGCCCAGAGAGCTCGTTTTCATACCGAGATCGAGAGGTGAACCGATCAATGTGAGAGTCACCTCGTTCGTCATGAAGACGGCGTCGCGGCACGCTGCTGTCCAGACTGATACGCTCAGCTACGTGCTGACGAGCATAAGTGCCCTGAGCTGCTGGCGTCGAGTCCTCTAAAGTAGACGACGAAGCGATCGTCGATGTTGTATGTGGAGTGTGAGTTTGTGGATGGATGTTTGCTCCTCTCCGACTTTGGGCGATGGCTGCTCGTCTGTCCTTCAAAGCTGCTTGCCGTCTAGCCTGTCTCTCTCCCGTAGGTGTGACCCCTATCGATCGAAGACGTCGGTTCTGGGGAGGCTGGGTGTGATAGTCCTCAGAGGAGAATCAATATGGCTGCGGCACGTCTCCGCACTCACACCTCCAAATAGCCGCGTGCTCAAGGATCTCCATAAGCCGTAGCTCTGGCCATTGTCATTGTGGACATTTTCCAAAGAACTAGTGCTGCGGGTAGCATGATGAATAGAAGTGCCACTTTCACTTTTGCGGACGGCATGCTCGACCTGCTGCGGCGTGCTGGCACCATCCTGGGCCGCAGATGATGCAGAGCGGAAGAGTCGACTCAATGAAGAGTTGTTGGTAACAAGACGCGCCCGTTTCTCGGCCTCTGCTTCCAGATCATCTGGAACATTTGGGACCTGCTCGGCAGCTCAGAGACCCGCACCAGTCAGTCCTGCGTGGCCAGGCTGCAAGCTGACTAGCCCTACAGCACTCACCCTCATTCGTCTTTGCAGAAAGTCAGAATGAGCACGCTGTAAGATTGGAGTCTGAAAGGTGGAAGATCAAGTCTCAGGGGGCGGGTTGGCGCACACGTAGGCACACATCTCATTCGGAAACAGTCGTTCGCTTGGCGATTTCGTTTGCCGCAGAAAGGCTGACTCTCTTTGGCGGTCTAGCCACAATCATCTCCCCTTCAGCTGTCCTTCTTCGTCGCTCAGTGCGCAGCCAACGGGCTCGATCTCTTCTATCCATCTCGGAACTGATACCGCTGACTAGATACCCACCTGACCATTTTCGCCACGCTTTTCAGCGCGGTCCGCGGTGACTTCGAGTTCATTGACCTGGATTCCTCTACGATGCGTGCGATGACGAGTACCGGAGATCGTCGAAGTCTTGCCCAGCATGGACCCTGCGATTCTCTTCACATCCGCGTCGGTTGCGCCTTTTGGAATGCTTGGAAATCTGGGGCTGTCGCCGCTTTTGCACATGAAGCAGGAAAATAACTATCGTGCAGGTTACGAATCATAACTGCCCGTCAGTAATCTAGTGACCCGCATCGTCTTTGGTCGTTTGGAAGACTCACAGCCTTAAGGAAGCGCCTGTGGAGAATGTGAACAATGTCGCGACGCTCAGCATGAGCCAGATGGCTGCTTGAGATGGCGCCATGTGGCTTGCGATCCGCAGCAACTTTGAGAAGCTCTGCTTCGGTCGTCCGAATTTGGGGCATCCTAGGCGGCAATGGAGCTTTGCAAAGTCCGAAGCATGCGAAAAGCTGGTGTGCAAGGCTACGACATGTCAGTCTTGGGCAAGGTACGTAAAAGACTAAGATCAAGACTCACGCTTCTTGAGAGACGCTTTTGCAAGATTTGTAGGCTATGAGCACGTCGATGCGTTCGGTGACGAGTGCCAGAGATGGTCGAGGTCTTGCCCAGAAGGGATCCCGCAAACTTTTTGACTTCTGCGTCTGTCGCTCCTGCAGGGATTTTCGGAAATTTGGGACTGCTGCTCTTGCATCCTCCAAAGCACGAGAAAAGCTGTCGAACGAATTCGTTGTTAGTCCTTGCAGGCTGCTATTTGCGCAACATTAGCTTGCTCACCTTGCCCAAGAAGCGCTTTTGCAACACCTGGTCCGAGCGCAGGTCACGCTTTGCAAGTCTGTGATCGCGCGTCCGCTCTGCGAGACGCCTAGCACTCGTTGCCCTGGTGCCTTTTTCGGGCGATTTGTTTGCGCGGCCTTCGGCTTTCCGGAAGGCTGCTTCAAGTGCGGTCAAGGAGTTCTGGCCCGAGAGCGTAGAAGATCTGACAGAAGCTGCTGATGGGTCATTGGTCTTGTGCTGAGCAGAAAACGAAGCAGAACGATGAAAGGATGAAGGTAAGCAGGGAACTAGCCCTCGTTGCCGAAATTCTACCGCTCATTTGCATCAACTATGGCGGCCTTGCCTGACTTATAGCCAGTGTTGGCTGTTGTCCTCAAAGAACGCACCGTCATCGCCACGACGGCTGCAGGGCTAGCTCTGATCGATACTCACTCGTGAAGCTTCTCCGCCTCGCGACCCCTCGCCAGCATCACTCAGGCGAGTTGGAGATAGTGCACGAGGCGTGTCAAAGCTGTGCTGCTGGCTGGTGTGACCAGGTTCGAGCTCGGGCGGGCGTCTTTCCGGCGATAGAAGCCATGGATCAAAGACTGGACGATCGTGGCCCAGATTCTCCTCCGCCCAGGGTCTTTCCTGAGTTCCGCCGCCAGCAAGTCTAGGAAGCTTGCCCTGCCTACGAGCCCACGCAGCGATGGCAGTCTTCTTTGCGCGCATGCTCATCGGTCCTGGCACCTCTGAAAGGCGAAGGTCTTCTGTTTCTGTTTGCAGCGGTCGCTCACGCAGGGGCTGTCTACCGTGCTCGGTCCAATGCTGCATTCTTGACATGTGCTCGCTGGTCAATCTTCTGAAAGCAGGACTGTCGGAATGCGCTGCACTCAGTGGGGCAAGGCTAGACTCTTCCGCGGCCGAAGGGCGGGTGCATCCTTTGCAGAGCTGCATTGATACAGCGTGGGCATGTCAGTCAGCGCTTACTTGGAGGTCGAGCAGTCTTGACGACGACGAACCTTAAATAGGTTCTCGGTCAGGCCTCGCTTGATGAGGTCAGAGATGGAAGAAGGCGGGGTTTTTGTCGTAGGATGGACCGTACTGGCGCTGCCCGCAGCAGACGAAGTTCGCTTGAATTTTTTAGGTGGTGCGCGTGGCGGCAGCAGTGGCAGCGGGATACTTTCGACAACTGTTTTCGGAACTGGTTCCGCAGGCTTGGCAGCCGGTGGACGAGGGATCCACTTCCACACTCGATTCCACTGTTCTGGATCGTCAAAATTCTCATTGGGGGGCTGACGCGGTGGAGACTCTTGCATCAAACGGGACGGCGAAATCTGACCACCGTTGCGTAGATGAGGTAAGTCCTTGGGCGTCAAGGAGGACTCCTTGAGCGACGTGGACATGTCGGAAAATGATACTGATCGCGAGTGTCGGGAGCGTGTTGCGTCTGAGAAGGAGGCGGAGCCGAGTCGCCAGTAGTGATCGGCAACCGACGGCTGTGGAGACCACGCTTTTCCGCATCCAGTGCAGCCCATGTTGCCGACGGCTCGCAAGACCTGCGCAAGAAGAGAGGCAAGTCAGCACTGCTTCTCTGGGAGCCGAAGCTACTCGGCAGCGAACGTCGCTTACCTTCTTCGCCTTGGCATAGCCGCTCTTCAACAGTCGGCGTTGCAAGTTGTTTTGCATCATAAAGGCTACTTGTCCATGACTCGAGCGTTTCATCAAGGTCATCTCAGTGCTGATCGGCATGATCGCCTCGATCTGTACTCGTCTTCGCTGAATCTCCTCCGAGCGCTTCGGAACGTTGAGCGGGGTGAGGTCCGTTTTCTTGCGACCGGACCGTTTGAAGTGAGTGAGATCTGGAGAGGTTGAACCTGGCTCATGTGCGTCGTGGGACAAGCTTGACACTTCGGGCTGGAATGAAAAGGATGTCGCTGGCTTGAAGCTCTTGCTACGGAAAACCTGCTTGCCAACTTCGTTCCTCAACGGCCCAGTAGGAGAGCCAGGACTACCCCATACTGATTTTGGTGGTGTTGCGAGGGACTGCCGTCCCCAATAAGAGTTGCCAAGGAAAATGTTGTTGATGTGCGGATCATGCCTGGAGGGAATCGGACTTCCTGGCCGACTCTGAGCAAGCAGGAGATGATCAGTGCGTCCTACACCCTTGCCGGATCCATCTCTACGCCTCGAGTGGGGCGACGAAGAGGTGCTGCTCTTTCGAGATCCTGTGCGGCTGCCATAAAGGTAGAGCGAGTGCTCGTCGGAAGCGCTGGCTCTGTTTGCCCATGAATTTGCCTCTGCGTCGAGCTTTTTGGACGACTCCCTGATATGCTTGTTGCTCTTCGGGTCGACGACGCCTGTATCACAGGTCATGCAGCCCAACAGGGAAATTGGGCTCTGGTTTCTGGGCGCTCCTTTGCGAAGTGCGACGCCTTTCGAAGGATGAATCTAAGCGAAGAGTAATTCGCATGTCAACGCGAAGAATCGAAGCTTCAAGACCATTACCAATGACCTACGCACCCAAGCGGCCAGCATTTGTTTGCCTCGCGTCAAAGCATTGTGCGCAGAGGCGACAGGTCCCCCGCTCTCACCGAACAGCACTGCAGCTGTAAGCTGGCAGAATGCAAGTGCGACTAGTACCGCTATCAGCCTCATGGTGGGCGCTCCGATCGCTCAAGATGCAGAGGTACAAAAGCCCAAAGCCTCAAGGCAGAATGACAGGTCGCAGAGTCGATTGAATGTCGAAGTAGAACGATAAAGCGAAGAGAAAAGAAGTCGTGCCAGACCAGCTGGCGACGTAGGAAATGGACCTGCCCGAGACTGTCAGAGCAGGGTTGCGAAGCTGCAGCGAGTGTGTAAATGGATCGAATGTGTAAAAGGCGCACGGCCGTCCGCTTTATACGTTGGTCCAGGAATTTGATCTGGCAAGTGGGCGGTGAACGTCAGCATCACGCACGGTGAGTGGCGACGTTTGCCACCCGAATCATGCCCATGCGCTTGCGCGGGCGGCCAGTGTAGCGATTGGTGTTTTGGCGTCGATCGGAAGGCTACGCTTCTGCTTCTTTGGCGCGACCAGCCGCTACTGCAAATGCGCCACTGCCCCCCGGCCGCTGCCTGGATCGAGCGGCGGATGATGGACGTTTACATCATTATGCTTTTGCCAGAGACTTGAGCTTAACAAGATGACGGGAAGGCGGCAGGCGGCGCCAGTCACGCTCAGCGCCTACAATCTTGCGATCAAGCCTTCATAGGGTGGCAGTAATACTGTCCCTGGCTATGCGCCAGCCTAGTAGCCTCGGTCGATGCTCGAAGAGTGTCAGACCTTCTGCTGTCGCGTCTCGCTGAAGGACCAGGACGTCTCGATGTCTGGCTCATCGGGCTCTTGATTTGCCGGACAGCGCGGCCAGCACATCAAACACTGCCAGGCGCTTTGGAGTGATGCAATCGAATAGCAGCCGCTGCCACTTGCTGCGTCTTGCTGACCGACCTTCTGAGCGATCAGACTGGAATATCGTCTTGCTTTCACAAATGCGCGCCCGCGGGGTTTTTTTTTTTGCGCCCTCGCAACCCAGTCGACAGTTGTGAGTATTGAGTGCCTTCACGAGGGAGCGCCTTAGGATTGCCGACGAAGAGCCGGTAGAGCAGCGAGTCTGTCTTGGGTGGCCACGAAGCCAGAGAGGATGCTGGAAGCTAATCGATGGCGCCGTTTGGGCGTCTGAACAGCCGCAGCCGGCGTGACTGCCCGAGCTGGTTGAAGGACTGCAACCAGCCAGCACACGCGAGTGCGACTCTTCCTCTTGCAGCTAAAGGCATGAGGAAGGGACAAGCTGCGCCGCGCTAACAAATAAGGGTAATCATTACGTGAATTGTCTGCCCGCGATGCCAGGACGTCGCTTCGCGGGATTTGACTGCGTCATCCATCCGCACGCTCGAGCTCTCAAGCGGCCGTCCTTCGGACCACGATCGAGCGGTCAGTACATCATTTGTTGAATACGACGAGAACGACAGACCCGTGAGGTGGCGTCTGGGCCGGAGCGGTGAACGGTCAACGCTCGAGTATCGCTGAGGTAAGGATGAGAGTCTCATCTGCACCAAATTCGGTCAACATGGCTCCATCCAGGGGGCGATGGCACGAGATCAAGGTGGAATGTCGGGTGCAACCTTCAGCATGGCCGAGCAGGTAGAAGGTGCGAATAGCTACTCTCCGTCGGCCCGTCGGCGCAAAGCTAGAATATCAGCTCCACGAACGCCTTCTGATGCAGCCGCCGCCGTGGTCGCGAGCGTGACAGGTCCGACCAGCGTGACTCGATGATTGTTGATACTCCTGCTTTCCTCTCAATTTGCGCAGGACAGGGTGCGAGTCGACACCCACAACTCGGTCGAAGTTGGGATAACAGCATGCAGGCCATCAAGGAGCGTGGGTAAGAGATTAGCTCCTTCAGGTGAGTAGCGTCCCAGCTGAGCAGTCGGACATGGACTCCAGCACCTTGCAAGACCGGAGCGGTACACGCGTGTGATGACCCTCGAGGTGGGCAGCGTGAAGTTGGCTGCAAATTGCCTCGTCGCTACACCGACGCCGGTATACACATGAGCGTGTATAGCTTCACTGGTTGCGCATAGGAAGCAAAGCCGCTGCCTTTCTTCTCGCAAGCGAAAGACGAACGAAGCCTTAGCCATCGGTTCCGCATCGGTCAGGCTCGGCTGCCACACAGCGCAACCAGCGCCTCTCCGGCGAGGCCAGGTTGCTGCCATCAATAAGGCACAATTATGGCTTGCCGATCAAGAATGCCTCTTCGCTTCTCGACAGTCGTGCGTGACACCCTTCGGCAACACTTCGAATTGATTGGGTTGAACCTGCTGTCTGCACAGCCTTCAGCTGCTCGGAGCAAGTCAAGTCGTAATGAGTCGTCAGTCACGTTGCTGCGGATGGGTCTCGTGCCAAGCCGTCGTCGAGGGGCGAGAGCGAGACAGAGGTTGCTGGTGCTGACTGACTGCTGCTCGAGGGAGCTAAGCGAGACCTCGGTTGGGTGAGCGTGACAGGATAACGTTGCATCTGGCATACGAAAGAAAGCTCTTGGCATGCAGCGACCGCATGTCTACGCTCGCCTCGAGAGAGTCCTGCTGCTGCTTGAGACCTTGCTCAAAGACAAGACTCGCGACTGTCCCAAATCGGCAAAGGCACCAAACGACTCTCGCGTACTGACTGCGCTACGGCCATGCATGCAGCCGTGAATCCTGAATCGTGAATCACAATCAAATGCTAAGGGCCTGCTGTCTGAAGCTGAAAGGGGCGAGCTGAGGGCAATTTCTGAATAATGATCAAGAATCTGAATGAGATTCAAATTGGACTCCTGACTCCTATTTGCTCATCGAGCAAGGTCGAGCGTGCGCATCGCTCTCGACGATGATCGTGATCGATGCAGGGTGAGTCGTGAGTCAAGGGATGTTGTATCCCAGCTGCTACTCGTGAATGTTGGTTTGGCGTGCATGTACGCAGCGTATACGCGTCTGCCGATGAGCTGTTGCTGCGAAGTCCGGCATGCTCGCAGCCACATGTTGTCTTGGTGCTGTGTATTCTGGAACAGCATTCATGGTGACTTAAGAGTCGAGGGTATAGAGTCGTGAGTGTCACAAGGCACGCGCGGCGGTCAGCTCACGAATCAGAAGAGTCTTGAATCAACAAGTCAAAAGTGAATGTCAATTTTGAATCTGTAGTCATGAGTCAGGGTGAATCACGAATAGGGAATGTGATTCAGATTTGATTTGATCCAAGAGCACGGCGGGACAGGAGGACCTCCACAGCATATGCAGGCAGCCAGCAGCGGCGGCGGCCGTGGCGGCGACGGCGGCAAGCCGCACACGCGATCGCGCGCAGCGTGCGCATCATCAGCATCATCTCGAGCAGAAGGCGGTGCAAGCGCCACGCAGGCGCGTGCGGCTCGCATCTATATAGCCAGTCGTGAGTTTCAAGTCTTGAGTTTATCGCGAGGCGCACGCAAGCACGCATCGAGGTCCAGACGAGTCGACTTGCGGCGAGCGGGAACGCACTTTGATGACCTTGGATAGGTCCAAGGTGCGACGGTTGTCTTTCATCCTCCTTCCGTCCCACTCGAGGCTCTGTTAATCTCATCCCCTTTGTTCCCATTGAGACATTACGTTCCCTCACACATTTTCAATCACGAGATCCTCCACTCCTCTCACTCTGAGCACTTTGTCAACATGGGAAAGAACCAGTCCAAGCTCACCCCGGAACAACTGGCCGACTTGCAAAAGAGCACTTACTGTGCGTATCAAGATGAGCAGGCAGACGGGAAGAGCGCGAGTGGTCCCAGTGTGCTCGCAGCTGGTCTGCTGTCGGAGAGATGAAAGTCGCTGGGCGTGAGACGAGCGCCGGATCACGCTACGCACAGCTGGTCGGATGCTCGGGGCGATCAAATGGCGAAGTGATTCCTAATCGAGGATTGTAAGCTCACGCTATGCGCTCCATTACCCTCCGCAGTCGACCGCAAAGAGCTCCAGCAATGGTGCGTCCTTTGCAGATGCTAAATCGACTCATGACGAGCTAGGCCCAGATCTGACCTGATCTCATCACTCGAACGTCAATAGGTACAAGGGCTTCTTGAAGGATTGCCCATCTGGCGTGCTGGACAAGCAGGAGTTCATCAAAGTGTACAAGTGCGTCGCTCATTCAGTGGCAGCGTATTGGAGTCGAGGCCCACAAGCAGCGCATTTTCCCTGCAACGCATGGAGGTGGAAGTGTCGCGGCATAGGGCGGAACGCGATGACACACATCTGCTTATGCTGCGCCACAGCCTTTGTGAACATGGTGGATGCAGATGTTCAGGCATCATTGGGCCTTGCGCAAAGGGTGGCTTCGACCCGAACACTGCTCGAACGTCCTGGCAAACGCTTGCTCGCTCTCATCTTTCTCAGGCAGAGCTCGCTCTTCACTTACCCACTCTGCCCCTCTATCGCGCGCAGATCATTCTTTGCGTTCGGTGACCCCTCGACATTCGCCGAGTTCGTCTTCAACGTCTTTGACGAGAATGGAAACGGCACAATCGACTTTAAAGAGTGTGAGCTCAAGCCTGGCAGCCTTTGTCGTTGCTCTTGGTGCCGCTTCACTCATTCGCTTTGCCTTGGCGCTCCAAAGTCATCTGTGCACTGTCTGTCACTTCTCGGGGCAGGCTGGACGAGAAGCTGAGGTGGGCTTTCCAGTTGTATGACATCGATGGTGATGGCACAATCACGTGAGCGCTCGACTTTGCCATCCTGCCTGGCATCCGAAGCAGCGGCTGACTCCACGGTTCTTTGTGCCGACCTCTTCTGCCTCAGCTACGATGAAATGCTGAGTGAGTAGAGGTGGGCAGCATCACTGATTGTCTGCATGTGCACAAGCTGCCAGCCTTCATGGGCTGGTAGAGAACGACGACCTCCTTGCGGGCCTGCGCCTTTGCTCTCCAGCCGGTTGCGCGTCGCTCGGTCTCCTCGAAAGGAAGGCTGAAAGCTCTTTGAGTTGCGCTGTACGATGACTGATCTCTCTCTCCCTCTTCGCCTTCGCAGCTATTGTGAGGAGCATCTACAAGATGACCGGTCAGATGGTCAAGCTGCCGGAGGATGAGGACACGCCGGAGAAAGTGAGTCGAGGAACGACTTGATGCGGGCTTCGCCGTACTAAGCTCGCCTCCATCAAATACTGCTCAACAGCGCGTCGACAAAATCTTCCGTATGATGGACCGAGACAAGAATGCGCAGTGTGAGTTGTTGCTGGAAGTCTGGGAGCGGATGACAGGTCGACCCGCTTGCTCACTTGGTCTGCCTTTATACAGTGACATTTGAAGAATTCAAAGAAGGCTCCAAATCCGATCCGACCATCATCCAGGCGTTGAGGTGAGCCGAGCCGGTACTTTCACTCTCCAAGGAGCTTTCACTGACCCTTCGATGCCTTTGCAGCTTGTATGATGGTCTGGTCTGACTTGCTACGCAGCAGAGAAAAGCATTGCGAACGTCGTAGTCGGCCGACCGAAGTCTATGGAGAAAGACGATCATTGTATATACATGCGCCGGGTCCGTTTAACCAAATGCCATCACGCATCGCTGGTCCACGATGCCCACAATTGCGGAGTGGGAGGGGAAAAGTCTCGCGAGCTGCTTGGCGACGTGAGTGCGGATAACAATGTCCAGAGAGGTGGAGATGCGCGTCGAGGTGCTGCGTCGAGTTCACTCGGGACACAAGCCGGTCACGCGATAATTGAGACTCCTTGAGACTTCAGAAGCGTAGGCCGTCCGCGCAGCTAGCCGTCTGAATGCTAGCTCAAGACACGGGCCTCGACCATCGCCCGCACTTTCAGCAGCTCGTCGAGAGTTGAGTCGCTCCAGGCGCCATCGTACGGACTCGAGCGTTGTGAGCCCAGCTGCTGTGTCGTTTGAGGGAAGCAGCCAGCGCCTTTGCAACGGTCGCGAGGGGGTCCGTGCCTCCGAAACAAAAAAAGCCACGCATGCATTCGAGCAGCTGTAGCTGATCAGGGTTTCTCGGAACAGACGTATATGTGGAGGCGACGGCGCCGAGTCAGAAAGGCTTGATATGCGACGTTCCAAGAAGAACAAAGGCAAAGAAGCCGAGCATATATTGAAGATTTGAGGAGCTATAGTTGATAGCTGACCAAGGCTCTCGGAACAGACATGTGAACGAAGGCGACAGCCTCGAGTGCGAAATGCTTGGGCGCGACGTTCCTGATCTCAAAGATGAACGAAGGCGAGTCGGTGTCTGGACAACGACGCGCGAGACAGCAACTGAAAGAGTGACGACTGCTAGCGAACCTTCGCTTTGCGCAGTTTGATTTCATCTGATCCTTCTGCCCTTTTCGGGACGCATGTCTTTGCGTGCGTATTCGCTTCGCTCAGGACTCATCAAAGTGTGTCAGGAAGAATGGTGCGACGTGTGTGCGGAGGCAGCGGGGGGCTTGGAATCACGAACGCAAAGTTGGTCGAGATGATGGCATCATATCCCAGCTCTGCTAGAGCTAGCTCGTTGGTGATGGTGAACACCTGGCAAATGAACGGCCGCGAAAGAATCTTGAATATCACCGAGCAGACAGGGCATCAGCAATCAGCGATTAGCGATCAGACCCTCGCTTAAGGTCGAGCCTCGGTACGAGCGAGGAGTGCATGAAATGGCTCTTGCCCTCGAGCTGAGGGGAACTTGCATGCAACAACCTTCTTGCCCTGCTGGCTTATCACGCGATTTCGTTGCGTACTGTAGCGCACCCAGGTCGCCAGGCAGGCAGACCTGAGACTACAAATCACTTGAGATTAGATGTGCGCTACCGGCCTTGGGCTCCCGCACCCGCTTCCGGACTTGTCCCTCTTGGTGCTAAGCAGACCGTGGGAAGGTATGTCGATTCTGACTTTGGACGCGACTGGATCGATGTTTCCGTCTTGCTGAACCACAGATGGGGAGTGGTCAGTCGTCAAGAGCGCCGCAATGCAATTTTGCAAGGGAGCCCTGAGCCAGCTGATGACACATGCAGAGGAGCTCTTCCGCTCGTGACTCTTCTACCGGCGTATACCATGCATTATTCGCGAGTAATTCAGCGGGCTGGATCTCTGTGTCACGTCAAGCGATCGCACAAATGCGAAAACCCAAGTCACAACAGTCACTGTTGACTACAGTATGAACTTCGTCCAAGCTTCGGGTCCGCGCAGATGCAGCAGCCCGACAAAGTTCTCGTATCGGACCGGCCGGAAGCAACCACCACAAATCGATCGACTTGGGGATGAGTTTGTGGCAGAGATGCTGTATCCTCTCTGCCTGCAGTTTGTATGCTTTTTCGGGACACACACCGCACCGCTAATATTTGTCTGTCCGCTCCGAGATTGGAGATCACGGGCGGTGGCTATCGCGGTAGTGCGTACAGATGAACAGCGGACTTCGGATCGTTCCATCGCTTACGATATCCCAGATCCCCATTCGAGGTTGGGCACGCTGCAGAGAGTAGCTGGCAAAGCGACTTGACCGTGAGCTGGGGCATGGCTGCCGACTGCATTCAGTCTCGGAGTCTGAGTTCAAAGCCTTCACTCGCCACACCAGCACTCAAGACTCAGGCTCGACTCATTCTTAGATCAAGACCTCCGACTTAGCGCACGTAAGAATCGAAAAGCTTGATCAATGAATGATGCTGCGTTGCAGACCGACCCCCTTTCAAAAGCTGTGTATGCCGAGACACAACACTTAAGCTCCCACGGGAACTGCTTAGCGTAGATTGCAAACACGAATCACGAATCTGAATGCACGAACAGCTAGCTCTCGGCTGCGCTCATGCGCATGTTCATGCACCGGCAGCAGTCATGCAGGTGCAGGGATTTAAAATTCCACGCTTACAGGACGTTGAGGTGATGAGCTGCCGTGCGTAAAGAGGGAGGGGGAAGGGGTCATCGTGATGCTTGCCAGCCTCGATCAAAGGTGAATGTTCGACATTGACTGCATCACCGTCCGAGCTGGATCATCTGAGATAGCTGTGATCACCCAAGCTTAGCCTCAGCGCAAACTCAAGCTGGCGCAAATCTTGAGAGCGTGCTCGTCTCAACCATATGTAGATCAATGGGCTTTGCATTCGAGATTGGTTGAACTACGCACACAGAGAGTAGTGTGTATGCGCATCATTCAGTGATTGAGAGCTAGGCCGGAGCGAGCAGTTCTGCCGACGATGTCTGTGAGACAAGGTAGTAGTGACGGTCGCTCATCGCTGTCAAAGCGGCTGTTGATGCTGCTGCTGCTGCTGCTGCAAGAAAACGCGACGGACTTATATTTAGCTTGGTCGCCGCGCTGACGAGCCGGCCGGCCGGACTAGTCGATGCTCCTCCGCTGCTGCTGCGCGCGGAGATTCGACGACGCGGGATCACAAGCGCAATTAAGCTAAAATTGTGCTCGAGGTGCAGAGTCGTCAATTGAGGAGGGCTGCAGGGTCAACTTCCGTTGCTTTTGGCCTCGAAAGTGATGCACTCACGACTCAGGACTAGCAGCAACTGTGACAGACCTCTCTATATGCAACGGGTGAGTCTTGGGAGCGTCTGATTGAGCAGGAGAAGGCACTTCAGACGTCCAGCTCGGCGCTATACGCAGCACGCCAACACTTACGGCTAGACTAGCGACTTTCTCTCTGATCCATATTTGGATCGAGCTCGCAAGGACCATCTACTGTCTGCGTCCCTGCCAGCTCCTGACCGTGAGGGATACCTTTCACTGGGTGATTTCCGTGACTATTCGGATTGGCAGCAAAGCTATAATATATACTGATACCGACGGGATGCTCAATAGCAAGCATGCAATCTGCTGATCTCCGTTGCAGCTCGCTCTTGCTCTTCATGAGAATCAATTTGATCGGACGTGCAGTGATATATATCTTGTCCGCACGAAATGTCTCGCACGCTCGCTCCGCACTTTGCGTTGAATGTAAAGGCAAAGGCATCTGTGTCAGCTGTGTTCCAGCATGTGTCTTACTTCCCGCGCCCCAAGAATTAGTGGCGTAACAGGCCGTTTGCAGGCATCTTGGAGACATATCTTATTGAACACTATGTCCAATTCTCTAACATTTTCGTTGCAGCCACACCTCATCACGATTCTATAGAAAGCAACTTGTGTATGGGAACTTCCGGATCAAGCGATTGAGCTACATACAGGCTTTGCAGCTGTGCTTCGACGGCACTCGATCTGCCTGCTGCATGACAGCTGAGCTCAGTCAATCACGAGTGCATAGTGAGCGCGTGGTCACCGTCCCCGCGGCACTTATGTAGCATTTTAGCGCGGTGGGCAAGACCGAACGACGCTAACGACTCGGCGCCACTCTTTCGGCTGCGTCTTGGCCTTGCCTAATTCTACAGGTAGGGAGGGATGGGTGTCTATATAGCTGTCCGCGAGGCGTCCGCTCTCCATATGTGTATCGCTTCAGCTCGCTTTGCACGTACATTTTGTTTGCGATTTGTGGCCCGCGCCCGGGTGAATTGCTTTGCTGCATGCGTGCTGGGAAGACGAGTCTGTGAATGGCGTCGGTACACTGGTACAGGTCCGTTCCCACCTCTGCTGCTGCTGGTCTCGTGCGTCAATTCTGATGTCGCCTTAGCGCAGCATGACTTTGTCCAATCCCATCCAACCCGTGATGTCGCCACTAAGCCGACTATCCGACTTTCCAAGCGCTCCAGCGTTTTTGACTCACACGGGGACTGTGTATCAAAGCTGATGAGAGTCAAGGATCGCGTGTCGCCTGCGCTTTCGCTAAAGGTTGCTCCATCCCGCCCCGATCATTACCGCTAGGCTGCAGCTAGAAGGCGCGTGTCTTGACAGTCCAGATTAGCACAAACTTGCACCCTCCTTCCTGCCTGCTGCCGCACATCCTCCTACTCAAGCACTTTGGCGACACACCTGCTCGATTCACATGACACCGACATGAGCTTACCGATACCTCTGCAGAGCTTCATTTCGACAACATAATCACCTTTCTGATCGCGCCCGCAGTCTCGGGTTCGCTCGACCATAGTATCCGTGGTGCAGTCAAGCACTTAGACACGCCGCTCATCAAATTACGCGCCTCTCCATTGCCCTCGCTGGGTATTAGCGCCCTCTCGTTCCACCATCAATCTCACAATTGTCCACCTTGGGACAGCCTGCCTATCGCCTGCTGCGTACCTACCCCGCTGCTCGACCCTCGCACGCTTTCTCAAGTCGACGTTCGCTAGCACAGACAGCCTTGACGTCTCACTCATCAGCTATGAGGTGATTGAGCCGATCTCCGTTCCGCCACTCAAAATTCGACTCCGCACTGCCTGCCCTCGCAAACCAGCGGCACCTAATGTTCTCTTGACTTGCTCCATCCCTACCTAAGTGTTCATTCTGTCGTCGCCTCATCGACTCGCCTCCAACGTCCAGCCTGTCCTCGACGATGCGGGCTGGCGGTCAGGCAGTGGACCTGGCCGCCCTTGCGGTTCGGCAGGTCGGCAGCTCGAATGCGACTGGCATCGTCACCAGCATCAATCCTAGCGACGATTCAGTCTTTCTCCACGTGTCCCCAGCAGAAAGTCAGGCTATTATCGCAGGGTGAGTGCGTCGGCGAGGTCAGCATGTGAGACTCCAAGGAGGCGACCATGGCTGGAAGAGGCGTCTGAAAGGTCGGACATCTGGACGACTTTGAGCTCTTGCGATCGGTCTGATAAGCCGAAAGCATCGTGCTGACCATCATCCCATTGCAGATTGGTGTACTTCTCATTATGGCTAGGAGCCCTAGGCTGGGATGTCGTCAGCACGCTGGGCTTCGATCTCATGCTTGTGCGGAACACAAATTGGAGATCAATACCGTCAGGTATTCATTCCAGTGAGTGTATGCGCTATTCCCGCCGCGCACGAGGGGCTCGAGCTGAGCCTGATCTTCGTCCTGTTGTCAGTCGCCTATATGCTCAGCAGGTACTTGAACGTAGCCTGGATCTGCATGGCCGTGACGACTCCCATTGTTCGCAGCAACGATTGCCACATCAGAGCTATCACTAGTGCAACCCTTTTCGCCTTGGGTCTGGCTGCTAGTACGTATTCACGTGAAAGTAGACAGCCTGAAACGTCACACTGACTGATTTGTGCGTTCCTATGTAGCCACGCTCGTCTTCCTCTTGCGCACGGCGGCGATTTGGCGGCTCAAGCCCATCGTAGTGATCCCCCTCACCATCTCTTGGATCGCCGTGCTGGCACTCAGCGTCACGCTTCCGATCAATTTGAACGGTGTGCAGCTCGGGGGCGAGTGGTGTACGCTCGACGTGTCTCACATCACGGCGCTCGGCGTGGTGGCATGCGTCTTCGTCTTCGACAGCCTGTGCCTTTTCCTGACCGTGCTGCGACTCAATCGTACCGGCTGGCGGGGATTGCTGCGAGGGTTACTGCCCGGGATGTGGCTATCATCCAGGAGGAAGCAAGAGGAAGCGTACGGCGAGCCAGAACCCTCAGAGGACTCGGTGGCAGTCATGCTAGTGGAGCGTACCGTGGCGTTCTTTTCAATTCAGTTCGTCATACTCATCAGCGCGGTTGCAGTCTACTACGCCACCGAGCAGGTCGCTTTCCGGCTGATGCAGATTGTTGCATGCCAGGCCATAAGCGCCATCATGGCCGGTCGTCTGTTCCGCCGCGCTTGGTTCTTGACGCGTCAGCAACAAAGGGCTATCGCCAGGCAGATCGCCCAGCCGAGTCCGCCAAGCTACTCTGCTCGCTACCTGGAAGACGACGTCAGCTTCAAGTTCGATGAAGTGGCACTGGCAGCCGGTGGTGCCATGTCTCCATCTCTGGTCCGACCATCCGCCGTAGAGAGCTCATGCCTTCCACCAGGTGCAGCGATGGGATCAGGCATCGGCGACGCGCCCATCTCCAATGTTGCGAGGCGGAAAAGCAGCAAAGCAGCTTTGACAGCCGCCGCACTCGCTGACGAAGATCTGTACGTCGAGGGAGAGTTTCCCAAGACAGGTTCCACTCGGTCTTTGCTCCTTCCCAAAGACTCGTACACTTCTATTGGCACCACTTCTGCAGCGCAGCGGTACGCGGCTAGGCACGTCAGAGAGAGAAGGTCGTCAGGAGATGGGCCTGATGATGTGTCTATTTTTGTGCCGATGGATGGCACGCTTCTCAGCGCGCATCGTCGCCAAACACTGCCAGCGACGCTGCGGCCGTCCAGATCAGCAAAAGTGTCACGACAGACACTTGAGGATACTACGAAGTGGCCCGCGGGACCGAGCAACTATGCCGGCTGGTGGAAGACTGGAGGCTCTGCGCATGATGATCGGGCAGTGTCCAGCGGTCGACGGAGTACAGATACGTCCCAGTCCATATACGAAGTTCCGAGACGTCCTGTCACGAGCCACTCCTCGTCTTCACGATCATCGACGTCTCGCAACCAGGTCGCACACACGCCTTCAGCTGCGCCCAGTATCTTTGAAATCACCCGACAAGTGCAGCCTTCCGTCGGCAGGGCCAGTGCTGGTCCGGAGGTGCTTCGCGATGCACTAGCTACAAGAGAGTCGGTTGCAGTGCCGCCTCTCGCTGCGACCCCAGGTCGCCGCCGCCGACCCGCCACGGCGCCTTCGCAAAGAGACGATCTGAACCAGAGACCGAAGCGGAGCATTCTTTTCATCGACTCTGCGCGAGCTCGACGCGGTAACTTTGTGCCCAACGACCACGAGTTGGCTGAATTCCCGTTGCGTCCCCCACGCACAGAGTCAGGCAGAGACTTCGTCGCGTCGCCCTCGATTCTGGGCGCCGCCCGAATTCCGACGCCGAGAGACCGATCAGCCTACGATCTCGATGCCCTCAAAGCTGCTGCCTCTCTCGACGATAGGTCACGCTACGAGGATGCTGGTCTAGGCTCGGCGCCGCCCTCTATGATCACTTTCGGCGCATCGCCCGAGAGCACTACTAGGCGAAGCGTTGCAACGTTCGCAGATGGGCCGGCTTTCGTACGGGATGTTCCGGCAGTCTCGTCAAATCCAAATGAGCGGCGACGCGAGCGACCTGCTCTGTCTGGAGTTGAAGCAGGAACGGCGACGACGACGCCGGCGCCGGCGCCGCCGACTTCCACTGAAGTGCACGATGCGCTATTTGCCTTCAGACAGACTATTGACGACGATGCAGCTGAGCTCTCCCGCGAAATCTCCAGACCCCATACCAGAGAGGAGAGCAAGCAACGCACTCAGAGCAGCGCGGAAACGGATGATGATCGTCCTCGAACCTCGCGAGGAGGACCGCTCTCGGGTTTCGGCCAACCGCGCATTGGCACAGCTGATTCCACTGCGAGTCGGAACGACGGTAGGCCAACAACAAGTCATGGCCGACCAGACGAAATGCCGCGGCCTTTGACGGGACATGGCAAGCACGGCTCAAGCACTGGCGGGCGCTTCCAGCGCATCCCGCTCGAGTCGCAGTCTAGCAGCGATCTTCGAGGTCAGGCTCAGGACGTCGCCACCAGATCCGCGCTCTCCGACGAGCCAGAACAGCAGAAGTCGGCCATTGCCGAGCAATTCGAGCGCTTGGCAGCGGCCGCAGCACGTCCCTCTGCTGACTTCGAGGCATTGCCTTCGAGCGGAAGTGGGGAGCACGAGGCACGGAGCGCTGTGCAAAAATTGAGCGGTCTGAGGCCGAAGCTGGATCGCGTATCCAGCGACAACGTCATAGAAAGTCTGGACTCCTAGAGCTGCTCTGCCCTTCAGATGGTAGCTACATCAGATGTGAATGGCACTTCTGTACCTATACCCAGCGATCGTACGCTTGGCGACCCCGCATCAACCACTCACTCTTTTTGAGCGTCCACAACGTTCTTCCTCACTTGGCCTGTGTCACTGCAGTTGCTTCTCGACTCATGATGTCGGGCCATGGTCCTTGTTAGTCGCGGACGCTCCAATGTCTCATCAATCTGGACAGGTCCCAACAATCAACACACTCTCTAAGATTCGATCGCTAGCTGAACAAATCATCCTGTATTCACTTCAACGTTCGCTGCCTTTCCGAGCCTCCTACTACTACTACCCCAGATTGTCACCGATAGTAAATATCTACCAACTGCTTGTTCGAAATGACAAGCAGCGGTCCACACCTATGTTTCTCAATCACGAGCTGACCCTCGATGTGCGTGATTCGATTGCTCTACTGATCTGTGCGGCGTCGTACACGCCCCATGATAGGTGGTCCGAGCGCCATCATCACCCATGCGCGTGAAGCGCATGGCGCGCGATCTTGCCGTTGCGTCTTCCACCAACCGACGACACCATCAGTGGTGTAGCTAGCATCGAACGCTACCTCTTTCCTCATCTGGGCTGACCTCACCATCCTTGACACTCGTGACTACTCCGCAGACTCTGCATTCCAGCGTGTGCAGAAGCGCTTCCAAAAATCAGAAAGGATGTCGTTCGGATCTAGCGAGTCCACTCCGGCAGGCCATTCGCACGAAGTTAGATGGTCTCTGAGCACGTACGGATCTCCAAAGCTGACGCTGCTCGACTCGGATCCTGGTGCGACGCATTCCATCGTTCTCATACCGGGCTTGACCGATACAATCGGAAGTCTACCGTACACAGAAGGGCTAGTCGAAGCGCTGAGCAAGCTGGGAATATCCGTCGTGCTACCTCAACTGTCTAGCAACCTTGGAGGATTCAATTACGGAAGTCTGGAAGCTGATGCGAGGGAGATTGCGGCAGTTGTTGATCAGCTTAGAGCAGCAAGTAAGAAAAAGGCAATCTTTTTGTTGGGACACAGCACGGGCTGTCAGGATGTCATTACATACCTCCTTGGGAACCGGGGAGCGGATGTCAAGGTGCAAGGAGCGATCATCCAAGCTCCCTGTTCCGACAGGCTGTACTTCGACAAGACGGCAGGTGCCGAGGAAGTGGAGAATCTCAAAGAAGCTACAAGTCTTGTACAAGCGGGCAAAGGCAGCACACTATTGTCTTACAAAGCCCCTTTGGCGCCCAGACCTGCTAGAGCGGTGAACAGACACTCGGGCGAACCTCGAGGCACCAATGAGTCGGCTATCCTGGAACCTCCTCAGACCGCCTACCGGTACTGGTCACTCAACGGCAAAGGAGGAGACGATGACTTGTTCAGTGGAGACTTTGAGGAGAAGGACGTGATAGACATCTTCAGGAACGCTTTGGATGGGCTTGCCAAAGATTGGGCTTCTCCCGAAGGCATCATCGCTCCCGGTGACCCTGAATTGCTGGCTTTGTGCGGCTCTGAAGAGTGAGTATTCTGCTGAACGCCTCTGACGCGAGCTGTATTCCGACGACGGGTCTTGACGGCGCTCGTGACGTAATAGCGAGTACATGCTCGACCCCTACCCAGCATCGGTAATCGTAGACAAATGGAACCGCATCGTCAAGGACACCCGCTTCAAGGCAAAGGTCTTGCAAGGGGCAAATCACAAAGTGGACGCTGCACCCGCTCAAGCTGAGCTGATCAAAGAAGTGGCGGGCCTATGCGCCCGAGTATTGGATTCGGAGCAGCCAGCACTCGCCGCGGCGACGAGCGCCATTTCAAACTTGACGCTAGGCAGCGCGGACCTGGCCAGGGAACAGCAAGCACCTCAGCATCCTGCCAGCTTTGACGCGATTGTGGAACTCATAAGCACAGGCCAAGCTGACAAAATTCCAGGCATCAAAGACATACCTCTCCAAGTGAGTCGTGGGGCTAGGACCGTCTCTTGGTCACCATTCGCTCGTGTACCTCGCAAGCTTGCTTACGCTGGGATCTGTGTGCACAGATCAACCGGGCCACACCTTCTGAATCCCACCTCAAACAGCCTCCAAAGCCCTGGGAGCATCCGGGCGGGGTTTCAGACAGTCAGTGATGCCCAGTTCTGCCAAACTTGCCTAATGCAGGCGTATCATCCGCGACTTTCAACAACGGCAACCTCTAGCGCAGTCAAACGTCATGGCAAATCCACGAGGAGTACTTAATTCCAACAGCACTCGCGCAAATTAGCGGAAGAATGTCATCGATTGCCTTGCAAGTAAGCAGGCGACGCACCGCCTGAAAGCATGAGCACGATGACGGCGTTTACTAGCCTGGGAAGGGCTAGGATGGATCCTAGCTCCACGAGACGTGTCGAAACGTTGTGTTCCGACTGGTGAAAAGACCCTTTGGTTGAGCGCCGAAGAAGACTGCAATCAGCAGTAAGCGAAGTCGTCGACTGTGGGCAGGGAAAAGGCACTTGGTGAGGCGCAAGGTCCACGTGCACTTTTTGCTGTCTAGGCACTCGGCCATCATGTACGAATCTCATAAAGTCAGAAGCGTCACGTTGCGACTTACAATGTGGCCCACGTTTCTTCAGTGGTATGATGTCTCCGGGGCAAGCTTCTGTACAAATTTTCAGAGGGGCAAGATGGCGAAAGTTCGCTGCGTCAGATGATAGGTTGGAAAGTTGGCGGAACACAGCATCGCACAAGAGCTGCCTCACTCACTGTGGTGAATGATTGGCTTGCCTTTCTTGTTGTAACTGATCGTGTCTACAAGCAAGGCAAGTGAACGCTTCGGTCAGAATACGAGGCCCGATACGTGCACACGAGGAGCTGGGTGGGGCACTTCTGCTCACCGCCAGGCTTGATCTTGTAAGGAGCTCTTTGAGCCAACAGCGAGCTTTCTGTTGTCCCATCAGGAGCTGGCGTAGGGAGCGCGCAGAGGCTGGTTGCCAGCAGAGCGAAAAGCAGGATTTGCGCGTAGACCTTCATGGCGTCTTATTTCTTGTTGTAGATCTTGACTTGGTGCAAAGGCAGTAGACGCTCTCTTTCAGAGAGTCAGAGGCGATTTTTGCGCTGTTGGTGCGTGATCGGGTCGGTTCGAGAAGTAAGGGGAGGGGATTACGTTTTTGCAGGGGAGTGCCGGGCTCTATTTAAGCCTTTTCCGTAGCTGAAGCTACGATATGGAAGGCAGAACGGCGCGTTGGCGCACATCGGCGTCACAGCGCGCCGTTTCGAAGTATCTCGTAGGATGCGCCCTTCGCTCTGGCTGCTCAGTCGTCCATATCCCGGCAGCAGTGCACCTCGGTTCTTCACCGATCGTCAGGAACGCCGTCGAGATAAGGAGGTGTATCGCTAGAGTCATTGGCTCTTGCTGGTTGAAGCTCAGAACGACATTCGCGATTGATCGCTGCACAATCGAATGGCGTTTTGTCGGGCCGCCGCCTCCTTGGATGACGCCCTGTATTTGGCCATTGACGAACGTATCGCACACAGCGTCAAAGGTCAGCTCTCCCAGAGCGGAAGGCTTCATTTGAGTGTCTGATTTCACCACAGAATCTCGTGATGGAAGCGTGCGGTACATTAGGTGATGCTGAACGGAGCTGTCCAACGCGATCAACGCCATGCAAGCAACATGACCAACACCCTCTTCAAGTAACGTCCCCGCGAGCCCCGATGCAATCAACATCAGGGCACCCGAGCACGCGGGCACATATGTTACAAAATCATCAAGGCTGTGCCGTGCAGCGAAGGTAATGATAGGACGCCAGCGGCCCAAGGTTGGAGGCAGCTGCACCCGATGCAACTTGACCGTTGGCAGGTCGCGATCGTAGGCATGCCAACGCTTCTTGAAAGATTATGCAATGTGGACTCGACTTTCTTCCTCTGCACTGTGCTTGTCGAGACATCGCCGTTGCAAGAACCACCATTTCGCGGCTTCATCGAGCTCACTGCGTCCGTGCGCAAGCCGAGTCCAAAGGGGCGAGACCGGCACGAGCTTTAAGGACAAGGGTACGAGGCCAGCATAAAGCGCAGGAAGAATTGTGATTGCTTCAGTTCACTTGCACAGGGCGCTATTCCATGATCGGCGTCAAGTACCATCGTCACGGCCATCGTGAATGAAGGATATAAAAAGAATCCATGTAATGGAGTGAATACTATGCTATTACATAGGCAGCGCTCGAGACCTCACCTACAGGCAAGTCTCGTATTGAATCACGATGTAGCTGGCCACGAAATGGATAAAGTCTGCGTTGATGGGTCACAAGGCAAGGCAGTGAAGAGCATCGAGATTACAAGTCCGCTGTTGAGCTAAGAACATCGAGGTTGATGAGATGACTTCGGCGAAGCACTCAGCCTTCAATGGCAGGAGCTCCTTGCTCTATCGCAAACGTGGAGCGCCCTCGAAGACTGGGGTGCACATTGCCGTTCCAAGCTCGAGGTACGGTCTGAAGACCATGTCCCAAGCTCAGTCTGCGCGCCGACAACCGAGTGCCCGAATCTCCTGCCAGCGCACCGTCTGAGCCTGTCCGCTCGTGTGCATAGTGCGCCACATCGCCATCTTGCTCGTCCTCAGAATCATGCAGCAAGGTAGAGCCTTTGCGCTGCTTGAGCGCTTCTTCGAGTTCTCGAGTATCCACATTGGACAGGCTGTCATTCACAACAGCCTCTCCCCAAACCGCATCTTGAAGGGCTCGAGCTAGTTCGCCGAGAATCCGAAGGGGCGTTGGGACACGCAGAATGCCATTGTGGATCAGCGCAGCTTGCAAAGCTTCCAGTGTGGTGGGTTCGGGCTCTCGAGACAGCGGAGATCCAGAAGCTACAGAAGAGGACCGTCGTCGTCTTGCAAGCTCCAATGCTGTAGCGAGCGCAGCGCTTGATGGGGCCAAAGGTCGCTGTGGGAAGATCTTGTGCTCGCTGGCAGGCCGTTCAGCAGCCTTGCCTTCTTCCTCGTCATCCCCTTCATCCTCCTCCTCTGTCAGATCTTCAACCTCACGCCCGTCGAGAAGCATGCGCATTCTGGGTGGCCTTCGTGGCAAAGACTCTAGATCGAGCTCGAATGCCTGACGATCCGTGCCTCTAGCGTAGCGACTCGACATGCGCAAGTTTTCGAAATGCTCGACCTCTCCCTGGTCCACCGCCAAAGGACCGCTGTCGTTCAACAAGGCATCCAGCAGCTCCGCGTCTGCACTGAACAAACGACTGAAAACTTTGCGGAGCAACCGCTTGCCAACGCTCTGTGAGGCGGCTTCTGTGTGCTTCGCTGAGCTTGCGTGAGCGGCGCGGCGGCTCGACGCATTTCGCCGCGTAGCTGGCCTGCGCGGCCGAGCGTCCCGCATCCGTGCCACGCTAGCACTTCTGCTCGTTTCCGTGGCGCTCCGTTTAGACCTCTCGCTGCCCCCAGCTTTCCTGTGACGCCGTTTGAATGGCTTTGATCCTATCCCTGCACTCTGTGCTGCTGGTGTTGCGTCCAGGAGCGCATCGAAATGAGCGTCGCTGGCATCGTTGTCTCGCTTGAGCTGGAGCTGCGATGCTGTCATGTCGTGGAAGTCGTCCACCTCATCCTCCGAAGACGTCAAATGCGTCTCGGAAGCTGAACGGAGGAGGGATGTTCCCCGCTGAACTGCTGCCCACGACCACACGGCTTCCTGACTAGCACCGCGTGGTGCGCTTTTGCCTGGAGCAGACCTGTCTGGAACTTCAGGGAAGTGCAGGTCTGATGCGTAGCCATCACCCTCTGTTCTTGAACCTGCTGCTGACTTGCCCCCACTACCACGTGCCACGTTGGAAGCTGATGACTCGGATGGCAGGGCTATGGAGCCATACAGCTCGGCTCGGCTCTCTTCCACAAAGATGCTGGGATGTTCCGAGCCAAAGATGGACGGAGAGTCTAGAGATTCGAGCATCCACTGTTCCGATCGAGCAGCACGTGCCGCACCGGATTGCGTTGCCGTTGTGTTCAAGTCTGGCTCGTCTTCCAAGTCCGCCTCATCGTCTGCGTCGAAAGCAGGTGCGACTGTGCGCCTGCTGAGGAATCGTCCAGTGTCTTCATGCCAAGCAGGCATTGTGAGAGTCAGACCGCTGGCTCCTGCTTCAGCACTTTCATCTACAGAACGACGCTGCTCATCGGCAAGGTTGGAGACATCTACTTCGGGCAACAACGCAGGGTGGCGATAGATGATTAGCGTACGAGCGCAGTGCATACAAGCTTGAAATGGTGCTGATGCACACTCACCAGCTTTCTCGTCCAAGCCATCACCAGCCGTAGTAGCTCGAGATTCGGTCGTAGTAGCTACAAGAGCACTTGCTGAACTATGACTGAGTGTGGGCGCAGCAACTGAGCTCCGACCAGGAAAGATGATGCTCCAATCCGGTGTCGAAGTAGAAGCATCCTGCGCCGTATTCTGAGTCTTGCCCGCTTTCGCATCGCGAGCGCTATTCCGATGCCCTTGATGAGCAGCTAGTGAGGAGACACGAAACGATTCTGAAAAGCTGCCTACTGGGGTGACCTCTTCCGCACGCTGCGTTTGGCGTCTGTTGCCTCGGCTGGCGGCGCCCTTCTGTGCGATGAAGGCCATCTTTAAGAGTGATGTGGCCTCTATAGAGAGTCGCGGAAGGGCGCTGGTGAGGTCTGACGAAGGCAAGTTTGTGACAAAGGTGCTTGCTCGGGCGCGTGTGTCTCGTAAAACAAGGTCGGGCAATAGGATCGATGCTTGGAATGACGTCAGTACGAGTGCTGGACGATGAAGTGGCGCAGGGCGAGGAAATGCAGCGAAGCAGCAACAATGAAGCGTGCAAAGGCGGTCGCAGTGAGCGTTGTGAGGTGTGTGACGGTTAGGAGGTGACTGAAATCGTCTGCTCAAGACGCTTAGATCTCGCCTGATATCGCGTAACCCCTGCCGCTATGTGGGTAAGCTCTCCTCCCCACCCCAACGACCAGACTTGCCGGCGATTCACGATTAGAGAGGGTCGAGCGAGCACGCACGCAAGCGCGCAGTCCGGCACCGCCATGCATGCAAGGTGCATCAGCTAGCTAACAAGCTACAGGCGCGCTGATATCAGCATCAGCATCATCATCATCAGCAGCAGCAGCAGCAGCAGCATCATTCGCCGTCCCACTCACGAGCTCGTGCCTGCTGATGCTGCATGGGTGCTTGCCATGCGTGCGTGCTTGCGCCCTCATCAAGCACGCCTTTGCTGCTGCAAGCTGCATTCGGCACACGCCTTAATTGCTGAGATGAGCAAAAAGCCTTATCCAGCGCAATGGGCATGCATGCGTGCATGCGCACATCACCATGTATATGCGCCACGCAGTCACTGAGCGACGTGTAGATCAGCCGAGTCCGACGCAGCTTTAGGCACTCGCGCAGTCCTCTGTAATCGCGGCCGGGCCACTCACGGCACATCTGATGCGCAGATGCGCAAGTCGAATCTTGATCTTGAATTCTGATCAAAAGTTTGAGTCACGCGACGCGATGCGCGCCTTTGGGCACACTATCACGACTCATCTCGGATCTGACCGGCACAGTCACTGGTGGCTACCGACCGGGTCGGCAGAATGCGTGACGTCAATCCGGGTCATCAAAGGGACAAAATGTCCTCACGGTAGTTTTGAGTGGTGATGCTGACAGTGATGCAGAGATCAAACCTTTCCGATTGCGCATAGAGAGAGAGAGAGCTATGATGCTGGATTGCAATGTTGCGTGAAAAGTAGTGTACAATGGATGTGTATGGAGCAATGGGCACATGGTCCGTTAGTAGAATGTTGTAGGGCAGTGCGTGAGAGGCTCGGTAATGACAAGGATAGGGTCTCGCACAGAGCAGACTCTGCGAAGATATAGGATTGAAGTGTAAGTGGACAATGTCGAGAACTCATCGACCATTGTGGCTCGCTCCGGTGGATGAGTTCGCGCCACCATTCGCGTGGTCAGTCTGGGCATCGCTGTTCGAGAAGTTGGCCGACTGATTGCTCCATTCGCTCGACCAATTGCCTGGCGTCCTCGCAGCACCTTGTGAAGTCGACGAACTGACAGGGTGCAGACCTTCCAAATAAAGATGCTCCAGCCTGTCCAAGTCTCCGGCCGTGTACATTGCTGGAAGTACAGCTTCGCTAGCCGTGCTCGTGATGGGGCCAGGATGACCATCGGTAGAGATGGAACGAAGCAGCGAGGCATCCGGTCGATCGGCAAGCCATCTCTGCGACGAGTTGTCGAAGCGCTCTAGATCGGCAAAGTGAGCCGCAACACGATCTCGCGCTCCTTCTTGCGTTGCTAACGTCCGCTGAAACGCCGAGGGATCCGCGCTTGCCGCATCGCCAACGTCCGACCAAGCCTTCTGCCAAGAGCCTTGTCGATTGGACTCAATGTCCATCTGTGACTCGCTCGCCGCTCTGCCAGATTGCAGCGCGCCGCTTGAAGGTCCTCCAAGACCGTGATTCTGTACCCACTGCGAAGGCGCATCTGCAGAATCGCCAGCAGCAGCATCCCGCGCGTGTGGTGCCACTGCATGATTGAGCGCTGGAGAGCGACCCAGAAAAGATGGCAGGTCGAGGTCGTCGTACGACGTTTGAGGAAGACCAAACGGGCTGATTTCGTCAAACGTCGAGCTACTTGAGGGATGGCCAAGATCCGGCAGGGACTCTGCATACGGCCCAATAGAAGATGCATCCGCCTCGGCTGCGCTGTCGAAGGCCGTGGTGTTTCCATGCTGTGCGGCAAAGGCGGCAGCGATCTCAAAAGCGCTCAGATGACGACCACCAAATGAGTCTTCGACAGTGCTTTCGTCAGCCGAAGCGTGCTGCCGTGTGGCACGCGGTTGTATGGTGACGTTGCGATCCCAGGTCCCAGAAAAGGACGCAGACTGCCCATGAAAAGGGCGCCGAACGGAGCCCGACGACTCGTCGAAATCTGCCGACTCGCTCTCTGGCTCTTCTTCGATTCCTTCGTCAGACTGCTGCTGAGGCGTGTAGCCCGGCAAGTCGAGTGGCGTAGGCTCGAACGCAACTGCGAGTTGAGCATAGCTGAAATTCTGACGCAGCGTGTCTGTGGATCGCCTGCGCCTGTGCCCAGGCGCTTCTCCGACCAAGCTCGGGAAAAGCGTCTGACTGCCAAGACTAGTGAGGCTGAGGTCGTCAGCCGGGTAGTAAGGGTTGATACGGTATGGCGACTGCATGGCGTGGCTAGACGTGAGGTCCGCGGGTAGGAATGGCAACTGATGCTGGAAATTGGCGGCAGCGTTCGCCTGCTGGCCGCTATGACGGCTTGAAGCGGAGCGATTGACGAGCTCCTGTACCGAGGGAGTCGAGGTAACGCTTTGAGCGACCGAATGCGGCGCAGCCACAGAAGCATCAAAACGATGCGTGCGAAGTCCGTTGTCTGTAGCTGTTTGCTGGGTATCAGTGCGTTGAAAGTCAGCTTCAAGAGAGGATCTCATGCTAGGAGGCCCAAATTGTTGCTGTCGCTGATCTTCAAATTGCGCGTGCAAGGTCGCAGGATCATTCGCGGCCGCCCCTTGCGCCTGGGTCATGTAGCTCTGTTGAAGTTGCTGAGGCTGCTGCATGGTAGTGTCGATCGACGTGTTACCGCTACCGCGATGCAGCAAATCGCCCGCCCACGCGCTATGCTCAGTCTGGCTGGGTGCCGAGGCTGTGCCAGAGTTGACGCTAGAGGAAGAGACGGGGTGCCAAGAGGCAGCCGAAGCAGCCCATTCCGAGAGTGATGTGCTCGGTGGCAACACAGGATCGAGGAGATCCTGGAAGGACTCTATCGAGAAGCCATTCTTGCTAGGACTCGTGCCTAGCGTGCTCGAACCACTGCTGGCAGCTAGCTGCATCAAGTCAGCGCTGGTGAGCAAAGATGAAAGATCGCTGCCAGTAGAGTTTGCTGAAGCGTCGCTTATGGTAGATGCTGGCGCCGCGGCTGTCGAACTGGCTACCGTGGGAGCGTCGACGTCCATAGCATCTCCTTGTGGCCCGTTAAATCGCTCATTACTCAAATGCGTTGTTGAGGAAGAAGGCTGACCGAGCAGAGCATTCAACTGGTCCAAGTCCATCTCATCCAACGATGATGATGAAGCCGAAGGCTGCCCCTCGCTTTCGCCTTGCCAGGCATACTGAGGCGCATGTCCAGAGCTCAAGCTATGCTCCAAAGGAGGTCTACTCGTAGGAACCTCGTTGGAAGAAGGGTGCATTTGAGCCGTGTTGGGGTCTTGCGATCTGGTGCCAAAATAATGCGGGATGGGCTGGGGATACTTTTGTTCTTGAATCAAGCGCTGTTGGTGATGATGTTGATGAGTGCGCTGCTGCTGCTGCAGAGCAGTCGATGAGGGCATGCCCTCAAAATGGCTGATCTTTGGGTTTGCGCGCTTTGAGCTTTGCGTTCGTCGTAGACCACCGTCTGGTCGAAGTGGTTGCACATTCGGATTCATACCGCTAGCACTGCTACTGCTGCTGGAAGAAGGAGCATTTGGGTTTGCGGCATGCTCCCTTTGCTGGACTTGAAGGGCGCCAGTGTCCCGTGAGACTGAGCGAAGACCCGATCCAAGACGAGACGAGCCGTCGTTGAACGACGAAGATCGACTAACAGCTGCGCGTTGCTCCTCCTGTTGACGACGCTGCTCTTGCTGTGCGCGATGTTGATCCATCAGTCTTCGTGCGAGGACAGGCTCGCCCGCAGGTCTCTCCCACGCGTCGCTCATCTCTCCCTCGCTCGTCTCCAATTCGCTATGGCTGACATCCCCGCTCGCGCACTGAGAGTGCGATGTAGCGCTAGTGTCGCTGGGGGGAGGTGCAACGCGAGTGGCGCGCATCGCATCCGAACCATCTCCATTTGCTTGCTCAAGTGCCGCCGATATGCTCATGGACATGCTCGAATCGGAATGAAGGGCTCCATGACTCGGGCGCCTGTCTTTCTTCCCAGACTTGGACCGAGGCTTGTAGCCCGCTTGCTCGTACAGCTCGGGGAATGCGTTGCGGAAACGATCTCTGAGATCTGTTGATTTTCTCCGCCCTTCGAAAACCGCGTCGCGAGCAATCGTAGCCCAGTGAGAGCCATGCTGTGCATAGCCGCGTTTCAGCACCTCGTCCTCAGCAGCGCTAAAGGGTCGACGTTCCTTCGTCTTTCCCTTTTCGAAGATACTCGTTCCGTCTGCAGCTTTGCTGCGGACCGCCTTGCTTGTATGCGTCTTGGCATTGGGATACATGTCGTGATACGCATCTGGAAAATACGTGCGAAATCTGTCCTTGAGATCTCCGGCAGAACGACCAGCAAAGCGTCCGCTGAATTTGGGGTCTGAAAGTATCGCCTTCCAATTGCCGACGCCGTGCTGACCAGACAACCTCTCGAACGTTAGCCTTGAATCTCACAGCACCGGGACACGCGACACTCACAGCGTTACAACCATCTACCAATGCTTGAGTTTCTTCCTTGGACCACATATGGCGCTCAGGCTGAAGCTTCTTCGAATGGTGCGATGCACTAAGCGAGTGGCCATCCGTCGCAGGGTCAGCTATGGCTGAAAGATTCGTCTCGCCCGTGGGGCTGATCACGTTTGGCAAAGAGCCAGTCATGGCCGAGTGGAATGAAGATCCAAAAGGACTGGTGCTGAGTTGTCCGGCCTTGCTAGCATCGATGATCTGCCCACCCTGTTGTTCGTCTGACAAGGTTGTTTGCTGAGCAGCCAGCACAGCAGCCGCAGTCTCTTCCAGCTCGGCCGCACTGAGCCCCAGCTCTGCGGAAAGTCCATCTGGCATGTCCGCGCTGTTGACATGTTGTAAGGTCATACGGCCAAGATGCTCCGTAGTCTGCGACGAATTTGTATCATCAGGTGGCTGTTCGGCTGCTGTGCCTTCCCCGTCCATCACGCCCTGGCGACCGCCTTGTCCACTGGCAGAAGCGCTCGAGGGTGCAGCACTCGGCACATTTGCACACATGGTGAGCTCGCGTGCACTTGGGTCGCCTGGAGGAGATGATGTGAAATCTTGGTGCGAGACTCAACGCTAGCTTGAGGGAAAGGTTGCGAAAGCGCTGCTGGTGGGTCTAGGCGATGTGCTACTTTTCGCCCTGGCGCGAAGCCAAGGCAGAGGTGTGATACACCTCGGAGGCACAGCGAGGGGTACCTCTACAAGCAGTACAAGTATGGGAGAGGAGAGTAGTCGGTGGTCAAAAGGGTGTGTGTGGATGCTCATGAGCACTTGAATCACGGATCACCTATGGTGATCACGCGCTTTGGGTGTGAAGGGCGCGCCTGCGGCACGCGCCGAAGCTCCATGGCGCGGCACTCCCTGCGGAGCTTGACCGTGATAACTTCTTCCTTCCTACACGGCTGCCGTCCTCGCGACTCCGCCGGTCACTGCTTTAGCGTCTGTCAGACGGCACAAGACTCACGACTGACAGCTTAATGCTGAAATCTGACAATTTTCATAAGTTTTTCAGTTTGCAATTTGATTCGGTGGTGAGCCTTTTCAGCGGAAAGGTAACTCAAATTGCGAATCTCAATCAAAGGAGCGCACGCCGCAATCAGAATGTTAATCAAGAATTGAATAGGCGAGCAGCAGAGGTCGTCGCATCGGCGTTTCTCCGCGACGATCTTAATTGTGGTTGGATGTAGGCGCGCAAACATGCCGGGCATGCATGCGGAAGGGGCGCAAGCTAGCCGTCAGTCTTGAGTCATAGCCACGGCAGCGATGTTTACCAAAAAATTCAGCAAGGCGCGGGACTAAGCACGTGACATTGCTGCAAGTCGAGCGCCTTTCACCTGAATTCTTAATTGTAACTTTGATTCAAGATTGATCGTTCGAACCAAGGAAAGAAAAATCGTTCAGACTTGAAATCACGGATTCAAGCCTCATCTCGATTCTGTATCCAGCTTGGAAACGGATTTCGCGCGTTCATCGATCATATAAGCCGAGATGATTCTCTGCTAGTCTGGCCACGCCGCCCGCTGCATCGAAACTTAAGCAAAGCGCCATTCCCGGAGTCATAGACCACAATTCTTGATTCTTGATTCAAGATTGATTGACGAATGACGGCGCAAGTTATGTAGCCACGGAGTTCATAGGGACTTTAATGTATACCTACAGACTGTTGTGAGGGAACAACGTCGTGCCGCCTGCACACTCATCAAGACTTCACGTCACAACAGACTCGTGCTACTTACTCGACTCACGACTGACTCGCGGAATGCTTGTGCTAGTTCTTGGCGTCCGACCGATGCTGCGCCCAGCAGCGCGGTCGGATATCTCGACTTATTGGAAGCTTCCCTCATCTCTCATGCAAGCCAAATTTGATCCGGCGCTAAAAGCCAAGCAGCACCTCATCATGCACACCCATCGGCTAGCTGCCCCTGGTGCTGCTACTGTACTGGTACGGTAGTAGTGATGGAGGACCATGCCTCTCGAGCTAGGGTCATACACAGGCTTGACTGGTGATCTCAGCGGCGGCAACAGCCCTTCTTGGAATCTGAATGACGTACGGCGCCCCCCGAAGCGGACGTTGACTGGCGCTCGGTGTGAATTCTTGATTCGTGATTGTTTGGCTGCTTGAGCGCACGAGCGCATCGGGAGAGCCAACAGTCACGAGGTAGCAAGACGGACTACACGCCCGTACTGTGGAAGTACTGTACATGCCCGATGATGGAGGGATCGGCTAGCACAGCCACTTTTGACCTTCCAGCCTTGAGACCGCGTGCACATGCAAATGTGGATATGCTGCAAACGGCTTCGGCTCAAAATACTCAAATGGATCGGGGCCTTGTCCGGCGCTAAGGATAGCTCGAGTGAGCGGGGTTTCATCATTGCTCCGACACCCGCATTCTTTACCCATCTTTTGACAAGCAGCCCCTCCTCATTGTGTTTCCCCTCCATCATCCCAAAGCCCCTTCTCCCAAAATTGGGGATTGTCCCGCGCTGACACTCCCATCTTTGGCATTCTTCCATCTTTTGCCTGCCTGAGTACGACGTATGTACGCGCTTAGCCAAGATGAGCGATTCGAGCACATCGACCGACTCCAGTGCCTCTCCGGAAAATCCAGACTAGTAAGTCGAAAGGAAGAAGCGCAAGACCATGCTTGGCCTTTCCCCTTGCTTCTTTTTTTTACAACGCTGTCGGCCGCTCACCTTCATACCACCTGACCTGTTCTCGCGGTGCATGCGCTTTGCAGCTCCGTATTCCAGAACTTTTCAGGGGGCGCCATAGCGGGCATAGTGATCGGAATCGTCGTGGCCATCACCATGCTCGCACTCTTGTTGTGGTTCGTCATCAGGCGTATTCGACGTCGACAGCGCTCCACACCGCTCGGGTCCATCGAACGTCGGGCTCGCGAACGAGCGATAGCTGTGACGCGAGGAAATAAGAGCGCATCCACAAGTAAAGGGGGTAGAATGCTGACCGAGGAGTTGGCCTTGGGTCATCTCAAGAGTTCCTCCTCCGCTAGCAGGAATGCAGCAGCTAGAGACTTGGAATCTGCTAGAGGCAAAAACTTGAGCGCAGGTCAAGCTTACGCTGTAGGATTGGACGGGAGACCCACTTCTGCTTACACGGCACAAGTAGCCTCCTCCATGCATGGAGATCCGGCAGCCGCGCAAGCCGAGGAGTTTAGGGATGGCGAACCTTGGCCACCGACGTCGCTCGGCGGAAAGAACAAACGTTCGGCGAGGAGACAGACGCAGGATCAGCCACCTGGTCAGGGAGCATGTGCGCACATGTAGCGTTTGTATGCGCCTAGATGCACTGTGTCAGAGTAATCCATTTCTCTCTGATCACCGTACGTTGCTGAAGATACTGCATGTCTTCACTGCATCGACGCTTCGCCACCAAGGGGCTCCAAGCACAAGGTTGATGGAATGCAAGATACTAGTACAGAGAAAAGACGAGATAGAGCTCGCCGTCACAACAGGCAAGTGGTATAAAAGTGCCGAGAAAGGCCAACGCTAAGCGACCGAGAAGGACATGCTGGCGTCTCCCACGTTCAAGCGCACTCCGCGGTCTCCCTGCCACTCGAGCGATACGGCCTCCAAAGATTCGGTAGGCAGAGCATTGAGCGCTGCGTGGCAGGGAAGCAAACGTCGTGCTGAGCATCATCTCTATCTCTCGCGGTGCAATCTGGACGGGCACTCACCATGTCCAATGTTAAAGTCGATGGCCTTGTAGGCTCCGCTCTCATCCGTTCCGCCTTGCCGAGGCAGTGTTCCGGGGGTGAAGAAGCTTCCGAGGCTAGTTCCAACTTTCCAGATTAAAGCTTTGGAGTCACCCAGACTGACGGTGATCAGACGTCTCCCATCAGGCGAAAAATCAAGTGCCGAAAGGCCCGCTCGATGACCCTCGATAACATAAAGCCTCGTCGCCGTCTTGAGGTCGTACATGATCACTGCACCTTCATGCGTACCTACTGCAAGCCTTTGCATCTTTGCGTGAAAAGAGATCGTCCGGTACGTGCGCACCAGCTCCGAGATCATCACTGTCGCAGCTTGCACCACAGCCTCTCGCATCGCTGTCTGCGTCGGATCAAGAGACTGCATGCAGAAGCACATGTGAGCCGTGTCGTACTTGGCGCCAACAGACATCTGGGCACTGCGTCTCACTTTGACGACAGCTTCTGCGAGCCGTGGTAGATTCGGATAAAGGATCAAAGGTTTCTGTGACGGGCGGCGGCAGTCAACTCAGCAAGATGAATCTCTCAAGCATCGAGCATGGCAGCGTCTTACTCACCCGACGAACCATGAAAGCGACGAGCCTAATTAGCAGCGAATGCGTCGTGGTGAATCAGCTCCATGGCCCCGATGCTTTCGAACGATCACTGTCAAAGGAAGCAAGTCCACTCACCTCATCGTCGCGCTGCAGTGAGCAGGCGAGCGGGCATGTAGGATGTCCAAAGACAGGGTGGTCATGAACAGCGGGGTATTGTCGACAGCAATCTGCAACGTGGCCTGTCTCGCTAGCAAGCGATTCGCCGAATTGTCTGGCACAGCAGCAAGAGGCGGCGCAGCATCGCCACCACCTGTTGCCGAGGCTGGATCCTTGTAAGTTGCGAGGCTGAACAACGAGCGGACAACGTCCATCGCGTCAAGGTAGTGTTGCCAGATCACAAATCCTTGACAACACAGTTCGATAGCTATGGCTTGGTGGTGCGTTGCTTCAGGGGTGCTGGCAGACTCGGACAGATAGAGTGAGATGCAGCTCGAAACGTCCTTGAGCAAGGCAGGCGAAAGCAGCTTGTACTTTCGCACTGCTATGAAACCTAATAATGCGACCGCCAGAGGCTCCTGAACAGGCCAGCTTTCGTTGGTCTGGGGCGGTACTGGACGCCGTGACAAGTCGCAGTATCAGCAGTTGGTCGCGGAGTCATCGAAAGATCACAACAACTTACATCGTGGCTGCCACTCGTCGCAGAGTCCATCGATGGCCGCTTGCGGCAATGCCTCCAAAATAGCGTCAAAGAGCACGGTAGCAGCTTGCTGGACATCCGCTGCACACCAGTATCTTGACCGTCAACATCCTTCCATCGCGGAATCCGCGTCTCATAGCAGCACTCACGGCTGGAGTCGACAAGATACATTGCAATCACTGGCAGCGCAGATCGAAGCTGCTCCAGGCTTGACGTTGCAAAGAGCCTGACGCACAATGAAGAAAGGCGATTGGCAGCTTCTTGCACCTCTGCAGGCGCAGGCGTGCAAGGCTGTCATCAGTTCCGGCATGCGTGTTTCGAAAATGACAGACACGCACCTGTCACTCGACTCAGGATGTTCAGGATCGTAACGAGACACAGTGCCGGGATAGGTCGCAGTTCCGTGGGTGTGTATCCCTTGCTGCAGCTCCAAGCAAGGAAAGACGGATCACTGCGGATGCGTGAATGCGTCAATGCTCTGCGTTGGGCGAGCTCTGAAGCTTCTTTCTTTTTGGGCAAGCGACTCACGAAAATGATCCAGTCACAACGCTGGCTCTACTGGTCAGCTCCTCGCCCAAGATCTCAGCAGCGGCTATATCGAGGTCTCGCGAGGTTCCAATTGGAAGCAAAGCTGCCAAAAAGGGGCTCAAGATGCGCGGAGCTCGTTTGTGGGCGGAAGCGGAAGCAGCTTTGCCCGCGACCGTCGTGCTACGTCCCATCGTGTCAAGTTCCCAGTCGGCAAGCAGGCCAACAGGTCCACTGTCGTTCGCATCTGTAAGTACGGCTTTCGAGGCCGCCTTGATCGCTCCTCTCAAATCCGCAACGAGCGGCATCCAATCTGTCGTCAAGACAGGCAGAGGCGACAAGACACCGTTGGCGCCTCTTTCTCGCAGTTGTCCGACAGATTGACCAGCTTGCGCTGCCTGTACAGCCCTGGCGGTGTCGCGGGCCACTTTTGTAGCGCCAAGGTACATTATCCACCAGGGCTGTTTGACTTCATCCTCAATCAAGGCGCGCGCCTGCTCGGCGCCTATGCTGCGCCGGAGCTCGTGGGTTCCGAGATCCCATACACGAGCTCTGCCATCAGCGTATTGTATCAGGAGGTCATCTCCGCGGACAGCGACGCATTGAATGGCCGTGCCTCGTCCTGGAACGAGATAGAGCAACTTGAGGCCATCCAGCAAAATCATGGCCAGCGTCCCATCCATCGAGCACACGCCCACGCATCCCTGGAGGCGAGCATGCGGAGCTGCAGAAAACGAAGCGATATCGGACACGTTTGTCCCGAACAAATTCCATTCTGCCTGAAGGGCAAGAGTGCTGCGACGCGGACGAAGAGGGGTTCATAAACTCGGCTTGTGGGGCATCCCGACCCCTGCACACTCACGAAGCTTCCCAGACCACCAAGTCCCCTTGTTTGCTTGTCCCAAACACGTGCTTGGCATTGTTCCGCGGGTTCGCAACAGTTCTCAGTCCATCGATCACCATCCCGTTTGCCCGGGGTGCATTTTCGACGTCTCGCGCTTGCAAAGCGCTTGTTCGGCCCGCAATCAGATCCAATAGCGGCAGAAGCCTGGCATGGCCACTTGCTGTCAAAGAGAGGCTAAGCATCAGCCTGAATTGCGTCGGCAGGCCCGTGTAAAACACACCTAGGACTATGACGACTCTTTCCAAGCTCAGCGGTAAGATGGCTGTGACAGCGGGCAACTCGGGGAATTCACTCTGCCACAGGTGGGAGTTGCCACACTTCAAGACGAGTCTGTCGAACTCGACGGCGACTTCCAGCTTTGGCTCGCGAATGGTCCCCACAGCTAGGGTGGGCTCGCTCGAAGTACTTTGAGACATTTCGCGATCATACCAATGGACGTGTATTCCGTCCTGGTCGTGACTTGCCGTTCCTGGACCAATCGTACCCGAGTCTAAATTCAGCGCAGCGCTTCCCAGTACATTGGTCAAAATCGTATCTCCCTTGCTTTGATCTACTCTGATCCCTTCTACCTTCTTGCCAAGTATCATAATACCTTTCCACTCTCTTCGAGAAGGCAATTCGAGCTGGGACTGTGCAAGATTGCTGTTGCTCAGATTTGCGCTTTCGTGCCGTCTGAAGAACGCTGCAGCACCTGCCGCAAAGGGAGACGCGTGATTGTGACCAGGAGGAACGATGGGTGTGGAACTTCCCGACCTGGGCACCAGTAGGGACGAAGAAGCAGGTCTGATTGCCGATGGCGCCACAAGCGGAGCTCCGGGTCCATGATCTGGACCCGCCTCTGTCGAAAGCCCATTCGAGCCGGAAAGCTTGGACTTGGAAGGTAAAGGTTCCATCGAGTCCGACGCGGCGCTTGCGGAAGGCTCGGGCGTGATGCTCCTCGACAGCGAAAAGTCTCGTCGAAAGAAGGCGGCTGCCGCTTCAAACGCGCCTGACTTGCTATCATCGGCCAGCAATGACTCGGAGCCAGATGTTGGCGGAGGCGAGTGAATATGGTCCAGGTGCAACGTGCCCGTGTCATCGACGTAGAAACATTCCAGATATGCGTTGGACTGATTGACCAGACGTATTGCTGGTGCGCTAACAGCGTCCGGAAAGGCGTGCGTTAGACGTACTCGCAGAGCAAGATTTTTACGATCGATGTCGACGACAGCAAGCAGCCTTCTTGCCGAATCCCAAGCTGAGAAGAGCTGCTGAGGCTCTGCCGAACTCGGTGAGGAACTTTCACCAAAATGTGTCGCACCACCGCCGTTTGATGTCTTTTGCACGTCGCGTACGTAGACGCGGCGTAGTGACGCGTAGTAAGGCGCCTTTGTCTCAGTGGCCAACACGCTGCCTGAGGCGGGTACGTTGGGCAAAGGTGTTCTGACCCTGGTAGGCGTCGAGCTGCTTCCTCTCAGCATCGCAAGCGCAGCAAGCGGCCTGCTCCCTGCTGTTGTAGCAGGGACCGCCGAGTTTGACGTGTCTGACACCGCTCCAGTCAGGGATGGTACGAGCGATGTAGAGGTGATCAGCTTGGCGTCTCCTGTGGACCAGAGCGTGAGCAGACCAGATGACTGCAAGGTGAGCAGTCTGGACGAAGAGATGTACTGCAGGCCGCTGATTCGAGAGCGGCAAGGTGTCTGCAGAGAACGACGAGGATGAAGCTGCTCAGTGAAGTCCCCCGCCTCCTTGGCAGAGCTAGTGTTTCGTGGCACTGCAGTAGGCTTCGTCTCGGTCCCCGTTATTTGTTCGCGAGGCTCTTCTCTGACATCCTCCACAAAATGCCTACGCATATGGGAAGGCGCAGGGGACGCATTGGACTGTTCCCTGCTTCTCGAAGCAGGTACGGGTGATCCATCTCCAGATCTTGCATGCGCGTTGTGATGATGATGATGATGATGTGAGAGATTAGGAGACAAGCCCAAAGCGCCCCTAATTCCACCTCTTTGTCCAGCGTGCCATTGAGCTTCCAGCATATCTTCTGCCCGATCTCCTTTGCCCAGTTCTCCCTCCACGCTAGCCTCTACGATTTCAACCCGACTCTGAGCCGGATTGGAAGTGGCGGAGAGTGGTTGAGGATGCTGATGATCGTCGTTGGCGTGCGTCGAGGTGGGAGACAAGGCTGCGCCCAACAGGGAGCTCGGTCCGGGTGATCGACTTGGACTGGTAGGTGAGAAACCCGCAAACGGAGCTCCTCCCCATAGACCGACGCCAGGCGCATGATGATGTCGCCTTGACGCGCTGGATGTGCCGCTTTGAAAGCTGGGCGTGGGGGATGCAGCTCGCAGGTGCAGGTTTGTGCTGCCTTCGACTTTTCCATTGCCAAAAGCTACTCCTCCACTTCGTTCATACCAGCCTGATGCGCGCACCGATGGACCTGCTTCTTCTTGCTCGAAAATCCGCGCCTGCTGCGAGTTGCCGCTCGGAGCACGGCTCATCTCGAAGAGCCAGACCGAACCGTCAGCTGTACCAAGGGCGACATGCTCCTGTTCTTCGTACTCCTCAAGTTGCCCGTCAGCTGGCGCTATAACACCAGTGTCGCCACCTGCTACTGGTCTCTTGCGCTTCTCTGCTCTCGTCTCTCGCCATGCGACCATCGCACACGCCCAAGGAGCTGTTGGCCTTTCCCAAGCATCCTCTTCGTCCTCATCCTCGTCTGCGTCTGCATCCGCCTCTTTCGCCTTGCCCTTCCTATCTCTCAAGCGCTCATCGGAGCCTAGCCAAGCAGCTTGTGCTTGGCGCTTCCAATCGATTGGCAGCCTCGGTCCTGCATGTTGTTTGGAAGGAAAGAGTCCGATAGGGATGTCTAGCGGCGCAGACCCTCCAAAGTATTGAGGAGACTGAACATGCATGCTCTTCTACTGTCTCTGTGTAAGAGCGAGGAGTTTAGTATACTGTCGGGCCTGAGATTCGTGTGCTATGGCAAAACAGAGTCAAGGGGCAAGTGTGAAGTCGACCTTCAAAATCAAATTCAAGTCGCCTTCATTGCGGCCGTTGCAGCTTTCTGTGTGAATCAAGAATCACAATCGTGAATGGGACCGGCGCTATACTCGCACGCACAACTTGGTGGCTCATCACGATCGAGTCTGCGCGTCTGTGCACCTCCACGTGACGCGCCTCAGGTCATCATCACAACAACCCAAACGCGGGTCAAAGTCATTCAGGAAGAGTTCCTTCCCGGCATTCGCTACGGCTCCTGCTGCCATCTTCATCTACGTGCGTGAGCCCCACGCGTTTGGCCTCATCTCGCCGGCAGCGCTTCGATGAGACGGCACGAGTTGCAGCCATTGAGTCAAGTATGAGCGCTCCTGTCGTCCGATGCCTCACGCGCTCCGCTGGAGCGATTCTAGGCCGACAAGCCTTGACATCAGACGTCTGCGCATGCACATCACTCGCATCTCATAGGTGGAGATCAAAGGCCTTCTCGACATCATACAGCAGAGCCTCTGATGATATACAAAGTGTGGACATAGCCATTGTCGGTGCAGGAGTGGTGGGACTAGCTCTAGCTTCCTCTCTGAGTGAGTTCTTTCTTCTGCTTCTCCCATCACGCTGCTACTCTGACTGACAAAAATCCCCCCCCTTAAAAGCGCAGCGAGAAAGGGTGTCTTGCATTCCAAGACCCGACTAGCTCTCATCGATCCCAAACCCTTGGAAGCCATTCAGCAATGGACGCCTGGAAATGGCTCTGCATACGCAGATGGAGTAGCGTGGAGTAATCGGGTCATCAGTCTGAACGAAGAAAATCGGTCTTGGTTGGAAGGTGAGCGCCAACATTTGTGCAGATCTGTTCTCACAGCTCATCATCAAGTATTTTCAAAACATGCAGCTCTAGGAGCACTGCCCGATCATCTGGACCCGAGGCGCATGAATCCGATTCGTAACATGCGCGTGACGGATGGTTTGACTGGGTCATTGATGAGGGTTGACGCACCTCCGTCTGAACACGGAACGGAAGGCCGGCTAGCCAGCATGGTGGAAATTGATGCACTGTGCAAAGCGCTCTCGCAGACTTTGGATCGGGCATCATTGCAGTATCATGCGTCGACTGTGCGATCAGTTCAAGCCTCTGCTACTTCAGAGGTAGAAGAACCACAAGATGCGTGGCCCACCATCAATCTCTCTTCTGGCGCATCGGTTCGTGCTAGATTACTTGTAGGCGCTGACGGCGGCAACTCGCCGGTGCGAAAGTATTCGAGGATAGAATCTAGCGCTTCGAAGGACTACGGAAAGAAGGGAGTCGTAGGCACATTGAGAATTGATCCGGCGCATGCTGTTGGAAGTGAAGGCGTTGCGCGGCAGAGGTTCTTGCCAACGGGTCCCATCGCTTGGCTGCCTGTGAGTTGCTCTCTTGTCGAGCTGTGCTGATCGCCCAGCATCCTGATCTACCTTCTTGCGCTCGTCAACAGGTGTCCGAAACAGCAATCTCGATGGTGTGGACCTTGCCTACTGAGCTTGCAAATGCCATCATCGCGATGCATCGTTCGTCCAACGACAACACACTTCTTGCTCAGCTCGTCACGGCAGCGCATCGTCTACCCTGGCCTGTTCTACGAAGTATTCTGCAAGCCATTCATACCCACCAAAACGTCCCCACTCCTGGAGACGCAAACCGAGACTGGAGCTGGCTCTCGCCTCTGATCCTTTCAGAGCTGAACCAGCCTGGCGTGCCGGACCCAATCGCCGGCCACGAGGTCCCTCCTGCCGTGCAAGAAGTGGATGCCTCTTCCGTAGCAGCGTTTCCGCTGCGAATGAATCACGCTCAAGGGTACTCTGCCTACGGCCAAGGGGTGGACAGCGCAAAGTACAATTTCAACATCAACGACTCGTGGTCAGAGATTCTGTCCAAGGGTATTTCGCAAGCGCAATCCCTCGCTGGATTGAGGAAGCCTAGCTCTCTGGCCGATTCCTCAGTATCCGAAAGACCCTCGCAGCCAGGAGCACATTTCAGCGCCTTGTCGCGCGATCGAGCCATCAGCAAGCCCAGAGGTCGCGTAGTGCTCGTGGGCGATGCGGCACACACCACCCATCCTTTAGCAGGCCAAGGACTCAATCTGGGAATCGCCGACGCCCGAAGTTTGTCCAATCATCTGGTCCAGGCAGCTCGGGATGGTTCGGACCTGGGCGTCGCTGCTTACGCGTTGGCAGCCTACGAGTCGGAAAGATGGGGAGCAAACGAGACGATGCTCAAGACTTGCGACTCGCTAGACTGGGTATACGGTTTCGATAATACGGTTGGTCCCACCGCCACGCTGCAAGACCAAGAGACGCTGGACGACACGTTTGAAGGACCCGATGATCCTAGAGCAAAGGTGCTAGCAGAGGCTTTTGTATGGGCGAGGAGCACCGGTCTGGAAGTTGTGAATGAGCTGGGACCTGTTAAGGAGGGCCTTGCTAGGTTGGCCGGCAGCGCATACTCTCGGCCAAAGTCAACTACAGGCAGTGGGTGACAAGCCCTGCGCAGCAATTCGATGAGATTGGCAGCAATTCTGATGGAATGTGCAATTAGAGGAGGACAGAAAAGCAGAATGCACAAAAGGTCTGACGTGTCCCTTCCAGCAGGCGAGAGAGGCAAGATTGTCCCGAGCAGCAATGAACGATGAGCAAAGAAGTGAGATGCTCAATTGAGGTCATTCGCCTGCGAACAGACGTTTGACCAGGTAGGTCGTCGATCCTATCAGTCTGAAGCCAGCCAGCGCCGCAACAGAGTAGAGCAAGAAGGCCATGTAGGTCAGTCTGACTCTATCATTGGACACGTTCAGGATGCCGATGCCGAGTCCAGCGTTGGACAAGCTCCAAAGCAAGACGACGTTGGTACGAATGCTGGCATAGTAATCCTTTTGCTTCGTTTCGGCATCCACGCGCTTCACCTCGGCAGGCGCTTTGGTCGAGAGCACGTGCACCGCATCGTCGTACGCTGAATTGAGATCCTTGAGATCGGTGGGGATCGCAACGTCGACGGTATTCTTGCCGCCGGCATTGCCAACAACGCCCAGATCAGTCTCCACTTTGTCCGATCCCTTGGTACCCCACGACACATCGTGGCTGTGTGTGGCGTTTGATTAAGAAACATTAGCCTGCTGTATGTCGAAGAAGCTCGGCAGCTTCCTGTACTCACACGTTGCAGAATGCGTAGATGCTAATGACGTTGACAAAGGATGGAGCCATAAGCAGATACTGGATGATGGACGTAAACATGTGCCACGGCTCGAACTGCGGCTCAAGGGCATCGATAGTCTTAGCTTTAGCGGATGCGGGAAGCACAAAAAGTTCGAGTGCCACTCACAAAGAGCACACTTGCGATGAGCCAAATGCCATACGTCGACGCCAAAGAGACGACAATGTTGATGAAAATTGGGTCCGTCACGAGCGCCGTGCTGCTATCGGCACTCCTCTCCGCGTTAATGATCGAGTGAACAGCGAGATAAACGGCTGCGGCCTGCGTGTTCATGCCTCGATGAGTCATGAGCATTCGGACTACACACCCAGCTGGCACGCAGCTGTCATCCTCCTACTCACGGTCATATACAAGGTGATCAAGGCAAACACGACCATGCTCAGGGTGTAACCCCATTTGCTTCCAGCAGGCCTGTTGCCCATGGAGAGCAAGAAGCAGAACACAATGAAAGCCAACTGCGCGCGAAACGAGAGAATAAGTACGCTTTCCTCCTGAATCAGAGCTTACAGGTTGCTCACGTAAATGTACGAAAGAACTACAACGGCGGTAAGAGACTTGTCAGTCTCAAATCTTAAGGTGAGATGCCTGATACGAATGCCAGACTTACTGATGTTTGGGACATGGGTCTGCTTCACCACGTCCGACATCGCAGTGGTAAGGATGACGAACGCTGGTCGTGAAGATCTCGATCAGAATGCTTTCTTTTCGCTCGATCAAACATCAGCATGTCTGCTTTCTAAAGACTTACCAATGAAGAAATTCGCCATGCCAAACCAAGAAAAGAAGAGCTGAATGGCTTGGTAGAATATCTCGATGTGGATGAAAAATTTTCTCCAGAAAGAGTGAGATGAGCGGTAGAGGTAATGGAAGTGGACGATAGAATGGATGCCCGCAAAGAAAGAACCATTGAGCCAACGTCTTCTCTGAGAGATCAATTCTGGTACCTGCATGACGAGAGGCATGCGTTTGAACTAAGGACTACGAAGCTGTAGAGGACGCGGACGATCTTACACACCTGGTCGGGCACATCTGTGACGGCCTGTGCAGACTTCACATAGTGCAAGATCCAAGCGCAGTCTCTCTTGGAGCACAACTCCCAGCACAAGATGCGATCTCTGTTCAGCCGAAGTGAAGTCAGGTCAGCGATGTTCGCGCAGGTAAGCAGTAGATTGGAGGCACGTACTCAGCTAGGTACATGTTGGACTGGAAGATGTCTGCATCCGCTTTACCGCCGTGTAGCGTTTCGCCTTTGAAGTAGCTTGCGAGCGGACCTTGACCTTGCGAGTCATTTTGCAAGGCTGTTGCAGACGTTCGAGCGAAAAATTACCGGTCAGATCGCCAGCCTCGCTCGAAAGTTCTCTTCCGAATACACTCACCAATGTAGCGATAAGCCGAGAAAGCGCCAGGAAGCACAGTGATAAAGCCGAAGACCGATTCGAGAGGCTTATCAAGAATGTTGCTCATCTTGTACTCAAAGTTTTGGGCAGCGATCAGAGGATTGAAGACTCCCTGCCCATACTTGCCCTTGAGCGCGACGATTTCTCCACAAGCTCCAGCCACGTTGCTGTTGATGTCGAAAGCTTTCCACAAGTGGTAGATGGACTTTGCGCGCGGCATGGTGCCGACATCCAACAGCACGCACACGTTCGGTTGCAGGACCTGTCCAAAGGCGTTGAAGAACCAGCGGTGCGAATTAATCTTCTTTTGATTGCGCTCTTTGAGGCAGAAGAGGATCTGAACCGGCATGATTCCCTTTTCTCGCCCTCGAAACTTGAGCGAAGGGTCAACAGAGAGCTGAGTGGTGTATCTGCGCGGTAGAGATGGGATCAGCTGATGCCGCAGCTGCGAGCTTCGAACCCAACTCACTCGTAGATGTGCGCTGTGACCGGCTTGCCATTCACCACGTTCTTGCCTACGCCCTCTTGGTAGACACCCATGGCAGCGAGGACACCTAAGCAAACGCCATGGTTAGTGAGCTCCCTATTCGAAGTTTGCAGTCGTCCCCGTGCCACTCACTCAGCGTCCTACTGTTTATCTTTAAACGGCCATCGCTGACGATGCAGACTACGACCTTCTTCCAGCCTTCTTTTCCCCATGTCTTGGACCTGTCCCTGGTACAGAGATGAGCAATATTGCTCATTACGCCATGCATCGTCCTCGTGAAGAGCACATCGTCTTCCTGTGGAGTCAAATGTGAGTGCTCGGGCATCGCTAGGAGATTTCGTCCGGCCGGCTAATCTAGCTTGGGCGACCCACTCACGTTGTACATGGTGAGACAGATGAATAGCTCTGTCCTTCTGGGCGGATCAAAGAGGACCTGACGAAGCGTGTAGCGCTCATCTTTGAAGTCGTCTGGGTCGCAAGTAGCAGCAGTGTATCTCATGTGAGTGAACTCTCTGCTTTCTCGATCATTGAGTCTGTCCAGCAGTCGAGTAGGAACGGGGCAGTCGAGCACCAGGTTTCCGTGGTACAGCTCGACTCGCTTCAACGTCTTGTAGCGACGAGGCACTCTCTGAGGGATGCGTCCATATCTGATTCCCCCTCCTCCTTCTTCCAAGAATCCACCAGGCATCCCAGCACCTGCCGCATCGCTGCCGAAGCGAGATTGTCTCCTCCTCAACGGCATGCCTTCCTCATCCTCGCTGTCTTCCGCCGTGAAGCCTCCGACAAAGTGTGAGCCTTGCGTGGTGTGATCCGCTGCTGAGCCCACGTGATGTCCACCATCATCGAATTGAGATGCGGGTGCGTACGCATAGTTGCCGTGAGCAGGCAAGAGCGGCACATCTCCAGCATCTACTGAGTTTCGATGTCCCGCATGAAGCTCCTGATCGCCATAGTCTATGCTGGCTCTACCTCCTCTGCCATACAAGCCGTGTCCAACTTCGCTCATCCTCCTGCCATGCTCCCCTGGCGTTGCGCCGTACGGACTATGCTCGTGATCTCCAGCATGAGCAGGCGGGTAGTCAGGCGCTGCTCCGCCGTACGGATTGTTCATCGGGCTACCAGCTACGGGAGGAGACGCGGCATAGGTAGGCTCGGCGTAATTATCGTAGTGACCTTGAGGCGGCGACATGGGTTGAGGGGGCGCACTGGCATCGTACGAAGGGTAGGCTGCATGCGCCCCTCCTGCCACTCCCGGCGGGGGCTCGGGTGGGTCAGAATACAACCTTTGGCCTCTTGGCGGCATTGCGTGACGGAATGGTTTTGGTGTGGCCTGTGTTCGCCCAGTCTCTCCGTCGTAGCTCGACCTGGCCAGCGCTTTCCAAAGCTAATGGGTCCTCCGAGTGCAATGACTCTGACGAGAAGCAAGCCTCGTGCGTTGCTGAAGGCTCTTGCGATCTTGAACGTTACCACTGAGTGCTTTGCGCCTACAAAAAGAGGCTTGCAGAATTGAGCCAGGGAGGGTCAATGTAGATGGTTGTAGCTCGTCACGATGCGGTGTCTGTAGGGCCCTTCTTCATTTTGAGTATACTCGTGACTCCTAATTGCGATCCAAGATCGATGTCCACTCCACAGGCCGGCCCGAAGCGCCGCTTGGCCAGTTCTGCAAGGCGCATCTCTTTCCGCCTGTCCGCTGTTGAAGCTGCTGCGAAGCTGCTGATGCTGATGCTGTGCAGCCACAAGACGTCACTCAACTCCACGCGCGCCGTACCGTTGTCCCCTTTCCGCGGCAAAACATCACACACTCACCGCGTACGTGATTATGCTGTGCGCAGGATGCGCGCGTCTCATGCATCATGCATCGCGCGCCCGCGGCGAGAGAAAGCAAGCAGCTGGCAGCGGCGGTGGAGAAGGCAAGTTTTGCACAGCAATTGCATGTCCATCAGCTTGCATGACACGCCAGAGCTCAGGAGGGCGTCCTGTACAGGGGCAAAGTGCAGCACGCGTGATGCATCATTCACGATTGTTGTTACAGTCACTACTGTGAGTGTCTCAGTAGCATTAGCAGCTATGGCGTACAAGAGTCAGCAGTTCGCCGCTTAGGCCCACAGAGCTGCATCATGGCAGCTAGGTGGTCAACGTTGACCACCATTCACGATTCGTGATGGGTGGATGATGCTGCTTGGAGACCCGATGCAGGTGCACCATCCCGGAATTCCTACGACGCAGCAAGATCTTATGCTCGCGTCGAATGAGGGTGAGTGAGGCTGTGTGCATATCATTTGCAGTCATGAGTGCATGCAGTCCGCACGAGAGCAACACGTGATCTTGCGAGTTCCGGTACGCTCTCGATCGTTTCAAAGGCGAATCAAGAATCAAAAATCACGAATCTCGAAACTCACTCGAGACTCTTGACTCTTGACTCTTGACTCTTAACTCAATACTCAAGCCTCGCGCACTCTTTGACTCTGAAAGAGGGCCTGCCACGAATCATCAGAATGTGTGCCCTACCTACACAGCGCAGATGCATTCCGACATATCGTTATTATATTTGATTTAGTCGGCTTGAAGATCAGTCCCTGATTGTGGATTTGAGCCTGGAATGGGAGCTTCAGACTCGCAGGATATCGGGCGCAGCGAAGCTTTCTGAGCTGGATGGTCAGCCGCAGCGGGAGGGCAATAGCGAGGATGTCCAAGACTGCGCTGGCCTATGTAGCCTAGCCAGGACTCACTCCCCTTCAGTTGCAGAGATCTGCCTGCCAAGTCCACAGCAGAGCGTGAAGCCGGCCACACCTACCACCCATGCCCCTCGGCTGGCTCCTCACAAGCCCTGTGCGCTGCAATGCCTTTATGAATTGCGACTTTCATCAGGTACCCTCGAGCACTGGTTCGTGTCCATTCTCAGTGCACCATCAAAGACAGTAGTAGTGTTGTAGTCAAGTGGATGTCTGTACACGTCGCTAGTCCAAGCCAAAAGTTGAGGCTGGCCTCGCGAATTAGTCACGAGAGTGTAGTCAGTCAAAAGTGAGTCCATCACCCGTACCGCGTCTGTCCAGTCCCCGCCACGCGCAACGGCTCGTGCAGCTGCAGCGAGCGCGCGCGCGCGCGCGCGGGACTCGAAATGCCTCGGGGCGGGGGAAAGCCCTGCTACTCAGACTGCGGGGGCCGACACTCACGACTCTGACGATCTTCTCCTACCAAGCATACACATGCTCCCTGTATAGCGCTTCGGACTGGATATGCGCCCGTCACTCACGATCAGAATGTTCCTGCCTTGGGGTCGAACAGACACTGTTTGCGCTGCTCGCCCACGTCACCCGTTGCCGAGCGAATCCGTTGAGAGTGTCGAAGAGGGTCCAAGAGGCTAATGGCCGCGATCATAGCACTACGGCCGTTGAGATCACCACGTCTCCTAGCAAAGGCAGGCTCGCAAAAATTGTCGGAACGTGATCTCTTCAACGGCAGGATCCAAAATTCACTTCGCAGTCGCAGTGGTCGCCTCACAGCGCTGAGCTTTGGTACCCATTCATCTCACCGAGCCGGCCTTGAAGAGAGCGTCATGGGACGAGGTGATTCATTTCGACGAGCGGCTTTGCGTGCGTGCGTGCATGCATGCATGGATGTCGCACGAGCGAGGTGACTTTCGCATTCAACGCGCCGCGCGCCAATGGGCAGCCCCTTGCTGCTCGGCGCTGCTGGTAAGCATGCCTTCGCTGTGCGTGGTCCAGTAAATTGCTTGCACCATTCACGATCTGCTGGCCGCTGGTAGGAGTAGAGTAGTCCTACTCGTGACTCCTACTACCGAGCGGTAGTATTCTGAGTAGCGCGTGGGACAGAATCGCCCTAGCAACATGGCGCACCGCAGCGCAATCAGTGAATGTATCGGCATAGGTCTCACGCTTCAACTCATTCCGGCTATCGGGGACAAGATTCTAGCTATGAGTGTACGCAAGCCATAGATCGTCTACTTAAAGGGGGGTTGTTCCTCACCGTCCTTTCTCTTTCTCCCTCTACCTCACCCACCTCTCCAATCCGCTTCTTGCTATTGACCCTTTCCCCACGCCTCCCTCGGTCTCTTCAACACGCACGCACGCACACATACACACACATTCGCTCAACATGCACTTCACCTCTTCCATCTTGGCCCTTGCCGCCGCCTTTTGCGCCTTGAGCTCCACCACATCAGCCTCTCCAGCCGCTTTTGAAGGTGTTGCTCATCTTCCTCGTCGTGACCAGGCCCCAGTCTACAAGACTTGCCACAAGTCCGACTCGGTCGCTCTGACCTTCGACGATGGACCTTGGAAGTGGGAGACTTCCATCGTCGACCAGCTCGACAACGCGGGTGCCAAAGGTGAGCAACGCACAGATGTACGCGATCTGCAAGAATTCACACTCACCTTTCACTTCTCACGTCGCTCTGGCAGGATCCTTCTTCGTGAATGGAAACAATTATGGTAAGTGAACACTTCGCTCTTTGGAGATCGGTAGAGCGTGCGCTGATCCAGATGACGTCCGATGCTGTACAGGCTGCATCTACGACAACATGCAAGTCAAGTCTCTTCGTCACGCCTTCAACCAGGGTCATCTGATCGGCTCTCACGGCTGGGAGCACCAAGACTTTTCCCAGCTCTCTCGTGATCAAATCAACACTCTTTTGCACAAGAACGAGGTGGCCTTTAAGCGCATTCTGGGCGTCAAGCCCCTCTACTTCCGTCCTCCTTATGGAAACCTCAACGATCAAGTCTTGAGCGTTCTGGCCGAGCGCGGTTACCGCGGCGTCTTCCTTTGGGACAAGGACACCGAGGATGCGGATGGTGCGGGTGTTGCTCACGGAAAAGGCGTCTACAACAGCATCACGCGCAACGCGCCCAAGAGCAGACTTGTACTCAACCACGAGACCATCAAGGCAACCTCTCAGACCGTCGTGCCTTACGCACTTCAACACCTCAGCAACAAGGGCTTCCGTCTCGTCACTGCTACCGAGTGCAACGGGCTTGGCGACGCTCCAAACGACTGGTACGACTTTGTCGGTGGCAAGGAGTCTCGCAACGACAAGTGGCAATGCTAATTCACCCATCTTGCTCTACCCTCCGAGCACCCAAAGCCTACCACTATCATCGCACTGCATGTCTCATGAGTTGGGACCCAGTGCAGATACTCAATGCGACGCGACTTTCAGCCCCTCCGACGAGCTTGGCCGAAGGATGCCCTTACTCGAATACAAGCAGCCCACAATTGTACACACGACCCGCCTCAATCTTCTCTCGCTTCTTTGCCCGCACTCGCACTGGCGATTGTCCTAGTCGTTATATCGTAGTCAGCCTCTCAACTGTAGCCTTAGCCAATCTCCTATATCTAGAATGCACTATTCAATTAGATGACAAATCATTTCTTTCTCTTTTCTTATTCATTGGTGTGTGCGTTCTTCGGCGATCTTACAAGAAGGGTTCAGCTGCTGTGCGCCATCAACGTGACAACATGGCCATTCCTCGTGCTTTGGGCCACTGAAGGTGAAGAGCGCCGAGATGCTTGACGACTTGCGCTAGCCCGCATCATCAAGTCTGCTGCGTGCTCTTGAGGGAAGAAGTCATTGTTCATATTGAGCCAACAGGAGTCTCCAGTACCATAGCGTCCTAGAGGGCGAGCCCGCCTCGAAGCTGATTCATCACGCATCGCGTATTGGCTACACGACCACGAACCATTGCGACATTGAGGCGCCTGCAGCAATCAAAATGTGGATACACGACTGCACATTTCACCTAGCTGATGATCAATTCCGCGGCATGGCGACTTTGCCTCGATGATGTTTGCGCCTTTCGGTGAAGACGTGAGCAATGCGCGCATTCATGTGTTGCCTGCCTGGCCGTCTCGCACTGAAATCTGATTGCTGCATGACGCGCAGGACGGACTGTGCGATGCTCGCGAGCCATTCATATTGGCGATTGTGAATGTTTACGATGATGCTACGGATATATATGTGATGAAGGATCATAGTCACCCCGACTCACCCGCCCGCCCGCCAAAGTCTGCGCGCGTGATGTTCGGAAGACGCGGAATGCACATGCAGCGAGTCCGAATGGAGGAAACGCTGATGTAGGGTCACTCACGCATCAGCACGGACCCACTGACAGCGTGTCGGTCGCATTGCTGATGTTCGCAGAGCGTACAGCAAGCAGCAGTCACGAGTCTGAGTCGACATATACCCAGAGTGACGAATCACGAATGATGCGAGCGCTGCCGACATCCCGCTGAACGCCTCGTCCATGTGATTGATTCGCCTGATCTATAGGCCGCGGATCGCTCTGCGTGCACGCGGCACTCATACATACATACCATATATTCAAATACGACGGTTGTCAGCGCTTATTAATTCGACCGACGCTGATCAAATTTAAGAGACCGTCTGCACATGTTGTTGCTGACCAAGTCCTGTCACTGCGACGCGCGCATGTGCGACCAAAGTGCACGACCAGACCAGCGCCACGCGAAGGTCGCCGTCCGGAAGGTGTCAGCTACGCCACTCACAACATCCGCACACCATGCTGGCATTCACTGCTGCTGCTCATGAACGCAGCGGAGACTTTGCTTTACACGCTGTGAAATGCCAATGACGACGATCGACTCTTGCTGCTGAGGGAGAGCTGCAAATCGGATCCGCGTCTTTGCGAAATGTCCGTGGACCAACGACGATTGCCACTTGCCGGTGTAGCACAACAGAGGGGGCGGCGCGTGCAACACGTACACTGCACTCGAATAGATCGAAGAGCTGATTCTATGTGTGTCTGTCGATGTCGAAGTTGCAATGGCGAGTCTCCGCGGTCTGAGAGACTTGTGACTTGTCTGTTTCAACATGTGCTGTGCATTCATATGAAGTTGCAGTCGTCGCCCTTCAGAAGAGTCACTGCTGCTGTTCGGGCTGAAGCGGCCTACAGCTGCGCGCGGCGTCGGTCTAGACCGTCGGTGTTATTGTTCCTGGCAATTAAAGTCTCTGGCAGCGTATCGGCAATGGCGACAAATTTCAGGGCAGCGCGCGGCCCGTGATGTTCCTTCAGAGCGTTGCATTGTTCCTTCCTCGCCGGTGGCGGCAATGCGCAAGTCTGCTCTGATCAGTCTCATCTCAATGAATGTACCCAGCATTCTGATACACATCTCCAAGAGATATTGTGCCAGTGCGGTGCGTGCGCACAGCCAATCGTGCAATCACCGTGAGCGGTACGTGTCTCCCGGCGCAGACTCTTTACCTCGCTGTCGACTCTGTCGTAAAGGCGACTTAAATGCGCGGCACCTGCGTGGTGATCGGCAGGTGCTGATGATGATGCCTCCTCTTTGCGTTTCATCTTAATTTATGTGCGGACAAAGACAACAAATTGTTCGCTCGCCAATGGACACCGCCGTCGTAGATGAAGACGGAGGCAGACGAGCGTCTGCTCGAGAATTCTTCGCTCGGTCTGCGCGAGGAACCATATGACTGTTGCATAGCAGCCCGCACCGGAGATCGTCCAAGAGTACTGCATCAGGCACTGTGTCTGACGCTGCCGGGGAGAGGTCAGAGCGATCAGCTTCGGACAGCTTCGAGCGCTCGCAAGTACATAAGCGGAGGTGAAAGTCACCATTCCAGGCTATCTCTCCTCACCCAGCTCGCTGATTCCACTTCTCCCTTCCCATCTAACGCGCTTCTTCCTCACTCGTCTCTTACGACCTCCAGCTTCCCCAGCTTTCAATCCAGCTTACCAGCTAATAACGACAGCAGGACCAAAATGTTCGCGCGCAAGCAGATCCTCGTCATTGCCACCTTGTTGGCCATCCTTGGAGCTGCCTCGGCGCTCCCCCAGGACCCAACGACCAAGCCCACGCCTGAGGACAAGCCTCTCGCGACGGCCCCCACCGACTCTAAGGACAAGCCCAAGCCCCTCGAGACGGCTCCCACCGACTCTAAGGACAAGCCCAAGACTGGCGACGAGCCCGCTCAAACTTACGCCGAGCCCACTGGATTCAACCCCGATGGAAGCGGTGGCAAGACCCTCGGCCAAGACGATCCTGCTACTGAGCGTGACGAGACTTGGCCCGCTTGCGACACGCCAGACCAGAACCCTGCTACTGAGGTGACGTGGAAAACGGGCAAAGCCAGCACCTACAAGCTCAGCGACGACAAGGTCTTCTTCTTGAGCCCTGGTCAGGGAGCCTGCACGAACTACAGTGAGTTCGACGTCGTTGCGCTACTAGAACCTTTTCCGCTCACCTCGACTCTCACCCTTGCGCAGCTGACAAGGACATTGGAATCTGCCTCAAGCCAGGATGGCTTAACAGCGGCTAGTGAGTTGGCATGGTGGGCCTCTAGGTGACACGAGCTGACGCTCAACCTCACCCGTAGTCACAATTTGTGTGACTCCGTCGTCGAGGTCTTCCACCCCAAGGCCAACGTCAGCTCCTTCGCTCGCGTTGTCGATGCCTGCGGTGCTGTTGAAAACGCCACCTTCGGCTGCAATGATGTCTACCTCGTGAGTGCAAACGTTCACCTATGGGTGACTGGGTTACACTGACCGGAACAAGCACGCGTTGCCGCAGACCAAGGCTCTGTTCGAGACCCTCGCTGGAAACGACACTGATGCTGTCGACAGGGGTAAGTCGGTTCCTGGCTGTCGCGCTCGTTTTCGGTGATCTTACTCTTGACGATCTTCCGAACAGGCGCCCTCCTTGGCCAAGTCCAATGGCGTTTCCTGGACGGTGAACAAGCCAAGAAGGCACAGAAGAAGCACCCCAAGTTCTTCCCGCGTCCATTCGCAACCACACACTCCAGAAGTAAGAGCAAGAACAAGGCTGACTCTTGGAAGGATGAGAACGGCAATGAACACGCGTCGGCAAAGAGCGCCAGTGTCACCGAGGGCGGTGCCCTTGCTGGTTGGGTCGACGCCTTCGGCGATGACTTTGACGACCTCGACGACGATGACGGCTCTCCCGTCACCGAGGCTACGGTCCCCCAGCCTGAGAAGGCATCGGAGAAACCCGAGCAGACTCAGACTGAGGAGCAGAAGCCCGCAGACCAAAAGCCCTCGGACCAGAAGCCCACCGAGGAACAGCCCACCGAGGAACAGCCCACCGAGGAGAAGCCTGCCGACAAGCCCACCCCTAGACGTCGCTCCCTGCGTGCTTAAGGGTGAGCTGTCGATGTCGCTGCCCTCTTCCGCTGGTCCGTGTGCTGTCCATCTTTAGCTCGTGCCACGCTTGTAGTGCAGTCCCTTAGCTACCCTTGTTCCTGCTCGCGACTCCTTAGTGACCACCGTCTGACTCTTGCTCTTTGCCACGTCAACCACCTCGCAGAGAAGAAGCCTCATCATGACTAAGACAATCGTGCCCCTCGAATCCAATCGTTTACGAAAATCCGACCCGACGCGCCAGCTCATCGTCAATCCGCCTAGCTCACCGTGGCGTACTACTGGGCGTCGTCCTTCCATTCGCAATACAATAAGTTACTTCACTTCTATTCTGCAGATGTATGTCAATTGGGACGTTGCGCACCAGTCCTAGCTCACCAAAGTGCTGCCAGTCAGGCCCTTGTGCGTGACTCCGTCCAGATGAAGCTGAGTACAGTCCGCGTAAAATGATGAATTGCCGAGACAGTTGGCTGGAGTACAGAAAATGCTGTGCGAGAATCTCGCTTTGGCTGTAGAGTGTCAGAATTGCGTCGGAAAGCGAGAGGGGACTGGTGTCATGGGTTTGACCAAGTGAGCGAAGCTCTTGGGCTCAACAGAAACCCATATATGCACGCGCTGACGGGTAGCGTTGAAGCGCAGACTTATGGTTTCTTGTACTCGGCGAGTACAGGAAGGATCTTCTCAAAAGCGCTGTAGATCTCCTCGCGGACCTGAAATATTTGACTCCACTTGTCAACGACAATGTCCGTTGGGAACAAAGCCATGGTCGCTCGCTCACCTTGGCACCTGTGAGCACGATCTTGCCGCTGACAAAGATCAGCAGCACCACCTTAGGATTGACCATGCGGTAAATGAGACCGGGAAAAAGCTACGCGGAGGCAGGGTGAGCATAGCGCGGCATTTCAGGGTAACTTTGGCCAATACCTACCTCTGGTTCGTAGGACGAGAAAGGACCGTGGGCATACGCCAAGCCCTCGAGACGAATTGGAAATCTCACGTCGCAGCTGAAGCATATTCGTCCTGGTGGTCAGTGACCTCATGCCAAATGCGAGTTGTGGAGCCAGGTCTCACCTGCCAACGATATTTTGTATCTTGAATTCGGAGAACTTGGCCTCGAAGCCGAGTTTTTGGATGATACGTGCATACTTGCGGCTTGCTAGACGACTATCCTCCTCCGACTTGGCACCAGTGACAACCATCTTTCCGCTTGCAAAGATAAGCGCCGTGGTCTTTGGCTCACGAATACGCATAATGACAGCAGCGAATCGCTGATCACATGGCGAGCGTCCACGTCAATGACGTCGATGTTGGAAAGGCACATTCGCGCAAGGACGTACCTTGGGATTGTACTCGGCATTGCGTGCGTGGAGGGCAATGGTCTTTAGATCGAGCTTGACGTCAAGATTGACCGTAGCTACAATGTTCCTGATGGAGCCAAGATAGACGGTTGGGTATAAACATGCGACTGTCCGAGCATGCACATACGTGCACGCATTGCTCAACGCCAATGGCACGCGCGCTTCCAGTGAGGCCGCGGGCTCCTCTCGATGCCAGTCACTCTTTCCTAGTCTTGGCGCACGATGCGCTCATCGACCTGAAGCACTTTCCGCCCGTGCGCACTCACTGCAGAGTTGGCAAGATGCCATGTTTGCTCATGAGTCTCTGTTCGATCACCGCGACGTCGTCCACTTTGTCAACACCTCCTGTAGATGACTTGCCCTTTCCGTCCGCACCTCCACGACTGCCGCCGGCTCCATCGTTGCCACTGCGCCCTCCAGGAAGAGCGACACCTGCTTGCACCATAGTTCAGCTGGTTAAGTCGAGGGCAGATGACGCTTATCCAGAGCTGGGAGATGCTGACGTGCCCGTGTGACTGCTCTACTACAAGAACTTCACCAGTGCTCGTGATTCGCGCGGCGAAAGGACCTGGCAAGCGATGGTATAGAACGGTGTCGCGCTTCAAGCCGTCCAATACCCTGAGCGAGGCCAAGGAAGCCAGCTTCGAGGCTGACAAGCCAGGAGTGGATGGGTCTGCGCGTGAGAGATAGGGTGGGTGGATGAAGGCAAGAGTGTGACCGGCTTGCACTGCCACAAGCGCCACCAGTCACCAGAAGCTCTTCAGCGGCGAGTGATCGAGAGACGATGGGGCTTGTGGTGTGGTGTGCGGCCAGTGAAGACGGGGATGGAGGTGGGAACCAGTGCCCAACTTGCCTTTGTCTGATCTTACTTTATATATGCGCGCGGTTGCACGAGGTGCGACCGCTGTGCAAACCGTCGGCGCAGAATCAGTCACGTGATACTCGCGAGTTGGCAAAGCGAGAGGTGATATCTCTCGCGTCTGGAAAGCAGCCAGGATGCCTGCTCAGTCGGACGGCATGACGCGCATGCACGCAACCCCTCTCCACAACCTTCAGTCACAGTGAACGGACATGCTCGCTCACTCATTGACTTTGACTCCGTCATCGAACTCACATACAGCAGAATCCGCAGCAGCTCTCGCTCATCAGAGTTGATGGGGAATGCTGTGCGTAAATGTCTGCCCCTCATAATGCCTTGCCGGATGGCAGTCATCTGTCAGAGCCGGTGTGTGGCACATCGCCTCCATATCCCGTGACCGCAATGGGGGAAGGCAATGGCGGTCAAGAGCAGCAATTGACATCTTTCAACTTTCTCTCTGACGATGGGAGCGAAGATCACGAGTCGTCGTTTGCTCCATGGGGCTTGCTGTCGCGGGTCAGAACCGCGCTGACTGGTTCAGCGTCTCAGGCAGCAGCAAGCTCTCTCACCAGTAATGGCGCCGCGCCGGTCGCACCTTCGCTACAGGACCCGGCAGCGTCGACAATGGCATCCGCATCACTTGGCGGCTGCGTTGATCGCCTAGATGGGCGTCCGGCCGCTTCTCGACCAGCGGCCGTGGAACCCTACGTACGAACAGCTAGCGTCGGAGGGGATGCTCGAAGCGAGATTTGGCCAGCCAGCGCATCGACTTCGAGATCAGCGACTGGCATCAAGCAGCACATCAGTGGGCTAAGTCAAGCCAGCTCTTCCCAGGCGCGCGTCACAAAATCAACCCTCAAACCGGGCTCCTCCAAGTCGGCCCTTGCCCCGCCCTTCTCATTGCGCCCCGCGCCTGCCTCGGCACTCACGAGCACGACTGCGGCGCACGCGCAACCCATCACACCTACCAGTGCTTCCCGGTCTGGGGAATTTGACGAGGACAGCTTGGGAGCCCTTAATTCTGCAGCTCGTCCTCCGCCTTGGGGCGCGGTGCCCGGGTTCCCGCTGCCCAGGGATCTCCTTGCAGACGACGCGCGCTCGATCAGGAGCACGTCGTCCAGGCCTCGATCCGAAATCGACTCTCCTTCTTTCGCAATGCCCCATCTCGCCTCAACTTCTGCAACTGGTGCACGAGCGTCAGCAGCGCCCTCTTCTGCCGAGGCCATTCGACGCCTTCGGGAGACGGAGCCGGGCAGTGATCGACGCTTCTGGTTGCCAGATAAGCATGCCACCGCGTGTGGTGGTTGCGGTGTACCATTCAGCACTTGGCGAAGAAGACACCACTGTCGCACCTGCTTTCTGGTGTTCTGTGCCTCGTGTGCCAGCAACATGCTTCCCACACGCCAAGCAAATGGTCTTCCTGGTCCAAGGGCGAGAACGTGCAATGACTGTGTCAGGCTTCTTCGAGATACCGCTCCCAGCTCCAAACCTACTCGTCTCGTGCCGAGTCCTTCAGCCTCCGCTTTGGAGAAGTCCGATATTAGCGCTCCTCTTGAAGCATCGAGCAAAAGCCCGCAAGCCCAGTTCGCTGCCAACGCCCTGTTCTCAAGAATAAGAGGTCTTCCCAGCACCCTAAGCATAAGTGGCTTGGCTGGATTTGGGCCTGATGACTTTGGTTGGGACAGCCGCGCCGCGTCGCCTGATCTGATCGCTGTAGACCCGGATGCTCCCGTCTCTCGCAACGGCATGTCTCAAATAAGCTCCGCAGCTCCTTTTCGCAAAGCTCTTGCAGACGACGATCAGATTGCAGTCGCTCCCGATGAAGAGGCAGATCCCGGCGAGTCGAATAGGGTGGTAGTCGACGCTTCCTCTCCTCGAGACGCGGGCGCGTCAACACCAGATGCCGCCCCTCAAATGGGCAACTCGGGCTTGCCACGCAGCCTACCCCTCATCGCATTTCCAACTCAATCAACGGAGGACGGCGACGACGCTCGTTCAGATACTGGCGCATCTATACATAGCCACGCTAGGACTCGATTGGCGAGCGAGCTCGGAGGACACGCGGACCCGCGCGCGAGGCTCGTAAGCGATGCAGCCCTTCGCGCGATTCGCAGATCTCGGCTCCGCAGTCGCGTGGCTGTCGAAGATGTAGACCGTGCCAAAGGCCACGGAGAGCCTGGCATTCCAGGCCCGAGCGCAGGTGGACATTCCCGCCATCAGAGCATTCTTGGCGGTCAACAAGACGCACTGCCCTCACACGGTTTAGGGCCGCACGCTCTTGCGCACCTAGTGAAATTCTTGAAGCAGTCTCTCAGGCAGGCGAAGCTCGGCGGGGGAAGCCAAGATTGGGAGCGCGTGCTGCTGCCCTTGATTTTGTCCGTGTGCGCCAAGGTGCGCCCACGGCCCAGGGCTGGGGAGTCGGCCGATGTCCGTGCCTATGTCAAGATTAAAAGAATTGCTGGAGGGGAGCCGCAAGAGTCGGCATACGTGCCTGGAGTGGTCCTGTCCAAGCATGTCGCCACGAAGCGCATGGCAAGTCGGTTGCCCTTGCTCAAGCCAAGAGTGATGCTGCTGGCATTCCGCATGGACCATGTGTCGAGCGGTCTGTTCACCCTCGATCGCGCCGAGCAGGAAAAGGAATATACAAGGATTCTCGTCGCGCGGATCGTGCAGCTGCGCCCGAATCTTGTGGTGATTCGCGATTCTTGCTCGCGTCAAGCGATCGCAATGCTCGAAGTGAGTCGGCCGAGCTGCAACGAATGAGGGCTGGGTTCATGACTCCGCCCTTACCTGACCTTCCCCTGCTTCTTAGGGTGCTGGCGTTGTTGTCGTCTGGAGTGTCAAGCAGACGGCTCTGGAGGCGATTGCTCGATGCTGCAACGCTGACATCATCACGTCTGTCGACCGTCTTGGTCTGGACCCACGCGTTGGACGCTGCGCAAGTCTGAGCGTCGATACATACTCCCATGCTCTTCTCCCAAGCGCCCGCAAGTCGTTCATGAAATTTCTCGCTCCTAACTTCATGCGCGACCCGTCAAATACTGGCGACGTTGTCAGTGGCGCCTCGCAATCGTATACCCAAGGGCAAGGGGGCTCAGTGGCCACAATCGTGCTCAGAGGAGGAAGCATGTCACTTCTTGGTCGCGTCAAGTCCGTCTTAGACTCCTGCATCTTCGTAGCCCACAACCTTAGGCTCGAAGATTGTCTGGCACGCGACGAAGGAACCACCATCCTAGATGCAGGGAACGACGATGAGGATGCCAAGAAGATGGGACACGCGAATCAATCGGAGCCCGCCGACAAACGCATTCGCAAGCTGATGCGTCCGTACGAACATCACTTGGGGAGCGCAAGTGCTTTCCTGCACGTTCCGCCTCCGTATCCTCTCGTCAAGCTGAAGCAGGCCCATGAGCGCCTGCAGAAGCTACTACATGAGCGCCAAGAAAACGCGGATAGAAGTCTCATAGCGGACGAAAAGGCGGCTCGCATTTCTGCTACTGAGCCCCGAGCCAGTGCTGGCACCCCACGCAAGGCATCTAAGTCCTACGCCGAAGTGGCGGCATCTGGCAGTAGTGATACACTGGGCACTCCTCGACCTAGGTTGGCGTCAGAAGGGCTTCAGGCAGATGAGCTTCCGACCCGAGAGGTAGACAGCCTCCTGGATGAGTTTGCACAAACGACCGAGAACGATCAGAAGGCTGCGAATGTACAGACACCAACCGATGCGCGCGCATGGGGACAGTCTTCCTTGCCCCGGATGGCCGATGCACTCACCTCGAAGGTACAAGTGGCAGGCCTTGCAGAGGTCCTCCCTCAACCTTCGTACCTGACGGAGGAGACAGCCTATCGCCTTGCCGTGTTCCAGCGTGATGCGGCAGAAATGGCGTGGGGCGCGCTCTATGCAAAGCAGCAGCAGCCGTCGTCCTTGCTGTCATCAACGCGACACCTCGTGTTCCTTGCCTCTTCAATGTCGTCCACGACTCAGCGTCCATGTGAAGGTCCCGCCCTCAAAGCCGTCGAGCTGTACAGCAAAGGCGACGACACGTTGGGCAGCAGACTCGAGCGTATGGTCGCCGAGAGCGGATCAACGTGCCCTGCCAAAGGATGCGGGCGACCACGTCTCGCGCACTTCAATGTCTGGGTGCACAACGAAAGGCGTGTTCTGGTGGTCCTGGAGCGTTTCGTCTGCCCAATCCCGGGACAGGAGAGCAAAGTGCTGATGTGGTCTTACTGCAAACGGTGCGAGCAAGCTTCGCCAGTGGCGCAAGTGTCATCAGACACACTTTGCCTATCTTTTTCCAAGTATCTCGAGCTACACTGCAGTGCTGGCCCGAATAGCAAGCAGGCGACGTGCGGACACGACTTCTTCGACGACCACGTTCAATTCTTTGCCCTGCAAAACCTCGCCGTGCGCTTTCACACTGACCCGGTCGAAGTCCGCGACGTTTCCCTCCCACCTTTGCACCTGCTCTCGCGGCCTGATGTCGAAGGCCGCTTGAAGAGTGAGGAAGCATCGACCCTCGCTTGTCGAACGGCGGCCTACTTTGAAAGTGTCGGAGCTCGCATTCTTGCTCTGAGATACGAGGCAGGCCTTTGCCGTGACCAGGCTGCCGTTTCTGCCAGCGCTCTGCTTCTTGACCAGATGAGCACGCAAGCAGATCGCGACGCTGGAGAGCTCACGCTAGCTCTGGCGCGCGCGTGCGCCGAGACCCAGCCTACGGACGTCTTGGGTCTCAGTATTGTGCGGCGGCGTCTGCAGGAGGTGGTCGTTCGTTGGGATCGCGAATTTGAACGATTTGAACGCGAGAATCTTGCGGCGGAGCGAGATGCTAGGCGTTTGACGACCTCTGGCCTTTCGCGTATGTTCGCCGAGCGAGAGCCCGTAGCAGGTGGCGCGGATGGAATTACGCCACTGCCTCCTGCTGCGGAGGCTGACGAGTCTAACATTGGAAGCGGCCGGGACTCGGAAATCGAAGGATTGCCGCCGCAGCAAAAGGGGTCACCTGCCGCGACCCCAGAAAGTACGAAGACACCTGCTCCTTTGACCGCCGCTCTGCCGATAGGCCATACATCGGCGCCTCCCAGCTCTATCACCTCATCGAGCGCCTTATCCTCGGATAGGCTTACGCCCTCAGATGCCTTGTCGGCAGACGATCGCATCTCTACGAGTGGTGATGACCCATATCGAAAGGCGACTACTGCAAATCCAGAGACGACGACGATCACAAATTTGAGCTCGCCTGCGACTTGGCGCCGGCGTCGACTCCAGGAACGGACCGCTGAAGAGAGCTCTTGCACAGAGGCAGAACCTGATGGCGGTGCTGTCCGAAAATTCGTGCGTCGCTTGGAAGCTCCGCGTCCACGTATTGAATCGACGCTCGGCAGCCAGTCCGACGCGTCAGCAAGAAGGCCTATTCTACGAAGGGGCAAGACGGACGATACGACAGCGGGTACGCATCAGCAATGCGAAGTGTCGCCCTCTGGACCGCGCAGTCCGGAGAGGGTGCTGTCAGATAATGAGACATCTGTCAGACCCACCAGCACTACTACTTCTCGGAAAGATAGGATGATCGCCCAAAGTGCAGATCGCGGCCACCTTCTCTCGACACTCAGTGGACCTTCCAAAACAACAAGCGCGCCCTCTCCGTCTCATAGCCCCACAGTGCCTTCAAGTCGTCGTTTTGTGGCTCGACGTGGTCCGCCGAGTAGCTATAGGCCGCCGAAAGTGAGCGAGCCAGAATCAGACACCAGCACAGTGGTAAAACGTCTTCCAGCCTCAAAAATTCCGGTGCGATCGGAGAGCGAAACTGATGACGTCAGAGATGGCAAGGTCACACGAACAATCCTCCAGCGCAAGGGCTCGAGTGGCAGGATACGCCAAGCAGGTGCTGCTGCTCCCGCTCCTGCTAACAGTAGCACTCGCCGGCCCCTTGCATCTCCGGTCCTGCGCCGCGAGACGCCTGCTAACGGACCTAGGTCGCGTGTCTCAACCATCGCTCGTCATTTTGACAAGATCAATCGCGAGGCAGAGCGAGAACGCGAGCGTCAACAACGGGTCCTCGCTATTCGAGCCCGTAGAGCACAGCCAGTCGCTGCCACACACGCTCGCGTGGAGGTGTTCTCTAACGTGCTAGAAGCAGTTCAAGACGACGACAGCAGTGACGAAGATGAAGTTTCGGCAACGGGGCCAACCGAGCAAGGTACAGACGCCAATGCATCGGGTGGCGAAGCTGAGGACGAAGACGACTCCGATGCTGAACGATCACGATTGCGGCGGGCAAGTGTGCGCAAGGACACCTCCAATGGCACCATCACTCCGCAGATTGCGGCGCCCGATCTCACCCTCACATCTCAAAGTGGTCCTCCGACTGTCTGCCCGCCTTCGCCCCTCGAGGCGGTCGCGCCTATTTGTGCAATCCCTGTAAGCGCGCCGGGGTCTCACGGAACGAACACGCCACTCGCGCTCCCTTCACCTAGCCCAGACCCTCCGGCAAGTGCTGCAATGACCCTTGGTCGCTCTTGGCGCCAAAGCTTGATGGCCGATGCCACAGACGAGCGCGGCGCGACGGGCTCCCTGCTGAAGACCTTGTCATCACTTTGGGGCAAGGGACGGGCTTTACCTTTGCTAGACTATCCGATTGCATCTTCTGAACATTTCTTTGCCGACAGCGGTGTAGTCCTGCGAGAGGATGAGCCCTCGTCGCTTATTGCAGTGAGTGGCATACGGCGGGGGAACATGATCATGTCCAAAATTACTAACAGCCTGCTGGTTGGTTCTAGTTTACATTAAGCTCCTCCACGTATCAGCATCGTCTGCGAACGCTTCGCGCTTCACATGCTGGATTCCCATCAAGAAGTGCGATCGAGCCCTTTGATGGTGAAGGCGGCCTCGACTGCGAGAAGATTCGAGCTGCTGATCGAGGTCTCGAGCTACAGCTGCGCGAGCCGGAAGGCATCCACTTAAGGTTTGAATTCAACAGCGGTGGCTGCAAGTTTCACATTCGCACACTGTTCGCCGAGCAATTCGATGCTCTGCGCAAGGCATGCGACTGCGAGCTCAGCTTCATCCAAAGTTTGAGTCGATGTGTCAAATGGGACAGCTCTGGTGGCAAGAGTGGAGCAGCATTCTTAAAGACCAAAGTGAGCACACCGTCTCCACCGAAAGGGCGGATCGAAGCTGACCACCGCGCGTTTTGATCAGGACGATCGCTTTGTGATTAAGGAAATCTCCCGTGCCGAGATGGAAGCATTCTTGAGCGGCGCTACCGGTTATTGCCAATACATGGCCGATGCGATCTTTGGCGGACGGCCCACAACGCTGGGCAAGATTTTTGGCTGCTTCCGCATATCCATTCGCAACACCCAAACCGGAAAGTCCATCAAGCTGGACTGCCTGGTCATAGAGAACCTATTTTATGGTCGTCAACTCACGAAGATATTTGACCTCAAGGGCTCGCTCCGGAATAGACACATCCGCGAGACGGGCCGAGCTGATGAGGTCTTGCTCGACGAGAATCTTGTAGAGATGGCCAACAAGTCTCCCCTCTTTGTGCGCGAAGATAGCAAGAGTCTACTACTGCAGGCACTACGAAATGATAGTCTATGGCTTGAAAGCCAAAACGTTATGGACTACAGCTTGGTAGTAGGTCTCGACAAGGAGCGCAAAGAGTTCGTATGCGGGATCATTGACTACGTGCGCACGTACACCTGGGACAAGAAAGTGAGTAGCATGCCTGTGCTCGGCTCGCATACCGCAAAGATCTTGTCCTCATCTATCATATTTATTCAGGCCGAGACCTGGCTGAAAGAGGCATCAGCGCTTGGTGTTTCCAAGGCCACGCCAACGGTCATCACGCCAGCGCTCTATCGGCAACGTTTCCTCACCTTCATGAGCTCCTCCTTCTTGCTCGTACCTGACGCGTGGTGCCCTCCTCCCGACTCCCTGAACGAGACTTGCCCATCGTCTGCTCAAGGCGCCCCACTTGCTGCCGCTCCCACCTCAGCGAATCACCTCTGACCTCACCTAACCTCTTCTATTCTATCGAACCGAGCTTTGCCCCTACGCTCTCCCCTTTCTGGCCCTACTTCGATGACGTCGCTCTCGCTCGTTCATTCACACCTGTATTTGTACATTGGATCTGACCGCTAGTCTAACAAGCATCACTACTGTGACACGCACGTGCTCTCCGAGTTGACAGCTAGTCAAGAGCGGCATATGCAAATTCACAACGGGATATCAAGATCGCGCCACCCTGCTCACCATCGTTCATGGATCACGTGATCCGGCCTTTTTTTCGCGAAGTGAGGCACCATCCACGCGGGCAACTTCACGACACCCTGAAGCAGATCAACGGACTTGCTCACCAGCATTCTTGATTCTTGATTCACGACAGAACCTCTTACAAGCGCAGACTTGACTCGTCAGACAGCGCCGCTGCTGCCGTCAGCCGAGCCATCGCAATCTTTCTTAGTGCTTTGCCCCTCACTGCTCACCAAGCAGGAGATACATGAAGGCCATCAAGGGCTCTCTCTTGACTTGGTCAGTGATTGTTACCCAGGACTTCGGACCTCACTTCAGAGCGTGTGCTGAACTTCAAGCCACACTCCATTGCTTGCGCTTATCAGTGACCCAGCTGTCAAGCAGCTTATCCTTGCTATCAACGAAAGGTGCGCTCGGAGCGGTCACAAAGCACGAGGCGCAAGACAGCTGACGAAACCATTGCGCTTGTTACGACAGGGTACGCTTTGTCATACAGGTGCGAGCAATGCTCTCGCTGAGCCACATCCACATCGACTCGCGACTAATCTGCGCCATCTGCTTCTGCAGGACTTGGACGAGACGCATCTGCTCATATCCACCGACAAAGTGGAGTGGATGAGGATAGAGCTGGATAGCGAGGTGGGTATCTGGCGATGAGCAGAATAGTCGATGCACCTGTGTGCGCGTACTGAAGCTGAAGTCTTACTGATCACAATGTTCAGCTGGAGAAGAACACGTGGTCGATCGACGCATAGAAACAGCTAGGCTGTGTCGTTGTCGCAACCATGTCAGCCAAGATGCCGATGGTCGCGCCTATCTACCTTCCAGGGCAAGAACCAATGCCAGCTGGCACGACGCAAGAACAGATCGACCAAATGGCTCAAATGCAACTATGGACAAAAAGGGCATCGATGGCGATGGAATCCTGTCCGGTCAAGTGCGCCATGAGCGGAGCAGCAGGGTTTGCGCTGGGGGGTTTCTTTTCTCTCTTGTCGGCCTCTTTTGCCATCGATGACCCCCTTCGACGTTCCAACATGATGGCGGCAAATCTGGCCGCGGGTGGCGCGCCCCAGCCCGAATTGACTACGGGCCAACAGACCAAACTGTTTTTCAAAGAGACCGGAAAGGGCATGTATAGATCGGCCAAGGGTTTCGGAAAGGTGGGAGCGCTGTACTCGGGCATCGAATGCGTGATCGAAGGTGTGAGTAGAGCAAGGGCGAATATTGACGCTGCATGCCGACTGCCAGCGTGGTGCGCACTGGTGGAGCTGATGAATTTCCCACATTGCTCGTGCGCCTCCAGTACAGAGCAAAGAATGACATTCACAATGCGATATGGGGGGGCTTCTTTGCGGGAGCTGTGCTCGCTCGGAACAGTGGTCCGAAAGCAATGGTTGGTGGTGGAGTCGCCTTCGCAGCATTTTCGGGTGCTATAGACATGTAGTGAGTATGGCGGTGGCTCTTCGCGTTGCCCCGTCAGTGTCAACGAAACGTCAATCCTTTACTGACGTGCGGCGCTTCGTCAAAATACCCAGCTTCCGTAGGGAAACGCCCGAGGAACCTTAAGACGTGGGACTGCACTCAGACTCGGCCTCCAACTCACCCCTCGATGCGTGTATTTGTAGAGTTCGAAAGCAATTTCTTGTGCGCTTTACCATGCTAGCTCGGAGCGACGCATCGGAGATAGCGTTGATGGGGGTGGTGTCTGGGCTCTGCTCCTGATGTACATGTCGCTGCTTGGGACTGCTTTGACGATGCAAGCGCGGAGCGCCAGTGACGAATCAGAATGGTCTGCTGGACGGGCTGGCTGCATCACCATGGTTGATCTCGTCTCGTGGCGCGCACCGAACATCCGTGCGCGGCGGAAAAGCGCGCACCAGCCATGCATGCATGCAGAGCAGGCAGCGCGTCTTCGCGGCCATGGTGGAATCGTGAAGGACAGCTTTCTCTGCGGATACGCGACCTGCACTTGTTACTCTTCTTGACCTTCACCAAACATCCCACCGAGGAGCAGGCAAATTCCTTGTCTCTTACTCAGCATGCGGTTGCAGGTTTCGATCAGCCTCGTGGCTGCTTGCTACTGGGCTCTCGCTTCTCTATCCGCAGTCTCCGCAGCAGTCGCACCCAATCCAGATCCCACTTATCACATTCCCCGAATCGGCGTTCCCAAATTATCTTCGCTCACATCAGCCTCTCAATTCCTCACTCCGCGTTTCCATCGCATCATCAGAGCAGACGAGGACAAGTCGAAGAAGACGAACACCGCGCTGTTTGTCGCATCGGAACAGGGCGGATTTGGAGCGCTGAATCCCAGAAATGGAGATATTGTGTGGAGAAGAGTGGTCAATGATACAGATCCCGTGCAAGGCTTTTGGCTCAGCGCTGATGGTGAGCGGCGAACCCAGAGCGTGCAAGCTGACAGCATATAGTCAGTCACTGAACCCCTGACGCCTTGCGTCCTCCCGCATTCCTGCACAGTCGCACTGTACTTGACTGGCCATGGCGCTACGAGAGCCACGGTGCACAACGCACTGACGGGCCGTTTGGAATGGTCTCAACTTCTTTCGTCTCCTGATCAATCCGATCCTAGTCTTTTCTCCGCTCCTGACATTAGCATCCCCTCGTGGGCCGGACCAGGATGTGATGCTTCTTTTGTAGCACCTGGCTTTCCTGCCGGCGACATCATTGTCCTAGATGGGGCCAAACGCATTAGGAGGCTTGATGGGACTACCGGTCAACAGCGGTGGAGATGGAGTGAAGCCGAGGTGTGAGTTAGAGGGAGTGTCTCTGGCTAGGCAGACTGTGCTTATACCTGCGCCTGCATCTCCACCAGTACGAAGGATCGCACGCTTGTTCGCGTGTTGGCAAGCGAAGCAGCTGTGCACGTTGTCTCTCTGGCTCCAACCTATTCCACTCTGCCTTTGATTGGCTCAAAAGAGCCCACGGGCTTCGATGTGCGCATCTACACGCTCTCGCTGACCGACGGAAAGCTGTTGGATATTCAGGATGTAGGCGCAGCCATCGCCCCTGTTGGTCCCTTGGCTGGCTACGGCGGCAAAGCCACGACCGGTGGTGCTGCGAACATTGCGCTGGTCAACCTTGCTGCTACTCGACCACGCCAAGGAAGCGAAGTAACACCTGCGGGACAGAAGCCTCCACTCCAGCCTCATCTGGTCTGGGTACACAAGGATGGAACGATCAGAGCCGTCTCGTGGCCAGTCGGTCTGAGCTCTCCATCTGATGAGGATGCTCCTGCTATTCAAGCGAGACAGGCTTCCAACGTTCTCACTCTCAAGGCCCTCTCAAGTAGCTTTGTTGCCTTGCGAGAAGTCAATCTCGGTGAGCGTGGCGTGCTCATCGCCATCAGGGAAGATGGAAAAGCAGAGGTTATCCGCGTCGATCATGCTCAAGGCAATGAAGGATCAAAGCAAGGCAAAGCTGCGCTCTACTCCCGATGGGAATTTGAGGAGGATGCTCGCGATGCTGTATACAGCGGCACAGTGGACAAGCAGGGGTCAGCATATGTGAATAGACTATTCTTCCAAGCTTCTCAACAGTTGGTCAATTTCCACGTCTACTGGCTCGACTCGAAAGATCCTGGCGGGCAGGGCCAGATCACTGGTTTCAGCTTTCAGTTCGATCATGATCTGAACGGAGATATTCTCGCTGCGCCGTTCGAAGTATCGCCCGTGTCGTCGTATCAGGTCATTACGCGGTCCGCTTTCATCACTGCCTCTGGATCCGTCAGGCTACTGCAAGATGACCGACATCACTGGATGAACGAAGAGGGTCTGGCCGAGACTGCTGCCGCAGTTCTGGTAGACTTGCCTGAGCGCCAGATCGGAAGTGTCGTTTCGGCGGATTTCGAGAGTGGTGGCTTAGAGCTGAAGCTGCGAGCAGCAGCTGCCCGAGCTGTGCTGGAAGGCGAGACCTTCTTCGAGCGCTTGCAGCGACATGGATTGGCTTTGCAGCTCGCGCCATCCTGGCTTCTTAGCGTCAGCATCAGCTTCATCGAGGGTCTAAAGAGTTTGATCTCAGATCCTCGCCTCTTTGCGACTTCGCACTACGCGGCTCAGCGCGGAGCTCCTCCACCACCACCGAAGCCCACCGCGAGCGAAGATGGTACGACACGACAATTCAAACGATACCCAGCGGGAGGCGTTGCTGCTGCCGAGGTGCCTGACGCCAGGCGTCGGGTTATCCCTCGCCCTGCGCGTATTCCTCAAGGTGGGAAAGCTGCTCGACCTGCGCATCTTGCTCAAGGCCCTCCACCTCCAGCTGCACTTGCACCGCGTGCCGCAGATTCCAACATCACTGCGCACCTATTCCGAGACAGGCTGGGTTTCAGAAAGGTCCTAGTGAGCGCCACGACACGCGGTAAAGTGTACGCCATGGACACGGATACGAGGACATTTGTGTGGGAAAAGAGTCTTGTCGGTTTTGGAGCTGGCGAGGGAGCACCTGTGCCGATCGTCAATGTGCGGTTCCTCAGCGTCACTAGACCTGTGGGAGGGGCGAGCTCGGCAAAGGATAGCAGGACTGACAAGGATGCGAATGCCGATGCGGCTGCCCATCTTGGACCTCTGATTACCATCGTTGCTGATGTAGAAGAGCAAGGCACGACCCTTACGAGAGTGTGGGAGCTTGATCCTCTGACGGGCGTCTTTCCTGCTGGGGACGCTGCGCAGACCGGCCTTCCGCTGCTTGTGGGCAAGGCGAAAGACGTCTTCTTACTGCCGTTCGAAGACGACGTCACCAGACAGCAAGCGGTGGGCGCCATCGACCCCAACAATGGGTTAGTACTTTGGCCTCGCACTCCATCCGTCGCAGCCGCCTTCGAAAAGATTGCGAAGCAATTCTTCTACCTCACGCACACGACTCATGAGGATCAGGCGACAGGCCAGAACACTTCAATCTTGAATGGCTTCGTCGTACTTAACGGCCAAACGCTCGAGTCTGCGCCAGCATGGCAGATGCGCTTTGAGCCGGGCGAGGAGATCGTCCACCTGATACATGGATCGAACGGACCTATAGCCAGCCAGGGTAAAGTTCTTGGAAATCGCAAGACAATGTACAAGTACCTCAATCCGCACGGAGTCGTCGTTGTGACGCGACTATCTGGCCCAGCTTCTCAGAGGGGCGACTCAGCTCATGTCTATGTGATCGACTCGGCTAGTGGTCTCACACTCTACTCTCGACGTTTGATAGACCACGATCTGGCTGCAGGCCAAGACTCACTTCAAGCAGCGTTTGCTGAGAATTGGATCACCGTCGCATACAGGGTCAATGGTCACGATGCTCACGAGGTCAGCACAAAGCCTCAAAACGAAGTGCTGTCGGGTGACGAAAAGAGCAGCAAAGCAAAGACGATTGCGCTCAAGCCGGAGACGCGATTACTGTCGCTGGAGCTGTACGAGGCTGAGACGGCTCGAGATCAGACGTGGGACTGGAGAGGCAGCAAAAGCAGCTTCAGTCCGGTGGTTGGCGGTCCCGAGGGAGTCAGACCCTTTGCGCAGACCTACGTTTTGCCTCACGCGATCACATCCTTGGCAATGTCCAAGACCAAGTTCGGAATCACCAGCAAGTCCCTACTCATGACCACCGTCAATGGCAATCTGTTGAGCTTGCCTCGAAGGATTTTAGATCCTCGCAGGCCTGTCGGTCGCAAGCCCACTTCGGAGGAGTTGGAAGAAGGTCTGTCCACTTTTGATGCGTATGTTCCCAATGCGCCGCAACTCAGTGTCGGTGGTCAGTTCCGCATCGAAGGTCCTAAAGGACTTGTCGTCGCACCGGCCGCAATCGAGAGCACGAGCTTGGTCGCCGTGCTAGGTCTCGATTGGATCCTCGTCAGGATCGCTCCTAGCGGCACATTTGACATGCTCAACCGTGAGTCGAGTTCACGCTAGTCGATCATCTAGTGGAGCATTTGAGCTGATTCTTACCGCTCATCCGACGCTTGGTCGTCATAGCAACTTTCAACAAGCCCCAGCTCGTCTTGACCATCGTGGCGCTGACCGTGGGGCTCTTGGTCGCAAGACCGATGCTCGCCACCAAAACCCTCAAAATGAGGTGGTAGAACCAACGCAGGGACAGAAATCACACCCAAGCGTGGGCGCACATGGATACAATTTGCATCGATCTGTTTGGTCGCCAGGTCATAGTTCATGGCGCACGAGTGAGCCCTTGGATCGAACTTGATGATCGTGCTTGGGAGATGAGGTATGATATTGCAGAAAGTTGATGATACCGCACAATAGATTCGATACATATAACGAAGACGGAACGGTGACAGAGCAGAGCAGGCGATGACGCAGTCCGAGCGTATTCGGAGCGTCGAGTAACAGGTGCACGGACAACAATGTGGAAATATGAGGCAGGACGTCGAGCCGGGACTCTGACATGTCGACATGACGTTGGCTCAGGCAGAAGCGATGGCGAGATCAGTACGCTTGAGCGTAGCCTGCAGCACTCTCAGAGCCCGCGACGGACGTTGGCGAGTAACGGGAATGGTCGGAATTTGGGAGCTCGGCGGTATTCTCGGACGCCGCGTCATGAGGCGTGAGCAGACCAAAAGTGGGGCTGGAATGCGGCGCTTGACGAGCGACTTGCGAGACTGGCTCGAGGGTCGAAATGTCTCGTCCAAGAACGTCTTGCAGTGAGCCTGACTGGTGCTCCGGCACATCGGGCACCGAGGTGGGACTGAGTGGATGAGGAGATGTTACGTGCAGCTGACTAGCGCTGTCCGACGAAGGGACACGACGAGCACTCGATGGACGTCCAGGCGTCCTGCGACGCGGCGCCGGCACGAGGCCCGTCTGCAGAGGCGCATGCGGGTCGTTGACATCAGACAGGCGGGATGAAGAAGATCCAGGCCTTTGGACCAAGGTGGCGATGTGCTTCGACCTGGGAGCCGAAGCACCTCCTACGGCATACGGAGTGCCACTGGGATTGGGAGCATGGCCCGAGCTACTGCCAGCTGTCCGGCTGGCAGCACTGCTTCTGCGTTCGCTCGCAAAGTATCGCGAACCAGCGTGCTGCCCGAGAGCGTCGGTCGAAGGATTTGAAGGCCGCCTTGATCCCCAATAAGAGGTGCCGTCAGCATCGTCGTCGCTGGTGTTGACATCGCCGCCTTCCGTGTTGAGTTCCAAGGAACCGGAGCCTCGTTTGCGGCGCCCATGCTGAGGATCGGCAGAGCGCATCGCAGTGTGCGTATCCACGGTTCGCTGGACTTGCAGAACAGGACTCTGCGAACGAGGATCCGCGCGAGACGCATACTTTGTCCCACTTGAACCTGTCCCGGAAAGCGACGCGTTGCTCGACGATGGCCCGTAACGACCAGTGCGAACAGGCAAGTCGCGCGGCGAGCGTGGCGCGCCTGCGCTGCGAGGTGACATGTCGCGCAACTCTGTCCCTTCCTGGGCATCGTGGCTGAGCACGCGTGCGCCGTCTACGTGCACCTGGGAGGGCGTAGCAGGCAGAGGTGTCGCCGCGAATCTCGCAATGGACGTTTTATTTGCAGGCTGGGCCGGTGAGCGTTGGTTGAACGAAGACATGGAGCCCGCAGTCCCGATGCCAAGACCGACAGCTGCCGCAGCTGCCCTGTCTCGGCTTTCACTTCGCTGCAACTGAGCTTCTTCGTTTCCAGCGGATCGGTTTACGGCAGAGCCATAAGTTGAGACGGACTCATTGCGTCGAAGATCGGAGCCGCCGTGTGGAAAGGATTTGGCGGGACGCTGAATGGTTTCAGACTCAAAGAACGTTGTGTAAGTGACGCCGTAACCGTTGTCGGCAGGCGCATCGTCATTCTCGTTGGAGCGAGAGCCCGCGTTGATAATCCTACTGATCGGTCTGCCGTTCCTCATTCGACGACCCTTGCTTCCCTTGCTGCCTTCCAAGGACTTTGCAGCTTGGCGCTTGGCACCAGAAGAATGCGAGCCAGAGCCACCAGCGTGCGCCAACCCAAAGTGGAGGACAGGCTCATAGGTCCTTTGTGCGATCGCGACGAGAGTGATGGTGCCGCCGATGTTCGCCATCCACGCCATCCATATCAGAGCGGTACTCGCTGTGCGATCAAAGTGCAAGTCGGCATTCTCGAAGGAATTATACGTCTGCACGCAAAGCCAGCACGCAAGGGATGCAAAGCCAAGGATGGCTGGTGTTACTGCAACAGCTTGGATGGCCACATGAATGAGGACCGAGCGCAAATACCGCTGCGCTTTGGTGTTGCCTTGCGAAGTGCGACCGTGAACGCGAGGGGCCTGCCGCCTGACAATGCGCGACGGCCGCACGGGCGGGAAGAAGGTGGTCGTGGGCTCATCGGCAGCGATTTGTGCCGCGGTGAAATTTTCATCTTCCTCGCTTTCACCCCGTGCATTGGGTAGGAGAGCACTTCCGCGCCTGCTGTAAGGCGGCAGCCCACCCCGCAATCTCGTGCGCCAGCGATGCTGCCTCTCGACGTCCGAATCGCCATTACCGACCGGCGAGATTGAGTCCTCTTTGCCGTTCAAAGCTGCGTCGCCGTGGTCACTTGCTAGAGCGTCCGACTCTGTCTTGTTGAAGGTTCCGTCGTACTCTTTATCGATGACGTCGTCTGCTTTGCTGCCGAACATGACACCTCGGCCGCCATGATCTTGTCCAGCCTCATCTGCGCCACGATCCGCCGGCTGCTCGGGAGCTACACTGGTAGCTTGCTCGCGCGCTTGGACTGTGGCAGCTTGCTCGGCCTGTCGTCGGCCAAGTTGACGAATATGCTTGAGCTGGGCTGAAATTACGTTCATCAGTCTATAATTGAGGATAGACCAAACCACAAAGAGCATGACGGCCCAGATGGTCCAGATGAGGAACACAATCGACGTAACTTTTGCGCTGTCCAGGAAGGTGTACCAGATGCGCTGAACCTCTTGTAGCATTTGCTGATTCACTTGAGTCGCATCAGCGTAATCCCTTTCCCATCGATAGTACCCGTTCAGAGCTCGCATGTACTGGACGTGCGCAACAACGGTAGGTGCAATGACACTCAGCGCCTGAAAGAATGGTAATATGCCTCCCAAGAAGTTCAGGGTGGCGGGTCGGGTCATGCACCTGAACGCCCAGCTGCGATGCTTGACAGACACGTCTCCGGAAGCTGACGTGGTGAAGACGTTTGGCAGACTATGAAAGAGTCCCCAACTGGCCAGGTGGACGGCCGAAAACAAAGGCGTCCACACCAGAAGGATCCAAGGCACCCACAATGCTGGCCTTTGACCTTTCATGTTCCATTCGTACAGTTCCCAAATCCTGTGTGAGTACACAGGAGGAGCCGTAACCGGTGAGCAGGCCGTCGGCAGCCAAAGTGAAAAGAAGAAAGAAGACATGACGGAAGCAGATCCTTGCCTCTTGAGACTCACCAAGCAATCAGTAGGACGCCAAAGGCACCGGTGCATGTAGTGTATGTGATGAGACTATTTGGCACGATCAAGGTTCCATTGGGTTTCTTGACGACCCTCAGCAGCCACCAGCTTCTTTCCCATATTCTTCTTGCCCAGATGGCTCCGACGATGAGGACGAGCAAGGCAATGCAGGCGGTCGTGAAATATAGGTGTGGCCACGCTCGCTCGAGGTTGAAGAAGAACATCCGTCGGGCCCAAGCTCTCGCTGCTACTGCTGGGAAGGGGGTCGAGTCAAAGTCGGGCAGCCGGCCTCGCTGGCCAGCAGGAGTGAGACTGGAGAGGTAGATGGGTGGCGGAGGAGGCAACAATGCGTAGCGAGCATCGAAGGCATCTGACGGCGCAATAGGATAAGCCTCCGCCTGGGAAAGACTGTCGAAGAGCGCGGAGGCATCCATGATTTCCCACGACTTTCGACAAGAGCAACGAGGATGATGTGTCGGAATGAGAAACACTCGAGTCAAGATGGAGTGGTCGTGATATTGCGAAGGAGATTGTGCTCAGCTAGCGTCCTGGCGCATGACTGACTTGCAATCGTTCCCCGCGACTCGAAGCCCTTGCAGAAAGTCTGGGCACAAGCAATGGATTAAAGGTGGTGAGGTGCAAGCAAGATCGATAGACGTTGAGTAGCAGCTTCTCCTTTTTGAAGCAATCCCTGGTTCGTTGCGTTGCTACAGCAAACATGTATTTGGGGTCCAAGAAGAAGAAGAGTCGCGAGTCTGCGGACTTTGAAAGAGAGTGCTGTGGCTGAAGCAAAGGGTGGCGCAGCGGCCTGGGATGGCGGTCCAAAGTGCGCCTGATAGCCTGCAGTCTTTCTGAACAGGTGTCCAATGACAAGGTGAGAGGAAAGGCGAGGATGGCAGCAGCTCAAAGGACGTCTGAACGCTATGGTGGGGATGATGGAATCCAAATCGAGAAAGGATGGCAGGCTTTTGTGCAAAAGTTGTTCCCCAAGAGTCACGATCGAATGATCAAGAATCAAGGCACCCACTCGTGACTGTCTTTAGTGACTGACCATGAAACAAACCTACTCTGCCTATATATAGTCCCACAACAGCAGCTCAGCAGTAAATCTTGACCAGCGCTCCAAGCTTGGCCTCCCAACTCTACTAGCGACTAGCGTTGTCCAGTCAGAGCGCGGAGCAGGACGATTGAGAAGGACCCGGACATTGGCCTCCCGCCAGGTCAAACGACGATTGCTGTTTGTGTATTCTCGCTTCTTTGCGATTTTCTTTGCGAACCCATCGAGGACTGAGGACTCTCTCTCGCCTGCTGCTTTGGTGGGGGCAAAGTGCATCGTGAATACTCTCAAGGCTTGTCTTAGGAACGCTAGCGAAACGCTTTCCCGTCAAATTGCCGAGGCGCGCTAAAAGTGTACAGTGTACAGTATCGTCGAGTGGGAGCCGAGCGACGCTGCTCAAGTGCTCGGTGTCGCCATGGGGGGAAGCAAAATTGCGGGGTGCATCACAAAGTCGGACCTTGATTTTTCCCGCTTGGAGAACAGCATATCAGCGGACTGGCCCGCGCGACGATGCATGGGCTTTGGAACACGCGAAGCTCCACAGGTGCTGTGCGCATAGGTGCCCGCTACGAGGTGGCCGCAGCACAGTCTGCATAAGTCTGCATAGGTCTGCATGAGTCTGCAGCAGATCCGTCGTACTGCAACTACGTATATGACTCGAGCACGAGCGGGTGCCTCTCCTCACGAAAGCAGCAAAAAGTTCGTTCATGATTTGTGGACTTGTTGCCGAGGGCGTGCGATGCCTATAGACAGACGCGGCGCTGTATAATCAGCCTTCCATCTCACTCACGACTTTGAAGGAGATTATAGGTTGTGTGTATGCTTGTGACGCTGATGAGAGCATGCAAGGGGCAGCGGTAGGGCATACGTATCGGAAGCGCACACGGAGCAGGAGCAATGTCTCACTTGGCATCGCACAGGAGCAAGGCGTAGCAGCATCCTTTGGAAAGGAGCGCGATCAGAAAGAGTTTCTGATGATTGGAAGTTGCCGATGCGGCGCGCGGGGCAACAGCGGTTGTGCATATGTACGGTCGTTCGCGAGCGCGATCATGATCGAGCAAGTCGCCCATTTGATTCACGATTGCGACCAGCAGGCTCACGAGAGCGGAATTACACTCACGACACTCCAGAAAATGAGTTCGATCGCTCGATCAGGCGGCTAATACTGTACTACGACTGGCAAGGCAGATGCATGGAGAAGCAACAGAGACCGCTCTTACATTCGTGATTCGAATTGTGATTCTGATTGTCAGAAAGGTCTTGTCGTCATGCATATGGGTCTGCCGGCGCTTTGCCGCGTGACATTTGCGCCGGACCGCAGATGAGTGAGAGACATCAGAACACTCTGCGCCAATCACGAATCGTGAACATTAGCAATCGGGGCTGGTTCACTGCAAGCTGGACGCAATCATAAGTGCTCGATGCAGCATGCATGATGTTGTCGCTCGCAAGCTATATAGATGATGGCTCACTCCGAGTCATCCCTTTGGTCGGAGCCGCGCACATTGAGACCACTGCTGTGGGACCTCTTGGCGTTTTCTTGCATGCTGATCAAGCCCTGCGAGGCGTCCGTCCATTTTGCTTGGTCGGCGCGATTGAGGAGTCAGCACTCAAGGCTACCTCTCATTTGCACTTTCTACTCGTGACTGACTCGTGGAACCGAGCAGACCCCGCACGATGACCTCAAGATCTGTATCGGTATGCAGCTAGGCAGTCGTGAGGGTGTGAGTACAGTGTGTAGTCATGAGTCAAGAGTTGGGGCGATTGGCGTGTGCTTTTAGAACGCCGCAAAGATGGAACCGGCATCGCTTCATCAGGATGGCTCGTTTTTCTCTTTCCACTACACTACTACTGCCTCCAGGCACCCTATCGTCATTTGACTCTATGACCCACTCCAGCTGCCCGAGCCAGATCGACCACGAGGTCCGCTGTGGGGAAGCTGTGTCGCGTACCTGCTTCATTCCTGCGACTTTGACGAGGGAAAGGGGGGCCCGAAAAGTTCGAACGCTCAGCCCTTGACTTTTACTGTGCACTCACACAGCATCATCATGGAGGGTAGGAGCAGATCTGCCGGCATCCACCATGGGCCTTTCGGCACCAAGACAGGAACGCACGGCCACGGAGCGAGAGAGAAGGCACGTCACGGCACGGGGGCAAAACGTCGGCAGCAGCAGGCATTTCGATTGTTTTTACTAATACTTACTTTTCACTAGTTTGCATCCGAGTGCGCATTAGTCACGAGAGTGAGCTTAGCTGCATTTTGGTGCATAGGCCGTGGGAGCTTTCTTCCGGCGCTGCTGCATGCATGGTGCTTTTGCCAATCGCGGCGGGCAGAGCTGCGCTTTCCGCTGATTCGGGCAGGCGTGACTTGACTTCGACAGCGCACACACACACACACACACACACACACACACCGCGCAGCTCGGGGTTGCGCGGGGCTGGCAGCCGACTCCTTGCGCACTAACGACGTGCAAAACGAGCGAGTGATGTGATGAGAGTGCCTACACCGCACCGGGCCATTTCGATTGTGCATGTTGCCGAACAAAGGCGCACTACCGATTCGTTCCTTTACCACAAATGAGAGAGAAGATGGAACGGCAAGAATGGTACACAGTCAAATCGAAGGGTCCTTCTTACCGAGCCCATTCGCGAGCATCATTACCCGACTCCCGTCTTCCCCGCGGCGATGGGCAGTCAAAAGGCGGAGGCGAGGCAAGGCAGAGCACGCCTGAAAGACGCGGTGTGGGCCGAAGTTGGGTCGAGAAGGGCAAGTCAGTAGTCAGTAGTGTCGTGCTTACAAGACCCTACCCGAGATTCGAAAGGCTTAGCGGCGGCTTTCAGCCTCCCTTTGCCTGCCTGACCTTTTGGCTCTGGCAGATGCACCAGATTCCGACGCAGTGGTCCCTTTTTCAGAGTCGTTCGTAGAGCCTTTAGCTGCGTACTGCACCTATCTCATTCAGATTGCTGACAAGCACTCGGACGCGCGGATGCGTCCAACAGCAGGTCGCGGTGATCCCGTCATCGGTAGCAATGAGTGTGGCGCAGAGTCACGAGAGATGAGGCATGTGGAAAAGCTGACACGAGAAGCGAAAAAGTCGCCACAGTAGTCCGGAAGGCGGAAGGTCGGAAACATCGGGCAAAAGCGAGCGAGCCTTCTGGTGCTTGAGGGGCAGAAGCGTAACAAAGCTTGCACTAGAACTTGTCACTTGTAGACGTGTGCACAAGCAGGTGCTGTTTGTGACACTGATAGATTTGTGGCCACACACGTTGACGTGGATACATCTACTGCTTGACGCGGTCCAAGATCAAGTCGATGACAAAGTCAAGCTGTTCCTTTCGGAATACGTCATCCTCCAGAGAATCCTCCTTATCAATGACAAAATTCTTCCCACTCTCTCCGTATTCTGGCCATTCTTCTTCGTTGGGTGTGGGATGGCCATCGTAGACAAAGTCGAGCCACTTGCTTACCGTCCGTTTGGCCACGGCCAGGTCAGGCGAATTTCCGGGCGGCAATGCGTTGACATTTTGGTCCCATGAGAGCTGATTGATGAATGGGACCAGGGCCACTTCGCTGAAGTGATAGACACCACGAGGAGCTGCGACTGTAGGTGCGTGAGACTGACGCTGAGGAGAGAACAGATGGACATCTCAGCTTCCTTACTTCCATTAGGCGTCTCCTGTGAGCGGAGTCTTGGCTTACTAGGTACGAGTATCGATATTTCCAAGTCTTTGTACCGTACTTGACCAACGCCTTTGCATACGCGCGTGTCACTGCCACAAATCTGAGCGAGCAGAAAAGTGGATTAAGGTAAGCTCCCGCACAGGACAACTCATGTTGCGCGCAAAGGATGGATGCGTGCGCACAGATAGTCGCCCCAGATAGCGTTCGCCACACCGTCAATGATGTTCGACGCTGGCTGACCATAAGGAGAGAGGATGGGCGCCTCTGTCGAAGCAGAATCCGGCAATCCATAGAGACTGATTAGCTTGTCCAAATTCGCTTCGATGACCGGATTTACCTGTCCAGTCTGGTTGATGCTTGCATCGCGAGGAAACAGTCCAAGCGGGGGCACATAATTGCCGTCATCGATGAGTTGAGGGGTGATCAGGTTGGTTCGCAACTGTTGGACCGATGAGAGATTGCGAGGTGCGAAGCCAGGTCCTTCGTCTGTCACACCTCCAATGAGCACCGCTCGGTTCCTCGCAAAGAATCCTCCCTGCAGCGCTTGCAGCAGCGTACGAGGGCTGAGCGAAGTGTCTAGGAATACCTCGACCCAAAGTCAGCCTGCGGTCCTGTCCCGCTTAACGCGCGCTCGAGCTACTTTACACTCACCGACACGCGGATGCCAGCCCGTGCCGTTTAGAGCGCTTTCGGCAATCTTTTCTTGGGTCAGGCTTCTCAAACACACAAAGTCATCTTCCTTGCAATTTGCAGCATCGGTCCAGCTCTTCCATGCCAGATGCGAGGATTGGTCTCTCCAGCGCGAATCTTCGCGGGTGCTGTCCGCGGGACTTTGAGATATCACTGATCTATACAGAGCGCCATGTTGAGCTTCATAAGGATCCTTGCCGTCGAACGCTGCGAGATGCTGCAGGACGGACACAGCTATTGCCAACGACGGGATATGCTCGTCCGGCATCAGCACTTCAGCTCAAGCACCAGGAAAAGAAAAAAGGACCACTGTACATACCGCCCGCCGATTCGCCAATCAACGTGACACGCTTTGGATCACCGCCAAAGTCTCGAATGCTGTGAAGGCAGGACGAGAAGGTCGATCAGCATGATTGGATTCGCACGTCGACTCTTGCCCCGCTCACTTTTCGTGTATCCACGTCAAAGCGAGCCGTTGGTCCCAATAGCCAATGTTGCCTTGCTTGGCATCGTCCTCATCCTTGACACTATCTGGGATTTTGACGTTGAAGCCTAGGAGCGTGCGGTAGTTGATGGATACGAAGATGATCGGTTTCCCATGTTCTTGCGCTTGCTGGACCAAGAAGGAACCGTTGTAGTAAGTAGCAGAGGAAGATCCTGCGATGAAGCCTCCGCCATATATCCAGACGAGCACCGGCAGCAGATGTTCGTCGGGCGCGCTTTCTTTGCTCGCAAACGAACTCGAAGGACGCACGATGTTGAGCCCTAGACAATCTTCGTCCAGCGCAGTCACACTGTTGCTAGTACCGTAGTGGCAAGTCAGAGGATACAACGTGGCCATTGAAATCGTTGCGCCGTCCTGCGACCTTTCGCCGGCGTACGTCTTTGGCGCGTGCGCATCGCCAAAGTCGAGCGGGACTGGTCTGCGCCAACGCAGCTGACCTGTTAGTGGTCTGGCAAATCGAATGCCGAGAAAGAGCTCTTGCTCAAAATTGTACTGCTCGTTAGGACAGAGGCGTAATCCAGAGTAGAGGAGTCCACTCGAATTGACGCGGACGACTGGCGAAGGAGTATCGAGGCAGGAGACGCTTGATGGCCGCCTGGCACCTGGTGGGGCTGATCTGGCTCTCCAACCTGTCTCACCGATCTCCTCGCGAGACCAGAATGGTGTGAAAGCTGAAGGAAAAGATTCGAGCGGCTGGGCGCTGCATAGCGGTATGAGAACCACGGCAAAGCCAAAGAATGGAATGCGCAGTCCCTTCATTATGTCAAGAGAGAGTTCAGCTCCAAGTGATGACTAGAGTGTGGTGAAAAGGCAGCAGGTCGAGGAGTACGCACGCGGAGCGTTTATATATACAGCGACTTGTCGTCCAGAAGACGTCCACGGTTCGGCCAGGCCCGATCGCAAGGCTCCGTCGTGCGGCCGGCAACCTTGGCGCTGTCAAGACACATGACGAGTGCATGGGGAGAATGAGACGAGGTTGAACGCGGATGGCGAAAGATGTCGATGTGGACCCAGGTGTCCTGAATATGAACGAATTAAGGTATTTCCCGCCTTGCGGTTGCTGCTCATTGCCTGAATGAAGTAGCAATCTGAGTCAAATGGGAAGCCACCAGCAGGAACGGCGCCTATGTGGTCAGAATACGGCCCGACCCGGCCTCGTGGATCTCGCAGGGCCGCAGCCAGGATGTACCAGCGCGAGTGAGGTCCTCAGGCGCGTTGTCGTCTGTGGGCATGGCTAGGTGCACAGCCAGCTGGTTGGAAGGGAAGGTGTGGTGCTGATGCAGGCTGTTGGGCGCACAGTCTTGTGCAGCTTGCAGCTTGCAGCTTGCTGCCCTTGCCTGGTTGCTGCGCCCCGTGTAGCTTGCTATACGCTCGCTGCAAGCAGGATCGCCTTCCGGGCGGTATATGTTGCTCCAGATAGCAAGTGAGAGCTTAATTCGGCGAACGGGTGTTTGGTGCCGGCCGGATGGCATGCCCCGTCCAATCGTCCTGTGAGACCCAGGCCTCGCTCGCGCGCGCCATTGCTTGTGTGAGGACGTGGGCGGCCGCCTATATATTGGTGGTTTGAGCGTCAGCTGCTATGTAGTGAAAGTACAGACCCACACGTCTGGTGCTGGGTCGCCACGCAAAGAGCGGGGCCTCTCGTGCTCTCGAGGAAGCAGCCAGATCAATCTTGTAGACAGGGCTTCACAGATTACCATGAGACAAATTGCTTTGCCATTCAGGTGCGACGCGACTTTGCGACCGCGATGGCCACCCCTGTCCAGCTATATAGTGTCCAAGTGCTCGAATCGCTCTCATCCGAATGATCCATCCTAAGTGGCGCACAAATGCGAGAGAGCCCATGCAGTGCAGTCGCGACGAAAAGTCTTCGATGAATGACCCTATTTGTATAGGTAGTCAAGAGACACCCGGCAGCCACGATCGTACATGCATGTGCGCTTAGAACGAATGGTGCCGGTGCGAGTGGGCTGGCCTCATCATGGGCGAGCACCGTCGCAACTCGACTCGGCTCGCAAAGGCCTATACTGGCCTCATGGTCTTCGTGCCTCGCAGAGTCTATTTCACTTACTGTTGAGCACGCAACTCATTGGAGAGTCCGCGTCAATGCTTCATCGCTGCCTATAATTGTGACTTTGATTGGGTGCACGGTCGCTTTTTGGAGGTCAGGAACAAGCATCATGAGAACGAGCAGAATTCATCATTGATCCCTGATTATGCATCCGCCGCTCGCCAGAGCTCGCGCCGAGCAGATACGCGGATACGAGTGAAAGGACTCACGTGACCAAGCACGGAGTAACTCACCCCTCTCCTCACTTGCCGCTTGCGGTGGCGCTCAGCAGTCAAGTGAACAGATTTGCTGCCGTTTGCGTGCTGAGCCAGTCTGAGTGAGGGGCCTGGCTTGTTGGCACGACGAGGACGTCATCGAACGGACATGCCACTCGTGACTGTGACTCGTGACTTTTGAAGCCGACTTCTCCGCGATATCTGAATCCTGGCAAAGGATTCGACTCAAGATGACACCTGCGACGCGACATTGCCAGGGACGACGATGAGACGCTGATGTTCTCATCAAATCACATCACGCCGCCACTCTATGCAACACCTTCACCACGCACAAAAGTCTGAATCTGAATCAAGGATAATAGCCAGCAGAATCAAGAATCCAAACTTTTGTACTTGTATTCAAAATGCAAGTCTCAGCTCTAAATCTTGAATGAGAATGTTATAAGCTAAACAGCACCAAGTATGTGGATGATTTCAAATAAGCGATACAGCTTGAAGTGATTCTTTAATTGGGAGCTGGTCGCATGCGGCGCAACGCGTGCCCCCATGCAGCACACTACAGCATGCAGAAGCGCCCGGTGTCCCACGCTGCGTCGCACGAGCCCGAGCTCGGGGGTCTGAGCGTCCGCGAGTGCGTGGAGCCATGCATGCATGCACAGCACCTCGACCGATCAGAGGGCCAGGCACCGGCGTCAGGCAAAGGTGAGAAAAGCCAACACCTTGCCTCTGACTTGACCATGCAGCATGCATGCTAACCCCTCATCACTCAACATGGGTCACTTTCCTTTTGCTTGCCCTCATCCCTCTCTCGCACTCACACGCTGAACTCCCACTTACCACCCTTTGTCACATACGAGATTGCAAAGGCGCGCAACGTTCACATTCCCGACGAGGATATACAGGTGTGCATCGCTCGTCCATTCGCGCGAGTGCTTTGACCTCACGCTCATCGCACGGACCCCCGACCTTCTAAGCTCGCGCCTGCTCGCCGCTCAAGAGGCGCGCATCGGCGTTCCACGAGGCACATTCGGCTGCACAGCCTAGCTCTGCTGGCCTCGCCATCCCGCACCTCTTTGGGTGCTCCAAGGAGCTTTGCTCTGCACTTGTCTTCCAAACTGTCACGTCCCAAGCACATCAACGCACCTCTGCGCAATACGACGTGGTCAGCCCTCCGACCTGATTCTTGCCTGCCGCTACTTTCACAAGTCTCTTGCTGGGACACACAAGCACTGAGCCCGTAGACATACACTTTCTGTACGACTGTACACCATGTCTTGGAAGCTTGGAAAGAGTGAGTGGGATAGTCACGCCATCTTGTGCAAGACGCCTGCTAAGATGGATTGCTGTGGGTGCGCTTTGCAGAAATCAAGGAGGGAGCGCTGGGAGCGCGATCGCCCTCCATGAGCGCCGAAGGGACGTCCATCGATCGCAGTGCGACGCCCACGCCTGCCACGTCTGGCCTACCTACTGGTGCAAATGCCAACTCGCTCTCCTCTTCCAATGGCGCACCGATACCCAGATCAGGTATGCTGACCATCGGAGTGATAGATGCTAAGGGACTAGCACTTCCACCCGGTGCGCAAGTCTCTGCGGCTATCGAGAGAGCACAGGCTTCAGGCGGCATTGGTGTCGGCTCTTTTGGAGCTCAAAATTTAGGATCTGGAAGCAATAGACAGTCCCTTCAGAGAAGGCAGTGCTGGTGGCTGCCCTACCTCGTCCTTGAATTCGACAAGAACGAGATCTTGATCGATGCCATGGGTGGAGACCTGGCCAATCCTACTTGGATGTACAAGGCTAACTTGTGAGTGGCGTCTTTCGCGGCGCAGCAGAAATCCTAAGCTTGGAGCTCAACAGCGTCGCTGCCGTGTTTTCCCGTGCTGCCTCGACAACACAGCGATGTCTCGCGAAATTCGGAGATCTCTCTGCAGTGCTACTTACGCTCTGGTGACGGACCCAAGGTGAACGGTAATAATGGCGATGCGGCGCAAAAGGACGGGGAAGGAGACGATGTGATGGGTGTCAGCGACATTTATCTTGGTGGAGTCAAATGGGTGCCAGACTTTGAGAATCAGGTGAGCGACAGCGGCACGAGATTCCTGCATTTGCTGTGCGCAAAGGGTGACACTCACGATCAAAACCATGCCCGCGTGTAACAGCGCACTACGGACGAATGGTACCCGCTGAGCGTTGGAAATGGGCAGTTGCACGTCCACGTCTCCTACAAATCCGATTCAGGGGGATCCTCATTGACCATGGAGGCTTTCGACCTGCTCAAAGTCATTGGCAAAGGTAGCTTCGGCAAGGTGAGCGCTCCGAGAGATCGCAATGTGGGATTAAGCATCGCAAGTCTGATGTGTCGCTGGCCCTCGTGGCACTCAGGTCATGCAAGTAAGGAAAAGAGACACCTCGCGTATCTATGCCCTCAAGACTCTCAGAAAAGCGCACATCGTTTCGCGCTCCGAGGTCACACACACACTGGCAGAAAGGACAGTGCTTGCAAAGGTCAACTGTCCCTTCATCGTGCCCCTCAAATTCAGCTTCCAATCTCCCGACAAGCTCTACCTTGTTCTGGCATTTGTCAATGGTGGCGAGCTGTTCCACCACCTCCAACGTGAAGGCAGGTTCTCGGAGGAGAGGGCGCGTTTCTACGCCGCAGAACTGCTCTGCGCCCTCGAGCATCTGCATGGCTTCAATGTCATCTATCGGTGAGTCGCCGCACCACATCAGGGAGCGATGGGAGACCTGCCACCCGCTGACCCATTGTTTGCACTGTTTTCGCAGCGACTTGAAACCGGAAAACATCCTACTCGACTATACGGGCCACATTGCGCTCTGTGATTTTGGTCTGTGCAAATTGAACATGGGTGATTCCGAGACAACGAATAGTGAGGACAAGTGGGTCTGAAGCTCGTTCTACGCACCATGTGCTGACACTGCATGACACCTCACAGCTTTCTGCGGCACACCAGAGTACCTGGCTCCTGAGCTTTTGCTTGGGCATGGCTACACTCGTGCAGTGGATTGGTGGACGCTGGGTGTCTTGCTCTATGAGATGCTCACCGGGCTGCCACCATTCTATTCTGAAGATGTCAACGAAATGTACCGCAAGATTCTGCAAGACCCTTTACGATTCGGAGACGAAGTGCATTCGGATGCTAGGAGCTTGCTGACTTTGCTGCTCAATAGAAACCCTGCGGAGAGGCTGGGATCTGGACCCAACGGTGCTCAAGACATCAAGAACCATCCGTTCTTTGCAAAGCACATAGATTGGACCAGGTTGCTTGCCAAAAAGGTCCAGCCGCCCTTTAAGCCTGCCGTGGTGAGATGTGTTCGTGGCCACCATCTCTTTGAGACAGAAGCTGAATCATTTTTCCATGCTCTCCGTCCTTGCAGGCATCTGCCATCGACACGTCCAACTTTGACCCAGAATTCACAAACGAGCCCGCCATTGACTCGGTCGTCGACGATAGTCACATGGTGAGCTTTCTCGACCATTCATCGCTCTGCTCGGTGCCGTTATTACCGCACTGACACCCTTGACCAAACCTCGCTTGCCTGCGCGCAGCTGAGCGCCACCGTTCAAAATCAATTCTCTGGCTTCTCGTGGAACGGACGCGGAGAGCTCAGCGAAAGCGTGCGAGACGATTGAGCTCCGACTTTGTAGCATGGAATCAAGTCCACAGGCGCTCGCGAGCTACGCGCAATAGATCCCTTTCCGCTCTCTCTCTCTCTCGCTCGCTACCGCTCTTCACGTTGTCCACATAGTGCGATCACAGAGCACGCGCTCGTGACGTCTTTGCTGGTGGGCCGCGACCGACCCCAACTTTACTCTCGTTATTTTCGGCTCGGTGTCTCTCGTCTCACTCCCCGCATTCATACCGTACCCGACTCGTAATAGCAATGGTGAATGTGATCATCTCGAACAAGTTCACGCCACACCACGCCACGAGGCTGCAAAAGTTGGCGAAGTGGGACGCAGGGCAGCAAGGTGCATGGAAACGATGTAGCGCATGCATGCGGGGCAGTCGCGGTGGTCCCGGTCCCACGCCCGCAGCAGGCTTCTATAGGCGATTTGGTGGACCACGCCGCTGCAGACCTCCACATCGAGCTAACTGCTGAATCGTTGCATGATATCTCGTCACCAGTCCGAGTCGCGGATACTCCTTCTCGCACTCACCTCTTGCCCTCCCTCACCAGCCTATTGAGAACGAGTCTGCTGAGCCGCTCGACGAGAAGAAGAGATCATGTCGACCCTTCCATCTTCACAGCCAAGACATGCCAATGGCTATCACTTGCAATGCACTGGACAAGCTTTAGAGACTGCCAGACGGCACGAAAAGGATGTTGCGCCGTCTACGGAAGACGAGATTACGCTGTATGGCAGCTGCTTCTGGTGCGTTTGAGCAGGAGTGGTGGACGCATGATGTGCGCCTTTCTCATCCTCACATCGAGAAAAAATGTTGTCCATAAAGTCCCTTTGTACACAGGGCTTGGATCACGCTCGAGGTGCTAGGTCTGCCGTGAGTGGGTTTTGTGTGCCCAGTCACGAGTCCTTGCTATCGACATGTTGCTCCATCTCAAAACCCTCTTGTCTGCTCCATCTCCTGCAGTTACAAGTACGTCGAAGGTGAGCAAGTAGGAGGAGTCTCGAGTCGCTTTGACCCAGCCTCTATCCGCTTGTTGAATATACTCCTGCCGCTCCCCCGCTCCACAGTGGACCCCTACGCCAAACCAGCTTCACTTTTGGCGCTCAATCCCAAAGGTCTGGTGCCCGCTGTCCAAGTCGGTCCCGATCCGCGCAATGGTTTGGGCGAGTCGACGGTGATCATGGAGTACCTCGCCGAGCGCAGCGATTCGCGCGGAGGAGCTCTCTTTCCATCCATCGATAGACCCTTTCAAAGGGCTCAGGCGCGTCTGGCAGCCGACAAGATCAATCGAACGCTTTTGCCTGCTTTTTACAGGTACCTTCAGGCGCAAGAGGTGGAGAGGCAGGTAGAGGCTGGAAGGGAATTTTTGAATGGTATGACCGCTTTCGTGGAGAGCATGCAGCAGGGAAGCGGACCGTTTTGGGACGGCACGGATAAGATCGGCTGGGCAGATGTCATGATTGCTCCCTGGGCCATCCGGGCTGGTATAGTCCTCAAGGTGCGTTGATGGGCAGATCAGGACACGAGAACGACATTGCAAATGCTTGGCTGACCAGCAATTCGTGGACAATGCTCTCAGCATTACAGAGGCTTCGATATGAGGGCTGATCCCAACGGGCGGTACGAGAAGTGAGCTGCTGCAGAGATCTCCTTTGCCAATGAAGTCATCCATGCTGAAGGTCTTTGCGCACAGGTGGCAAAGTGCACTGCTGGCTCATCCCGCCGTCAAGGCAACGACGAGCACCGATGAGCTCTACCTCGACAGCTAGTGCGTTCGCAGCCTTGGCGAACAAGCATTTCTTGACCGCACGCTGACTGTTCCGATTGCCTGTCTATGCTCCATACTGGCTTGGCATCTTTTTAGCGCACGATATGCAGAGAACAGACCAAACACTTCTCAGGTTGCGGAGGCTATCAATTCGGGACGTGAGTGTGTCACATGTTAGGTCCCAGGCGCACCGCTATGGCTGAGTCTATTGCCGTTCCACACAGGCGGTCTGCCTTGAGAATGGCTTCCTTCTAGAACACGGTGGCTTGTTCTCGAGGTCAGAGATGTTGTCTAAGGGAGAGCTGCACCGATCGCAGCTCGAATCAGCAGGTTAGCCATTCCCAGCTTTGGACGGCAAATCTGCGCCAAGGTCTTTCCAAGCCCCAGCATATCATGCCGGCGATGATGATCGAGAGAGGAAAACACACGATGAATGCGATCGCTAGGGCAACGGAGAAGTCCTTGGTACTGAGGATTGTTCCTATTCGATTCGTGCGCGCAATCGACACTTCTACCAACTCGCTGCCCAGCGTCTGAATGACCAGACCCGAGACAAGATGGAGCGCTGGACCGAGGTGGCAAAGGCAAGTGTTGCTTTGAAGCATGAGCGATTCGAAAGCATTTGCGCTCGCGACCAACGAACAATCGACTCACCAAGTGAAAGCTTGCAAAAGGTGCGCAGAAGCCTCGAGCTCAGAACCTTGCGCATTCTCGGGCTCATCTCTACAAGACAGAGGATCGCCATCACCACAAACCAATTGTCGAAGCGAGGGTAGGCTTTTTGAGAGGTATCGAAGTTGTGGTTGAGTCTTGCGGTGGACTGCGCTGCGTGAGCGACCAGCTCAGCTTTACGCACGCTTGGCCAGACCGCGCCTGCGTATTTGAGCATTGCTCCTACAAGGAAAAGGCAAGTGGCAAAAGTACACTTGCGAACCGCGACCTGACCGACTTTCCAAGAGGATCGGCTCATGGATTGCAAGACTCCTCGGTGGCAGAGATCGCTGATGATCACACCTGACACGGAGTACCAGGCCCAACTTCCTACCCAGGCAGCCACTAGGGCGAAGGCTGCAAGACCTCCGAGGCGATCCTTGGCGCGCACGAATGGCAGGATGACCAGCAACGCGTAGACCGTGAAGCTCTGTTGAAAAGTCCGAGCCAGGGCCCAAGAGGTGTTTCGGGGAGGTAGGTAGAAGCTGTCGGGACGATAATCCAGATGGTCGTGGGTGGAGAAGAAGAAGCTCGTCAGGAAGTATAGGTATTCTTGAAAGGAGCTGAAAGAGGCTGGCGCAACCGAGTAGAGGCTGGGGAGCCGTTCCGACCATCGATTGGCGGAATTGAAAGCTTGAAGAGCTAGCAAGATGCGAGTCGAGGCTACCGCGACAGCCACGAGCGGAACGAAACGGTGCGGACGAAGGTATATGCTTCGCGAGAGCACAGCAATGTCGGGATTCCTGAAGAAGCCTAGGAGCGGTCGACGGAGCAAGGCGTATGGAGGGCATCTCAGCGTTGGCGCGTGGTAGGAAGGGAAGACGGGAACGAGACTCGCCCTCGCTGATAAACCTAGCAGAGATCACGAGAAAGAAGGAGACTTGTAGGGAGCCGTCGAAGAGCAGCGGCGACATTACTGTGCGAATCTTGTCCTGCCACTGTGGTCCACCAAGCAGGAATGCAGCAGGCTGAGCACCATCCACTGCGGTATCGGTGATCACTCCTTAGAGAGAAGGTCAGGAGTCCGGAGTAAGAAGCAGCGTCGAGTGGGTCGAAGTCTGTCCATAGAGACTCACCTGGACAAAGAATGAGGAAGAAGGCGTAGACCCATGCTTGGAGGGCGATGAGCCCTTTGAGGCCGTCAAGATGAAGCGCGCGGTGCTGCTTCGTACCATCTTGGCCCCTCTTGACTGTCGCATTCTGGTCAGTGCTCTCGCGCTCCTCGGTAGCGTTTCGAGACGTAGAGCCTGGCGCGCGACGAGACCACTGCCAAAGGGATTTGAGCTTCATCGTGGCTCGATGGACACTTGCAGTGCGCTGACGAGACCGCAGCACCAGTGCGTGGAGGGAATTGTTCAGGGAGGTGTTCATGAAAGAAGAGCACCACCTTCTTCCGACTTCGGTGTACTCCCCGGAGAAGCGAGGAATGCAACAGGCAGCGTCAGCGATGCAGAGTGAGTAGGATGATTGAGACTGCAGCAGGGATGAGAGATCAAGATTCACGATTGGCACATCACACAGACACTCTTGACTGGTGACTATCAGCAGGATACAATCAAGATTGACAGAGGACGCCGTGATGCGTACATCTTCGAGTTTCAACTTTCCCCTTTGCGTGGCTCGCGACTCGTGACTGCGCAGGAGAAGACTTGGGCACACGATGCAGCATAACAACCATTTGGCAGCAGGAGCTAGGTGCTCTTACCACCCACTCACGGTCCCGGACGTCCGTCAGCGCTCTATAGTCTGACATGCAAGATGGTCTGAGAGATAGCAGCTAGCTACACCAAATGTGAGAGCAGCAGACGAATTCGTTGTCGTTGAACTCATTCGTGATTCAGATTGGTGATTGTAACACGAGAGTGAGCTTCGGAACAAGCACAATGACGTGCTTTGGATGCATATTAGCAGGTCTGCGAGAGCCACGAGGATGCCGTTTGCTGTTGCGCATTTTGATTCTGCATGACTCAAGACTGACTCGATCCTGACCACATTCTTGATTCTTGATGAATTTGCGTGCAGCACATCAGGTCATTTTGGTCAACACGTGCATGGATCGAGTTTTGAGTCAAGAGTATCAATCAAATCAGAATTGCAGTCACGAATCAAAAGCAAGAACCAAAATTTGGATTGATGAGTTCACGATTTTGAATCAAATGCCGCAACAAAACTTACAATTTGAATCAATCAGGAAGGGATTGACGCCTTTTCAACGCCGTCATCTGATCAGAGTCCCATATAGCAGCTCTCGATGCGCATGAGAGAGCATTTATATACGAGTCAGGCTTTCTGACGATCTTGACGCACTTTGTGTCACCTTTCCATTCAGCTCAGCCGACACCTCGCTTCGGGTCGAGACAGGTCTCGGGTCGGATGCGCCCGTCGATCGCGTGCAGCACACAAACTCATTCTTGATTCATTCGTCTTGCGGGAGAACAGACTTTCAAGTCTTGAGTCATGAGTCATGCTCGAGTCGTGACGAGTCATGTGCTAAGTCGTGAGTCTTGATCGAGCGATCGACCTACGTAGTGATTTGTGTGAGAGTCTGATTACACTCACAGCCAGCACACACAATTTTGAGTGTCCACGCGTACGTCGGTTCAAAAGAGGCTCATGCGGGTACACACACGAACCCTGACTGGTATGTACAGCCGATAAAGTCCCAACGCCACCTCACAAATTCTCAACCTTATTCAGCCAAGCAAGAATCAAGAATCAAGCGGCAATGAACATCTGTGGTTGTCAAGTGGCTCCAGTCACAAAACTAAAGACTCATCAGCTCTGAACAAGCGCAAGAGTCCTGCGTCACTGATCGCTGACACGAATTGATGCTGCGATCTTCAATCAAGATCAGTAGTGAATCAAGAATCAAGAATGCTGACTCTTGACTTGGCGAAAGTCTCGAGTGCAACCTGATCTGCAGAGATACGGCTGGACGAACGCGCAGCAAAGCTTTAGCCATTCATGTTCATATTTGATCTGTCTTTCCAGTCAGAGTCAAGTCAGACGTGCAAAAATTCGCTTTGATGCCGGCCCCGGAGGAACCAGCACGTACTGCATATGCTTCACGACTCAAGCAGAGCTGCGGCATGCATGGCCATCTCACAACAACAATCGTGAATGTGAATGGCGAATCGTGGCTTCAAGCTCGCAATGAGTCACGAGCAAGGCTGAGGTGCATGTAAATATCTGCAAGGATTTGATTCACGATTCCTCTTGCTCGAGGGCTGATATGCTGTCCCTTATTACGACTCGCACTCGCACTCACGACCAAAAAGCGATGTGATCGGAAAGCAGGATACTGCATATCGACTCGTGACTATAGTGCCGCTGCCTACCCAGCTGTGGGCAGGCCAGCACGTAATGCGAGGGCAGGTCGACGTTGCAAAGGCGATTGACGAACCAAATCACACACCACACAACCTCGACATTCACAAAACAAAAGCAGGGCAGAGTGATCAGGGTGCTTGCTATGCCGATATCCAATTCGCCAGCTGACCTGTCTTCCGTCAAAGCCTGCGCCGCTCTTCACTCTCTGCACTTCGACAGCTACTTCGAGAGTAAGCTTGGATCCAAGCATCGTTCGCCGCCTCAAGGATCGATACTGCAGCAACGCTGAAAGATACGAAAGGCGAAGCATCCGACATGACCCCCTCCAGCGGTCTCGCAGCCGCTATAGGCACGGCCAGCGATGCTGTCATGGAATGTGAGCTTATTCCATCAGCTCGTTGTACGCGTCAAACATTCCGCTGCGGGGCACTCACGACTCACGACTGACCCTAAATGTGATGCAGGGACGCCTCTGGTTCTGCTTTCTCTTTTCCTAGTATCTTCGTGAGTAAGATTGGGAATGAATTGGGTTTCGAAGCTTCATCCTCCCCCCTTCCCTGTGATCTCGCGGCGTTCGACAGCTTGCTCCTCTACATCGCGCTTCCACCTCGTTGGAACGAAGGATTGTTTTGGGCGTATACGGTGCTGCAAACTTTTGTATCGCTGTCAGTCACCGTGGAAGCGGTGCACTCCATCAGACCTGCCATACTGGCGCGTCGTGCCAGACGCAAGGCGGAGAAGGAGGGCTTTCCTGATCTGGCCCGCGAGAAGGATTGTCCCTTTGTGAGTGATGAGCTGGGAGAGATTTGATTCTATTGCCAAGTTCGATCTCAACTCCCATCTCACCCGGTGCAGTTCGACATTGTGGTCGTAGCCTACCTGCCGAATGAGGTGAATGGTTCGCGAGCCAGGCCTTGTTGAGGCGGAGCTGACCGACACATCCGTTGCAGGCCGACATCATCTTAAAGCAGGTGCGGTGCCGGACCTTGACACCCTGCGTGAGCGTCATGCTGATGTCGATCGTGCACCTTGCAGATGCGCTACATCATCCGACAGCTTCGCTACTCCGCGTCTCGATTCAATCTCATGGTGGTCTACAACACGCCAAAGCCCATGGAAGCTCTGGAAGCGGAAATGCAAGCTCTAGCGGGACGTTACGATAATGTACAAGTGCACAAGGTCTTGGGTAGTAAGAGCAAGTGCGATGTGAGTGCGTTCTCTTGGACCTTGGTCGCTCGCCGCTCCGCGTTGAGAGACTTTATGAGCCGTGCAGAATGTGAATTACTACTTGAAGAATGTGTCAAGCATAGCGGACATCGTCGCCATTTTGTGAGCACAGGATGATTGCTAGAAATTCAGCGCAACCCTCTGTGAAATCTGATGGGCCCTTCTCGACTCCTCTTACAGCGATGCTGATCACTGTCCAGAAGCTTGCGCGCTTCATTGGGCGGCAAGGTGCTTCAAGACTGGAGATATCGACGTAGTTCAAGGGAAGTCGAGAGAGAGAGAGAGAGCATGAGCATCCATGCCTCAACTATGCTGACGGAAACCCTCCTATGTACAGGTCGTTGCTGCATCTACAACTTCGACGAGACCTGGCTCACACGTTGTGAGAGACTCGTGGTCAGACTTGGGATGGTCATCAATGTGGATGCTGAACGTTGGCTTGTCTGGGCGTAGTGGTTGCAGCCGAGTTCGACGCCATCTACGGATGTTTTCACCTTGGGCGCGCAGCTGGTGAGTTTCACGCCACCCTTCTTTTCCGCTTTCATTTTGCTGCTTGTAGATGACCGAAGGATGAATTCAAATCTTGCTCAGCGCACGGTTTCGGCTTGTAAGTGCACGATCGCATCTCTCTGGTGTTTATGCGTTCAACAGCCTGACTGGGGTGGCTTGGGTGTGATCAGGTTCGGCGGGTCGAACGGCTACTGGAACGCATCACTATTGCGCTCCCTAGGCATGGACGGTCGTATGCTGGTGCGTGTCGTGGCCATTCGACGACCGAGCGCAGAGTGCTGACGACTCGCTCGCTCTCCAGACCGAAGACATTGATGCAACCATGCGAGCCATCACTAGCGGCGCGAGAGTCGCCTACGACATCAAGATCGTGTCCTTCGAGACCGCTCCGTGAGTGCCACTCCGAGTTCCCTAGCTCGTGCTCCCTTACCTTTACCCACGTGTTATCCGCGCCACTCTTCAGAACGACTTTCAAGGCGTTGCTCAAACAGAGACTTCGCTGGTCACAAGGGTGGACTCAAGTGCGTACCAAGCTTGACCTTGTGGTAGCACGATTACACGTCTTGATCCACCTAGCCCCACTTCAGGTAGCTCTGCGTCACTCCTTGACGGCGATCAAGAGAGGTGCGCACGGTGCAAAGCTCCGCAGCCGGCTTGGAATGTGGTTCCTCCTCCCCTTTCGCGAAATGTACTTTTGTGAGTGATTCGGCCTATGTGGCGAAGGATTCGAACGTGAAAGGTGTCGCTGACTTCGACTTGGCTTTGATTGCAGATCTGCCGATTCAGCTTGTGAGTGCGCAAGCAAAGTGAGTGCTGCGGCCATTGCTCAGCATGTCTCTTTGCAGACTTGCTTGCTGTTGGCATACGTGATTCTAAATCCGCCTCGCACCTTCGCGGACTTCTGGTACGGTCTGTAAGTCATGCCAATGCCTTTCCGCCTCGTTCTCTTGCATTCAGCTCACGCTCCCTCTCGCTTGCGCGTGCAGGACCGGATATCACGTCACCAACTGGTTGCTGGCTTTCAATATAATCAGGTGAGGGGGCAACGAGTCATTCTGGACGCTAGTCGAGCACCGTGTGTGCTGATGAAGGCTCGCCCTTGGCCTCATTTCAGTCTTGCCACTGTGTCCATGATCAACCTGCGCAACCGATCTCCCTTCACAAGACCCTGGGCAATCATTCTCTTCGGCATTTGCTGTCCACTTTGGTTTACCATGTCGAGCATTGGAGCAGTCTTTGCTCATTTCCGCCAAGTTGCCAAGTACGAGAAGGTGAGCGCGGGTGGATGCACTGCAAAGCAGTATGGTGAGCTGATTTCTGACCTTGCAACAACATCGCTACCAAAGTGGAACCCCACTGCCCGCGGAGCGCCAAAGCCCAAAGTAGTCATCGCCGCTCCTCGCGTCGACGCAGAGTAGCCATGAAGGCAAGCAGCGTGTGCTCGATTGGCCAAGCTGGCGTCGCTTGCGAGAGCGTCGGGACAGATCGAATGGTCATCACTGCATGCGTCTTGTGAGGCCAGCATCGGATCGGGATGCGGTCGACAGACATACATCAGCTTCGATCCCCGAATCCTGCCCCTGCATCGTGTACGTAGCCTCCGGTGCCTATCAAATCGTGGAATCTTGAATCCGCGCTTGTCTCAGTCAGAGTGTGCCTGAACGTTCAACGACGAGTGTGAGTAGTCCGTTGCGGTCGAAAGGCAATCAATCAATCCAACAAGTGCCGCTGTGAGCATCACGGCGATCAAACATGAATGACGAGATGCATCACGAATGGGTGAGTGGCGGTCCGCTCCATAGATCGCTCGCTCGCTCGCTCGATGTGCCCACGCGCAAAAAACGCGGGTTTGAATCGGTGCTGTCGGGCCACAGACTTGCGCATATCGCTCACACTGCTCAAGTGCCAAGAAGCACGCGTCGGCGGGGTGGGCGCGCAAGCGCGTCGCGCCCCCCCCCAGCACCGCCGCTGCGCGCCTCGGCCTCCTCCGTGGACTTTGCGCATTGCGCGTTATTGACGCGCGATCCTCATTGGAAGCACGCGGCTCTTGGACTCTGATCTTCAGATCCTCCATCATATCCTATCGACTTGTGCCTCGTCGCCCACCTCTACAGCCCAGAAGTACGATCATCTATCAGCAGCGTTCGTCACCGATTTGCGCATTGCAACTTTTGTCGTCTTCGTTTCGGACCACGCACCTGATCGAGTCGAGTCGGAGCATCATAAGCTCCAAACTTTTCTTCGTTCTCTTTTTTCTTTTGGGGGAAGTAGACTCGGTCGCTCCCACTTGCAAGTACTTTTGAGCATCATGTCGGACGCAAAGGCTCGCGGTGGAAAGGCTAGCGTTGGTGGGGCTTCCAAGGTCTCGGGTGCCGGCGAGAAGAAGAAGGCCACTACTCAATCTTTCCGTGCGGGTTTGCAAGTGAGTACAAATTTCCAGTCGCAAGATCACGACGTGGTGGCTTGCAGCATGCTCGCTTTGGGGAGCTTAGCGCGACCGAGCTGAAGGGCGGCCTGTAGCTCTTCCACATCGCTATGGTTGGTCAGGTGGTCATCGCTATGGTCGGTCAGGTGGTCGGACGCTCCTTTATGGCAATTCTAGCGCCACAGGGACCTGAGCTCCGTGTCGTGGCGGAAGCAACGGTACCGCTTCGCCACAGGCGCGGAGCCCACTCTCAACGTCCGTGACGCTTTCCAGCTGTCGCCATCTTCATTCGAGACACCCGGCAAGCTTTGCGACCGCAAACAAAGTCGAGATTTGCACTGCGCGCCGAGCTCGTCCTAGCTGTGAATGACTCCGGCTGGCCCTTCGGCTGGTCAACACTCGGTGACGCATGCTTCGTCTCGTCATGCATTGCTGACCCTTGATTCTCCTTTCATTTTCAGTTCCCGGTCGGTAGAATCCACCGTCATTTGAAGAGTCGCGGACAGAACCACGTTCGTGTCGGTGCCAAGGCTGCCGTCTACGCCAGTGCTATCTTGGAGTACCTCACTGCCGAAGTGCTCGAGCTTGCTGGTGAGTGAACAGCGCGATACATCAGCGATGGCGCTCATAGCAACCCCAGACTGACTTGAACATCTGCATATGCGACTCTAGGTAACGCTGCCAAGGACCTCAAGATGAAGCGTATCAAGCCTCGTCACTTGCAGCTGGCTATTCGTGGTGATGAGGAGTTGGACAGCTTGGTCCGCGCCACGATTGCAGGTGGTGGTGTTCTTCCTTACATTCACAAGTCCCTCATCAAGACTAGCGGCAAGAAGAAGGCTGTCACTGCTACCGACTGAGCGTATCACACGACAAGCATAATCGGTCTGCCGAACTCGAATCAGCACTGTTCAGGGCAGAGAAGCATGCAGCGTGATTTGTACCTCTCTGGGTGGACGAGCAGACGGACCTGCAGAGCGGCTACACGTAGATCGCTTCTTCGCCTATTCCCTTTGCTAGGCAGCCTCTCCCTCCATGCGAGAACACGAATCGAGCAAGACGTTGCTTTTCTTTCTCTCTCAATCCATCCATGCTACCTACGCTCCGCTTCACTCTCTTCATTCGCGGATCCATACCGAACCGTGTTGAATGTACTCTATCGACGAATCTCCGGCTGCCTCTTCGCCCAAATAACGCACATGATTGACGGTGAATAGCGCAGTGACACTTCGAAGGCTGCCATTCTTGATGGCGCGTCGCTTTTCCCCGATCAAGCTCTTCGTTCCCGAGCCCTGGAGTAAAGCTCGGACGGATTCGTGATCCACGACGAGTGCACACGGCTACATGTGCGGAGCTTTGCTCTAGGGTATGACATTGACGCGTTGTGGTTGATGTATCAGGTCTGTAAAAATTCGCGAATGTGGACTCCAAGGAGAGGAGGGGGCAAAAGGGCGCCCGGTGGGGGGTGCAGGGGGATACGTCCATTCGTCTATGCTTGTGACTCGAGGACTTTGATTGGCAACGACTGACTAGCAAACCTATCAAGAATAGTCCCGCTGCTGTGACGCCGGACGTCGTTTAGCCTGGGCATCTGTGTTAGCTCGCGGTGCAGAAGCATTCTACGTAGCGGACCTGTGCGTGGAATTCTGGTTCAGGCTAGCTGGCCCCCAACGTCTTTGTGGCGCTTCACTCGACGGGTCAGTCCGCTGATTGAGGCGCGCACTTTTGCTCTGAGCCCACTGGTGCGCCCAGCCTGGCCAGACCTGTCGATATTGGGCATGGAGACGGTGGACAACCTTGCAGAGGAGACTTTCTCTTGAGCAACTGAAAGACCACCTGCACGCCGGGTGGAGATAGCAGGGCCATCTTTTCCAGAGGCAAAAGTGCTGGGTGTTGAATGCACTGGCGAGTCGGTCTTTTCGCCATCGATCGATGCACCGTTCTCGTTTGCAGCGTGGCTAATCTCATTTGGCGCAAAGAGCGATCTACCGTCGGCTTTGGAAGGGCTCATCGTGCCCGAGGTGGGCTTCACGACTGCCAAGGCGTAGACGGGCACCAGCACTGGTCTGCTTGCTCCGGGCCTCTGACTGACTGCCTCGAGCACCTCGTTGACTTTCTGACAAAGCAGAGCGATCGCGTCCTGGTGACGTTCCTTGGACGATTGAGATGCTGACTGGATGACGTTTGCGGAAGCGAGGTCGATGGCAGGAAACCGCAAGAAGTGCATCTGCACCACAAGTGCATGGAGGCATCAGCTTTGCGCGGCGTCACACGTATCGGTGGCTTGAGCCCGTTCGACTCACTCGGGACGTGATGGTGAAAGCGTGCTCGACAAAGCCAAAGGCACTGCAAGCTCGACACGGTTGGCATCCAGAGCCACGGCAGGTTGTGCACAGATATTGACCATTGCCATCGAGACAGATTGCGCATTGCTTGCCCTTGTAGTTGACCCCTGTGCCTTCGCAAGCAAAGCACTCGTCCGGTTGGGTGGCGAGGCAACGGACGCAAGCATGCTCTCCTTGACCGCTGCAAAGATTGCATCTGAGTTGAACGTGTTCGACACCTCCTACTTCGTAGACTCGCTCCACGCTGGGTTGATGCTCGGCAGACTGATGTTCACACTCGGTTGGTGAGGCGGGAGAGCTCATCTGGAATGCCCAAGGCGATGGCAAGAGCTCTGCAGGAGGTAAGTCGTTAACAGCTGGTGCACGGTCGCTATCAGTGCGGCGTGTCGGACGCCAGCGCGCTGAGCGAGCTTCGACAGCCACTACCGCTGAAAGAAAGGCGCGCGACGCTGGTGTCTCGAGACGAGAGACGATTTCGCCAAGGTGAGTGGGCAAGAGAGGTGCGTGCGCGTCGTCCAAAGTGAAACATAGTTCTTCTTTGGCACGAGTGGCTACCACGGGATCCTGCTCAAATGATGCTGGCGAGGTGCTACAACGCTATCGTCATCAGATCAATACTCTTGAGGGTGGCCAACAGATGATCGACTGGACACTCACTCGTACTCAAATCGTAGAATGACATCCTCGACTTCGAGTCTGGTCTTGAGTCGTATCATGGGCGATGGCAGTCCTCCGAGCGAAGGTGTTCCGAGCGAAGGTGCGTCACTGCGAGGAGTTGATCTCATAGACGAAACGTTTTCTTCGGGCGAGGCAGACGACGCCATCGTCGGAGAGCGAGTGGCTCGGCTTGGTGAACGAGGCGAACTTGGAACTTCTGCCCCAAGCAGTGGCGGAAAAGGCAGCTTGAGCGTCGGCATGCTAGCTAGACTGGCCGCACTTCAGTACTCACGAAGCGTATCCTTCTCGATGCGGCCAAGCAGACGTAGTCTGGCACTCAAGTCTTCTGCGTGCAGACTACGAGGAGGTTGGGTCTTTGAGTCGGCAAGCCCGCAAGAATGCGAGCTCTCGTGAAGGGCGACTTTCTCCTCTAGCATTGTGGCGATGTAAGAGCGTTGGTGGTCGACAGACAGACAGGTGTACCAAGGGGAACCTCGATCATGCACCTATTTGCTTATTCACACGCCGGTGAGTAGAGAGTGAAAAATGACGTCGTGACTTATCAGGTTATCGCCCAACAGAGGCCAGTGGGATGCTAGAGCGCTTTCGCTCTCGTAAGACCTCAAATTCTACTGCAGTCCTGCCTAGTAAAGTGAACGTCTTTGCCAAGTGCGCTATCGGAGCTTTGACTGCTTCCGCTGCACTGCGGACACTGCCTTGCTGGTGATTTGCATGCCGTGATACGTGCACCCATGCAGCTGTGAGCAACGATGACGATCGTTATCAGCGCACGCCGACATCGGCTAATTGAAGCGTGCGGTGGTCTGTGGTCTTTTGAGCACTTGTGATTGCTCAAGACTACGCTGTCGTTGGGTGAGCGTGACTTTGATATGTTGCTATGAATGCCCCTTGTCGCGCATGTACTCGCCAAAGGCCATCCTCCCCACCAAGTTTCAGCGAGCGATGCAGGGCTTATCTTTCGCAAGACGAAAGCGTGCTCTTGCCCCGGAACCTAATTGCAAGTCAGGCGAAGCAAGACGCGAAAGGTTTCTGATGAGCTGCACTCACTTTCAATCCAGCTTAGTCGAACTTGCTTTTGATCGTGGAGAAGTGCTGCTATGTCGTGTTCTTGGGTGCTCGAGATGCCTATCTCGCCCAACGAGTAATCCTTCAACAAGCAGTCGGAATGGTCCTGATCTCTTCGGATCAATGGCGAAGCGGGGCATCGTGGAAGTGCGGCGCTGCGCCAAAAGTCGCCGGAAGCCAACGGTGTGCGAGGACATGAATCTTCAATTTGGGAGTCGTGAATGACTGGCATAGAAGCATTTGGGCAGCTGATGAGACTCTTGGCTCACCGACGCTGCATGCTGCTGGTCACAAAGGCAAGTCAGAGGCGGCATGTGCATGCGAAGATCGAGTGGATGATCCTGCTCGATCCAGCCAGCTCCTTCCATTCTTGATTGCGCCGTGAGACAACGTTAGATGGAGATGGACGCGCTGTGCCAGATGGAACGTGCTCCAAAGTCTCTGAGCGTCAGAATCAGGTGTTCTTGCCGAGCCCTTGCTTGAAGCGCGGCAGCGCAATTCCTGCGTGTCATATTTGACGCTGGTGCGCTGTCGTGACTGTTCTGACTCGAGATCGGCGCGTGCGTGCAGAAAGCCCGCGCCTGATTCAGGCCAATACGATCCACAAATCCAATCCAATCGAACCGTTCGCGCAATCAGGTCGTGGATTGAGCATTTTGTGGTTCGTGATTGGTGATTACCGGATGACCTGTGCTTTGAGTCGGGACAAGCTGCGAGCCGAGCCAGGCGAATCGACTCAAGATTCGAGATCGTCGTGTGCCAAAGCAAGAGATTGTGTGACTGCTTCATATCTTGCAGGCATCAAGCGAGACACGCTTCGTGAGAAGTCTGGCTGTATGTCATCCGCCAACGCTCCAATTGAGGCAGGCATTTCGTGCTGCGGCGTGACAGCATGCAGCAGAATACATGGTCCCGTGATTTTGTGCCGAGCAGCCTGCTGCGCATATGGTGTAAGCTGATGTCGATATACCACGTTCAATTTGTCTAGCGTTATATGCAGCGGCCGCGCTGTGATCTTCAATCGTGAATCCTGAATCAGAACGAGACCCGAAGCGAAGCGATCTAAATGAGTGAAGAGCTGAAGAAGTGGTGAGCGCCCAGGACCGCGCCCTTGAAAATCATCGTCGGAAGAGCCGGATCGCCGCATGCAAGGTCCGGCTGTCGCCCAAGTAATCATGTTTCGCACAGTCTGGCTCTTGAGGTGGCAGCATTGGTCGATCGGGTTTGCGTGATGGAGATCCTTCCTGATCGATGCATGCATGCATGCCCCTTTTGACGGTAGGCCGCTTGCAAGATATTTAAACGATAAAAGTGTGATGAGTCAAAGATGGAGATCAAGAATGTGCCTATAGGTCTGAAATCTCGGGGTCGAAGGGTATTCTTTGGATGGCCAAATGATACCTGAATCGAACCAGGGCTGGACCACGCGATCGCGATCGTGATTGACGAATCGTGAATATGAATGCTTCCTATTCTCCGCGTCAAGCGTGATTGAGCGTCAAGGCGAAAGTCCGCTCGCTTGCTCCCTATCCTTCGACCGGTGCGTAATTTGAATGACTGCTGATGGCAATCACGAATTAAAGCTCGTATGTATAGGTTATGTGACGCGTAGCAGGCGACGATATTCCGCCACGGCGCCGAGCAAAATAAGGTGAATCACAAACCTGTTTTACAATTTGTGATTTTGATTGATTCACGATTCTTCATTCGTAATTCAATTGTGGTTGAGATGCATATGCCATGCGCAGTGAGCGAGGTTCTGACGCCACTATTGGTGGAAGGGTCGATCATCAAAGGCGGGCAGCAGACTTCACTTGTGACTCGCGTGCGTTTCACATGCTTCTGGGACCTTCTCGATTGAGCTTCTTGATTCAGGTTCAAGCACGGCCTGGCCATCCGTCACTGCGGTTTGCAATCCTTCTTCAGCGCTGCGGGAGGCGATATGTCGTGCGGGCTGCTGGTTGCACACAGACGATAGGTATGTGCAATGTGAATCGTGAATGTCTCGCTGCTAGCCTGCGAGCAGAGTTGACGCAAGTCCGCTGTCTTGAGTCAGGGGCGGCTTTGGGAAATCTCTTGAGAAGCCGTCTCTGCGTGGCGTCTTTGCATATGTTTTGATGCGCCGCGATACACGTAGACGAGACACTCAAGACCCAGACTCGTGACGACTCTTGAGTGCGAGCCGTGCCTTGCGATCCATCACAGTCATGCATGCATCGCGAATCTCTGAAACGGCTCACGAGTCGTGAGTCAATTCGTGTGCATGTCGATCGATCCAGATTCACGATTCCAGCTGCGCATCTCTGTTGCGTGCACGTGTAAAATATCTTTGCGATCAATCGCTCTTTTGCACACGTTTGTTGAACGACTGGTGACTGTTGTCGAATGAGCAAGCCAGCATCTGGCTGCGTGGCTGGTGCTCAAAAGTGGGCTCGAGTTGATATCAGGTGCGAGTTTCGGGAATCCTGGCTGGCTTGCCTCGACGCGTGGGAGGCACAAGACGTCTCTCTAGACCATGCTGCCGCCGAGCAGCGAGAGGAGACTTATGCGAATGTAGGGTATTGAGCTTCGGCTCGTGAGTCACCAGTGGTCCCAGCAGCCCCCTGTGCATGGGAACAGCTCTAGCCTTTGTAGAGGGCGGTGTTGCAACAAATCCCCATCACTTGATGACGATCCTCTCCTTTCACGACTTCTCATGCCATTCTCCAGCAGACCAGGCATGCGATCATGATGAGTGCGTTTGTATTCCTCTTTTGCCTTTCCTGGGTGCCATCATTCGCCTATGCACGCTGCGAATGCGGCTTTTATGATGTTGCCACGGGAAGTCTCTGGACCGACGCTCTGATCAGCTATTTCAACGAGAGCGACGGTGCTATCTTTGATCCAGTCGACAAGAACGGCGATTTCCTCGGGAGCTCAACAGATGGCGCTCTTTGGTCCAATGTCGAGAACCTCAACGAGTGGGAGGACGGGTGGGTGATAGCTGCGTCTCCGCCGAGCTGCTCATCTGCTGACAGTATGCGCCTGGCCGCCGAAAAGGTACACCGCCACATTTCGATCTGGAAGCCACACATCGAATGCGTACATGACGGCCAACGCTTCTCTTGATGCACTCGCTCTGGAGGTCCAACCGGCATTGCTCAAAGAGCGCATCTCTTACGGCGCTCAAATTCGTTCGCAAAGGCAGGACATCCTGTTTGGCTCTTTCACGAGTGAGTGTCGTCGAGTGTCCGATACATCATCAGTGTGTGTGCTGATGTTTGCGACCGTGCCGAGCTCAGCTGCGCTTCGATTCGACAAACTCGCGGCTGGCACAGCACTCGAAAGTAAGTCGGCAAGCTCGAACAATGTCTTGGTCCAGGATTGACAGTGCTTCTTGGTTGCTTTTCCGCAAGTGAGCCTCCATCGTAATGTCTCTTCAACCATTTCCACGCTGTTGACAATGGGAGACCAGCCTCTAACCGCTACTCTTCGGTGGGACATGGCCGGCCCCTCGCTTCATGGATTCTCTGCTCTTCGGCAAAACTTTACAGACATCGGTTTGGTTCCTGGGAGAGTGCACGAACACCGTATCGCGTGGCTTCCCGGCGAAGTGTCCTGGAGTCTTGATGCCTCGAACAGCACGCCAGTATTCTTTGCGAGACGCGAACCAGAATGGAAACGCGGCACTTTGCCGCACGCTCCCACCGCCCTATCCTTTCGTCACTATTCCAACGGCGAACAATCCGTCTCTATGGGCCCTCCGCTTTCAGAGTCTTCAATCGCGTACATCATCTTCGTGAGAGCTTTTTTCAACTCCAGCCTGCCGGAGAGAGGGCTGTCTTTCGAACAACGTTGTTCGCGGGCTCAAAGCGGCATTTCGCCAGTGTGCATCACCGACGACCTCACTCTGCGCAGCAGCGACTCGACTCCGTTCCCTCTTGCCGCACTCAAGCCGATCGACATCGTCTCTCCCTCCCCTTCAGCGAAGAAATGGAGTGCGGACCTTTTGATCGTTCTTGCATCTCTCTTCGCCTTGGTTCTGGGTCATGCTTTCGTGCACCGAGCCTTGAAGCACCGTCGAGCCGTCTTGATGGATCGAATGCGTAAAAGTAGCGCCCAGGAACCAGGACCGACCTCCAGCAGGGCAGCGGCCGATCCTTTTCTTGACCATGTGGAAAATGATCAGACCCGTCAACGGGAGAAGAGGTTGACGGGAACAGTGGCCGATTGGGATGATCTTGGTCTATTTGAGCGTCAAATAGCCTTCGTGATTGGAGAGGAGAAAGATGATCCTAGCACACCACGTGTTTGCTCATGGAGTAGAGATCCCTTTGCAGACGACGGTCATGCTGATATTGGCACTTCGTCACCGGCGAATGCTGAGGATGTACGAGGGTCCCCCTTCACCCTCTTCAGTCGCAGTTTCGAGCTTCAGCGTCTCGCCACTCCAGAGCGTGAGTCATCGATCAAGTGATCCCATATCACTCTGCGACTGACGTGAACATTGCCTCCAGCCTCCTCGAGCAGTCCTCAGCTTTCAACCAAGGCGTCCACGCTGGAGCTCATGAGCCCGCGCAGATCTCACAGCCATGTCAGCGTTCTCGATCTGTATCCGAGCCTTCGACTTATCGAGTGGTCCGAGGAGGCTCACGTCGAAGCGCAAGATTCTCAAGCCTCTTGTGCAGAAGGTGGGCTTGCTTCGGGTCGACCCCAACACGATGAAGCGCTTGCGCCCGCCGTGCCAAGAAGCTTTCTAGAAGCAATCAGGGGGCACCTTCACAATATGATGTTTACCCCAGGTGCGACGCGCACCACGGCTTCTGGTGCTCGCAGAGTCGACTACTTGGACGGCCTGCGCGGCATGGCTTGTCTCCTGGTAGCCACACATCATTGGTTGCTCATATTTTGCTACTCGTTCGCCGCTTGGACACCTTCGACGCCTGCTCAGTACCCGAAGATGGCAGAGCTGTTCTAGTGAGTATCGCGCAGCGTAAGCGAACAGAGCGGTGCTAGTCTACAAGCTAAGCAGAGATTGATCAACCTTTCAGCAAGATCGCCGGGTCAGTAGCCGTTGCACCGTCTCGCCAAATTGATTACTGACGCAAGGTCGCATGTCGCGTAGCCCCATCGTCGCCAATGGTGACCTCAACGTTGGCATTTTCTTCGTGAGCATGAAGCCAGAGTTGTCAAAAGGCCGAGTATCAGATGCTGAGCTGCGCATGACCGCGTCCTGGTGCCACAGATGCTAGCTTCACGCGTCATGGTAGCCCGCTTCCAGTGAGTTCGGCGAACTCCCACTCCTGTCTGCTGTGCTAGACCTGACCAGCGCCCGCTGTCCAGAGTCAAGAAAAGCCCAGCAGATCTTGCTGAAGCCATCTTCCGAAGAGCGCCACGACTGATGGTACCCATCACGGCGGCTATGACGTGAGCCAACAGACCTAGTGATGGCGTTACTACGAAGTTGAACTGACGCTGCGGCTGTGCTTCAGCTTTTCGTACTTGTTGTCCGACTGTGGCGCATTTGTCTGGATGCGTCGTTTGCCCTCCCGAACCTGGTCATCGTGGAGCTACTTAGCGCCTTACGACTCGGTCGGCCAGTTCCTGAACACTTGTGAGGGGACCTTGAGGTGCGCAGAGCAAGCAGAGATCCACCTGACGCCTGAACCCCGGTGCAGATTTGCTTTTGTGGTTCACTGCACCGGGCGACGTTCCGGTCGCCACCTCAACGTACGCGACTGGGATTCTGTGGACTACCCCCGTCATCGTCAGCTGCTCTTGGACGACCTTCCTTTGCGCGCTTGTCGCGAACAGCATCCCGAACCACGCCAAGCGCATCTCTTTTTACGTCGTGTGCTTTGTGGTGTCCTGGTGGGCTGCGCGTTGGGACTACTTCTTCATCGCTGGTCTGATGCTGAGCGATTTGGACAATCGAGTGAGTTGAGCAGCGAGGTTAACCAGACCTGTGAAACATCGTCGCGCCGCTTGCTAAGCCGACGTCTTGCTTCATGGCTGGCGCAGCTCAAGTACCGTGAGAAGCGCTTCATGGGCCTTCGTTCAAGACTTGCGGCACGCTTCGGATTTCGCGAGGGAAGGATCCAGATTCCTGCCCAGGCCATCGGATGGATCTTCTTCACGACGGGAGCTGCATTGGCATGGTGGAGTGCAGCCGCAGACAAGCAAATTTACCGTGATAAAGAGGTGAGTGAGCAGCTTGGGTCGTGGAGGATTTGCTTGCGCTGAGTCGATGCGTTCGATCCGTGGCACGCGATCTAGCATCTCATTCATGCAGATCTCGACGCGGCACGCGCATCGCAAGCTGGGCCACCTTATTATGAAGTACGTGGTGGTCCGCATTCTTAATGGCTTCCTATAGCTGATCATTATCGTACTGTTTCAGCCGAGCCTAGATAGCTTCTTGTGCGTGCAGGTTTCGTGCCGGCGTACACTGGGCATTGAGTACCTAATGGTTTGACGTATTCTCCGCAGCTTCGCGCTTGGTTTCTTTTTGCTTTGTGACCTGTGCGATGCGTTTCGGATCGCTTTTACCTTGCGTCCATGGAGCATCCTGGGCCGGAACGCCTTTTCCCTTTACCTGTAAGTGGATAACAGCCCTCGCAATCAGTGATTCGCTCGCTCGCGTCATGCTGACGAACATGCCGATCTTCAGAATACACGGCCAAGTCTACTGGAGCTATAGCGCTTTCGTGCATCTCCATTTGCTCAAGGCTGGGTTGGATTACTGGGCTGCAGCGCTGATCAATTGGGCAAGCTCCATGCTTTGTGAGTCGTGCCCCATACATTGATAACATGCGCACGCAGTGAGCTGATTGTCAAAGCGCCCTTTGGACAGTATTGTTGGTACTGTGCGAGTGCTTTACCCGTACTGTAAGTTTCTTATGCCGGACGTCACAAGCTGCCGCTAAAGCTCGTCTTGATTCGACTCTGCTTGGCGCAGTTCGACGCTTGGGGTAAGTTTTGTCGCGTTGGTGGTCGTCGAACAGCAGGTATCATTGATGTAGCTCTCTCGGTTTGGCATGCCAGGCATTTCTCTGTCGCGAGCGCTGTGGCGCGTGGCTAGCGGCAACGTTGGCCGCAGAATTTAGTTCGTGTCACGCATCCTGGGCGACGTCACGAAGATCCGCTCATGTGCCGGTCTTGTGCCTGCCAGCTAGCCCTTCGTACCTCATCTTTACCATCAGGGCTCAAGGCGGTACATGGCATTTGGGAGTAGGTGCAACGATCAAGTTCGAATTCATGCTTGTGACTCCAATCCGTTCGCATTGCAATGTCGTTCTTGATCTTCCTTCATTTGAATGCTTGAAGGGACAGCGGGATACTCGCCCTGCGAATGATAGTCAAGAAATGATTATAATGCCTCGGATCAGACGTCGTAGCTGAATCGCTTGACGGAAGTGGATGGAAAGTGAGTGTCGAGGGGAAATTGCAGGACGTGTCAGACAGCGTTCTCGGGGAAAAGCAAGCGAAATCGATGGCACGCCTGCATGCCGGCAGCGCGTGCGTTGCGTGATTGCAGCATGCGATGCGCACGGCTCAAGAAATTTCAAAGATTGCCGGTGCTTACCAGCAGCATGCACCCTGCATGCTACAAGCTTTGACTTCTCGTGCCCGCCCACGAACAGGAAGGCCCTCCTATCCAGCTCGATCATCGTCATCCTTTTGGGCTCTAGACTGTGGTCACAAATCCCGGCGCAGTGCTCACAATGTCAGGCGTAGGTCACCGCTTGCTGTTGGTGCATCTCTTCCTGCCAGACACGCTGGCCTTTCATCCCTGGGACGAAGATTCGGACGCAGCAGGGCACGTAGCCACTCTAGGCGAAGGTGGGGGCGGTGGAGGCCAAATCGTCGTCGACTCTCCTGCCGACTCTTCACGCGCTGAAGATGCCCTCAATACCCCGCCGGCTGCCACGCATCACTTGCCCTTACACGAGCTCTCCGATCGTCTCGCCAAAGCGAATCTCAGAAGTTCTGTCCAGAGCAGCGGACCTACCAGCCTAGATGTACCCCAACGAAACTCGGCTTCCAAGTCGGCGCCCGAGTCTCGCGAGCACGTCAGTGTGGCTAGTGTTAGAGCGAGGGATCATGCGCTGGAAGATGACAGCGCCGTCGACATCGACGACGAGGACAGTGGACCCGAGATCGGTGCTGCCAGGGTACAGCGGACGACGCGATCAGCTCGAGGCTCTTTCAGCGCAGACGCAAATGCTCGCAAGATTACAATGACCAGTCTCATATCCGAAGGGTCTGGACAAGGCGGCTCCAGCACGCTGGAGTCTCAGCCGATTCGTGTGCCGTCGCCTGCCAACGCTTCCGCAGCGACGCGATCTCGCCGCAACAGCCCGAGTGGTGCTCTTCGACCCAACATTGCGGCACTCACAGATACTCGAGGAGCGAATGCTGATGGCACCGACATCCCTGTAGCCGCAGCCTCTGATCACGGAAGGGGCGTCGCCTCTACTTCACCGGGCACCCAGCTTTCGAGCTCCTCCCTGAGTGCTGCGACGCCTCTATCAAGGTCGGCCGGAAGCGGCTCGCATGTTGGGGGCAGAGACAACAAGGGTGGCTTCACGCAAGGTGGTTCACCATTCGGTCCCAGGGGCATTGCTCCAGGCGCCCTCGGCTTGACTGTCCCTGGCGAGAGTGATTCGAGATCGGGCACAAAGACTCCAGGAGCCAAGGCTGGGGGCAAAGCTGGCACCTTGACGCCGCTCAGCATCATCGGAGACTTGGCTGTGAGTGCGAATGAGCGGCGAGCTGAACGCCAAAAGCTGACGCTCACCTCTTGGTCGTCTCGCATTAGGCCAAGCAAACTTCCATGCATGCTCTCTCCACACCAGGTCCACAGACGCCCGGTGACAAAGAGAGGCATCATCCATTCGGCTCAGGTGCTGTCACCCCTCGACACGGATCTCAAACGCCTGGTCATTCCGTGCGTACGCCGGGCTTTCCCCCGAATGCCAAAGGCCATTCGCAAGGGGCACTGAGTCGGCCGCCCATGAATCTGAGCATGTCAGCTATGAAGGTGCCACAAGCACGCGCAGAAGGAATGAGCGGTGCTGCGACTGGAGGTGCCAGCACTCCACACCATCACTCTTCGCTAGGTCTCACTGGACTGGGAGGTGCGAAAAAGCCATCAGGTGCGCAATCTGCTGCGACAGCGGGTGTCGGCACAGTATCTTCCGCACTTGCAGGGGGCACCATCAATGACCATGGACGGGGCGTCGTTGCAGAGACTTCACCTCCTGGGCCAATCGCGCGACCTCACAGCAAATCCAACGAGGACAACAAGGCGATCTCGGGGATATCAGCATTAGGGACTCCTCACGACAGAAGCGGAAGGGGGTCTGACAGGAGAATCAATGCAGGCTCAGCGATTGGGGCTGGCTCTCCAAATGCGGTGGCTGAGAAAGCGCGCCAGACGCATGGCGGCATCATGCCGCCATCTTCTTCCTTCAACCGCATGAGCTCCAAGAACAGGGCACCAGGACCTCGTTGCGGTTCACGCCGCAATCCGTCATCGACCGGGCGTTCGGTAGGCAGACGAGCTTCCGTAGCTAGTATGACGGATGCAGGCGGAGAGAGCATCATCTCCGCCTCGTCGACACCAGCGCGCATTCCTCGATTCGACTTTGAGCCGAATCCCAGCGCAAACGGTGGCTTGGTCAACGCCGTCGACAGCGTATCTCGCGATCGCTTGCGAGCGGGCAAGGTGTATGTTGGCGCGCCAGGCATCTCCATAGATGACTGGGCTGGGCCGATCGAGCGCGCCTTGATTGCAGACAGGCTCCGCAATGAGCGATCTAGCACTCCAGTGTGGTTAGAGGATGACCTCATGCAGGGTCACTATACACATTTCTGCAAACAAATCCTCTGGCCCACTTTTCACTACACACTGCCGTCCCAGCGCGGGCTGGAGCAAGAGCACGAAGCTTTTGTGTGCTACCGCGAGGTCAACCGAAGATTTGCAGATGCCATTGTGGCCGAATACAGGGAGGGTGACATTATCTGGGTCAACGACTACCATCTCTTGTTGGTGCCGCAAATGGTCCGTGAGCGCTTGCCGTATGCCACCATTGGCCTCTTTTTGCACATTGCCTTTCCCTCGTCCGAGATCTTTAGGTGCCTCTCGGTACGAGAAGAGCTTCTGCGAGGCATGCTGGGCGCTGATCTGATAGGCTTTCAAACCCACAACTTTTGCCGGCACTTTAGACAGACAGTCAGTCGTATATTGCAATTGGAAGCGACGCCAAAAGGCATTCAGATGGACTCCAGCAGAGGGGGCGGGTTCGTCACGGTCAGCGCATTTCCCATTGGAATTGACGTGCGCAATCTCAATCGGAAGCGTGCAGATCCCGAGGTGGGCGAGTGGGTGGCAAAATTGCGCGAAAGGTATGATGGGAAGCGCGTCATTGTCGCGCGGGACAAGCTGGACTGGATCAAGGGCGTGCGTCAAAAGCTCCTCGCTTTCGAGGTCTTTCTCGACGAGCATCCCGAATGGGTCGGCAAGGTGGTTCTCATTCAGATCGCTCTTGCTACGACTGAGGACAACGACGAGATTGGCGCTTCTTCAGAGGTGGTCTCGCGCGTCAACAACAAGCACTCTAGCCTCGCATATCAGCCCGTTGTCTTCTTGCACGTGCAAGACATGACCTTCAGTCAATACCTCGCGCTCCTCACCATCGCGGATGCTTTCCTGGCCAGCAGTCTACGCGAAGGCATGAATTTGACATCACATGAGTATGTCGTTTGTCAAGAGGAGAAGCACTCGCCGCTCATCCTTTCGGAATTCACCGGAACGTACTCTGCGCTGCGGGCGTGCATCGGCATCAACCCGTGGAATACCAAACAGGTGGCTCACGCCATTCACAAAGCAGTCACAATGTCTGCTGAAGAGGCGTCTGCGCGCTGGGAAGATCTTCATCGATGTGTTTTGACCCAGACTTCTCAGCACTGGCTGACGAGCCTGCTCAGCCGGCTAGAACGAGCGCACTTGGAAACTCAGAGGCGACAATCCTCTTTTATTCCTCGACTTGAAGTCGCTTCGCTGATTTCCGAATGGAGAGCCGCGCGAAAACGGTTGCTACTCATCGATCTCGAGGATACTCTCATGCCAGCACCAGAAAGAGATTTTCCAAAGGAACCAGAGGAGGCGCTGATCAAGCTACTCAAGGACCTCTGTGCTGACACGAAAAATAGGGTATATCTATTGAGTGGCAGAGGGACGAGCGACTTGGAAAGCTTCGCCAAAGATTTGCCGGCGATCGGATTGATCGCCGAGAACGGATGCGCGGTCAGCTACGTCGGCAACACCTCGCATTCCCAAGATGAAGCTAGCCCCGGGGGGAGTGGTGCACGGCAATGGGTCTCCTTGGTCGCCGGCTATAATCTCTCATGGATGGCGCCAGTGCGCGAAATTTTGTCGTACTTCTCCGAGCGTACAGAAGGCAGCTACATGGAAGAGCGTGGAGCGTCCATCTTGTGGCGCTTCTGGTCACGCTCTGCGGGGGACCCGCACTCGCATCAAGCGCAGTGGGCACGGAAGCAGAGCGCCGAGCTGCAAAACCTGGTCTACGACTCGCTTGGGGAGCGCTTCTCACTGCGCATTATTCCTGGCTCCACCAGCTTTTTGATCATGCCCAAAGGTGTCAGCAGAGCTAGCGCCGTGCAGCACATCATAAGTTTGTCGCAGATGGGCGCATCGGCAGCTACTCCCGCTAGTCCTGCATCGCCTGTCGTTAATCCGTTTGGTATGGGTAGACATGTGAGGAATCCAGCAGTGGAGTCCATCAAGGGAGGAGGCCCAGCCAGGGACAGCAGTCCATACAAGCTGCCCAGCAATGCTTTCATGCCAATGTTCCAAAGTCAGCGAGAGGTGAGCCTAGCGCCATCATTCGGCAACGAGGTCGAGATGCTGACCTCGATCTTTGACGAACAACAGCACGACTTGGGTCCTTCGAGGCACAACGGTCCGGCCGGCGGCGGCTCGTTCGATTTTGCTTTCGCACTCGGACAAGACGATGCCTTGCTGGCGTACGTGTCCACCTTGGACATGCTCTTTGCTCCCATCACCTGCACGTCCAGCGCAGATATGCGAGGCTCGGAAGCCTCCTTCTACGTGCGAGGTCAGGGCGAGGCTAGAGCTGCTCTGAGGGAGCTGGTTCAGAGCAGGGTCAGAGACGCCGTTTGGGGCCGGCCTGCTATGAGCGACATTTAAACGCGGATCAAGATCGTTGGATACGCGTGCGCAACTTCGGCTGCGTCATCAGCCACATGCCAGAACGATTTCGGACTCATGACTGGTGTAGATGACGTTGCAAATTCCACGAAAACCTCACCACTCAGGAATCACTACCTGAAGGTGACTTTTGGTCATCCATGCTCTTGTTCCTGCGCTCGCCTCAGAATTGAGGCCAGTTTCAAGGTCCCTCTATTATACAGGTAAAGAGTTTCGTACTGGTCACTACACCTGCGATCACCCCACTTCCACTTGCACGCAGTTTAGACGACCATTGGCTCCATAACCTTGATACACACGCACTCACAGTCACGTGATCGCATAGATGTCGTGGACCGTGATGTGAAGCCGTGTCAGAAAGCCTGTTTCCAGCGTCTTTGTGATTTGTGAACATGGCAGAGCTTTCACTTGAGATATTTTTTCGAAGTGCGTCTGCACCTTTATACTGCAATGCCCCAGCTTGGTGTCAGCCACGGTCCTCGTGAAACCACGTCGTGTGGCTGTGTCACAAGCACTAGCTGCGACCCCGGTCCGTGTGGACACATGCAGAGACAGTCATGAGTGCCTCTGCGGTCGAGTCGTGAGCGGTGTCTAGTTACCACCTATATAGCTGCTGGGTCCTCTGCCCTCTCGGCAATCACGAACGTGCTGCTCCGTGCCTGATCGGTCGGAGTTCTGCTAGCTCAGACTGCGGTTAGGAGGGTTCGACGCGAATGATCGAGTCTTGTTAAGTATAGCACACATGCAGCGTATAGCGGCAGGCACTCGGCAAGCCACACGCAGCATGCGTCCCCAAGGATGTTCACCTGCAGCTGATAATTATGATGATGCTCATGATGCCGCTGCTGCTGCTGCTGGTGCGGTGGCTCAGGTTCGCGGCGGCAATCGGAGCGCGTCCACCACAGTCGTGAGTCGTGAGTCGTGAGTGCCTTAATTCACGAGCGAGCATCTTGGCACGTCCCTCGCCAAGCTGCTGCTGCTGCTGCTGGGTCTCGTTCTCTTCCGGCCGGGGCGTCTCCGCGCACGTCTCCACAAGAGGGTCGGAGCCCTAGGTTGCGCCACAGTCACAGTGTGAGTCATGCAGTGAGTCGCGATTGTGACTATCCAGCAGCGAGCAGCTATAGTAGGATGCAAGCAAAGCTGCAGCACAGGCAAGCCGAAAAGGTTGCTTCTGCATGCGCGCATGCGTGCTGCTGCTCCTGCCTCCTGCTACTGCTACTGTACTGCTACTGCTGCCCTTGCTTCTGCTGGCGCTCTCAACTCACGATCGAGCAAGGGACCGTGCGAAATCGTGAATCTGCTGCTCCTGCTGCTGCTTGTGAGATCGCGCGAGCCTAGGGAAACACACGAAGAGCCAAGGTCTGACGAAGCTACTCACGACTCGTGACTGCTGTCCTTTAGAAACCTTGGCGCCTTCTTAAGAGAGGGCTCCCACCATCTCTCTCCACTCATCTCCACAGATTCGTGCCCGTACTCTTTTGCCTACTCAGCTAGCAACGTCGAAAAGCCCTCAAGTCGGTCGCGTCGATCTCCACCTCCCACCAGCAACAGAAGCGTCAGCCGCCAACTTTGCGATGTCGGCGACGGGAGCTCAGGGGCTTGCAAAGCCCGTGCACAAGACTGTGCTCAATCTTGGTAATTTGCCACCTAAGCGAGCTGGATTCGGCGGAGGTGTGAGTGTTGTGATGGGGTAGAAAAATGTGGCTCCACCAAGCCGAGTTTGCCTGGTTCTCCCGACACCCAACAGCGATGGCTTCACAGAGAATGTGTAGCAAATGCTGATGCTTGCCGCATCAACGTCTTGTGCATCCCTTGCAGAGCTATCCGCGGACTCCGTCCCGCGTGGATCCCAACAACCCTCCTTGGCCAGCTTACAGAGGCTACCATGAGTTCTCGTTTGCGCACGAGACCATGGGCAAACGCTTGCCGACCATTCTGGGCAAGGCCATCGATGATACCATCAAGACGCTAAACGAACAGAGCAAGGAGGAATCGATGGTCGATCTGCTGCAATGCATCGAGAGGATGCAGGAGCTGATGAAGGATCTTCAAGCGAATGCGAAGCTCAGACCAGTTGTCGATGATGGCGAGGGCGATGTGGCGTTGTGGAACAAGGAGCTGGCAAAGTATTTCAGAGGCAAGACTTTCATGGATGCGTGAGTAAGCGATTTCGACAGAGGCGCTGCGCCCGACTTGAGCTTGCCTTGACGCTCAACGCGCTCGTATGACAGTCCATGGTTCTTTGCGGAAGCATACAAGTACCGTAGGCTGCACGAATGCTTTAGCATCTCCAAGCACTGGAAAGACTACGACGTCTTTTTCCGCCAAAAGTGCGACACCTTCTCTCGCTCGGGCACAGCCGTCTTTGAGCTCTCGACTCGCTTCGCCGAGCCGTTCCATTACGAAGCGAATGCTAGCGAAGACGAGAAAGTGAAAGCCAGGAAGCTCATCTTCCACGAGCTTACTCAGATCTGCTTGTGGGGAAATGCTACGGATCTAAGTCTGCTCATCAACATGACTGAGGAAGACATCAAGAGCCTTCAGAGCACTGGGGGAGAGCACCTGGCTGCGACTGAGAAGAACATCCTCGGAAATCACATCGACAGAATCTGGGCATTGCTTTCCAACATCAAGTGAGTGATGATCCGGAACCCAACAGGGCTACGCTCATAGCCACGCTCACACCTCTAATGTTGGCAGAGATGGTCGGCTTGACTTTGTACTCGACAACGCAGGATTCGAGCTGTACTGCGATTGCGTGTATGGTGAGTGCACTCGCAGAGCGCGAGTCGTGGTGCAATGCGTAAAGCTGACGAGATATTCTTCACTTGTTTCCCCGCAGCGGACTGGCTCATCCAGTCTGGCATCGCAAAGCAGATTCGCTTCCACGGCAAGAGGTTCGCTTGGTTCGTCTCCGACGTCACACGCAAGGATTGGGACTGGCTGTTGAATAGCATGATGTACGGCAGCCTGTTCAGCACTGCTACGGATGATCAGCTGCAGTCCCTGAGGCAGCTCGCTGTGCGCTGGAAAAATTACGAGAAGGAGGGCAAATGGGTGTATGGTGAGTCACACGACGAATCCTTGGTGCCTGAAGCACAAAAAGCCCATTCTGACCACTTACCTGTTGATGCCACTCAGAGCAACATCCCTTCTGGTGTACTGGTACGTCGAGCCGCAGTCCACGACTCGCACCTGCAAGCGCTGATATCTCCTATGCTTCCGATCCTTGCACGCAGGCTACAGCTTTTGGTCTTTGCCTTCTGAAGCTCCGGACCTCTTTTTGCACCTGTCCGAGAGTGATTGCGTCTTCTTCAAAGGCGATCTGAACCACCGGTGAGCTCGCGGCGGCTTTTGCATGCCTCGCGTGCACTTCGTCTCATCTGCTCCTCGCCTCCGCCTCGCAGTAAATTGACTTATGACTGTCAAGCTCCATCGCAAACTCCATTCGACATTGCGATTGGACCCTTGGCTTCGGAAGATGGCGCACCTCCGGTCGTCTCGCTCAGGACAGTCAAATCCGATGTGGTCGTCGGGGTGGACGAGGCGACAGCTGCTAGATTGGACAAGGAGGAGCCGGGATGGCGGATCAGCGGCAAGTACGCCGTCGTTTTGCTCAGCGAAGGCGATGCGGAAAGGAAACCAGTGCAACTGGGAGGCGAAACGCGCCCCTAGGTGCGAGCACCTTGGCCGCTCGTCGCTGCCATTGTTGGCCACGTCTCAAATCCGCCTCGTGCACTTCAAGCTGCAACGCCTTCTTCTACAAAGTCGCTTCGCAATTTGAATCGATATGTCATACACGCAATGGTTTCGACGTGAACTTTTCGTGAGCTTGAAAAGATGCCATTCGGCAAAAACGTGACTAAGCTCTGACGAGCCATGCTGCTGGGCGCTGGACACCATGCACGCACTGGCCCGGGTCAAGGAACGAATCTAGAGCCATTTCTGTGCCGCGAGCCTAGAGCCGCTGCCCGGATTCCCCGAGTGCTTGGCTTTGAGCTTCAGTCAAGCGTACGCCAGGCATCAGCGTCACAGCGAAGAGTCAAGTCTCAACCCTCAAGTCAAAGTCGAGTCAAAGTCGAGTTTTGAGTCAACAGTTTTGAGTCTTGAGTCGTGAGTCAACAGAGGAAGTGGAGGGCAGATATTGGTCACGTGACGCCGTGATTTTCGCGCTGCAAAACACAACAAACATGGTAACCGAAGTGCATATGTGGCGGCGAGCAGCAGCTCGAGGAAAGTTTGGACGCTCGCTGCTTTGTGTTTCCTCCACTACACTCATCACCCATCGAGCATGAGATGCGTCAATACAAGCAAACAGACGATTTGGATGCAAAGTGGGTGAAGAGGGTAGAGATTGCCGGGACGAAGCACGAGGGTTACGAGGACTTGCAGGGCAGACAGCAGTCTAGCGGCTGTTGAGCTGGCTGTCCTGGATAGATGCCATCCGAAAGGGCAATCCAGAGCATTCGGTTGTCATTGCCGCCTGCAGAGCTGCGCACGCTGCTTCAAGACGATCAGATGGCATGTATGAAAGGCGAGATCCGCAGACGTCAAGTATTGCCACGCTCCTCATTGAAGAACGCCGACGTTGGTCATGTCGGCGCCACCCTTTCCAGTGCCTGCAGGCATGCGATGGGATGCACAGCTCAAGAGGTTCTTTGCGCTGCCGCCTTCGCAATCAAAAGTAAAGACTAAACGTGCTGATGATAAGGAGAAAGCAAAGGAAAGCGCAGGAAAGCGCAAGCTCGTCATTCGTGCAGACCCTCCGGCATTTGAGACGCCGGCAGACGCCATGTCGGATGGGACACCTGCTCCGCGAAGTCAGGCATTTCAGGGATTGGCGATGCGGAGTCGAAATTCTATGCCAAGCTTGACTCAAAGCTCTCGGTGAGTTCCTGTCGTAGCATCGATCTGCAGGCCAGCAGAGCCCGCTTACCTCAATCAAAAACAGAACACGAAGACTTGCGCAACTTCATCTGCAGGTGCGCGAGGCCAGAGGTATCAGGAAAGGAGATGCAATCCGCTGCTTGTGGATCAGCATGCAGGATGAAACGACCCCACCTCTTGTAGACAGCAGTCTTCGAATTCAAGTGAGTGCATCGCGCGCGCGCGCGCGCGCGCGCGCGTGCTTCGATGACGGCTATCACGGTTGCCACGTCATGTGCCACTACTGATCGTGCCTCGATATTCAGACCAGTCCTGAAGCTCCGCAAATGCTACTGTGCACGATGTCTCGTCTTGTAGTGTTCGGGTGAGTGGTTGAGTTGGTGTGAAGGGATTGTCTTGCTGCCACAGTAGTTTGTGCATGCCTTCTAATTTGACATGTTTGCCTGCCTTACCTTGAAGAGATATAGAACATGCAGGCAAACGAGAGGGCCCTGCATTCAATGCTGACCGACGGATCGAAGGCGGACAATCCTTGGAACTCGGCTGGCTTCACTCTCCCTTTGACAGAGCTCCGTACACCAAAGATCTTGACTTCATGTGGTGAGTTCGTTATAGCTTTCTTGACCCCGTGAGCGGATCGCTGGCTCACCCAGTCGAACTCACAAAAGCGTGCCTTACGCGGGACGTGGTGGCACGGTAGCAATGGCTTTTCATCAACGAAGCCGCCAAGATTGGCGCCGCCATTGGCCACAAGATGCAAAATCACCTGAGATACCGCGTGCTGCCTTCGTCCTAACAAGCGACAGGAGGAGTATGTATGCAGCGAGAGGTGAGGCGCAATCGCAAGGTCGTTCGGTGTGGGACTCGTTGCTGATGAGGCTGCTCCCTCCTCGCACCCTTCTCAGTGCGAGACGGACGCGCAGAGGTGCTGTTTGTCGCCGATACATGGCAACAGCTTGACTTGCCGCCCGGACACAAGCTCAAGTTTCACTCCGACATCCTTCGCCTCGCCTTCATGCCTGATCGCGCGTTGATCCTGGGCTTGCGCTCTGGCCTATTGAACATCTTGAGTCTGGAAAATTTGGAGCGAGGCAATATCAAAGTTCGCCCTGGACCTAGTCTCGAGGGCGCAATTGCCTCCATTGATGATGACGGGCACGGTGGACTCATCGTGAGCACGACCCGGGGTAGCGTGAGTGATTAGGACTACAGGCCTCACTATCATTGAAGCAACGCCTGACTGTCACCGCTGTCATCAGCTCTTAAGGCTCGACAGGGACGTCAATATCGCCATGCAGTATTGCGGGCATGTTTCGACGGCTTCCATGACGTTAGTGAGTCGCTGTTGGCCAGGATATGCATATCTCTCCTGCGCTGACACCGCTTCCTGTACGCTCAGTGTGTGGTTGTTAATCCCGTCCAAAGACTGATCGCAGCCGAAGGGGAGGATCACGTCGTCCGAATTTGGCGCTTTGAATCTCCCAACGTCATCTGGTCTAGCGATCGCTCACCGGCATTCCCTACCATCTATCCAAGCGCAGACTTTCCCGATGCTGCGACGCACCGGAAAGACGAACCCAATTTCGTGTTTACGGAACCGCTCAGCATTGCATGGCGGTATGATCGCTTTGGGCTTTTCATCTCACACAAGGACACGGTGTACTTCTTCGAGTGACGATCATACCACGCAAGATCTCTTCATGGCCCTTGGGTTTGTTGTAAGGGGAGATGATGCGCCCAATGGCAATTACGAATGATGGGTTCGCACCACGTGCTGACACTCGTGTCAATGGTGCAGCTGTCATAGGCACCTGTAGGAAGAACCTCAGCCCGCCAGATATCTATGAGCCCTCTGAACGCTTTGGTGCGTCATCGGAAAGGAGCAGCTATCGTCTCGAACACAAGTACTAGCGCAGAGCGACGGAGCCGCCTGGTGAGATGCTTCAACGCATGCGACGAGCTTCTTTCAAGGATGATGACCAGGCCTGGCGTCACGGCGTCATGGCAAGCAATGTCGTCAGCGACTCCGGTACGGACACCTGTAAGCAACAAAATCTTTACTTACTCATCAGAGCATAGGACTGGCTCATAGCACGTTTTGCCTTGACCACAAGCGTATGATTTGCAGCAGACTGGGGATGGTAGGGCCAATGAATAGGTCTTCAGTGTGGATATGGGGCTTCGCTTTCGGCCGCAATGTACTTGAGCAACGTCCCGACTATTTGCATCGCATTCAGGACAGACGAGGCACTGTGAGAGGTGGGTTTATTATTTCTTGTACTCACTCTCACTGGTAGGGAAACAGGTCGAACTTGGACCATGAGTCCTAGAAGCAAGCAGCGCAGTAGTTGCTTCAGGGATCTTTGTTGGGAGCGCTGCATACGCTGCCCAGCCGAGGTCATGGCGAGAATGGCACTTGCGGCCGATAGCTTGGCATGTAACTTCATTTCGGTCGCTCTTGTTGTGCAGAAGACAAGACATAGGCTTTTGGACAAGTTCAAGTGGTGACGGCAATGCTGAGCAGAGAGGGCTCGTGCTGGTGGGGTGCGCCATTTTGTAGACGAAGCGGCTCGCGCTACGCTGTGCCATTCTGGACTGTTCACCGGGCACTCATCCTGACCACATCCTGGCCAAACAACGGTCAACAGTGATGTCTCTGCTTCTTGATGACGAAGGGCGCAAGCGTGTTCGGACGCGAGTCAGAGTATGTCAGACCATGATCATTGTTTTGGCTCATTTTGGAAGTAGGGTGGTGGGTCACATAGTCATGGTCTACCCAGAGAAGCGCCCCTTCGTCCCAGAAGGCTTGATTTGTTGATGGACGCCCGTGTGGATATGCATCGAGGCTCGCCAAACACACTCACGCCACGCACTCTGGAATCTCAGTGCCTGTGGCTGTCATTGCGTCCACGCTAACGACGACGACATTCAGCATCCGTTTCGTCCTGTCTGTGACGCTTCGCCGCTCCCATGCCTGTTAACTTCAGACGAAGGCTCGATGATATCCGCTGGGATGCCCAACCCGACAGCTCGATGGATGGCTGCTTGCGCTCAAAAACAGTCACGCGATTGAACGCAGCAGCACCGCCACGACCACGACGAGTACACGCGCACAGAGGTGCGGACCGTGCGCAGCCAGCTCGGACTCAAGACTCACGACTGCCCCTCAATCAGCTGCACGTAACCCTAATCGCAAGCGTATAGGTACATGAAGAGGCGCATATACCGGCACGTTGTGCGGCGCGTGCATGCTGGCCGTCGGCTGGCAAAGGATTTGCTGTGCAAGCGGCTGCTGCTCGCTGCATACTCAAGACTACTTACTGATGCTGGATGGCACAGCGGCGCGCGAAGATGATGTCTGGGAAGTTGGCCACAGGAACCTACTGTACGAGTGCGCGAGGATGCTGGCCGAGATGAGCGCGCGGCGCAGAACCTCAGCAGCGTCGTCCGTCTCCGCGTGTCATCAGAGACCTGACTCTGACACAGCAGCAGATGGGCTGCCTATTGTATAGCTTTGACCGAAGAGGTTCGCATTCACGATTCGTGTCACAGCAAGGCAAGCACAATAAGCAACTATACGCGGATGCGAGTGTACTTTGCAACTCGTCTGTCTCATCAGCACGATTCACTGCGCCCACTTGCCCATTTGAGCCAAATAAGCACTTTCAATCGTCGAGTATAGCAAGACTCGAGCTCACGTTTACGTACGTGCGACACGGCCGCGGACTGCAGACATCATCGCAGAGGTCATCGCTGTAGCTGTAGCCGTCGCAGGCCAGCCCTTTTGCAGAGCCTATCGCGTGCTGAGCAAGCATAGGTGCTGAATCTTCTCCGCCTGCGCCGATTGCGCCTGTCATCATCCAGGCGCACCGCCGCCCATGCACCGCAGCGTAGTCCTCTTTCAGCCATCACACTCACTGACTTGGTGACTCGCAACTGCATGCTGCATGTGGGCTCCGCCGTTCTCACTTTTCGCCGCTGCAAGATCGTCCTTCTGATGTAAAAGCTATGCCAGCCTCATCCTCGCCTTCATCGCCAGCTGTCGAGGTCGACGACTCTCAGCAAGGCGTCCTAGACGTCGTCCCATCTACCTCTCCCTCCACGTCCCCGGCCAAGAGCGACACGAGCTTCACATCTAAGGCGGGAGCTGCTACCTCTGGACAAAAGAAGAAGCACAAATCTGTGCGCTCCCTGACGAGAGAGTACGAAGAGACCTCCTCTCCAGTCTATCCTTCTTCAGAACGTGGGCCGAGCATCTCCTCTACGCTATTCCCTCCATCGTCCGAGGAGGGCCAAGACGTCGCAAGACCTGATCTGAGCGGAAGACGAGCCTCAAATTCGTCCAGCGGGTCGACCAAAGGTCAACAATCGGGGTCAACCCACGCTCGAGCTCCGTCTGTGCTGCTCGCATCTGGCAGCTATCCATCCACTCTTTCGCCAGCATCCGAAACGAGCCCTAATAGACCGCGCACTATCAGTGGTAGTAGTCTAAGCGCTGAGCAGCTGCGAAACACCAACAAGGCTTTGGGCATTGCGAGCGCGGGCTACCCCTCATCTTACTCGAGGGAAAGGAAATTGAGTTCTACCTTTGAGGGCAGCCCTGAACGCAAGGCGGTGCCGCTACCTGAGACGACCCAGGGTGCAGGGGCTGCGCCACAAAGGCACAACATGGAGAGAGAGACAAGTTTGGAAAGTAAGGGCGGGCTGCCGGCGCTCCGCGTCAGTGTACAGCCAGCAACTCCATCGCTCAATGGCTTCCCAGAGGGAGAACAGGCTCGCGCGACCGAGGCAGCCAAGGCATCCCGTACTGCCGAGGAGCAGGAGGAGGCCTACGAATCTCTAGATGCCTTCCCGAGCGATGCGACTTCGCCGTTGGACAGGCAAAGTTCATCAGCGTCATCTGAACTGACATCCGGTGGACTTTCGCTGAGCGCTTTGGATCGGATGAGCCCCGCAGAGAGGCGCGAGCATAGCCGCATGCACTCCACTGTCCATGCCAGGAACCTGTCGACATTCTTCCCGAGACCTGGTACGGAGGCAGAGGCAGAAGCAGATGCTGCTCAAGCGGCAAGAAACTTTTCTGGCGCAGCTCCAGCCGATACCACGGAAGCAACTCTGGCACCGGCTTCCGCCGACGGAGGTGCCAGCTTGCAATCTAGCTCCAGCAGGAGCAGAAGAGGACATCATCGAAAACACTCCGTCAATCATGCGGCGATGTTGGATGCTAGAGGCGGAGTTCAGACGCACAGCCTCGGCTCTTCCCCAGGCGAGGTGTCGGCTGGAGGGCTGTCATCTGCCAGTCCTATGTCTCCCGTATCCGCAGCGACGGGCAAGTACGGCTCGGATGTGCCCCCTTGGGAAGTTAATGCTCCTTCGTCGCTGGACAACTCGGGCCCACGTCACGCACCGCACGCAGCTGCGACCGCATTCGGGTCTTCCTCTTCTTCCAGCTCCCTCGCGGACTTGTCCGGTCTGCCACCTTCCGCCAGACCCCTCCTCTTGTTTGGTGCGGTGCACTTTGCTGTAGGAGCGGGACTATGGGTGGCCGGACAGGCGGGAGACTCTTTGGCCATGACGGGTCTGGGATATCTTGTCGTATTTGACGCGCTCGGTAGCTGGTGCGAAGCCGGCGGACAGTGGGCTACCACCAAAGCTAAGGCGGAAAACAAGGCTGGAAAGGTATACGGGTGAGTGCTAGGATGTGAGCGTAGAGAGTGGAGGTGCGCCAGCGCAGCTCACGCTGCCCTCTGCTCTACATCCACACAGACCTCAACGAGTCGAAACGCTGCTGCACTTTGTGCAATCTATATACCTCGTATTCGCATCCATCTACGTCCTCAAAGAGTCGATCGAGCACGCATTGCTGGAGGGTTCGGAAGAGGTGCATGCAGAGGACAATGCGGGGTTGCACCTGCCTAGCGGGTTACTGCTGGCTGCCAGTGCAGCCGGCCTTATCAGCAGCATGGTGCTCGGTAATCATCAAGGCCTCGTCGCTGGTGAGTTGCGATGAATGTTGACCCTGATGCGCATCGTTGCTGACTTTCGGTGCTCGCTCAAGCGTGCGGCATTTCTACTGCGGCTGCAGACTCTCAGTCAGGTCGCACGGTTAGGAGCCGAAGAGGGCACGCGCGAAAAGCCTCAGTGCTGGTCGATCCGGCCACACTGGCTGGTCCATTCCTTTCTCTGCTCTCCAACCCTTTCAGCTTGACCATCCTCTTCTTCAGCCTGGTGCTCACGCTCGCCAGCATCGTCATGCCTCCGTTTCAGGTAGCTGCGTTGGACAAGGTACTCGCAGGTCTGGAGAGCGCCGCGATGATTTATATTGCGTACCCGGCTAGCAAGGCGCTGGGAAAGGTCCTTCTCCAGACTGCGCCTGAGAAGTGGCAGACACAGAGCGTACAGCTCATGCATACCCTCAAGACTGTAAGTAGCCGTGCTGGCTTCGATTGAAAAACGTGCTGTTCTGACCCTAAAATTTACGCAGATTGAGGAGCACCCGCTCGTGACCTACGTAGCACCGCCGCACTTGTGGCAATTGACGCCCAAGACGTCCGCCTTATCTGGTCCACAGGGACAAGTGCCTTCGATCCTTTCAGGCGGTGCGCATGTGCAGCAGACGGGTCCGAGATCTGCCAAGGCAGCGTCGCTCATCGCCAACGTGCAAGTGTTTTTGCACAAGGAAGCGACAGACTCGGACGTGCTCAATGTGACTAGGTGGGCTTGGCAATTAGCTGCACCGGCTTTGGGAGCGGGAACGGGAGCTAGTGCAGGAGAAAGCTTGAGGGGTAGCTTGAGAGCTGGTGAACTGGTCATTCAGTGCAGCAGAGAGGGCAGAGAAAGATCGGGCTGTGATCATGAGCATGATGGGCACGATCATGATCACGCACACGCACACGCACACGACGACTCTGCCCATCGTCACCATGATCATGACCGCCACGAACACGTGCACCACGATCATGCCCATCATCACCACGATCACGGTGCACACAACCATCAGGATCACTCTCACTCCCACAATGGGCACGGTCACGCTCATAGTCTTGCACACGACCATGGCCACGATCACAGCCATGATTCTGGGCAGAGCCAAGGCACGATCAAAGGCGCGAGCAAAGACCAAAGCCACAGCCACAGCCACAGCCATGAGCATGCCCACTCTCACTCTCATGCACATGACCACGCGCACCACGGTCACACTGACGATTCCTCTAGCCAGAAACACAATTCCCATACGCACACCCACTAATGCAGCCGCTTGGGGCGCGGTAGTCGCGCGCAGTCTCGAGCATCCCCAGTCTCGTGCAATACATTGATTACGATTCATATTCGCAGCCTAGGCGCGTGCACGGCTAGTGACCATCGCTGGCGACGCGCTCGACGTTGAAAGCGTCGGTGAGGTACTGCTCCACCTCTGCCTGGTGGGCGCGCTTGGAGCCGGTGGCGACGGAAGCGTAGGGAGGTCTGGAAGCCAGAACGGCGAGGGTGTCCTTGTGGTGTTCGGTGTGTCTGCAAGCCGTTCTCAATCTAGGTTGGACATAAGACCAAGCACCGTTATTGAGTGGTTCTTCCTGCACGTAAGCCAAATCCGCATTGGGATACTTGTCCAGATGAGGCGTAATCATGTCGTAAGGAAAGGGAGAGATCTGCTCGATGCGGCTGATTGCCACATCCTTGATTCCCTTTTCCCTCCTCCAATTCAACAGGGCAAAGTAGGTCTGTCCGCAGGTGATAATGTGCCTCTTGATCTCTTCGGGCGGTGCCAATTCATCCTTGCCCTCGCTGGCGTGCGGCTCGGCGATGTAGCGTTGGAAGCCAGTGCCTGGCAAAAAGTCGTCCAGCTTGCTTCTAGCTTCGGGATGGCGCAAGAGGGATTTGGAGAAAAAGGAGATGAGAGGTTTGCGGAAATCACGGTGGACCTGCCTGCGCAGCACGTGAAAGACGTTGGCGGGTGTGGTGCAGTACACGACGGCCATGTTGCTATCCTGATGCTGACGGTTCATCTTTTCGGGCGAAGGAAAGTGGAAAGGGTGATCGTCGCACAGCTGCAGGAACCTCTCTGGACGGGCAGAAGAGTGCTCAGGTCCTTGTCCGTCGTAGCCGTGAGGCAGGTTCATCACGAGACCCGTGCGCTGCAACCATTTCCTCTCTCCAGAAGCGATGAATTGGTCAATGATGCACTGCGCATTGTTGGCAAAGTCGCCAAATTGAGCTTCCCACACCGTCAAATTTTTGGGGTCCACAAGACTAAAGCCAAGCTCGAATCCGAGACAGCCAAATTCGGAGAGGGAAGAGTTGCAAACCACGAACGGCGCCTGCTCTTTGGAAAGGTTGTTGAGCGGCGTCCAAGTCTCTTCCGTCTTTTGGTCGTGCAGCACGGCATGGCGCTGAGAAAAGGTGCCTCGCTCAACGTCTTGACCAGACACGCGCACGTGGTTGCCCTCGAGAGCGAGCGAGCCAAAAGCGAGCGCTTCACCAGTGGACATGTCGATGCCCTCTCCATCGTCGACCGTCTTGCCGCGCGCCTTGAGGATACGGGCAAGGTTGCGGTGCACAGTGAAACCTTCGGGGTAGGAAGCCACCGCATGTCCGATCTCGGTCAGGCGCTCCTTCGACACACCAGTGTCCTTATGATCGAGGATCAGCTCGTTGAGCTCCTTGGGCGAAGGGAAACCATCCCACGCCTCGGACAGCCATTCGCGCTCTCCCGGCGTGTAGTCCTTGGATTTCTCCGCAGCTTCCTCAAGCAAACCCCAAACCCACTTTTTGTGCTCCTCAATGTCCTGCTCCGTAAAGCTTCCCTCCTTGACCAGTTGCTCAGCGTACTGAGTCAGTGTAGGCTGCTGCTTGGCGATCGCCTCGTACATTCTAGGTTGCGTAAAGCTGGGCTGATCCGTCTCGTTGTGGCCGTGTCTTCTGTAGCACACCAGGTCGATGACGACGTCCTTTTTGAATTTCGCGCGCCAATCGGCGGCCAGCTGGCTGACAAACGTCACGGCTTCGACGTCGTCGCCGTTGACGTGGAAAATGGGTGCGTCGATGGCTTTTGCAATGTCGCTGGGGTAGGGCGTAGATCGGGCAAAACGAGGATCCGTGGTGAAGCCGATTTGGTTGTTGACGACAATGTGGATCGTACCCCCCACGGCGTAGTTGGGCAGATTGTACATGCCCATCGTCTCGTACACCACACCTTGTCCGGCAAAAGCGGCATCTCCATGCATCAACAAAGCCATGCTGGTCTCGCGAGCAGTGTCACCCGCAAAGTCCTGCAGCGCGCGAGTCTTGCCGATAACGAGCGGGTCTTCTGCTTCCAGGTGAGAGGGATTTGCGACCAGGGACAGCGCCACCTTTTTGCCGGAAGGCGTTGGACGCACATAGTTGGCACCCAGGTGGTACTTGACATCACCACCTCCCTCTCCGTCGTCGCTCTTGCCGGCAAATTGATGCAAGATGGCCTCCACTGGCCTGCGAATGACATTGGCGAGGACATTGAGACGTCCACGGTGAGGCATTCCGATGGTGATGGAGTTGACGCCGTGCTCGACGGTGCGGTCAATGAGCGACTTGACACCCGGCACCAGCGACTCGCCACCTTCCAAGCCGAAACGCTTCTCGTTGGGATATTTGGAGGAAATGAAGCGCTCAAAGGAGTCTGACCAAATCAGCCTATCGAGGATGGTGCGCTTCTCTTCCGTGCTGTACTTGAACGGCTCTGGCAGCTCGATGCGCTCCCGCAGCCAGTCGCACTTTTCGCGATCGGGAATGTGAACGTACTGAACTCCGATGGATCCGCCTGCGTGGTGGTCATCGGCGCATCAGCACGGCTGCCCACGCAACCATCTTCACTCGCAGAACTCACAATAGATACGCTTGACGGCATCGATGACTTCGCGAATGGTCATGCGATCCTTGCCGTGCTTGATGAAGTTGGGCAGTAGACCAGGTCCCAATCGCATCTCACGATCCAAATCCTTGTCAGACCAGCCATAGTGCTCAATGGTCAGTTCCTTGGGAACGGCATCGCTCAAGTCAGGATGCAGGATTCCCAAAGGATCCAATACTGCGATGCGATGACCTCGCACTTGATATGCGCGGACAAGGAGTTGCAGCTGTGGCGCCGTACGAGCAGAGCGTCAGAGATCGCGGTGCGCGAGAACGATCAGACCGGGCTGGCATGTGAACACACCTTGAGATGATCGTCGACGTGGCTTTCGCCGCCTTGGCTGAGGGAGGAGGTGTCGATGGGCGGTGCGTCTACGGGCAAAGGCATGAGCGTAGGGGGAGGCCTGAAAGCGCCCTCGCTCTTAATACCCATTTCGATTCCTCTAAAGTAGACGTCCCAAGAAGAATGAACGGATTTGGGATCCTCTTCCCACAATCTCCTCATCTCCTCCACGTAGTAGGCATTGTTGGTGTGCATGAACGAGTCGGATGCCGAGGGAGCGTTGGGTCGAGAGACGGGTGCTGCTCGACAGGTCGCCGCGCTCGTGGACAGCGGTCTGCTGAGACTGGCGGCGGCGCTGGCGCAGGCGGTCGCTTGAGAGGGCGCTCTCAGGCTCGCTAGAGGCGCGCCTGGCACCGCAAAACGGCGCGGCACTGCGCGAAGCATCTTGACTGGCGACTGGCGCGGGTCAATGCGATGGGATGACTGCGATTCAGGGTGTTGCCACGCCGAGTGGCCAGCTTTGGAGTGATGGAGTGGCAAGTCAAGGTGCAGTCACAAGAAAGAGGGTTCGGAATTGTGAGCGTGTGTGCTGCGTGCGTCCACTCCACCCTGATGACTTACTTCTCTTTCCGCTCGCCGCTCCTTGCTGCACGTCTTTTTCGCTTGACCCTGCTAGCTGTGGTGTGTACGCGTACAGCACAGCTGTGCCTGCGCTTTGCTGCTGCTGCTGATGCGTCGCACGCGCCCTCCTTGTGCATGGCGCTCATCACACGTCTGCTGCTGCTGCTGGTGATGAATGCGCGCATGCTGTGCATCTCCCCCTGCGCCCAGATTGACGCCGAGCGTGTGACCTGAGCTCGTGCCGCGCGCGTATACGTGTGCGTGCAGCCCCAACAGCGCGCGGATGCGCGCTCCGTCGATGATGCCGTTGTGCGCCCCACCGGGCCGAGCTCCGCCCCACGTCGCACGCACGCGTGCAGAGCAATGATCGGCGTTTTCGGCCGCGCGAGGGGGAGCGGTCTGTCGGCCGGCTTGTCCAACTCTGAGTGCGCTCGCCCCGATCCAGCACTACGACCGTAAATCACACATCCCAGTCGTGAGTGACTCACGACTCGTGCAACACAAACTCTGGCTGTGACTCTTGATCCACGACTCTGGTCACGCGACTCGATCTCGACCGTCGGCATGTCTACCAGCTTCATTGCGGCTTCTTTCCCTGCCTTCATTGCGTCCGAGATGGATGTCGCATGAAATCTTCTGGAAAGGGATATGCAGGTCTTTGGGAGCACGAAGGCAACGTCACGACTCGGCCGTGACGGGCAGGGACTGTGGTACGACATTGCGTGGCACAAGAGCTTGTCATCAAGCCAATACTGATATTTCGTGACTGGAGCATCCTTCGCTATGCTTTCGTGTTTTAGGTTTGTCAAGGCATGAAAGACTGGCGAGTCTTTTATATCACAATCACACTCTGGACTCTCGTGTCGCTCAGACTTGTGTCTCGGATCATGAAACAGCTCGACGCTTGATCACGTTTTGAAGCGTGAACAGTGCCGTGACTTTTGATAATTTCCTAGCAAGAGCGTAAAGGTGGGTCCACAGGCTTGACCGACGTCGTTGAGCAGGCGCTCAGAGTTGAGGAGGCATTCAATTTCTATTTGAGACTCAAGAATCTTCTAAGAAATGAGATCGAATAAGAGCCTTGAGCTTCGAATTCGGGCTCGAAAGCTCAGAGTCCTAAGTCAATCGTGAAGGTTGATGATTTATGATCAGAATCAATCAAAATAATAGCTTGATGAGGAGATCTTGGATCGACAAATTGTATCACGTGCCGTGCCCCGCGCTCCGCTCGGAAGCATGAGCCACCGCAATCAAGAATCACGTGAATGCATGGAAAGATGCAAACAGCACGTTTTTACCCATGCCTCCCGGCAGCCATATCATCAGCACTCGTCGAGCGGGGGCGACTTTTGACTCGTGACTGCCACACAGGCGTGAGTCAGGACTCAAGACTATGGCCCACATGGCGCACTCACAAAAGTTGTGCGCATTGCGGACAGCTTCTGGTCCGCTGAAGCAAAGGCTGACATGTAGAATCTTGAATGCGATTGGGACAGGATGCCCAAGAACAACACTACTACACTGTGACTGAAATTACTACTACTACGTTCATCAGGCATGCACGACAGCGGTGCTCGCGCAGCGGTACGGAAGCTGAGGTCTCGAGCTGCAGCTGGGAGCCGGCCCGCTCGAGATTGACGAATGATTGAGCATATGACATCTGCAAAACGCTTTCCGGCCATCACTCCACGACCACATCATCGATCCTTGTGGAGGGCTTGGCCAGGAGATGCATTCACCCTCCTGCCTCGCCACGCTAACCTCCACAATACGAAGATCAGACAAATTGAGAGGTGCAAGTCATTGCGCCGCGGCGAGCGCGCACGCAGCAAGCAGCAGAAGAGGAAGACGCTCCCGCGCTCCCGCACCCTCCCGCTCGCTGCTGCTCAAGCTGAACTTGCAGCCCATCTCGCGCACTGAAGATTGGTGCGATTTCCATGCATGCACCAGCAAGCGTGTCCACATGCAACATATGGACGCATGACAGGAAGGACTCGCGACTCTCAGCCACTAAACTTTAATCTCTGTTGCGTGCCCCATCTTCTCTTTGCATCATGCGATCAAATCGTCAAAGTTTAATCGCCGCTGCTGAATCTCGCGCATCTCGACTCGCTGGCGGGATTCGGCGAGCCGAGCTGCAGAGGTAGACAGATTGGAAACGGAAACGAGCCGGAGCCGCAAGATTGCAAAGGGAAGAAGAGCAAGGGTCTCGAGCAGTACCTCTTGATATCGACGCACGTCTGGGTCGACTTTCCTCTGACAAAACCATTTGGGACGTTGGCAGGAAGAAATGCGCAGAGATGAGTAGGAGCAATACTCGACCGCTTGCTTGAAGCTTTGCCGCAGTAGCGCTCGGCAACAGGTGCAGGTGCAGCACTCATCGATCTCGAAGCCAAGCGAAGAGCACCATGCAGCGCATAGACTCGCTTGGAAAAGCGAGTCGTGCCTTTTCGGCACGGTGCGTGTTATCGTGAAGCGCTGAAGCGCCTTTCTCGTCGCTTCGATGACCGGTAGCGTGCCACTGTGGACGCCCATATTCGCCAGCGCTGCTTCAACGTGCAACACAAGCGCAGCTACACCGCAAAAGCTTTGCACTTTCGACCCGATGTGCACAGACTTAGACGGGCTTCCTGCATACACGCTCGTCCAACCCTGTCATCTATTTCAAGGCAGGCACCAGAACGTCACCCTACATCGGGCTTTGGGACGGCCTCGTGATCTTCTCGAAGGCATCGTCTTGCATGCACCGTGGTAGTATTCGTCCCGCTGCAACGAGCGCCACGACGGTCAGTGAAACGACAGAAAGCTTTGCTAAGCCGGCAGCGATGAGGATTGCGATCGCGACGGGGCAGGATTTAGGTAGTGCTAGTGCGCTCTACCCATCACCTATCGGGCCAAGTGTTACTTTGAAACGTAGAACTCGGCTGGCAGCGGCGCCCATCGAACCCTATTTTTCTTTCGAAACTCTTGCCGAGACAGCCAAGAGCTTCCGTGCGCTGGCACATCAACACGGTCGAACGTGCCTTTATGGCGAACAATCTCCACCTGTCTGAAAACACCGCAACCTTCTGAAAAGTCACCAGGCTCACCGCGGGCCTTTGCAACGATCGATGTCATGTCATTCCCCACCCTCGATCTCGTGCATCGTCGTGGACCCTCATTCGACCTCGGTCAAAATCCAGTCTACCTCTGATCTCTCGATCTGTACGTCGCAGGAGTATCGCGATTTAGCGGGTTTCGATGCGCTGCAAGATCGATGACATACAGCAGCGGGTCGGAATGGGATAGATCGCCCAGCCCAGCGACGTTCTTGCGACTGGCGAGTTTCAAAGGACTGCAGCATGGCAGCAGGTCGAAAGACGGGAGATCGATGAGGCGAACGGCGGCCCTGTTGCGCTGCTCGGAAATTTGCTGCAACGCTTCCAAGTATAGGTTGTCCGAGCTGCAAATCGTTCTTTAGGCGCATCCATAGAAAGGTATAAAAAAGGCGCTTTTGAGCCCACATGTCCTTCCTCCTCAGCCACACTCTCACCGTAACGAGTTTATCCAAGATGTTCTCTGCTACACAATTCAAGACTCTTGCCCTCGCGGCGCTGCTCTTCATCAACACGGTCAGCGCTGTCGACACGCTCGGCCGTCCAGTATCATCGTCTGCACAGTGCGACAGCATCTGCCAACAGGTGCACGACCCCAACGCTGTCGAGTCCATCGGCCGTACCATCGAGTCTTCCATCTCCTCTACTGGCAACTACGACATTCTTCTGGGTCAGCGTTCCGCCAACGGTGTCGGTTACGACGCCTCGACCATCTGGAAGCTCTGGGCTAAATCCCTCGAGAGCTCCTTCTCGTCCAGCGTCAGCCATCTTCAGGAGTCTGGACATGCCGACGACAAGGTTTGCATCGACAAGGCTACCCTCGCTAAGCTCACGGCTGCCTCGCTCAACTGCCATTCTCACGTGAAGGGCAGCGGCGCGCTCGGCGGTGCAGCCGGCGGAAGTGTGTCTTGGTCTTACAACACCTCGGGTGGCGACAATCCTCAGGTCGGCTGGGGTGCTGGCGTGGACACTTCCGGAGTCAATGCTGGTGGTGACTCGAGCGCGTTCGGAAGCGGCTCCAACGTGCATCATAATGTAGGTGGTGGATCATCCAGCTTCACCTCCACCGGCGGGTCCACTTCCACCTCCAGCTCTGGTTGGGGCAGCGGCAATGTAGCCAACGGGATCTGCTTCCAAGTGCGCTCGAAGGAGAACGGAAAGCTGTTGACGACGTACGGCTCAGAGTACGCTTTTGCGAGATTGGACGGTTATCATTCCACCTTCCGTGCTCATCCGATCAAGGGGCAGGATGGTAGCTTCCGCCTGACGGAGATCAAGAGGAATGGCGCGACTGTGAGCTACCCTGTCAAGATCAACAGCGCCCTGGGACAGTTCAAGCCTCTGTACGGTGACAAGGATGCCGTCTTCACATTCAAGCCCACGCAATTCGGAGACAGCTGCTGGGGCTCGCCCGGTTTCAAGATGGCCCGTCGTCAAGATTGGGGAGGTTGGGGCCCCAACTACCGCGCCACCAAGTCTTCCTCTGCCGACGAATGCGTCGATGTTGAGCTCGAAGAGGCCGACTGCTAAGCAAGTCTATATGACACGGAGTCCAAGGAAATGTACTCCATGACTAGAGATCTGAAGGGCATGCAAGCAGTGTAAGCAACTATGCTACGCTGAATGAAATGCAGTGGAACGTGCCGCGGCCGTGCCGTTTCGCAAGAGATTGACCCGTGTCTTCCTCTATCTGGTGCTATTGACCTCCTCAACGGCTTGTTCTTCCTCTATCAGAAAGGACAGCCAGCCTTTTCCAGGGTCTTCGTCGCGTGTGAGGGCCGTTCTGGGAGTGATCAACGATGTGCCTTGCGAACTCCGCGTGTATCAAAGTCCGATGTTGTCTCGAAATTGTCAGTGGTAATGTGGATCAAGAATGTCGGCCAAAATCTGGACGGCAGTCATGCAGCGGTCGAGGAGTCGATGTGAATTTGGATTTGAGTACAGAGCGATGAAATGAGGCTCGAGTGAGACCCAGCATCTTGACGGTGAGTCGTGAATCGATCAATTGTCTGACGAGTGAGTCTTTGAGTCAGAGTCAAGAGTTTAGAATTTTGAGTCTGAGTGGTGAGTTAGTGAGTGTTGAAGCCAACGCAAGGCAAGCAAGGTCACTCACGTGACTTGCACATTTGCACGCGAGTCAAGTCGCAGACGCTCAGGCGACTCAACTCACCACTCTAATATGTCATGACTCTCCCACTCTTTATTTTATCATCATCAACACTCTTGACTCGATCGTGGCTGCGCATGCAAGGCATGCATCACTCCTTCTGACTCATCCCGATCCACGAGTCTTGACTGCTGCCACCTCCTGCTTGATCAGGGGCCCAGTGGTGCGCAGCTCCACCACCCACGAGTCGGCCCGAGCATCATGGCTTCTTACGCTGACGAGCTACTAGCGGATCTAGGATCGGACTCGGAGGGTTCTGGAAGAGAGTCGCCAGAGCCCGTAGGAGACAATGGTGCAAATGCGCAAGCACCGGTTGCGGACGCTGGAGAGGGGAAGGGGGAAGACATGGAAGTGGATGGGGCTGAAAGCCAAAAGCTGATGAATGTTCCAGAGGGAGGAACGCGACCCGCCGAGGAGATGGATCAGCAAGAGGTGGACAGGATGAATTTGAAGGATGTGCACAGCGTTCGGAGTGTCGCCAAGCTTTTGCAGGGGTCAAAGTTGCAGGAGACGCTCAGAGTAAGTGCTTGCATTCACTGCGAGAAGGTGGGCAAGAGGATTGGACTGATGCGTCTCTGCGGCTCTTCAGGCTATCGATGTGTACATCAACCAACCGGGGCCTTCAGCTGAAGGTGCCAATCAAGCCATGGCGGCTTCTTCCGAGGACTCGGATGAGTACCGCTTGATCGTCAAATCCAACAATTTGGCAGTGGACATCGATAATGAGGTGCTCATTGTACACAAGGTGAGTACGAGGGTTGGCGTTGGGCTACGAGTTGCCCGCCCTAATCGACTGTCGCTGATGCTCCACGCACAGTACATACGAGATCACTACGCCCCTCGCTTTCCAGAGCTAGAATCGCTCATTCCCAACCCTTGGGATTTTGTGCGCGCGGTACAAGCTTTGGGAAACGACGAGGTGCGTGGGGCGCCGGTCATCGCTTCGAATGCAAATGCAAGACAGCTGACCTCCCATTCGCACTCTCACAGAGCCTCACCAAGGCTTCCTTGGAGCAAATTTTGCCACACGGCACGGTAGTGGTGATCAGCATGACGGCATCTACCACACAGGGCAAGCCTCTATCCACTCAAGAATGGCGCCGGGTCGAAGAAGCGACGGAGTCGGTGTTTGAGCTCGAGGCAGCTCGTAGAAAGATTCTGTCCTACGTCGAGAGCAGGATGACTTTGATCGCGCCTAATCTGAGCGCTGTGGTGGGCACGCGAGTCGCCACCAAGCTACTGGGTGTCGCTGGAGGTTTGACGGGCTTGAGCAAGATTCCTGCTTGCAACGTACATGTGAGTGGCGCGGTCTAGCATGGTGTGATGGCCGAAATTAACCCTGGCAAGCTCCTTGCGCGCAGCTCCTCGGCGCATCCAAGAAAGCTGCCACTGGCTTCTCGACCGCTTTCCACAATCGACCCGTTGGCTTCATCTTTCAAGCGCCGCTCATACAAGAGGTGGGCGAGGAGTATCATCGACAAGCTCAAAGGATTGTTAGTGCTAAAGCAATGCTGGCCGCTCGAGTGGACATGAATGGCTCGGACAAGTACGGCACCTACGGCGCGAGGATTCGCAAAGAGCTGGAAAAGAGATTGGAAAAGCTTCAAGAGCCACCGCCAGTCAAGATGACCAAAGCTCTGCCGATCCCGAAAGAAGGTGGAAAGAAACAGCAGAGAGGAGGTAGGAGAGCGAGAAAGTTGAAGGAGATCAATGGAACGACGGATTTGAAGAAGCAGCAAAATAGGATGGAGTTTGGCAAGGCGGAGGATGAGGCGGGCATCTTTGACGAGACGGTGGGGTTGGGCATGATGTCTGCTGGGCAGACTGGGCGTGTGAGAGCCAAAGTTGCCAACAAGGCGCACGCTGGTAAGTCATCGACGTCTGTGCATAGAATTTGTGTCCGCGCCTGACTCGAAACTCCCTCTTCACCTTGACTAGCCAAAATGTCAAAAAGCAACAAGGACCGGCTGGCAGCTTTGAAGGGCAGATCGGCCGCTTCTGCATTGGACGCTGGCGGAGAATCGTCAGGTACAGCTTCCAGTCTGTCCTTTACCCCAGTGCAAGGTATAGAATTGGTCGACCCTTCTCGCCAACGACGTGTCGATGAGGCGAATGCAAAGTGGTGCGTGACGAGACGAGGCGACGAGCGAGTGTAGCGGATCGCGAATGGAACTGATGCGCAAAGTGCTCTTTCTCATGACAGGTTCAAGGAAGGCACGTTCTCGCTCGCGCCTGGAGCCAGGGGCAATATCATTCCTGGCTCTTCAACTTCCGGTAGCGCTGTGCCTTCCGCACCAGGAAGTATGGGACCTCCATCACTACCGCCAACCAAAAGACCGCGAGTGGAGTAGGAGCTGATTCACGTTGGACTTCGATCAAACTTGCAAATCTTTGTGTACAGTACTATACATGGCGCAAGCATGAGCGTGCGTTCTGTCACTTGGGACATTCCACCCTGCGCCTGAGCACCTCTCTGGCGGTGTTGAGATCATAATTCTCCGCAATTCCGAGGTCTTGTTTGAGCGCGACCCAAACTCTCGTATGGTTTGCTGGGTCCTCATCGAACAGAGCTCTAGTAGCACGAGACAATGTCCACTTTTCCCTCGCATCGGTAGACAGAAGCGTACTGGAAGCGGTCGAAGAGGACGTCTGATCGACGTTGGCGGCGGAGAGATTGAGAAGAAGAATAGTATCGCGCAAACGACGCCAGGCTGCTTCGGGCTGTCTTCCTAGGCCTGTCAACTGTCCCGAGCTGACTTGATTTTGCGCCAGTGTGGATAGGGAATTTAGGACGGACATCCAGCCGCTTGTATAGTCACGCTCGAAACGCAAAGCTCCTGCTTGATCAAATCTGTGTGATCCACCTACAAAAATTGCAGGTGGTTGGACGCCATGCGATCAGTATGAAATTGCAGCTGGACGTCTCGATAGCGGAAGCGAGAGAGAGAGAGAGAGAGAGAGAGGACATAGAAAGCATCGCGATGGATGGACTTACCTGAAATGATGACTCGATCCACTATGTGCTGCGAGACATTGCGGGCAACCAAACGATAGATTGGAATGCTTTCGCTTGGTTGAAGCACCGGAACGAGATGGGAGAGGTGCGTTTCGAGCAGCGATAAGCTTGGTATGAGACCAGGTGTGGGTGAATCTTCTTCATCTTCATCTTCGTCTTGGTCCATGGCTGCTTTTGCTTCTTTTTTACCCTGTGCGATCGGCAAATGCTCGCGTGGAGGAGAAGTAGAGCTCCAACGTCTGCAGTGAAACGCCGTTCCAATCAGATCGAGGTTGCCTGAAGGTCTGGCGTGCGCAAGGACTCACCGGAGCGTGTACTCTCGCATAGCTTCCGTCACTTCGGACGTGACGAGGCGCACAAGACCTTTGCTAGCTCTGTCGCCAACCTTTTCAAACCTCTTTCTGGCCTCTTGCCAGACATCTTCGTCCGCATTCGTGACTTGCTCGACGGAAGCGTTCTTAGAAGCACGCGCACCCACACCCGCAGCAAGCGGTCTCAAACTCGATCCGCCTCTCATCCCTCTCCTAACCAATTCTCCCAAAGACGCACCATCCAATTCCTCCTCTTCCCTTTTGCCCGTCCAGCTTCTTCTGGTCTCTCGTGCCATTTTGGCCTCCGCCGTATCCATATTCAGATCCACATTCAGCTGCATATTATGACCTTCTTCCGACAATCTTCTCAACGTTTCCACGACGTACAAGCTGGAAAGGAAGGCTTTGAGCAGACGAGAAGATCCTCGCAGTCCACGAACCATGTCGCTCTCGCTGCTAGAATCTTGAGACGCTATCCCACCGGGCAAGGCTCGTGCGAATGCGCCCGATAAAGACTCGAATGCATCTAGAGAACGCGTCAAGCGTTGATGATACGTCGACAACAGATCGTCTTGAATAGCCAGGAAACCGAGTCGCTGAACGAGCAGCGTCAAAGGTCTGGACCTTTCCGATATGGCTTCGAGGATTTGACACAGCCCTCGAGCGGATCTAGTCGTCTTTTGCACGCCTCTTCGGTCTGACGTGTGATTGCTGCGATTATTGCTGCTGCTATTGGAAATAGCAGACCAGGTCTGATTGGAAAGATCCTCCTCCGCCTCGGTATCCATATCCGCAGAGCTGATCAACCACGCATCCTTGTCTTCCAAAATTTCTTGCAGTCGTTCTTGAGCTTCCGTCCTTTCGCCCTCCAACCAAGCATCAAACGTTGTCGAATCTCCCAGCAATAAATCCGAAATCTTTTCCGCTTTGCCTAGCGAGGATGGATGAAAAAGCTGTTGGAGCTCGCTGTCGAATGAGAGCAGGATACTGACAGTGTGCGCTAAGACTGCTGGTTTCTTTTGCAGCTGCTCCTTGGACGCCAGTACCTTGAGACGTAGCGCAGCCAGCACGAAATGCACCAATTCTCTGGGCCCCACTTGCTGCAAGCCTCCCTGATCGCACAACCAAGTGACCTTTCCATTTCTCGCGTCAAAGAGGGAGTTGTAGGATCGCAATAGGTTGGACATGTGATTGACGTACCACTGAGGTTTGTCCAGCCGATTGGTGCTCTTGTCTCCGTCGAAATGATACGCAAAGCGGGCTAGCAGAGGTTCCATAAGTACCTTGACAGGCGCAAGCGGCGTATAATCCGTCGATCCAACCTTTGCATCGCTCTGAGCGTCATAAGAAGCTTTGCCGATCAATTTGGCACGGATAGCCACCCTCTGCAATCTGCAAAGACGCTGCCAAGCCTGCTTGACCTGCTTGCTTTCCAAAGTCGAAGATGCGCTGCGAATCGCTTCTCCTCGCGCTTCGGCGATTTCTGCAGAGACGGGCGGCCAGCCGGATTCTTCAAGTGCGCTTCTCAACCTCGCTTCCAGCTTTTCGTTGAGTTCTCTCAGTGCTGCGTCCCTCGTAGCCGTCAGGTAGGCCATCAGCGTAGATCCTTGATCGATCGCATCTGCTCCCGCATACGCCTGCCCGGCTTGCCCAATCAGAGAGGATAAGCTCTGAAGAGCTCGCAATCCCGCTTTTGCGCTTCCGTGTTGATCCTCTGCTCCTCTCAAAGTGTCCTGCTTGAGCTGTTCCGCACGCGCCAATAGCGCCACAAAGGGCACAGTCTTGTCCGCTCGCATCAGCTCTCTTCTCTGTTCAGTCAACCGTCCCAGCAGTCCAGGCACACGTTGTTGTCCCCTCTCATCCAACAATCCCATGGACGAAGCGAGCGTCATGACCTCATCCTCAACCTCCTCGATTTGACGAGGCAGATCGCTCAGCTCTTGCTTCTCTTCGAGTGCGCAACGTTGCGCTTCGAGCAGCTCTTGGACCAAGGCTGATCGACTGAAATTCAGCGATGCTTCACAGCGAGGAAGGATGTCCGTCTGAAGGGAGTGCAGCGCGGATGAGAGGGAGGAGGTGCTAGGTGCGCTGGAGAGCAGAGGGTGAGATAAGAGAGAGGCGTGGGTAAAAGCTTCTTCGGAACTCGACCTGGACTGCGCGACCAGCGATTCCATCTTGACGCTGCTTTGATGTGAAGCAGATGCACGAGGGAGGGTGGGATAGCATGTGGTGTGGCAGATGTGAGAGGTTTCAAAAGTGCGATGCGATGCGATGCTTTCATCGAGCCTTTGCCTCGACTTTGTTGCATTTCGTGACGGCTTGCTTGCATTTGCGTGCGCCATGCAAAAGGGCCGTGCGCAAACGTATGCTGTGTGTGTCTGCGGCGCCACCGCGCCCGCGATCGCCGTGTCACGGCCAGCTCCTCTACAACACCAACACCATCACCATCGCCCTTGCCATCACGCGCATCTTGAGCAGCCTCACGTGAGAGGCGTTGATCCGCCCTCGCACCTCCACAAGCACCTCTCCCTCTTCTCCTTGAACCATCCGTAATCACATCCATTTCACCCGTACTCCGCAATACGATCTACAACCTTGGGGTACCAGCTGCAGCGAGACTCTTTGACCCGACTCCCGAGCCTCGCTTCGCATCTCGTCCATGAGACGACCACAGACCCTCGGTGTTCCCTCTCGCCGCTCACGCTCAGCCAACACTTCATCGGCCGGGGAGGAAGAGGACGAATCTTCGTCCGTTCACGATATACCTCTTCAGAGATTGTCCAATCGACCACACTCTCCATTCCTCGACGTGATGCATCTCTCCAATTCCGACTCCGAATCTCACCCTTACGAGCATCAAGCTTCCAGCTCTACCTCTCGCTCGGCTGACGCAGCTTCGGTCTCGCCTGCTTCGGCAGTGAGGAGTATGAGGGCGAGACAGACGAGAAATCGATTGATGCTTCAAGGAGCTGCTGGTAGGTATAGACGTGCAGGAGTGGGAGGGCAAGGCCTGGCCAGCGATGAAGAAGAGGAGGAAGAGGCGGCATCAGAAAGGAGAGGATTGCTGGCGCAGAGTCTGCAGCTGGACGATGCTGGACCTGAGAGGGGTCGAGATGGACTGAGCGGGGGTGGAGAGTATGTCGACGAATCTACGAGCGGCATTCGGGCAAGCTTGGAAGCGACGAGGAAGAAGGCGAACAAGATCAAAGATGATCACGCTGGCTTTTGGGCGCGATTGTCGGGCAGAAGCAAAGCTGCTGATGAGGGCAGGACATTCGTCTTTGGCGGTGGTGAGTGTTTCGAGATCGCCAAGGCCTGCACCCCTCGCAGGGCCCCTCCTTACTTGAATGCGCACGCGCTCCAGACAAACACGGCAAATACCCGCCAAATGTGGTTCGCAATCAAAAGTACAACCTCATCACATTCCTGCCATTGGTGCTGTACGAGCAGTTCAAATTCTTTTTCAATCTGTACTTTTTGCTCGTCGCGCTCAGCCAATTCGTCCCAGCGCTCAAGATCGGTTTCATCGCCACTTATATCGGTCCTTTGGCTTTCGTGCTGCTCATCACTATTGGCAAAGAGGGATTCGACGACTATGCGCGATTCAAGAGGGACGTGGAGAGCAATGGGACGCCGATCGATGTGCTGTACGCGCCCGACTCTCCTGTAGCGCTTGCGCACCTCCGATCAAAGAAGCAGCGCAAGAGGGATCTAGAGACTAACGAGGAAGGATACATTGTGGTACCCACTCCTTCATCCAAACTGAAAGTGGGGGACTTGGTGCTGCTGCACAAGAGCCAGCGCGTACCTGCGGACCTCGTTCTTCTGCGCACCACCGCTGGCGATCATCTACCGCCACGTCTGGACTCCACACGAGGCGCACCTCAAGAAGCTCAACATTTCGTCCTAGATGATTCAGACGACGAAGAGGCTGTTCGGGGCGGCGTCGCAAAGCAACAAGCGCCGCAAGAGGAATCCTCCTCGCGGGAACAAGAAGGAGCTAGCGGGACTTGTTTTGTGCGGACAGATCAGCTGGACGGAGAGACGGACTGGAAATTGAGGGTGGCGGTGGACCTCACTCAGCGCATGGACGAGGCTGAACTGGTGGCGCTTGGAGATGCGGCCGTCGTCTATGCTGGAAGACCGATCAAGGATATACACACGTTCGTGGGGACATTTACCCTCCTGACTAGCGTCGAGCAGTCCAACAAGAACAGATCAACTTCGGCCTTGCTCGAGAATCATCACCAGCCGGCAGACGACAGACCTGGCCAACCGCAGATCGCCCCTCTCAATGCTGAAAATGTCCTGTGGGCCAATACGGTACTGGCAGCAGGGACGGCGATCGGCGTGGTGGCGTACACTGGGCGCGAGACACGCGCGGTGATGAACACTTCTCATCCGGGCACTAAAGTAGGATTGTTGGACCTTGAGATCAACAGGATGGCCAAGATTCTGTGCGGCGTCACTTTTGCGCTGTCCGTCGGGTTGGTAGCGCTCAACGGCTTCAGAGGTCAGTGGTACGTGTACATTTTCAGGTTCCTGATCCTCTTTAGCTCCATTATCCCCATCTCTCTACGCGTCAATCTGGACATGGGCAAGACGGTGTATGCGCGGCAGATTCAAGGCGACGCGCAAATTCCGCAAACCATTGTCAGAACCAGCACGTTACCGGAAGAATTGGGAAGGATAGAGTATCTCTTGTCCGACAAGACTGGAACGCTGACGCAAAACGAAATGGAGCTGAGAAAGTTGCACATGGGCACGATGAGTTACGGATGGGATAGCATGGACGAGGTCTCTGGACAGCTTGCGAGCGCATTGCAAGCTGCGCGCTCGGAGGGTCAAGAAGGAGGTTCTGACGCGCTCGGAGCGCAAGCTGGAGGACCTGGTAGTCCTTCTACTTCCCTCAAGGTCAATCCCATGGCTGGAGCTGGCGCCATCTTGGCGGGAAGAGGAAGAAGAGACATGTCTTCGCGCGTCAAGGACGTTGTGCTCGCTCTGGCACTGTGCCACAATGTCACGCCGGTGGTCAACGACGATGGCACGGTGACGTACCAAGCTTCAAGCCCCGACGAAGTGGCCATCGTCAAGTGGACCGAGTCGGTCGGCTTGAGTTTGATAGCTCGAGATAGACGAAGCATGAGTCTTCGAGCGGGCGACGTGCTGCTCGCTTTCGACATACTCGAAGTTTTCCCCTTTACTAGCGAGAGCAAGCGGATGGGAATCGTCATACGAGATAGGTCGACGGAAGAGCTTACTTTTTACCAAAAGGGCGCGGATGTCGTCATGGCTAAGATTGTGGCGCAAAACGATTGGCTAGATGAAGAGTGCGGGAACATGGCTAGAGAAGGCCTGAGAACTTTGGTCGTTGGAAGAAAGAGAATGACGGAGCAGCATTGGATCGCCTTTGAGCGCGCCTACAAGGAAGCTAGAACGCGTGTGGATGGTCGAAACGAAGCAATGGCTGGAGCAGTGTCGGAGTACTTGGAGCGCGACTTGGAATTGCTCGGTCTGACCGGGGTGGAGGATAAGCTTCAAGAGGATGTCAAGCCTACGTTGGAGCTGCTCAGAAATGCAGGCATCAAAGTGTGGATGCTGACGGGCGACAAGATCGAGACTGCTACGTGCATCGCCATCTCCTCCAAGCTGGTAGCTAGAAATCAGTACGTCCATCAAGTGGCCAAGTTGAGGACCTCAGAAGCGGCTAGAGACGTGTTCGATGTGCTAAGGACCAAACCAGATTGTTGTCTGGTTATCGATGGCGAATCTCTGCAGCACTGCTTGGACAATCACAGGATCGAATTCATCACGCTAGCGACTCAATTGAGCGCCGTGGTAGCCTGTCGATGCTCGCCCACGCAAAAAGCCGACGTAGCTCGACTCATTCGGGAATTCACAAAGAGGCGGGTGTGTTGCATTGGGGATGGAGGCAACGACGTGTCGATGATTCAAGCTGCGGATGTGGGACTGGGCATCGTGGGCAAGGAAGGTAGACAGGCTAGTTTGGCGGCAGACTTTAGCATCCTTCAATTCAGCTACCTGGCCAAACTGCTCACCTTTCATGGAAGAAACGCGTATCAACGTAGTGCCAAGTTGGCACAGGTCGTCATTCATCGAGGTCTCGTCATCTCGGTCGTGCAGGCCGTCTTCAGCTCCATCTTCTACTTTGCGCCCGTAGCTTTGATTCAGGGATGGCTCTTGTGAGTTTTTCTTTAAATTTTCCCGGCACACAGACAATGCTCTATCAGAGCCCGGCACGCGCTGATCTATGGAACAACGAGCAGGGTGGGCTACGCGACTCTGTACACCATGCTGCCCGTCTTTTCCCTAGTCTTGGACAAGGACATCGATGATGATCTCGCTCTGGCATATCCCGAGCTGTACAAAGACCTCACGAAAGGTCGAAGATTGACGGCAAAGACTTTTGCGTCGTGGCTTCTCATCTCGGTCTATCAGGTGAGTGGGCGCATCATTGTGCTTTAGACGAGGAAGTGTTTTCTGAAGTCGACCTGCGGATCGCTATTCCTCGTAGGGCGGCGCAATCATGCTCCTCTCCTTGCTATTGTTCGAGAATGAGTTTTTAAACATCGTCTCGATCACCTTTAGCGCTTTGGTCATCAACGAACTGATCATGGTCGCTCTTGAGATTACCCGATGGTGCGTGTCGCACTCATTAAGCGCTTCGTGGCACCCATGCAACACGCTTGCTGAATCTCGCTCTTCTTTGCCTCGTCTCAGGAACGTCTATATGCTCGTGGCAGAGCTGCTCAGTCTGACACTGTACTGCATCAGCATTGCTTTCCTCCCAGAATATTTCGGTCAGTCACCGCACGCGCAATTTTGCGACCTTGAGCAGCTTCGCTTCTGTCGGCTTACTCTTCCCACTTTTCTTTTCGCCCCCTTCTCGTTGTGCGCTCGCTCGCTGCCACGCCTTTTCCTCAGACCTGAGCTTCGTCTTGTCTGCCCCCTTCTTTTGGAAAACGGCAGTCATCATAGCCGTCAGCGCCTTGCCATTGTTCCTCATCAAGGTGGTCAGGAACCAACTTGCTCCTCCGGCTTACAGCAAGCTCAACATGACTTAGAGGAGCGCGCACGCCGGCCAAATCGATGCGCTTTCTTCAGATCACTCGCTTGGCACGCTATTCGCAGCCCTGGTCTATGATTCGCGCCGCTGGCTGATGGTGCTCTTTTACGCCCAGCATGTATTGAGGTAATGTAGGTTGTCTCGTGAGCTCGATTACTTGAAATGCGTGGAGTTGATGCTCGCACGAGGTGTGGACGTGCTCTGTTGGCTAGTGACCCGAGATAACTTTGTGTTGTGCTTGCTTGGAAGCGCGCCCACGCGCGCAGATATTGGATACAAATGTTGCAAAAAGACCAGCTCGAGAGAGGGAGAGGATTGAAGCGCTATGGCGGTGTCTGCGGAAGGGCGGATGCGCAAGCTAGATATGCACTTCGAGAAGCCCGATACCACTTTCTGAGCCTCTGGCAGAATCCGCGTCCGTCTCTCCCTCTGCCAACTTCTGAGCGTTGTCGAAGCCCTCTCCCAATACCTTTCTTCTTCGAGACTGCATGCGCGCTCTGTTGGCCGCGTCGTTGCGTTGTGCTCGCATCTGCCGGGCGGCTTCGCGCTTCTGCTTGGCTGTCAAGGGTCTCTCTTTCCCCGAAGCCTTCATCGAGGCAGCTACCGACTCGTCTAGATTCGCCGAGCCAAGAAGTCGGCTCGTCTCGTCTGATACGCTCAAGGTCGCAATGCGAGTACCGACGCTGGTCGCGCTTGCGGATCCGCTTCCCGCCGAAGCCGCGCTTGGACTGCTGCTCCCGAGCAGTTTTGGACGTCTGCTGACTGTGTCGACCCAACCATCGTCAGCTGGAGGTGTTTGACTGCGTTTTTTCGCAACGCGCGAGCGCCCCGAAACGTTTGCGCTGCCTTGCTCCCTCACAAGATCCCTGCTTGCGGCACGTTTTGGCGCCTTGCCCGCAAGTCGTTGACCTTGCTCGCTGATTTGCGGCGCCTTGTCGTCCGACTCATATTCCGGGTCGTCATCGTCGCTTTCTGCGACGGTGGTAGCTGCAGAAGTAGCAAGGTCGACACTCGCCGCGCTGCTGCTCTGAGCAGCATCCTCTTCGTTTCCGACCGATCCGCTTCGATCCGAGCGTGGGCTGAGACAGGTGGCTGACGAGTCTTGTGCTGGGGAGATCAGCATCTCGCCGGCAGCTTGCAACTCGGCATCAGCTGCATCTGCCATGGCGGCCGCTTGCCATGCTTCGAGGGCGTTCTCCCAGCTGCCATGCTGTCGAATGTAGAATCTGGCTCGCGTGACTGTCATGGTTGAATCTGTACTGCGCATGAGAAGCTCTTCCTCGGAAGTCGGATCAGTTGACTCGGGCGCGTCTGCCGAGGTGGCGTTGGGTTCATGGATAGGACCACCTTGCGAAGCACTACTGGCGGGTCGCTGTGTGACGGTGTACGGGACCATTTGTCAGCTCAGAACGACTCGCGGCACCGCTTCGATATGCTCACCTCTTTGATCCGAGGTAGTCCCTTGTGCGGGCCATCCACATTCCTAATTGAACTGTAGTGCTCCCAATTGTGGTAGGCGATGTAGAGCGGCCCCCAGGCTTCAGCAGCCTTTGGTTGAGGTTCTACAGCCTTAGAGGTGGATGCAGATGGGTTCGCACTCGTGCTAGCATCAAGACCGAGATCGGATATGGATCCATTTGGCACATTGCTCGCTTTTCGCTCTCTTCTGCGTCTGCGAACATCGCGCTCCGAGAGTAGAGGTGTCTCTGTGCCGATGGGGATCGCTTGTTGGATACGTTGGCGCTCGGCTTCGCGCCGCTCGCGCTCTGCAGATGCGCTAGGAGCCTCGCTGTCATCTACTGGCGAGACGATATACACCAAGCCAGGCTGCATGATCTTAATCTCTTTCTGAAACAATTGCGAAAACGCCGAAAGCTCGAGGTGGCCGCCATACGTGCCTGCAAATTGCGCAATGAGGTCATCAGCTTGAAGGGGCAATAGCAGCTTGGTCGCAGGGCTACTCACCATTCGTCCTCATGCCGCGCACATAATCCTCAAAAGTCTTTTCGACGTCGAGAAAGCCTGCAAACTTTTCTGGCTTGGCGGCAAGGTAGTTGCAGACCTGAAGGCGGGTCCCTAAGCTCAGCTATGCTGGCGCCGCAGACAGAGATCAAGTATTCAACTCACCTCTTCCCGAATGACGGCATGGTAGTCCGGAAAGCCATAGAATTGGTCGGAGAGCGCTCTGAACAGACAATTGCCGTCGCCCATCGTATTGACCGCATACAATCGCATGTTGCGTAGCTGTGCATTGAGCTCCTTCTCCACTTGGGCGGGGTCCTCGAGCCCGTTTGTGAGCCTGGCCCCACTGCTTCGAGTCACTCGTTCGCCTGGCGTGTGAGGCAAGTGCAGAGAGTCAGAAAGCGCATTCATGGCGTCTACATGCTCGCTAAAGTCCCACGCTTGGATTGGAACACCTCACCGCAATCCTCCTCCTCCCACGCCCTCGCTGCTCACCATTATTCCCTCGTCCCGGCACGGGGTGTCTGCGGTTGGTGGCGCTGCTCGATTTGCTTTTGCGCCCAGAGCCCATTCCTTCGATGGTTTGCGATGAGGTGGAAGCCTCAGACTGGGCATCATTGCCAGCTGAAGAACCGGTCTGCCTGCCAGCGCGTTTCGGAAGGGTACGTCTTGGGCCGGCGGCTGAAGCGACTGACCGACCCGTTTTCCTGGGTGGCATGCTTTGGAAGTGAGTTGGTGGAAGAGGCCGAAGCGAGCCTGGCAAGCCTCACGTAGGTGATGAGAAAGGCTTGCTCGGCCAGCTTCGCGTACCCTTTAGGTAGCGGCGATGGGTGCAGAATATGGGAGACGCCTGGTACGATTCGATTGAGATTGATGATGCTATACCCGAGTGAGCGCTGCTTGGCTGTGTACATCACTCACACTATGACTGCTGACGCCGGCCTCTTGCATGGCTGGCGACCGGCGCATACTCGTTACGATGACTCTATACATGCATGCTGTCCTCCGCTCTTAGCGTGTTTCGACCCTGACCGACCTTCATCAGTCCTATATACAGCTAGCTCATCATGATTCCTCTGCACGGGCACGAAAACGGACGAGATTCAGTCAAGAGTCACGAGTGTCGCTCTGCCCCTCACGCGGGCGTCCCGGTCTCATCTCGTGTGAGCGCGCAGTCACGCGCAACGAATCATGCATGAATATCGCGCCCCTGGATATCATACGATCCTGATTGCTCATTCAAACATCGTGGTTATTCATGACTCACACTTTGACTGTTCACAATCAACAATCACGAATCAAGAATCATTGAATTAGGCAAGCTGATGAGTTAGGACCACGATCTCAGCGCCTCGTTGTCGAGGGCGCGCGACCTGCTCTGCTTCGTTTCATTCGTGATTGGTGCAGCAAGCAAGCAAGCAGCAGCAGATGCATGCAGACGCGACGCAGACGAAATACCACGTAAAAATGATTGCTTGCGACGTAGTCACTTTAGCAGTGTAGAGCGCAATCGCAGCCTATAATTGAATGTGAATGTATGTGAATGAACGGGGTCCTAGTTGGCTCAACCACGCACGCGCGCATACAATTGCGCAGACCTCAGCGAGGCAAGCTCAGCTGCGGAAGGTGCATGTCTGCTGTCGTGCGAGGCGCGCAGAGCAGCGTTGGGTGGGGCACCGGTAACGGTATGGTACGCGAGGGACATCTGATGACGCTCGGCGCAGCGGGTGCACAGGTCATCGCGACAGATGATGCATGCATGTACGGTACTCGATCACGACTCGAGCCTACAGCCACGCCTGAGGTTTCGGCCTCCGCCGCGAAGGGGCTGCAGATGAGGCACTGCCTCGACCAGAAGACTTTGAGTGCTGGGGCAGCGTGTCAACGCCGGAGCCCTCCCCGCCATCGCTGCTATGGCCCCGGTATGTCGAGCGTTGCACGTGATGACGCCCATCAGCAAATTCGACGCACTCGCCGCGCGAAAAGGCCGCGGCGGCGGCGTCCTCTTCGTCGTCGCGTTCCTAGCTGATGCTGATGATGTGCATTCAAGGTTATTCTTGATTCAGCCCGAACTCAGATCAGCACACTCTCTCGGCAACATCATTGTGATTGTCGCGGCGCTCATTGCTCTCACATCAACCCCGGTCTTCCCTTCTTCCCTCGGGTGGCTAGGTGGCTCTTGGCGAGTCTGCAGAATTGCGTATAAAGCTCTACACCTGTGTCCCATTCGTGGCCGGACTCGCCTCTTGGACTTTCACCCGCGCCCACGATTTCCCACCACCTGCGTGATGGTGCACGCTGGCAACTTCTGAGCTCATCTCTCCTCTGCCAATCACCGACATGAAGCGGTGAGCATTTCAATTATTTCAGCTGGTGATCTTACACTGACGCCCCGCGTGACTCTTCTCACATCCCCTCAGCCCATATGCCACGTACACTGGCACAGCGGGAACTCCTACACAGGGAGCAGCTCCCCAAGGGACCGCCAGCCCATACGCCAATTATGGGTATGGCGGCCCCCAGCAACATCACCAACAGCAGCAGCAGCAGCCTGCGGCAGCTTCGCCTGCTCACAACGCAGGTGGTGAATCTGGACTGACGAAGGAGCAGCAGCAGGCGCAGTGGCACGCTCAATGGCAGCAGGTGAGCTGACTGGTCGTCAGTATGGCGAAGTGCGCTCGAGTCGCAAGCTAAATCGGCCTCGTCATTGGCATTTGCAGTACTACGCTCAGCAGGCAGCTGCCGCTGCGGCCACACCAACCCCTACGACACCCGCTCAATCTCCCCAGCAGCCACAGCAGTCACAGTATGGCGGCTATCCTCAACAACCTCAGCGTCCACCGCCTCAGCCGGCACAAGCGGCTTACTCCACCGCTTATCCTCAACAACCCCAGCAACAAAGCTACCAACCCACTGCCCAGCAGGCTACCTACAGTCAGCCCGCGGCTCCTGCGTGGCAAAATCAGCAGCAACCCCCGCAACAAGGACCGGCCTACCCACAGCCTTCGCCCCAGCCTCAGCATCAGACTGCCTTTGCTTCGAACACGCCGCAAGGTCAATATACTGGCGGCCCTCCACAGGGTCCAAATCAGTCCGGCTACTATGGACAATATCCAGCCAGCCAGAACACAGGCGTTCCGCAGCAGCAGCATGGTGGCCCTGCACCGGTTCAAGCTGGTCCGCCTTCGAAGCGACAGCGCTACGGTGACAGCGTCTTGCAACCTGGCAATGTTCAGCCCGCCCCAGGTTATGGACAGCCAACGCTGCCGCCCGCCCAAGGCTGGCAGCAACAAGGTTTTGGAGGACCACAACAGGGTCAATCTGGACCAGCACCTTTTGCAGCACCTCAACAACAACAGCAACAACAACAGTACATGCCTCAGCAACCAAATGGATGGCAAGGCGCTCGTTCCCACCAACAGCCACCTGGTCCAAATTCAGTCCTACCAGTGGGCCAGCAAGGACCTCCGCAAGGCTACGGACAGGTGCCGACAGGTCCGGGCGGCATGCAGAATCACTTAAACTTTGGTCCTGCTGGCAATGTCGGCAATTCGACCCCCAACCACCACGCGTCGGCTCGAAATGCGAGCGGTCCACGCTTGGGGCCTCAGCAAAGCCGTCCACCTATCGCAAGTCTCCCTCGTCCACCGGCCCCGGTCGGCAAAGGACCTCAAGCGCTGCAGCACGGCAATCGATTTGGCGCGTCCGCCGGCGCTGCCGCCGGCGTCGTTCCATCTGCTGGAGATCGCAGCGGCTTTTCTTCTGGCAGTCGAGGCGGCAATCAACCTGCGCGATTGCGCCCAAGCGGATCAGGAGGACAACGTGGGGGTCCGGCTGCACCGCAGGCAGGACCCAGTGGCAACAACAATCAGCGTGGATTCAGCAGCCAGAACATGATGGCCCCAGCTTCTGGAGTTCAGCGCAAATTTGGTGAACGCAACGCAGCACAAGTGGCGAGCAACGTTCCGACTCGCAATCAGAATGGTCGTCCATCTCAAGTCTCGACCTTTGAGTCTACGCGAGCAGCACAGATTGCGCCAGCCATCGCAGGGCAGCCTTCTTCCGCTGCTGATCACTCCGTTCCTGGGGGCAGCAAGCGCACATTTACCGACTTTCGCATCAAAGGCCTCGACATTCCCGCATTGGCATGGGGCTGGAAAATCACTAGCGAAAAGAATGGAGATGACGTAGAAGACTCGAGCGAAGAGGAGGAAGAGGACAACGCGGCTGAAGCTGGCGCGAAGAATCACGACAACGACGATGATGACGCGATGAGTATTGCGGATAGCATCGATCCAGCCAAGGAGCGCAAGACAAGGCCGCCAAGTGGTCCAGCAAACGGCGGACTACGAGGAGATGTTTGTCGCATGCGCGTCAATTTTGCAGCTGTCGCGCACCAGCCTCCCGTGAACGCGCCAGCAGGACCGCGAGCCAAGCTCAAGGCTGACAAACCTGCCACCGGCTCTCCTGCCATCGATGCCCAAGATGGCGACAACACTGCACCGCCATCAGATGCTGGCGATGCCTCTGAAGCTACCAAAGAAGTTTCGAAGGATGGCGAAGCTTCGAGTACGGAATCGAGCATTGTTGTGGAGCCAGCTTGGACGCCATTCAGCAAAGGGCCCCCTCAGAGCAGCACCAATCGCATCAGCATCTCCTACGCAGGAACGCTCCGTCGAATCACTATCGATGCCGAAATAGTCAAGGAGTTGCGAGTTTTCCGAGCTGAGAATCGAGCCGAGATCATTGTCGACATCACAACTGCCTCCGACGCTCGCGACTCAAACCTCAATCGCAAAGGCAAAGAATGGGTCATTGCCAGGGGTATTTTGCTCGAGACTCGCGACACCGAGACTGACTCCTTCGGCGTCACCAGTCGCAGGCAACTTGAGCATGCTTGGGCGAACAAAACAAATGAAGAACCTGTCATTTCAAAAATGAAGACCAAGACGAAGAACGCCGCAGGAGACACAGACGCCGCGCAAGTAGAAAGCTCGGAAGAGAAGCTCGCGCCAGTGGCTGGGCCTTTCAATGAGCTTCCCCCTCTGTTCAGACTGCTCGAAGAACATAACGTGCCGGACGATGATGGAGCACCTGAAGCGCGAGGCGCAAGTCAGTTGATCATCAATGTGCAGCTCGACAGACCTACGACACTCGAAGACAAGTGGCTTCGTAGCGGTGACGTCGGAGAATGGTTATCAGCCTTGCCCGCGTTCTCCACCCGCGTGTCTGAGTCAGTGTGGCAAAAAAAAATCCATGTTGCCGATCCGGATCCACTGCCTACGGTATCGCAGGTGTGTCAGGATTGGACAAACAAGAGCTCGATTGGGACCCCAAGAGAACGGCGACGGTTCATCGCGGATCAGTTGCAGGGAGGAGAAGCCATGCATGAGATTGTTGCGCAGATCATGCGCAATCCCAACAATCCTGCGCTTGCAAAGCACGAGGTTGCGCCGCCTCTGCTCGGGACTTTCGACAAGACTGCCTTTTCGGCCAACCAAAACCATCTTGCCCTTGCTGCCCTGAGGCTGCTGGACTTGATCCAAGAATACGGCGCAGCATCCGGCACGTCCGGAGAGCTCATCCTTACACATTTGAATGACTTGATTATGGCCCTTCCTACTGCAGTCATCTTCAAGGCGTTGGACGCACTGGTGAGCGGCGGAGTCGGAAGTGCAAGCAGTAGAGCAGTGCTGATAGCTTCCGTTCCTCTGCAGTGGAAAGAAGCGCACGAAAAGCAGCGCATTGCTGACGCTGAACGCAAGCAGGCTCAAAAGCAAGCGGAAAAGAAGGCTAAGAAAGACAAGCAGCATACGCAAGGGAAGTCGGATGAAGCTAAAGTGGAGCAAAGGACAGATGCACCTTCAAGTAAGGAACAGAGCAGTAGCCAAAGCCAGACGGCAAGTCCGGGCCGAATGGGTCTAGTGAAAGGCGAGACGCAAGGTGGCGAGGGGCAACGTGGCGAGGCAGAAGCCAAGATAGAGACGGATTCGGGAGTCGAGCCGCTCGTCAAGGTGGAGACGGAGCTCGAGTTGCCCGATTGGTCTGGTTCTGCAGTCGGCGTAGAGGAGACGTCGACTACCCTGCCCCCGGGTCACGTCGTGGACATTGACAGTGCGATCGAAGGGAGTGGATCAGGTACGCAGCCAAAGGACCCGCTGGAACAGCTCGTCGATGACGCTCTTGCTCTTGACTCTGTCAAGCAAGAAGCCGATGCGACGGCACTGCCGATCTCTTCGTTAGACACGGAGATGGTCGGAGAGAACGGCGCTCAACTCGAGGGAGCGACATTGCCGCCGGGGACTGCTTCGGACAATCTGGTGGATCAAATTGCTGACATGCGGTCAGAAGAAGAGCTCTTGACGAGTGATGGCGCGAGGGTTCACGAGGTCGTGGCGCAACCTGGGACGAGCGTAGCGGAGAGCTCGAAATTGCCGGTGGATGACTAGATTCAGGTACTGCGGAGAAGGGCCAGGATTAGAAGCGCGATTGCTACCGTTGTTTCCTAGTGGTGGTAGCAGCAGCAGCACCTCTTGGGGAATAGGCAGGGCTGGGAAACGGGGAGCGCGTCTATGCCACTATATAGCTCCAGGTTGTTTCGGAAATGAGATGTGCAGAGCAAAAGGATCAGGGATAGCGGCTAAGGTTGGCTAGCGACGCACGTAGCGACAAGCGCGCTGCACCTGGCAGGCTCCGTTTTTGCGGTCAGCTTCCGTTTCCGTTCGAATGTCATCGGCTTAACGAGCGTGCTGTGTCCGAGGGGTTTGCAGGAACACTTTGCGGCAAAACCGCGTGCCATTGCGGTGATGATCGCTCAAGAATCTCGAGGTTGCATGGGTGCTGGATAATATAGCCTCGGGTATCTGAGCTTTGATTGCACAATCGAAACAACACATGCCTCGCGGGCTGGCAACCTGACACGAGCGTCGTCCTGCGACTCCAGCTGAGACGTTTGGCTCAGCATCTGCGCCAGTCTCCAATTGGCGGGAGGCGCATAGGGGCGGAATGATCTGAGGGTCTTTCTCGCAAAGGAAGAGACTCGCCATGGTTGAGTGGACGGATGAGTCATCTTCTCGCGAAGCATCGCGTGTCGCCGCTCTCGAAGGATCCACGCAGGCATTACATCGGTATAGCACACGGAATAGGCGGCCAAGTAGATTGTGCCGGGCACTGCTGGGCCCGGCGTAGTGCGAGCAGCGAAGCATCGCAAAGTATCTCTTCTCCGGCGAGGCAGCTCCTGGCGCGCACCTCATGCAGCGACATCGTCCCCCATCGTGCGAAAGTGAGAACGGGCCTCCGCGTGTTCGATGCTTCTTCATTTGTTTCCCGCTGTGGACCGAATGCAATTCATGAACCCCGCCATCGACCCAAGTCGGTACCGACATTGTACCTCTCCGCCAAGATGATTTTACTACTACTACTGACAAGATTTGCACATGCGAATCTCGGATTGCTTGCAGCTTGGCAGGCGACTGCCCGAGGGCTCGGGGCTGAGCCGAGAAAGGTTCCGAGCAAGCTGAATACCCTGGGAGTGAGATCAGCATCGCATGCACGTCGGTCATGCAAGCAGGCCAACAAGTAGATCCCAGAGCGTGTCGTTTGCCTGCAGAGTTTCCGCACCTGACAGGCAGCTGCTTCCTTCGGCTTTCTGGAGCTTGCGTCTCACAGTGCGGGGAGTCGGCAGCGCTTGGCATTACTGGATCCGCTCGCGCAGGCTGTGTTGATGAGGAGACGAGGTTCCTGCTAGAGTGGAGAGTCGTCTATGCAGACGCCTATCGTCTCGCGACGAGCTCGACATGAATGCAACAAAGGCCCGAGAGTCTTGAGTCGTTGTACAGCAGGTGCACCGGATCGCGGCACGTGAACCTGAGCGAGCCGTCGAGCGTGTTGTAGCGTCCTCTGCGCCTGGCTCGGACCTCCCGCCTCTCCGTTCTTGGAAAGGATTCCACGTCAAGAGGGTACCGCTTACGTCACAGTGACAGCGAATCTGCCCTTGCTCTGACAGGATGCGCCGAAGGAAGCCTTTCTAACAACAGGCATCTCGATGCCTACGGCCAGTCGGACGAGATGTGAGACTGTGAGGTCTCGAGGTCGATGCATGCAGGCAACCTGCTGTAGGTACGTACCTACACCAAAGTGAGACGCTGAGAGAATATCCGCTTTCACGCTCCAGAGCAGGGCAAGCGCCTTTGTAAGTGCGTACCAGTGTGGTAGTACCGTGACCACCGCTACGGTTCCATGCACCCTCATCAATTTGCACACGCTAATGCGCGCTCTGGACCCGCCGCTGACGCAGTCTGAGCTTGAAGTCTTTGGAGCGCGTGCGGCAATGTGAACGAGTGTATGAGAGACAATTCGGGAAGTCCTTCGACAAGTTGCCGTCACGGGCGGTGATGCTCGGAGCATGACACACTTCCACCGGTCTTTTGTTCGCATCACACTTGAGCCAATCTGGTCGCTTCTTCTTCCACACGATGGACATTTCCTCCGCACCATGGTGACAATCGGTCAAATTCTGCAACGCTAGTCGAGCTTTTGTAAGCCAGCGCCATTCTACCTCTCGCCGTCCAAGTCCGCGCGGGTGTTCCGGCTTGGCTAGAGGGCACTTCATTTCGCACCCTTTCACCTTCATTTACTTCTCGGACAGGTGGACAGGTGTTGGGCTTGTCGTCTTTCGTTGCTGGAGCAGACTCTGCCGCCGCTGGTATGGGCATCAGTGAAGGGTCATTTTATTTTTCAGCGAGACCAAGTGAGGACGAGCGAGGCCGGAACATTCTTTGCCGATGATCGAGGTATAGTTGGCATGACCGCTCGGAGAAGACTAGCATGGAAACACCGCCTGCCACCTCTGCTGGGTTCCACAACGCTGTGACACTTTCCACCCTCTCCACCAACGCACCTACACCTTCGCCAGAAGCTCTTCCGCAGCCCACCACCCACCATTCGAGGACAAACACATCCAATGGCGCAATGAGCCCTGCCCCGAGCTCTGCAGCGCTGCCAACATCGTTCAAGCGCAAACGCGTTCTACAGGCATGCTTGCCTTGCAAGCAACGCAAGAGGAAATGCGATGGCAAGCTTCCATGCTCGAGCTGCGATGGCATGGGCTATCTCTGCGAATTTGAAGAGGATAGTCGCAAGGTGATGGGCTCGGGCACCGCACCAAAACTGGAAGCCTCTCACGCCTCGCCCGTCCCGCCCGCCAAGTCCTCCTCGACGCTGGCGGATGCAATGCAGATCGGTCGTCAGCGAGTAATCTCAAATGCGACAACATCGACCGTACGAAATGCGAGCGTCGATAGCTCTCCCGCCAGTGATGACCCTGCTGACAATGCCGAGGGGCGATCAGCCAAGTGGAGCCGCGCGGTCGCAGCGCGAGCAGCACGAGATGCCACGGCAGCAGCAGCAGCCGCCGCTACGCTCAAGGGCGAGGGGGCCACTAATCTGGACTCGAGTCCGTCTATGGTAGTGACGACGGATGAGATCGAGCCAAAATCAGAGACGGATGATGAGGACGAGGCCCGTCACAAGGTCATCAGCTACTCTGGCGAAGACTCTTCCGTGGGCTTTCCGGCTCGGCTTGGCGCCGAGCTCCGCTCCAGCGATCGCGGTGAGGAGGGGCGCAGCTCGTCGAGACATCTCGCTGGACCAATTTCCAAATCGCCAAACGCCAGCAGCTCAATATCACCGCGGGACGGCTTGTCCGGAGCGCCGTCCGACTCTTTCCTCGGGTCGAAGAGCCAACCGCGTCCTGCAACCTCGCACTTGACGCCTTCCAGGGCTGCCGTCGCCTCTTTTGGCTGGAATCTGGGTTTGCGACCGCAACTTTCTCGTAGCTCTAGCAGTCAAGAGCCGACACTTAGGGATATTGTGCCGACGCTGGAAGGCTACTTTGCCCTCGCTCGCGTCTACTTTGCTGCTGTCTGGCCCGACTATGCCATCTTGGACTTTGAGCCGTTTGTCAAGGACGTGCTCGCATTCTACGCAAGCAGAATAAGTCACACGGCCAGCGATGGGCACCAAGTCAAACGGCGAAGACTGCAAGGCAGTCAGCTAGGTCAAAGCATTAGTGGAGACTCTTCAGCACCGCAATCAGCCGGTAACGCTCAAAGCGGCTCGCCACCGTCTCCTTTGATAGAGCCTCGTGAATACAGTGAGGGCTTTGAAGCCGCAGCTGCGTCCGTCGCCGCGCTCGGGAGCATCTTTTCGGGCGAGCAATCGGAAGCGGCAGCTCGTCTCGAAGCACGCCTCGTCAAGCGGGCACAGAGCCTGCTTGATGAGAATTCGGCATGGAGGTCGCCTCAAGTGGAGCACGTGGCTGCCTGGCTCAATCTCGGCTTCTATGCCAGAGCAAGTGACCATCCGCAAGTCGCATGGCGTCGAAGTTCTCAAGCTGTGCACGTAGCCGAGGCCTTGGGGTTGCATCTGCAGCCTTTGGAAGGCGAAGAGGCGGACTTTGAAGCGGAGCACAGTGTGCAGGATCAGGCAGGGAGGCAAGAGCCCGATGCGCTGTGTGCAGCCGTAGGCATTTCTGCCAGCCCGAAGAGGCCCCCTTCTACTCGACTGCAGAGACTCTTTTGGACAGCAAAGAGCTTCAATAGCATCGTCAGCTGGGAAGTTGGTCTGACACCGGTAGCACTTCGACAAATCACCAGATTACCTCTGGAGCCTAGCGCGCACGACGCAACGCACGCATTCTGCACTCTGGTCGCCATCTTGGACGAGGATGTGAGGGGTGATGGGACGGGCACTGGGCTTGGTGGGGGCAAGGGCGTTCCTGGCCCGACGCGTGTCTCGGATGACTCGAGCGCTGCCAGCATCATCAATGGCGAAGGGGTTCTCTTGCGTGCCATTGCACGTATAGAAGCCGTTCCGGAGCCTTCGGCGGTGCTAGCGCTGGTCAAAGCGGACATCGTGTGCTCCCTGTTCCGACGATATCGCGCTACTGGACGCGCTCTTTCCAAGACTCACGAAGCGACGATACTGGACTTGGGTCTAGGCGCCGTCATTGCAGCGGAAGGTATTGCTGATGCCAAAGCGCCATGGTGGCAGCTCACCAACACGCTCGTTCAGCTCAGCTGCATGCTCATTGCCATCGACAGTCCCACGAGCCTGGCACATCTAGGCAGAACTCTAAAAGCGCTACACAAGGTGCAGAGCGTGTTCGACACTCAGACGACTAGAGAAGCAAGTCACATTACTCATCGCATAGCCAGGCTTTTGGTTGACAAGAAGCAGCGAGATTTGGACCTCCTGACCAGGGCTGTTGAAGCACAATCGACGATTCTCGGCGAGTCGGGCGATACTGCGCTTTTCGAGTCGCGACCCGCGCCACGAACTACAGCGGCCTTCGCGAGCCGTTCTCGCGCTTCGGCAGCTGCTGCACGGGACGCAGAGAGTAATGGTGCAGGCTTGAGCTTAGTGCCCCCAGAGGCTGCAGCGGGTTTTCGCAATCCTGCAAAAAGCACCGATGCGACGGCGATTGGCGAGAGCGATAGATTCGCGGCCTCGCACGACGATTTGTTGCATGCTCGTAGTGCCACGCATCCCATGAGGGGAATCACGTCGTCCAACGGAGCACAGAGCTCGTCGGCTCATGCTTCCCCGAATCTTCATCATCACCAACAACATCAACGCGCATCATCCAATCATATTCAAATACCTCACCCTATGCAACACCTTCGAGCAGTCGATCATCATCATCACCTGATCCATCACGACGCCATGACCTACCGAGGATCAGCGCAGGGGCAAAATCACCTCATTTCGCCAATCTCACCTCACCATCCTCAAGCTCACTTGCAGGTGCCGCTTCCTCACAGTCCGATGGCCCCCTTTTCAAGCCATCCGCAGCAACATCCTCTGATGCATCATCAACACCAACACAATGGCGCGTGGCAGAACGAGTCGATGGGCATCGACTCGATCGATAGGTGGCTCGAGATGATGGGTGGCGCGGGTGCAGACCTGGCTTCCTTTATGAGTCAGCCTCAGTGAATCTCTACTCCTGTATTTCTTATGCACGTCGTGCGTTTGGCGCCCGCAACAATGAAAACGCGATCTCTGTACGCATTCGCATTTGAAGAGAGAGTGGGATGCGCTTGTCATATCCTGCAATTGCTCAGCTGCACGACGAAGATGTCCACCGCTCCAAGTTCTTCCAGGCGGTCCTGAAGGCGAGAGAGGTCATCGTTAGCGCCAATACTACGTGCTTGGAAAGATACACTCACCATAATGTTGGCGCTTTCGCTCTTGAGCACCATTGCGCTGACCGCGTTCCAGCCTTCATCGTCGAGCGGACTGACCGTCGCAGCTCTTCTTCCGGGCGTGACGGTTAGCGCGCCGCCCAGAGAAGCTTTTTCGATGTTGTACTCTACCAAGACGTACTTGCTAGCTGCAATGACTCCCTTGATGCGATTCGTGACCAGCTTGATGAGCGCGACGTTCGCTCGCGCGTGCGGCGTGGTGGGCCGAATGAGCACGGCTTGGGATTGCAAAAGTGTGGCAATGGCGTGCAGACCGCAAGCTCGCATTGTCTCTCCCGACTCGACCAGATCCACTGAGCAGATCAGAGTGTATGCTGAACATCAGCGTCAACCATCGCGCGGCCAGCATCGATCTTCCACTCACCGATACCGTCGGCCAATCCGAGAGCGCAAGCAGCCTCTACACTTCCACCAACATACTCGATGGCAGTCTTTTTGTCCCCAACTTGAGAGCCCTCTTGACTCTCCAGCTCTTCGAAGTACTTGCCAGCCAATCGATCGAAACTCGTAGCGATCTTTCTACCAACCAGATCCCTCGGAGCTTTGTAAGCGCTGCTTTCTGGAACCTGCACTTGAAGCGCGCATTTGCCGAATCCCAATTCCAACTCTTCGGTGATGCTAGAATTGAGCGATGCTTCTGCCACCATGTCTTGACCCGTGATGCCCAAGTCCACATTACCCTCTGCTACAAACCTCGGAATATCGGCTGCGGGAAGAAAGACGCTGCATTGCATCAGGCCGGGCGGGGATGATGATCAGCAATTACGGGGCAAGACGAAAACATCTTGGTGCTTCCGTGCTCCCTCGCTACACGTCTCGCCTCGCTGAATGGCGACCAGACTACCGCCGCCGTCCGCTTCTCTGCTACGCCTTGTTCACACCGCACTCACAGAGCCATGGGATGATTCTGCACTAGGGCTACATCCAATCTATGCGCCCTCTTGAATTGTATATCCGCACCCGACAACAATTCCAAACATTTCTCGTACAGCCTTCCCTTTTTTGGAATGGCAAACAGCAATTTGCCCTCGAGCGTTTCCGGTGAGAGGAGCGTGGCCATGCTGGTTGGTGCGCTGTGAGGTGTGACAAGGGCGCGCGCGGTGGGCGGACAACGGAATCGATGTTGCCAGAGGTTGGGGCGGGGATGCGTTGCCAGAAGATCCGAGAGATTGGCACGCGTGTAGAGAGCAGTCGCGAGTAGGGACAGCGAGCGACGAGGTCGAATCGATCGTCTTGGCAGTTGTGAGTGGTAGATTATGGTCGGCGATGAAAAGCTTATCTGTTCCGTCTTGCGTGATGCTTAATGGCTGCTTGCCTTTGTCGAGGCGGCGAGTTTCGACGAATAGCTTGCTTGGGTGCAAAGGTTGAGGATGAAAGCATTCAAGCGAGATGCAAACAGGACACGGCATGGTCAAGCCAAATCATCAGAGTCAATTAAGCAACGAGTCACGCTTCGTCGAGTAAATCGTCATGCAGCAGAGATCACGAGTTTCGCAGTCGCGATCCCCTTGCAGTCACAACAGTCATCACATGTGGTCGCGATCGAGTCGTGACTCGTGAGTCTTCTAGCGGCGCCGCGCGCGCGCCTGCTGCGATGCTGCAGAATCACGAATATGAATCTATGCGTCGATCCGCGGTGCGCGGTACGGTACGGTACGGTACCTATACACCACCGCCGATAATTTTTAATCTAGGCGCCATTTACAGTTGGCGCGCGCCCCGGGGCGCACGTTCATCAGTGGTACGCGGGTGACGCCAGCAGGCGCCCCGGCTGCACCATGCGGGATCGAGCGACACCGCTAGGACGGCGGGGATCTCGATCGGATCCTTTGGCCGACTGCTGCTGCTGCTACCGAAACACGATTTGGTTCGCTAAGCGCGCTGTATGTTGGATCCGTGAATACAACCGTTACACGTGAACGCTGAATGCCAAAGTCGCATCATTCAGCATGTCGCCAGGCTTTCAGGCTAGCCAAGGTGTGAGCCGTGATGCAGGACCCACTCGTGGCTGAGCACCTCGACGATTGAGGAGCCCACTCGAGATTTTGGAGAACGAGAAACAGCATGATTTGCATTTCCTGCACGTTGGTGACGTGATGATATTTGAAGAGCACGAGAGCAGACCTTTATGCTGCGTGATGACCGATCCGGTCGAGGTGGCGCAGCGGGTGGAAGAATCGAGCGTCTTGGACTGCGCTCGTATCCTACGCAGTAAAAGAGTGGGGGGCGACGAATCGTGGCAGCAATGGTAAGGGGAAGACGGTGAGGCTCGATCGCGCGAGAGAGAGAGACATTCCGGCCAACATCTGCTCTGGTGCGCGCCCTCACGACGCCGAGTGGTGAGTGGACATTGTGTAAGACAAGAATGTCTAGTCTCGGGCAACATCCGCTGGAGTGCATATATACCACACTGTAGCTTTCACGGCGCTGGAACCGCAAGTCGCAGTAGTCAGTCGTGAGTATGTGAGTCAACATCAGCCTGCGAGAGCGTCACCATGATGCAGTCAAACACGTCCTCGATGTTTCCAGGCAAGGCAAGGCAGAGTTTTCGGAGAACAACATGGTGACGAGGAATTTGACTGCTCTTTTCGTACCGCGAGCGAGCGATCTTGCTCAAGTGGGTGTGTACAGTTCCGCACCAACGCTTGTAAAGACATAGAATAGTCACAGTAATGATCATCCAGCACCGTTTGGCGCCTCAGGCAACCCATCATCACCACCGCAGAGGGGCTTTGCAAGAGGCGTGGTGGCAACGATGACTCCGAGCGCTCCAAACGGTAAAGCCTCGGTGTTGCTTGGCGCGCCACCTGAACGTGTAAATGAACACATAAGTCTTCATTTCTGACGGGTGTGGGTCGGCCTTTGCCACGTTCGGGCTCGTGTGTATCGTGTGTGGGTGCGAGTCCGAGCCGGTGTGGACATGCCAGCGCAGCACTGCGCAATTGCGGAACTCTTCCCACTCTCGCACTGTCTCGACCCATTTGGGCGGTCAGCGCGAGCAAGTCAGAGGTGGCAGAGTGCTACGCGACCGAGCTACAGTCTACAATAGGGGAGACTGGATGTCGCACGACTGCTGGTTGAAAATGTCACACGACGTGTCGATGGGCCTTCTGCCTGATCCAAGCATCTGACGCTCTCCCCGTCCTTGCAGCTGGTCTGCAATCCGCTTCTGCTGGGATGTTCTCGCATATTGTCAGCACTGCCCTGGTGGTGATCATCTATGCACCCTTGGCTGCGAAGGCTGTGCCCGCGCACACCTCTCCTCTGTCCGCAACCATACGCCAGCTCGTCGCAAGAGGCACTGGAGCCAGCAGCTTGGTAAGCAAGTACACCCAAAGTCGCTATTCCAATCTTTGCTCACCCATCTATCTGCCTTCCTTGATCAGAATCACGTTGTGCCATTCCACGGCGCAGGCGCCAATTTTCTGTACGTCGAGCCTAATCATTATGCTGTCTCTGAAAAGACATGCTGATATAGCAAAGCCTGGCTCAGAAATGAGGCCCAAGTCACCTTTATCGACTCGAATGGCAATCATCATCATTTCGGTTCCCAAGACGCGCCTCCGATTCCCGAGCCGCCTCGTCGGACGCAAAGTCTAGGCGTGCCAAAGAGTGGACCGATGGATGGGCACGAGAGGCATGCATCAAGAGTGAGTAGAGCATGTGTGAGAATATCTCTTGGCGCCATGTCTCCTGATCAAGACTCGGCGCACGCACAGCGAGCCTCTTTACCCGGATCGCTCGTCACTTATCGCCACAACGAAATTTCAGGCGGCCTCAAAAGTCTGACGTCGACTTCTGGCTCGAAATCGTCCTCACAGTCTCAAGTGGTCCAGCCTCCCTTCGACACGCCTGGCTACTCGGAGTACCTGGGAAAAACGCGCTCCAAAAAGAATCACGAGATCCACGAGACTTGGTTCAGGGTGCCCAGGTCCTTATCTCCTATACATCGAGAGCCTGGTTACGGAGCATTGACCATGGGACATCCCTACAGATCAGAGGTCGAGAGCTTGTCGAACGTACTCAAGGCTGATCAGACGGAGACACCGATGATCCATAACGGTTTCAAACCCCCGAGACCCGCATCCACCATGTCAAAGAGACGCCTTGACGATGTTCCATCGCCGACCTTCGCTGCAGGAAGCCACGTTGGAGGCTCCAGACAGCATGTAACGTCCAAAGGCGGCCAAGTCCATCACGCCAGGCGACATGTCGACACGCGTTACGAGTAAAGCATGTACTCATTCAGAGATGACATTGATGAACACAATCAAACAGACTTGGATGTTAGTTTGTGCGCTTACGAGATGTTAAGGGAAGGTATGAATGAATTCAATTAAATTCTCGATGGAGACGAAAGCGCATATTGTCATTTCGTTGGCGCATGAGCAGCGAAGGCTCCTGCGTCACGGCCTCTGCTGCTTGCCAATGAACCATTCGGCATTCGTGATGCCCTATGTGTGGGTAGTCCACCGAGAGCAGGGACAAGCACGGATGGAGAATCAGGGGTCAAAGCAGGTCGGGTACACCCGCAGGGTTTCTACCTCGATGCCATCCTCTCACATTCACACTGACTCCACCAGGAGTAGGGACGTTCTTCTTTCCAGCAAGCCGGATCACCTTGCCATGCTCTTGACGAAGCACTGGCGCTCCCGTCCCATGTTCCACGCGAGTCGCAGACGTGCTCGCATGTCCGGCACGATTGGTCACAGCGACCCCATCGCCCAACGGTTCCATAGAACTAGAGTTCGCGAGCCACTTGTGAAAGCTGTTCATGCGTTCAGGCTTGACTGCGAATTTGTTGAGTGGGTATAGTGACCTTCTTGCACGAGCTACGGCCGATTTGTATCCTTTATACAGCGCATCCGCTTGCGACGATGCGCAGGCAAATGTCAGCATCAGCATTGGGTATGCCATATGAAGCGAGAGCTCACCAGCCTTCTTGGTCGTGGGTGTCAGTGTGTCGGGACTGGACTTCTCGACTCTGACAGGGCGCGCGAGAGTGAGCGTTCTCGTGCAAAGAAAGGTCATACCTCTGCCCGTCGTGCCGCTCACCTCGTCTTGATTGGGGGCAGTGTCTGTCCATCCAGGCATGGGCGGCGCACAAGTTGAGGAGCCATCAGGATCAACACAGCAAGGCTGTCCAGCCACATGTACGTACCGCAAGCTGCTCCAGGAGCGACGAGTCGTCGAATTTCTCTTGCGCGGGACGCTTGCCTGGTGGAGAGATGTTGAGTGGATGGATAGGAGGCATCTCCTGTGCGCCCTTTGCGCTCGGTATGCGAAGAGGGGGTAAGGCTAAGCTTTGTTTCGGCCCGAGGAGTGCAACAAAGAGTCCGAGAAAGACCAGCTGGGATGACTTGACGAGCATGCTGACAAAGATTTGTGCAATCACCGATGCAGTCCGGCTGCGCGATGTGAGACTGAAAAGATGAAAAGCAAGTTGGTGTAGAAAAAGTGTCAGTAAGAAGGGATGGTGAACGTGTGGAAATGCGCGCGAGGGAGCAATGGCAAAAGAGTCGCAGGACGGCAGACTCTCATCTGAAAGGGGGAGAAGGGTGAATACGAAGCATGAGCTAAAGTTGTCTGAAGTGTCGGCCCAGCGCTTGCTCTTCGATGATCGGCGCTGGTGCCACCCGCATTGGTGCGGGTGCGTGGCAACGACAGCAGCCGCACCCGCGACCTTTCGTCCCGCCCAATTGCATGCCATGGGCGCAAAGTGTCTTCGCGTCTGACCAATCCCTTGGCAAGTGAGTCCGCTTTGGAAACTGGTACCGAGTGATGGTGGCCGTGCTAGGGCATCGAATGTCGACCTCGGTCTGCGCAAGCGTCCCATCCAGCCCATGCAGTCATGAACGAGTGGCAAAGCGCTGTGGGGACGAGCGGCAGCAGTCAAGGTCTCAAATTGTTTCAATACCGCTGGAATGGTGATCGCAAAAAGAAAGAGCGCAAATGATTCGCTGTGAAGCTGGGAGATACGACTTTCCCCCTTGGACATCACATCGGCTACGATGCTCGCTCATCACCAGCCAGCGTATACTTGATCCATCTTACCGCCGCATGTGCTAAGCTGGACAGTGCGATCCTCTGGCTTCGTCCGTGCGCTTCGCGGCATTGCCCGGTGCGTACAACCAACTCCCCCAAGCTGCCCGCGTGTGACACTTCCCCCCACTGTACCTTTGACATGTCGTCGCGAGATGCATGAGGAGAGCTCGCTGACAACAAGAGTTGACGTACTTGGCACATTCGTCGTGCTTCACACTCGGAGGTGCGCGAAAGGAGATGGCAGTGTGATTTGCGTGTATGGGTGTGCGTAGGGATCACCCTTGTTGGTGCAGTGCAATGTCGATCTTCGTTTCCTCTTGAACCATCCCGATCCTTCTTTACCCCTCGCATCATTGGTCCACAGTTTTCGCACCACACGCCCAATTCCGCAATCGCATTCCTTTCAGCCTCGTACTCCTTCACGTTCTTTTGCTTCCCCATGCAGGTTCAGATGAGCCTCAATTGTCACAGTGAAGCGCTGCGAGTGCGGAAGCGCCAGACGTGAGCATATCGCAACTCTTCTCTTTCCAATATCCTAACCGTGCAAGCATCTGGAAGCTTTGACTCACTGTTCACGCGCGCGCGCAGACGTCTCAATGGCTCAAGAACCTCCTCCCTTTAGCTTTACGTCTCGCCAGCGTCTTCCTTCCATTCTTGGTCTTGATCCTGCTCAAAAACCCGTGTTTTCTCTTTCTCTTTCTTTGAGAAGGTTGATACTCCGCACCGTACGTGACCGACCTCGTGTTCGAAGGAGGTTGCGAGAGCGCAAAGGTGGAAGGATTGGGTCTGACGAGGGATGATGGGATGTGACTGGCGCTGTGTGCGGGTCGAGTGTTGCTGGACGAGAGGGACAGGATGCTCGAGCTAGGCAGCGCCCTTGAGTACGAGGAAGCGCTTGAGCTGGCAAGTCTGCAAGCTCCAGCCAAAGACTCAGTGCTAGTGAGGGGGGAGCCCAATGTGAGCGGCTGTCTGGCTCTGCAAAGCTGCAAAACAGCTCGTGGAGAGATCCGCGGCATCTTTTGGCGTGCTGGCCCAAAAGTTGCGCGCTGCGCCGTCTGTGCGCTGCGATGAGCCTTGGTTAGGTGCCGACGACGATTTGTTTCCCTGCGCTGTCTCACTGACGGTAAGATGAAATGAAAAGGCTGAACTAGAGAGTCACCGGCTTTGCGTCTCACGAATCACGGTCGAATTCGAGATGAGTTAACCGATGCGATCTCGCAAGAATCCGACGATGGCATCGCGTGCAAAGAGTCTTGAGTAACAGACACGTGACAAAATCTCACGTGACCATCTTGTTGAGGCGGCAGAACAGTCAGGAGTCTGACAGGTCAGGAGAAGCAGACCTTTGAGCAAGATTCAATGATGCGTTCGCATTGACATTTGCGGTTCTCAATTGGAGAAATCATGACCCTGCAGACGTTGCTGCTCTGGCCTGGCTTTGTCTGTGCATTATCACCTCTCAAGGTCTTTTTGGGGATATGTTACATGAAAAAAGTTGTAGCTTGAACTCGACGTTGCTGAAAGGATAAGGTTCAGCGCACATTGTTGCAGCAAGAGCATGCGGAGCCTCATGATACCGGCGCCCGGCCCTCTGCCCACAATGTGCGCTGACTTGGGGTGGTGAAGGGTAGATGCAAGCTGCCTGTTCCGTGTATGAATTGTGAGGCAAAAATGCGATCACTGGGTGAAGAATCGCATATGAAAGAGGTTGAAGAGCTGGAGAGCTTGTATTGCAAGCGATCGAAAGCTATCGCGTCAAGTTGATGAATCCCCTTCCCCGTTATAAATGTCGTGATGGCGCTGTTACATGACCGCAATTCCGCTCCCCGATTTACTCCGCCCCCGCAGTCCTAACGCTGGCATGCCTCGGTGCTTTTCGCGCCTTTGCATTGGCCACCTCTATATCCGCACCAAGTGCGCCCTCGAATTCGGGCGGAGGCGCACGCTTTCTGGGAGCAGCAGAGTGCGTCGTGGTACTTGGCGAATTGGCCCTGCTGCCTCTTCCCAGGTTTGGCGAGTTGGTGGAAGTGGAGGGATTGGTCGCAGTCCCTGATCTGGCTCCACTTGTAGACGTGGGCGAATGCGTGCCATTGAGCGTCGTGCTCGGCGGGTCAGCTAGCGGCGCTTCGCCACTAGCCGCAGGTGTGCCCGCGCTACTGCCCGTGGCGCCGGCTTCCAAAAATTCTCTCAAGAGGCTGTCCATATCGACCTCTCCAGCAGGCTCAGCAGAAGTCAACCCTTGCGTACTGTTCGGCGGCGCGTACGGTTGTGTGCTGCTCGTGCTGGCTACAGGTGTAGCGCTGCCTTCCTGACCCGGGTGCGAAAAGGCAGCGAGGTTGTTCAAAAGACTGGGATCCTGCCTGAGGCCCTCGACCAGCGCATTGATCGCATTCTGCACAGTAGCAGAGTCATTGCTTGTTCCCGCAAGTCCCTGACTGGCTCTTTGAAGCGTGACAGCGAGTTGATTCTGCGCAGATGGTGACAAAGGCGCTGGCGCTGCCGTATCGTGCTTTGAGGGTGAAGGAAAGGGCAATTCGCCTTGACCTGGAACGTAAATCGCCTCAGATGTCTGCGACGCGTCTTGCCCCCTGGACGTGGACGTAGCTTGCGAAAAGGCGCTAGACCAGGGCAAGCCGCTAGCGCCCTGATCGGGCGCCCATGAATGCAGTCCGTTCACAGCATTAGGTGCCGAGAGGGCGCGACTGGTCGAAGGTGCATTGGCAGCAGCGGGATCCCAGTCAGGCGCATCGTTGAAAAAGGAGAAACGAGAGTCGGTCTCATTTGAGGGGGCAGACTGTTTGGCTGCGTGTTCAGCCTGAGCGTTCCCACCGCCACTCAAGATGCTTTGCAACGCCGCTAGGGTGCTCTGATCGAATTTCATGCCGCTGCTGCCCGGAGTGGAGGCTGCAAAAGGGGTGCCTGACCTGGAAGGCGTTGCAGGAGCCACTCTTGAGGTGGACGCCGCGGGCGTCATGGCCGCACTCGCGCCTTCGCCTCCAAAAAGCTGAGCTAGCCAATCTGAGCCCCGTCCAGAAGAGAGTGCATCGAGAATCTGCTTTTGCGCTTGTTGACTCATTCTTCTAGTGCCGCCTGGGGTAGGTGGAGCGCTGTCGTGGAGTGTGTTCATGTCCGCATCAGGCGAAGAGGGGAGATTGATGAAGCGTGACTGAGGGGAGCCGCCGTCTTTAGGCGAGCTCGTAGCTGAACCAGCCTCTGTGAAGCGTTCTGATTGGGTGCGGCGCGCGTCAGGGCACCAAAAGCCTTCATTTGGCTTACACACGCACTCACTCGTGTCATCAGAGCCATCAATTCCGCCGCCGCTCTTGATGTCATCCAGCAGCTCGAAGATTGCTGAACTGGGAGGACTGCTGCCATCACCTATCATCAACCTTCCTTGCTGGCCTCGCTGTGAGGGGTTTCTGCGCGTTTCCGCAGGCCGAGGACCTGCTCCGCCAGGGATGTTAGCACTCGCTTCAACGCCCGCATCCTGCCCGCCGAATACACCCGCTAAGAATCTCAACATTTTGTTGATCGTCTCTTGCTGCTTGAGTGACCGCTGTCTTTGCTCTATTGCTTCTCTTCTAAGTTCAGCATTGGTATTGTGCAAATGCCTCAAATTATCGTTGATGCCTTGCTGCGCGCCCTGTATGCTCTGAATAGCTTGCCAAATGCTTGCGAGTTGCAGCGTCCCTTCGCTCTTCGTGTCCGCAGCGAGCGCGCCAGTGTTGCGCATCAAGGCGCCCGTGACGGCGTTCAGTCCCGTTGGTCCTTCCATCTTGTCATCGATCTCTCCATCTACCGCCCTCGCCTTGCCATTGCCTTCGGCGCCTTCCTTTTCCGCAGCACCCCCTCGCGGCGCAGCCTTTTTACGGCTCATGAGCGTCAACAGCTCTGGCTTATCGCGGTGAAAGTGGTCGTTGCGAAACTCCCACAGCTCTGCGACCTGCGGTGAATCGTGCTTGAGAGCACCCTGTTGAAGATGGGGCACCTTGTGGAATCCGTACATGTTGAGTTGCCGGACAAAGCTCGGAAAGCGATTGTGCTTAAAATACCGCGGTAGGACTTCATCCTCGAAGCGATTTTGGTTGGGCACTGCAAGCGTGCGATACATCAGATTTGAGTAACTTCTAAGAGCATCCACACGACTCACCCAAGAAAGATTCGCCATCATCCGACCACCTAATCAGCTCATTGGTTTTGGGGTCATCGACCATACTGTGGGCATAGGGCTTGCTTTGAGAAGCTGACGGCGCTAACAGATACCCGAACGTCGCACTCACCTCCTGAGTTTGTTAAGAAAAGGGTTGTTGCGAGCCATGGGAACCCGCGCAGATGACGAAGCGCTTCTTCGTTCCCCCTGGCCGGCACCCTCTCCACTCGATGGAGGTGCTGCAGACGTCGAAGCCCGAGGACCAAAGCCTGCTGCTACTTCTGATGCTGGGGCTACATTGCCCCCATCATCCCCCTCATCCATGTCTCCATCTTCGCCTACATCGTCCAAGTCCAGGCCGTACTGCGCCAAGGAGAACGAAGAACCCGCACTTGGCTCATCTGCCGTCGGCACTTGTGCCTCAGCCATGCTCATGTGACTGGCCTCTCACTGCTGGCAAGCAGTGATGGCACCTCAAGATGCTAGCATCTATCTAGGCAGTAGTATCGAGGCGCCAGAAGCACTCGGGTAGGAGTAATCTCGTATTCTCCCAAATGACGCAGATGCGACCAGGTCGAAGCAGATGCTCGATCCACAGCCGATCGATGGTGCGACCGAGTCGGTGTTTTACCGCCTAAATGGGTTGTAGAGTTGATGCTGCGTGTATACGGTTGTGGTGAGAGGTGTGGAGGTGTAAAAGTGGGTTGCGATGTGGTCTGAGTAACGCGAGCTCGATCGCATGCAACCAACGACAAAATTTCAACAGCCTCATCTCCAAGGCACCGATGCACGCTTAAATTCGTGATTGTGTGCGCCGCCGATGCTGCTGCGCGCCCAGGCGCGATCGCGCGGGGTCTGCATGAACGCTCGTCGCGGAGAACGCGCAATTCAAGTCACGTGGAGACAGCAAAAGTAACCAAGCAGAGGCTGTGCTGGGACACCGTCTTTCTCTCCTCAGCAACACCAAGCGGTTTTCTTTCCACCACAGCATCGTCATCACATATGCCTGCATCGCGGCTGTCAAGAAATCGCATCCATTGGTTAAGTTCATTGGTACAACGACATGATGCTACCGACGTTGTGCAGAACAACACTTTCCAAGTAATTGCACCCGCGCTACTGGGCGCAGCTTAGTCGAAGCTGCGCTTTCCACCCGGCATCCTCTTGGGACCATCTCGCTTGACCACTTGATGGTCACTCTTCGCAAAGTTCTTGTACAATGTCTTTAAAGCTTCGTCCGAGAAGCCGAGATGGGCCTTGACCGCGGCAGGTGGCGTCAGGGCAAGCCATTGGGAAAGGGAAAAGTCGCTGTATCGGGCCGACTTGAAGACCTCCAGATACTTGACCGGTTCGTCTCCAAGCGCTTCAACGTAGTGTCCATTCTGTGCTTGCCAGGCTCCAGTGTCTCCAGGTCCAAAGTTGTACGTGCGAGCTGTTCAGAGAAAAAGGAGATTGTCAAACATGACGCCTGTATCTCTGATCCCGATCGAGACACACGCACCATTGGACTGGCCACTGAAGACGGTGACCCTCATGTGGCCTGAAATCACGTAAATCCATTCTTGCTGTTTGTGCCTGTTCCGAGCAAGATTTTAGAGCGATTGGACATGCGTGAGGACAGCGAGACGCTCCCCAAACGCTCACATCACTCACCAATGCAACTCGCGCATCGCACCGGGCTCAATTGTCACCTCAACAGCAGCGATTGTCTTGCTTGCCTTGAAATTCCTGGAATCCACCACTTTGACGCTGCCTCCAGGGAGGTCGATAGGCTTTTGTTCAGAGAAGTTGTAAGTGAAACTATCAGGCACCTCTCCCTGAGGCGACTCGACTTGCTGAGTGTCGTTCGACGCTGGTGAATCAGAAGGGAAAATGTACAGGGAAGATCCCGGTGCGTTGTTGAAGTCGTCATTGGAGAGACCTGGAAAATTCTTGACCAAAACCTCGCGAGGAATGTGTGCGGTGAAATCGGTCAGGAGCAAGGTGCTGTCCTCGCTGAAGTGCCCGTCATCAAATATCAGCAAGAACTCTCCTCCTCCGGCAGAAATGCCTTGGATGGTGTGAGGGCTGCCAGCAGGAAAGTCTGAAATGCAAAACGATGCGCTTGTCAGCCGAGAGTTGAAGACAGAATCCGAGGTTACTCACACCAAAGGTCACCTGGCCCGACGTCAGCGACGATATTCCTGCCTTCATCGTCTATTGAAGCGATGCGGAACGTGCCGTTCAGTACGAAGGCCCATTCGGCTGTCGAATGCCAATGGCTGGAGGAGAGGTGTGAGCAAAATTTGAATACGCAAGATAGCGCGGTCAGTGTCTCACCTCTGCGGAGTTGGAGAGGGGATGCGTCGGTCAGACTGGGTCAAGCAGTCATGTGAATGACAAATCTCAACTCACCTCCCTGTAAGCGCCCTCGTCCAGTCGCATGTTGACACCTGCAATTTCGGTCGATACAGGAAGAACATCGATGTTGGACTGTCTTGCCCAGCCTCCATTTTGAAGACGATTATGGCTCAGTGCAAAAGGCCACTTTGCTTGAGGCACAGACCCGTGATCGGAGTTGGGCGGCGCGTAAGAATCCGGGTTCTCACGGTTGCCCTCAGTCCATTCGGGCCCCGCCGAAGTCGCTCCGGTCTTGCCTCGAATGGGCTGTGGCATGACGCCGTGCTCATGAAAGTAGTCCCACAGAGACTCGTCTGTGACATTGCCAAGATGCTCAACAGGATACTTGGAAGCCACGTCCTTTGCCTGTGCGTCAATCGCAGCCTGAAAGCGCTTGCGCATCGCTTCCATAACGTTCTTGGGATAGAGCTTCGTTTCGGTGTCTCGCTTGCCGATGGAGCCAAGACCCGTTGCTGGCGGGAAGGCAGGGAAGGCAAGAACATTTGACAGCATGGCACTGGCCACAAAGGCCGTGATGAGTGGTCTGAAGATCATACTGACAGGGCTTAGCGAGTGTCCTGGTCGGGCAGCGATGTGAGGAGTGGCTGATGGGGGACTATAGGTGCATTGTCGCGTCTGTGTGGGGGGTTCTTATGTACGCTCAGACCTCGAGGTGTTCTGACCACACAAGCCTTTGAGAGCGCGCAGATGCTTGCTCGTCAGGCTTTTCGAGCTCTTCAGCAATGTGAATCACGAATGCTTGTGACCGACCTTGCATACATTCGTGATCGCTTTGTGCGCGTGACGTAGGTGCGCCGGCATGACAGATTTCGGCACGGAAGACGACCGATTTCGGGATTGAGTGGTGAATGGGCAAGTGCGGCAGGAAAGAGGGTGGGTGGATGAGCTATGGCCGCTGCCTGCCTCCACAACAATTTCGGACGCGGAGTCCGCATCTCAGTCAGATATTCACCAAATGGTCTCAGCCGTGCTTCGTTCATGTCATGTCCTTCGAGCGTCTGTCAGCCCACGTCGGGCTTAAAGCTTAGCCTGAGCAATTTGCAATAGGTACGGTACATAGTTAATCAAGGGTGTGGATGCGTCGTCGGAGGCGGGACTGACGTTGATTCGAGATCTCTACAAGCTGATGGGGCACAATAAGTCTTGCAGCATGTGGAGGTTGCTGCAAGGTGTCGGCCGACTAAAGCATAAATTGACTGTATGCGTCCGGCACATGCTGGCTCTGCATGCAAGCTCAGCTTGCATGCAACAGAGCCGCCGGCTATGTCGGCGTAGGGTGCATCCACCATATGCAGTACTCGATCACGACTTACGACTGTCGACAGCGACCGCACCTACAGCTTTGTTCCTAGGAGGAAGCTCATCATCAGCAATCTGCCACCTGAGATGAGTTATGAACGTGGGTGAGTCACGAATCGTGAATGTGGACCACGCATGGCGAGCAAGAATCGTAGATGTATGCGCCTGTCTCCTTGCGCAACGGCTCGTTCGTCAAGAAGACCATCACCATAACACACCCGCTTACAATCAACCACATGTCCAAATCTCATGGTGGTAGAAAATTTGCGTCGGAGGGGTCAGGAATACTGCAAATCGCTGCTTGAACGACTTGGCATGAAAGTTTGAAAGCCACACGCTTCAGCTTTCGTTGACGGGACGGCAAGTACTTTCATGCAGCAGTAATTACGTTCCGGTCCGGTCGTTCTCTGTTGAGAAGGACGCATGAACCGGCACGACCGCTGCGCATTGAGGATGGTGAATAGTGATGAACATTACGCTGCGCTTATCACCAGCAACGTCTCAAGAGACTCACAACTTCCCACCGCGCGCGTCCCTCCTTTGGTGTGGCTGGTGCCAGGCGACGCCGACAGCGACGGGCGGATCAAACGTCTGGCGGGAGACCGCCAATGTATAGACGATGATGCATAGTAAGACCGCCGAAGATCGGCAAGCTGCAACAGTGAAGCCATTCTGCGGCGGCGTGCGCTATATTCCTGTTGGAGAGGCAAGTTCAGTAAAGACTGCTCAACGTTGGCGATCCATGGCAAATATTGAGTTCCACACTCGCGTCTTTCCTCCACTTTATGAACGCCCTCACGCTGTGATCATCTACGGCGTTTGGCCGACGTCTTTTGGAGAGGTCACGACGCCGATCGTGTGATTTATCTTCCGGGATATCGAACAAGGCTTGAATCGATTTCTTGTGTCGATTTGGTGGGATGTATCCGGGACGAGCAGTCTCGCTGCGCTTTCGGACAACAAGACTTCAGGCTCGCCGCTTTGAGTCTGGCATGGATAGCCAAGCCCGAATCTACAAGCTGGAGTGAAAGTTGGACGTCCGTAGCCCGGCGTGTCTTCAAGAGCTCCCTCTAGCCCCTCATAATCCGCGCTGCCTTCGCCTGGCTCACAGAACGCAGGCAAATCGCGATGAATGGTGCGACGCTGTGCAGCAACCTGTGAATGCTTTTTGTGGTCAGCGTGAAGCTGCAAACGCTAGATGCGATTCGATATGGCCCGGTGTGGTCGGCCCCCCAGCGACGGGGCCTGCAACTGCTTCTCGGCGGGACCCACACAGGTCTGGTCGGCCTCCTCTGTATCTTTCACTGCTGACTCGCGGTGGACGCGACTTCTCTCAGAGCCACTTTTTCCGTGGTCGTTGCGCGACTTGTTCATGATCAAGTCAAGCGCATCGAGCGGGGTATACCTATGCTGACTCGTGGGCGAATATCGCGAGCTGGGGAAAGTAGGGAGCGGCCTTTTCCGCTTTCAGAATTTTTTTGTTTTCGCTTTCCTTCTCACGGTACAACGACGGGAGAGAGCCTGCGGCTCAATACGAGCCAAGTCTGGTTACATGTTTCACAGTCAGCGGCGAAGCTGTCAGGTACAGGTCAGCGTCGATAGTGCTCGGAGCACGCGATAGCGTCCATTCATTGCTGTTTTACGCGGTCCTCCTTAAGCCCTCTTACAAAGATTGAATACTGCATTAGCAAGTCCGACGTCATCTCTCCAAATCGTGGGTATTTCTCTATACTGATCCTACCTGACCCTCTGTCTGACGGCCTCAGACTCGAAAGCAGATTGCGCGACCTGATTGACCGCGCTCGTCCTTCCATAGGATCTGACTGATTCTTCCCTCCTCGCGTCTCTGGTCGCGGGCGCGCGCGGTGTGGATGTGCTCGCCTCTGCACTTATCATGCCTGGTCTGATCTGGCTTGACGTAGCTCCAGAAGCGGGTGCCCCAGTCGCGTTAAGAGCTCCCTGTCTCCACGCCTCTACGCCTGCTAGTCCGCCGGGCGGAGAGGGAGATGGGTCCACCTCCTGAGCTTTCTGAATTTCTCTGCCTGCTCGAGCGCCATTCATGACTGTCCTTGCGAAAGACGCATATGATTGGTCTCCTGCCAAATGATCCTGCCCCGCCTCCTCGAACCAAATTTGTCCACCTCCCCCTTTTTGTAGCGCTCCGGCAGCTCGATCGTGGGCTTGCCTAGCTAGAAATTGCTCGTACGTCCCCCTTGCTTGGCTCAATTTCGCGCTCTTTTCTTCTGCCTTTTCTCTCTTGGCTAGTGCGGAGCTCACAAGATCGGGCAAAGAGACGGCGATGAATCTGGGCCAGACGACTTTGCTCGCTATGCCCGCTCTGATACGCTCCACGATCAGCTGTTCTAGCTTGGGAACATCGACTAGCTTCGCTCGTGAGCCAAGCTGAGATCGGGCGCGCGCACTCAACGCAAAGTCGGGGTGAATAGAGAGCTTGAGAACGTGGCGCGAGCGAGAATTGGGTGGAATCTCGTGCTCCGAAACCAGCTCGAGTGAAACCTGTGCAAGTACGCGTCGACATTAAGCCAAATGAGCCACGATGGGGGATGGTCGAACAGACTCACTGTCCCGCTGAATCTTTCGATGAGAACTCCAAGCTCGATCGGCAATACCGCAAACCTCGGGCGAGGAAAGTTGATAACGAGATTGGTTGAGATGCAAAGCTCCAGCGCATCCGCGTAGTCCAGCTCCGCTTCAATGCGCTGTTTGTTGCACGACAGCAGATGATTTCATGTCAGCGCAGAGCAGGCAGGCGGCCTCGGGCGCCCTACTCACGAGACTTCCCACCTCATCCGAGGGTCTCACTCGCACGTCTGACAGCTTGGGGAACGAAGCCCCAATATCTACGCTGGAGACGTCAATGTGGTCCTTTCGGGCGCGGGAAGTAAAGGTGAGCTCGGCTATTCGAGGCGCCCTCGGATGCTCATTCGCTGACTCACAATGATACCACCACCTTTGCCATCTACTGCTCTATTCAAGATGGACTCTACAACCTCATTGACACCCTCGGACACCTTCCTCGCTCCCTCTACGTTGCCGCCAGTCACATCTGGACGTGAGCCAGCTGAAGCCGCCCGGTTGAGATCTTCCCTGTAACCATCAAATGCAAGCGCAAGTAGAACATTCACCCAGTCCGAACTTTCTGGTCCGTGCGATCCAAGGTCATAGCCGGTCACTCGCTCTGCCAGCTGAATTTGTGAAACGCGGGATTGTCCACCAGCCGCGGTATGAGCTGCGCTCTCCGCTTTGAGCCGCTTGCCGCTCGGCTTTTGGAGGGTCGAGAAGCTCCGCTTCGATCGACTCCTGCCGCCTCTTTTGCTTGGGTCTGATGGGTCGTTCTCCAACTCGGATGGATCGGCAAATAAGAGGAAGCGTAAGAGGATGAGGAGAAGGATCACAATCGATGCTTGTCCAACCAAGAGTCCTTGCGTGAAGGTGGGCTGGAACCAGCTCTGCCGTGGCACTGGCTGCCCAGTGTGAGGCGGGCCCGTGGTCATTGCGTGAACGATTCTCGTAAATGCTGCGTGGCGGGAAAATTTGCTGTGACGACAGTCGTGACTTTGGGGAGAGGCACGCGCCTCCGCTATTTAGCGGAGCCTGGGGTGGATCGACTCGCAACTGGAACGAGGAACAAATTGATGTGTGCGCTGATCTAGTGAGAGGTCATGTTGCGAGTGAGCCCGCTGAGATGTCGTGGTGGCGCATTAGTGCTTGAGAGTCTTTGGGTGTACGATGGACAAGTACAATCGCGACGGCAAGGTGCAGGAAGGTGACGCTTGACGCAGGTCGAGCTCGAAGAAGAGAAAGCGACACCAGTCAAAAATCAAGAATGAAAGCCTCGATATAGAAGCTAGACGCCCATCCACCCACACTGCTTTAATTTCGACTACAGTGAATCTTGAATAGAGTGCCTTGTACCGCCTTCTTGGACAAGGTGCCACAAGTATTACAAAGATTTGGTTAAACTTGTAATCGACATTTCTCCATCAGGATAGAGCTTAATTCATGATTCAAAATGGTACGTAGGCGATCCTCCCGTGGGGTGCACGGGGCACACTGCAGAGCGACCGCATGATGATGTGCGCGCGTGCATGCGCCGGGATGCTGAGCGCGGCATTCCTTGCTGGCCAGCCGCGCCTCTCGCCCGATCAGCATGTCCACCATCATCGCCCCCGCTGCTGGTCAATTTTGAACCTGTACGAAAGCCTTTCAGCGGCTCCTGAACGCTTGTCGGCTACAGCGAAGCTGGGCGGGCTCAAAGCCAAGATACTGTCGGCGACCCGTACTCCACCTTCACCGCCCGCCTCTTCTGGACCCAGCTGCCAAGCCCAGTGGCTCTCGAGAGCGACGAACCCTGCAGGGCCGGACACAGCTTGCCCACTTGCTGAAGCCCAACATGTCAGGGCAATCTCCGCTGATATCGTAAGTGATCAGCCTTTCCTCGAGCACACACTTGCTGAAATTGCTCTACGATTCACCTCAGCATTCCTGCGAAGCAGACGGAAGAAGTGGATCTGGCAAGCCCTGTAGCTCAACTCATCCGCAGCTCATATGGGGAGGACCCTAAGAGCCATGCTGAAGCACTCAGTGCGCTCAATCGCGCTCGTCAAGACGCAGTCCGAGGCGCTGGGAGCGATGCTACCGGTAAGCCTGCGAGGTCCCCATTATGTACGTGTACCTGTCTGTCTTCGCTGACATCCGAGGCGCCACATCCTTTGAGCAGCTCGCGACCTGCTTTACAAGTGGTTCCACATGCTTGAAATGCTCGAATTACGGTTTCCGGAGCTTCGAGTGCCGTTTCCTTGGTGAGGAGCGATGGGTACAATTGCCACTCTTGCGCGACCTAACACGTTCGCAACCGCTACAGGAAGGATGCTTTCACACAGAAGCCCATTTCTCAACACTCGCTAGCATACGAGAAAGCGTCGGTCATCTTCAACATTGCCTCTGCTTTGAGCGCCATCGCATCGCGCGCTTCGCGTCTGTCTAGCAGCGCGTCTTCTGGTGCCGCCTCCGCCGCTGATGCTAGTACTGCATCGACGACCACAGCAGGCCCAGTTCCCGACGGCCTAAAGCTATCATTCCTCTCACTGAGACAATCTGCTGGCATGCTGAGCTACATCAATGACAATTTCCTCCACGCCCCTTCCACTGACATGTCGAAAGACGTCGTCAGATGGCTTGTAGACCTCATGCTTGCTCAAGCTCACGAGGTCCTGTGGGAAAAGATGGTTAACGAAGGCAAGAGTGCTAGCTTGGCTGCTAAACTTGCCGCCTCCGCTGCAGAAAAGTACGATCATCTGGAAAAGGAGTCCAAGGAGTGGGTGGGCAAGGGTGTCTTTAATCGTGCATGGGCTGCGCTAGTTGCCGTGAGTCTGCAACGTTGCACTGAGAATGGGGGCGTATGCTGACTTGTAGTCGGGGCGCTTTCCATCGCAGTGCAAAGCAAAATATTTTGCTTCCATCGCTCAGTACTACAGAGCCAATGCTGATCATGCAGCAGGCAACCATGGATCGAACCTTGTGCGCCTCACACTCGCCGAGACGCTTGCCAAGCAAGCCCAGAAGCTGGCGGGCTCCTTTGCTAGCTCCGCCACTGGAAGTGCAGGTAGTTGGTCCGGCGGATTTGGCTCCCTGGACAGTTCGCCTCCCGGCTCGCCATTTGCCACCAGGTCCGAGACGTCTGAAGCCGGTCAGACCTTACCAAGCGATGCAGCGGAGACCATGCAGGTGTTGACGGCCACACATCTCGCGCTGGTTACTGGAAGAAAGAATGTTGCGGTAAAGGACAATGATCTTATCTACCACGACATCCTTCCGCCTGAAAGCACGTTGCCTAATATCGACACACTGACTGCTGCCACGCCCATCAGTATACAGGATATCTACTCCAGCCCAGAGGTGCAAAAGCTGATCGGAGTACCAGTAGCAGGAGACGGAGGAACAGCATCAAGGGGCGGAGCGAGCGGCCTTGCGAGCAACGATCTCTTCAGCCGTCTTGTCCCGCTGGGCGTGCATGAAGCCGCTAGCCTATACTCAGAGGAGAAGGCGCAAGTTGCGCGCGGAGAAGCCGAGCGTGTAGATCTGGCCGATGGAGAGCTGGCGGCGGCCTTAGAGTACATGGGCTTGCCGTCTGCTCTGCTCAAATTCAGAGGAGCTGGACCTGCAGGTCTGAGCCAAGGAGCTATCAATTCGCTCGCCGACCCCGGCTCTGAAGTTCGAGCGTGGGCAGAGGAGGAGCGCGTGGGAGGGGCATCACATGATGCGGAAGGGCTTGGTCAAGGAGGCGTAGAAGCCGCTCTGAGAAGTATTGACGCACGCAAGCACGCATCACAGAGCGACCTAGACGCGGCGCTACGGCTGCTGGACGAGGACAACGCAGCTTGTGAGAAGCTTAGGGGCAGATTTGGAAGCGGATGGAAGCAAGAACCTCAGGGTGCTGCCGCGCGCACACTGAGATCCGATGCCAAGAGTCACAAAGAGGCTTTGCAGCAAGCTAGAGCAAACGATGACAAGCTCAATGAGCTGTGGAATCAGGCCAGATTTGGCATTCAAGTTCTCATGGGCGATCGTGATGAACTCGAAGGCGCATTTGCTCAGGCAGTAGCGAGCGCTTCTTCGGACTCACATACCGGACAAGCGGGCTTGCTAGACTTGACCGAGGATGACGAGCGCGCTTCGGATGAGGAGCTCAAAGCTTTATCACGAGCAGTTGCAGCGATCGAGCAGCATCTCAGCACGCTACACAAGATCAAGAAGAGCAGGGCGGATACACTTGCGGATTTGAGGGCAAAGATACAATCGGATGACATTTCGCACCTGTTGATTCTCAATCGACGTTCTCCACCAGAGGCTCAACGGAGCTTGTTCTCGCAAGAGTTGGAAAAGTTCAAAGCGCACCAGATTAAGCTTGCGAGTACATCTGCCGAACAGGAAAAGGTCCTTGCCGAACTTGCGAGGGAGTGGAAAGAAATCACAGAGTCCAAAGTTGGACGACGAGTTGAAGGCGACTGGAACAAGAAATTCAAGGCAAAGGCCGCGCTGATCGCAAAGCTGAAACGGGCCAAGGAGACCAACGCGCAAGCGAGAGCGGGCGTGGCCAAGGCTGTGCAATTTTACGCGGAAGTAGAAGAAGTGGCTGCAGAGCTGAAACGAAGCGTCAGTTCATTTATTGATGAGAGGTCGGCGGAGAGAGAAAGGCTCAAATCGGAAGCAGAATGGGAAGAGAAAGGCAAGGATACCAGCAGTGCATCAGCTGCGAGTGAGCTGAACAGATCTTTCGGTAGTCTCAACATGGGCGCACCAAGAGGTCCAAGTTCACCTCCGCCGTCTTCTGCGTATCAAAGTCCCAGAACCGCGCAACACACACCAGGACCTTATTACCCAGTACCTCCGCCTCCTGCGCAAGGCGCATACGTGTCTCCATCCGGACCTTCCTCTCCGACGCACCCCAACCCAGCGCCTGCGTCACCCTACGAGGGGCTCTCGGCCTTTGAATCTTTTGGGTCGTTTGGAGCATCATCTGCTGGCACGCCTCGACCGCCCCCTCCCCCTGCTCCCACTCCTCAGACTGTGCATGCTTCATCTTCTCCAGCTACAACGCAACCCAACCAATCGTATCCCTACCCTACGCCTTCTCAACCTGGTCAGCAACACTTGTATCAGCAACAAGGTGCACAACCGCCTCCACCCCCCGGCAGGCAGCCTTCGTTACCTCCTCCTCCATCACAGTATACCTCTAGTGTACCTCAGGGGTATGCGGGAGCCTACGTTTCGGCCACTGCTGCCCCCTCGTCCCAATCACAATGGCAGACCTCGCAACCCTCTGCACCGGGCAACTACGCGCCTCAGTACTCCTCACATTATGGCAGCGCACCGCCACCTCCGCTACCCTCGCACTATGGTGCGCAACAGCCTCAGCAGCAAAGCTGGCAGTCACAATCTGCCCCTCCACCGCCTCCCGCTCAAATGTACGGATACGGACAAGGGCGTGCATCCACTGGGCCACCACCTCCACCGCCGCCTCACGGAGGCTACTCGAGTCAGAGTCAGCAGCCGCAGTACGGCTCGCAAGGTTATCGACCCAGCTACTGACTTTTCCACTGCCGATCACCTGGTCATTACGGGAAATGTGATGTTTTGCCGCAGTTTGATCAATACGTGACTATGGCGTCCATTCTTCGCCCCTGCTAGCGAAGTCTTCCGCCGCCCGACGGACCACTGTCGAGACGCGCGCGTCGATGATGAAGGCTGTTTCTGAGATGCTCGTGGGCTCTCGTGGACGAAGCGGCGAAGCCTGATGAGTGTGGTATAGCCTCGGTGTAAGTTTTGGGATGGGCACAGGATGTAAGTCTCGTCTTTGTGCTGATACAACATGGAACGTGGCGTAGAAGTGACGCATGATGTACAAAAAGGGCAAAGCGTAGGTATCTGTGTGGATGAGGTCGTTGCTGGCGCAAATTTTGGCGTGGTTGCAAGCGTGGACACTATGTATGAGTCGACCTCAGGGCGGTATAGTCTATGCCCTTGTAGAGCACAAGTCATAGACGAACATCGAGCATGTCGTCATCCTCGATGCCAGCGCCCATAACTGTGTCTTCGCGAGACAAGGTCTGACCATGGCGTAGACATGAGGTCATAAGTCCGCGTCTCTCGCGCACCAAAGTCATGGGAGAATCCGCATAGACTCACCTCGCCATCATAGACGACCCGAGCTTTGGACCTGTTTGCATCTGGACAAAAATGCGCACCCCACGTGTTGAGCGCATGGTCCAACAAGCGTCCAATCTTGGTAGAAGGTTTGGTCCGTATCGACATGGTCAGAGAGGCATCGGACGATCCTCGAAGGTTTACCGTCAGGCGTTCTTCTTCACCACCCTCTGCCGCTTCATTCTGGGTCTGCAAGACTGGCGTTGGTGGCTGCTCTGCAGCAGAATTGGCTGATGCGGTCATAGCCTCTTTGCGTCTTCGCGCCTGCGACTGAGACTGCGACAGGGCCACGGATGAGCTTTGCGTCCGAACTTGCGTGATCTCGATCGCATCCGAGTCGCAGTCCTGGCGAGTCGTAGAAGTCGCGTTCCTTCGTCTAGAAGACCTGCGCGGGGCTGAGCCTGATGCAGGGCTCGCGATCGGAGCTACTGAGCCAGAAGCGACACCACTTTGTGGTGTTCTGGAAGCAAGCGCTGATGCTCCTCGACTTGTTCTGGCTGATGGAGGAGGCGGAGCAAAGAACATTTCGACCTCCGAATCACTACCTGCATCCTGCGTCGATGCGGCGTGTTGCGATATCTTCTGTACGTTGTCATCACTGTCTGACAGCGCGATGACTTCTCCAAAAGGCTGCAATTGGCAGCAGGGATGCAACTGTCATGAGCACCTCGAGAAGCCAATACATTACCGCAAGCATTCACTCACCTGTCTGTTTGATGCCGCTTCCGCCTCTTTGTTTTTCCTGGCTTCCTCGAGCTGCTCTCTTTCGTGTCGCATCCTTTCTTCCCTCTCTTTCGCCTTTCGCTGCTCTTCCTGCGCCGCTCTCGCTCGTACCTCGTGAGCTCTGGCGCCTCTGTAGTGCATTGCCAAGTCCGGATGAAGGCCATTGATCTGCGCCTCGCTGAGGTCCAGCTCTCCAACGCGAGAGGCCATTTGCGCTGTATTCCCTCGCGACCCCGGATCACTTTCATCTGACACGTCAGCATTCTCTCGCAACCCTCCCAACAACTCCTTTTCGACAAGGAGAGCTACTTCTCGTCGCACTGCGGCCCACCATGCTAGGTTCGTCAGTCTCACGCGCGCGGAAAATGTTCGCAACTGCATGATCCTTACTCACACGCAGCATCGAGAGGCGGAGGAGGTGTCAGACTGGCACTCCGCCTGTCACTATCATTGACCCGTACGCGACGCCTTTTGCGCCGACCAGCCGAACTGATGCTTGATTGAGATTGGTTCAGTCCGTCGAGTTCCAAAGACCTTTCGTCGCTTTCCTGCGTGTCCACCATCGCCCGAGAAGGCTGGTTCTTGACCCACTGTGGCAACTGCGAGCCTGGTTTCAATCTGTGCTTGTTCGATGAGCGTCTTCGCCTGCGAGATTGTCCGAACCCGTCATCCTCTTCCTCATCGTCGGACCGATCGCTGTACCCTCCCGCATACATACCGTCCACGTCCGTGTCTAGCTCGCTGCCTTCTTGACTGCCTTCTCTGAGCATGACAGGCTTAGATGCGCGACCTGGTCGCGTGAAGTATGCGTCATTGTCTTTGTCTCTCTTCCTTAAGAATTCGTCGGCAGAAGGACGAGATGCCTTGATCTTGTGTCGTTGAAGAGAAGGTTGCTCGGCTTGCTTTGGCTCGACCCTACCAGCCTTGCGTTCAGTCTTGACTGGAGCGGCAACGGGAGGTATGCTGTGTTGAGTGGGCACGAACGAAGAGATAACACTTGAAGGGCCGGGCATTGGGGATGAGGCACTCTGCGGCCGAGCTGGGGACGAGGTGCCAAGCCGATCATCGTACAGGTCCCGCGCGCCGTTTCTGGACGGAGACTTCGAAATTGAGTGACCCCGGGGCTCTGACAGCCGAGGTGAGACGGCTGGCGATCCTCCCATGTGTATTGAGTCGTTTCCCACGGCCGAAGAGGCAGGCAGTCCCTGTGATGATGCCGCCTGCTTCACATCCTGATCAGTGAGAGCCGAATGGAAGGTCTCGCCTGACGTCCTGGAAGAAGCGATGAGATTGGAGTCTTCTGATCCAAGGTGCAGCACAGAGTCAGACTGCACCTTCGCTCGCACGGCCCTAGCTTTTGGGCGTGGCCTCGAGGCGCCTGCTGAAGCTCTCAAGGGCTCCATGACTCGAGCAAATGGGGGCGGGTGAGTGCCAGGGCCTCGAGGTCCGATTCCGCAGCGCAGGGCGCGGAAAGCCTAGACCGGCTTGAAGAGAGGCACACCGCGATGCAATACCCATACGAGACGAGGTGTTGGAATCTGGGCATGCGACAGTGGCATATATGGGCCCAAGGGGGGTCGCGACAGTCTGAGCCGTGATTGCTTGTGAGAACTGATTCGACTCGACTTTGCTTGGATCCACGATTGGTTTGGGTCAATTGACTCAAGGGCTCATCAAATCACATTAAGTGAATCTGGAGTCTTGAGTCGTAAGTGTTTGCATGCAGCAGCATCACATGTATAACATGATGCATCACACGCCGTGCGTACAGCGTAGCGTGCGCCCTCGCGACGCGCGCAAAGCAGTGCGCGGAAATTGTCACGTGTTCAGCTGCCAGAAACGGATGGCGGCGCACCACGTACCAAACTCTTGACTTTGACTGAGCTCCTCTTTGGCTCACGACTCACAACCCAGCTGTCGTGGCGCAAGGCTTAAGTGCGAGTACTTTGATTCTTTTCACTCATCACTCTCGTCGTGGTCAGCAGAACACTGCTCGTTCTAGACTCGCTTCCGATCACTCCGGCCTCAAAGGAGCGGCCGGCTCGCGAACAATATGTCGAGGAGTGGCAGAGGCTACGATTGGGAAGAAGAGGGGTACGAGCGGGAGACTGCTCCGTACCACTCCCATTCGAGATGGCAGGAGGGGCGCTACGACTCTGGACCAAGAGGCTTCGTACCACCGCCACGAGGGGAAGAGTATGCGAGCTACGATGATCCCCGCGTCCCACCGCCCCGAGACGACAGGTATGAAGACAGGCACGATCCGAGAGTCCCACCTCCCAGGGAAGCTCGATACGACGACGAAGGGGACAGCAGGATGTATAGGCGCGAGGCAGAGGAAGCCGATTGGAGACGCGAAACAGGGCCAAGGAACTGGGAGAGGCAAAGAGAGGAGGACTGGTACAGGGAGCGGGAGCGAGATCGCGATAGAGACTGGCGCGATCATCCACCCCGTAGTCGCCGAGTCGATTATTCACCCCCACCTCCTCGCCGCGATTATTCTCCTCCACCGCGCAGGCGAAGCAGAAGTCGCAGTCGCAGTCCTCGTCGAGATGCCTCGGATTATGGAGTACGCTTTCGAGCGGGCGGACTGGAGCATGGCGCAGATCGTCATCCAACTCGAGGCGCACCTCCTGTTCCGCGTCCGGGCGGGCATGGCGCGCCCGCGCCTCGCTCCCCTTCCAAGTCACCCTCGCCCGATCCGGAACTAGCCGCATTCCTAGCCAAAAAGACCTCTTCGCACAGCGCATCCGAGGCAGCAGCGCGAGCTGCACGTCTAGCGGCCGGTGGAGCTCTTTCCGGCAAATCCAAACGAGAGAAGGAACGAGAGGAAAAGGAGAAGAAAGAAAAGGACGAGAAGGAAGCTATGGAGCTGGCTTACAAGGAGTTTCTTGACGACATGGATACCGAAAGCACAAAGAGAAAGACGGGCACTTTTGGCAGCGCCAAAGAGGAGGAAGAAGACAAGGCAAAGCGGAAAGTTCCACTGGGATTCGTCAAAGCTGGCGGTGAGTTACGCAATGCAGGCCTACGTTTCGTGCAAGCCTTCATAACTCATTCGTGGGCCTGCTACTTCCTCCAGGTGAAGCCTACCAGCCCATAGTGAGAGCGCCAAATGTGCCGAGTACTCCTCACGCCGGCAGCAGCGTCGCGCCGGCACCTCGTGCAGGTCTCGGAGCGCGAGCTTTTGGAGAAGAAGACGAAGAGGAAGCAAACAATGGCGGAGCAGGGGACGGCTGGGGACCGATGAGCACCGGAGGTGGGCTGGGAGCCAAATCGGCATCGAAGACCTCCAATGCGCCCCGGGCACCTGCATTCTCCAGTGCTAAGCTGGCTACCGCCACAGCACCTCTGCGTCCATCTGGCGCTGGCATAGGAGCGGGTTTTGGAAGTGCGACACCTTCAAAATCTGCCGTCTTACCTGCTGGCAGAGTGGGAGCTTTTGGGACAGAGGAAGAAGAGGTGCGTCTACTCCTTAGTTTCGAAGCTTCGCGCATGGCGGCACGTTTGCATCCAAGGAAGCGAGACGTTACAGCTGCGCGTGATATTGTCAGGGTTGCCAGCTGACGCCTTTTGTCCATCGTCCAGGACTCGCCTGCTTCGAACAAGCGCAAGGATCCCCCTGGCAAACGCAAACGTCTGATGGACAGCTTCGCAGGGGAATTGGCAAGGTGAGGAATAGCTCGGTCGACAACGCATAAAGCCCATAGCCCGAATGTGCGTCACTTACACGCGATGTACTCCACATGTGCTGCACACGGCAGAGACCAAGCGGAGCGTGAATCTCGCTTGAAAGAGCGCATTGGCGGTAAGGGATGCACATACGCTGCAATGTTCGCAGCGTGCGCAGCATAGACGATGGAAGAGGAAGGCTCATCTCATCGCTCCTCATCATAAATGCACTTGCCGACGCCTCTATTTTGATCGATCAATTGAACAACTTGTGCGAATGTCGGCCGCGCTCTAGCGGAGGGTACATCCGTCTCTTCTTTGTTGGCTGCCGAGTCTGCACCAAAAGGAGGCAGCAGACCCGACACGAGCGATATGACCACAACCAACGTCTGCGTCACAAATCTCCCGGCAGAAGTGCCAGAAGCTGCTCTCGGTCGATTTTTCAGTCGTTGGGGCGACGTCGGGACGGCAAAGGCAAGTAAATTGTTCGACTCAAGCTAAACTAATCCACCTGACCCAGGGCCTCGTCCAACTCACTCTTCAGATCATGTATCCCCGCGAGAGAGAAGCGAACAGGCAAGGCTTGGTTGGCTTTGTATCCTACATGAAGAGATCCGACGCCGAGTATGCTTTGAGAGAAGCGGATGGAATACTATGGACTGGAGCAGGCTCGTTTTCAGGCGGTCCAATTTTGAGAACTGGGTGGGGAAAAGCCATGCCGTTGCCGCCGACCGCATGTTTCTGTGAGTCTGACATCGCGATGTCACCTCGCAGTCCAACCTGACGCGGTCGACGCTGACACACTTTGTCGTCTTTTTTGATCAACGCGCCTCTGCAGTGCAACCGTCTTCTGCCAAGATAGCGTCGTCGACTGCGCGCGGTGCTTCGCCCACTAGCACGACTGTGCGGGCGCGACAAAGATCACCAGGCAGCGGACCTGTGCCGCACCGCAAGCCCCGCCCCACCGCCTCTGGGTCAATGCCAGATCTTATCAAGCAAGTGGAAGAGGCCGTCGGAGCGCCCGGTATGGAGCTGATTCGGGATGTTGCAAAGAGAGTGGTCGATCATGGCGACGGGTATTATCTAAAGGCTATGAGGGACAATGGCACCACAGACGTCAAGGACAAATTTGCGTTTATGTGGGATGAGAACGTGAGTTTGAAGGATTTGTCAAATCTTTGCGACGATGTATGGTTCTTGACACGTAGCACGTCCTCCACGATGCCAGCTGCCCGCATACCACTATTACAGGACCCTAGTGGATCCGGATCACTTGCCCATCATCGACGCCCCACCATTTGCTGATGACGTGCGTTCACCGAAGTCTGCAATTGAAATCGCACATGACAAATTTGTGCTGACGGTGCATCTCACCTTCTCAAATTGCCAGGGCTACCTATCACTCTACTCTTCCGATTCTGAAGAGGGCTCCGAAGTGGAACGACAGCGCAAGTTGCAAAAGACCGACACTCTTGGTCCGATCGCTAGAAGGAGACTCGAAGCGATGCTGCGAAGCATTACTTCTCGACGAGAGCGTATCGCTCGAGTCATGTGCTTTGCTTTGGAACGAGGCGCTGCAGCAGATCAGGTGGGTAAAACGAGACGCGCTCCTCACGCACGCTTTGGCAGACGGACTCAACTCGCACTGACGTGCTGAAACTTGCCGTACGTAGATTTCAGAGGTCCTCGTCGCTTCACTTCTGCAGCCGGGCACCCCGTTGGCCAGGAAGCTTGCCCGCTTGCATGCCGTCTCGGACATTCTGCACAACAGCGCGGTTCCACTGCCCAATGCGTGGAAATATCGAGCAGCGCTAGAAGCCCGTTTGGATGCTGCCTTTGTGCACTTGGGCCAGACAGCTAGGGTGTTAGGAGGAAGAATTCGGCAAGAAGGCTTCAAGGAGCAAGTGAGAAGTGTTCTGATGCTTTGGGAGGAATGGTTGGTATTTCCTCCGGATGTTTGCAAGAGGTTCAGGGTGAAGCTGGATGGGAACGAAGAAGCACACAAGGAAGAGCACACCCCTGCTAAGGAAAGCGCGCCTGATGAGGACATGCGCCAAGGTTCGAGTGAAGGTGCTTCGACTCGCATCAGGCCTGCTGCACACTCTGGCCATGTGCCGCTTCTCGGATGATCATTGCCATTCGTTATGCGTGAAAACCATGCTCAAAAAGCATGCATCCGTCGTCGTGACGTTAGCTTCCCCACTGAATATCGTGACCATGTCGATCGACCACGAGCCGTTGAGACCAAGGTATACGTGGGTCTGTGGAAGCGTTGAAAGCTAGTGCAGCTCATCAGGTGCGCACATTCCTCCGGCGGGATCGATGACAAGGGAATGCTGGCAGGACTCGTCCGATGGCTTGCTTCTGCTGCACAAATCGGCACCGCCCATCGTTCGCCCATGCACCGTCAACTTTGTGTGCTGCTCACCCGTCTGTGCGGCGTGGAGAAACACATCAAGCTGTTCCGCCCATTCATCCTATCGCATCAGCCACATCTCCTCACTCAGATCCGCTAAGCTAGACCTTGTGTGCATGCTTGACCTCTTGATAAAGGCTCTTGTCCGGCTTCTGATCTTGGCTCCATCTCGAGAGCAGATCCCACAGCCTCCTTCCCTCTGGCCTTTGAGCCGCGTTGCGTGGGTCGGTCTCGTAGATGTAGTAGGCAAAGAGACCTGTAAAGAGGCCCAAGAGCGGGTCGGATACGCTACGGGTGTTCCACATTGACGCAGATCGAAGCGAGTCGGAATTTCGCATCGTCGATGGAGTGAGAGCGATTTGTGCGAAAAATGGGGGGGAAAGAGTTCAGTGGGAGTGCCCTTTGATACGGGTAAGTGAGGAGAAGGGAGCGAGTTGCGGCGAGCGAGGCCTTGTGGTGGGACTTGCTCGCGCTATCCTGGACTCGAGAGTGACTCACCGCCCGACGAGGTATTTGACCATGTTGAGACTTAGCAAAGAGGCGTAGTGAGCCTTGCTTGGGATCTAGCTGTGCGTGTACTAGAATCAAGGGTCAAGAGTATGCTGCCGGTGGTGGTGGTCGTGGTGATGATGGTGGTGGACTAGAAGGGTGAGCATGTTGTGAGCAGCGCGAGGTGGGGGCGTTTCACGTGATTGAAGCTCGCGCAAGTGGCTCGCGCCTGATGAACGTCCATCCAAGATCGTCTTGCGTCGATGAAGCTGCGAGCTCCACATACCACACGCTGCTTGCATACGGCGGGATGGGTGTTGCAGGCACGATTATAACTCAAGACTTTCGGCGCAGGGTTTGGCCAGCTCTGCTCGGCCTGTGGTTCACCTCTTTACCCTCACCCACCATTGGTCAGCTTGTGCGCACCATCCCTTTCATCCAGCTTCAACTTCGACTCACAATCACGAATCAGAGCTCTGCCATCCTGAACATCGACTTCCGCGCTTCCATCCCGCTGGGTCGACATACAAGCCGCAATCAAAGCGATCATGTCGAGCTCCAGCAGCCCCGCCTTCTTGGCTGGTCGCTCGCGCTCCTCCTCTCAGATCTCCACTCCTCCATCTCTTCGTCGCGACCCCTTGCTGCTAGGAATGCTGAGCGGATCGCTGGCCTCATCCATCGAAGCTCTCATCTGCTACCCACTAGAATACACAAAGACATTTGTTCAGATCCAGCACTCTCCAATCAAGCTCGTCGGTGGAGGCATGCCACTGACGCTCGCAAAGAGCGTAGACACTTCGCCTAGAGATGCGCTCGTTGGGAAGAGGGGACCTTGGAAGGTGCTCAGTGGGCACTTGAGGGGTGATTGGAGGAGACTGTATGCGGGTGCAGCCCCCGTCGTTGCGGGCGGCGCGCTCAAGGTATGTAAGACGTCATGGAGTCCTAACAGCGCGACGCGGACCGCTCACTGCTTTTCATCGCCATAGACTTGCGTAAGGTTTGGGGCATACGACAGGCTTGGAGAAGCCTTCAAGAACGACGAAGGCTACTTGACTGGAGGACGGTCTTTGGCCGGTCAGTATGAGCGCACGCCTTGCAGCAAATTCACCCTAAATACATCTGGCACTGACCTCTCTGTTGATGACTGTCAATGCTGCACTTTTCAAAAGCTGGAATGGGAGCCGGTCTAATCGAAGCGCTGTTGGTAGTGATCCCAAGCGAAACTTTAAAAACGCGCAAGATCGCCGATCCTACCATATCGTACAGATCGCTCACCTCGATCGGTCTCAGACACGTCTACTCGGGCGTGACTGCTACTCTTCTAAGGCAGGGGATGCATGGAGCTATCAGGTTCTCCACTTATAGCTCGCTAAAGAATGCACTGCAAGGTAGCGCTAGACCGGGACAGGCGTTGCCTGGAGGAGTTACATTCACCCTGGGCGCTATTGCTGGCTTTGTCACTGTGTGTGAGTAGCAAGGGCGCTGCTCTTGTCGTGATGCTGGTGCGTAACTTACACGGCAAACCACCTCCTCGTCAAATAGACTCCACGCAGCCGCTAGAGTGAGTACTACTCGATGAGCAACCGTCAGTCTTTCCTGATCACGAGGCCAACGTAACTCCCTCTTGCAGCGTACTCAAGAGCTTGCAGCAGAGCCTGCCACCGAGCACTCCGAAGAGCGCGCCAAGAGGCATGTGGGGATTGACGGGGTACCTTGTGCGAGAACGGGGCATAAGAAGTTTGTGGGCTGGTGCGACTCCTAGATTACTCAGACTAACTGTGGGCGGTGCGGTCACCTTTACTGTGGTGAGTGGGTCAAGAAGCGAAACTCAGCAGGTCTCTGCTTGGCCAGTGGATCTCGAAATTGACGGCCTCCGATTATCTTCGCGGCCTCGTCATCTTCGCGGCATACAGTACGAGCAGATCATCAGTCTGACTGGGAATGCATGACCACTTTGCCCGCGAAACTATGCTTGGCGGAGCGTCCACTCGGATACTGGGTATGCTGCGCGATTGGACATGATGCGATTTCCAGGCTCGAGCTGCAATCTTGCGCTGTGGGTAAAGTGCGAAGTGATGAAAGAGTGAGCTTCGAAAGCCGCCTCTATGGATCCGAGCGTCCACGATTGTGATCAGCAACTCGAGGCTGAGGTCAAGAGTCAAGAGTCAACTAGAGTTTTGAGTTTGAGTCAAGAGTTTCTGATGAGTTTTGAGGGTCATGAGCCACCAATTAGGCGAGTCACGTGTGTCTCGTACCACCCGGTGCAACATCAGCCCCATGCAAAAAGCATCGCCACATCTCCACACACCCAACTCTGCTCGCTGCATGACGCACGTGCAAGAATGCCAAGAGCTCATGCAGTCATGCTACATAAGATGCTGCGCGCGCCGTGTGCAGGCGCTGACACTCACGACTCACCCTCACCATGATCCACGCATTTCTGGATGCGCACATCCTGCCAGGACATTCATCTCACTTGTGATACCCTCGCCTCCTCGTGTTCGAAGAGGCAGCGCACGAAGGTCACAAAGTCATCCCTCTCCCATCGCTCGACTGGACCTTCAAATCGGCGCCTACGACCGCTCCTGCTCCCGCCAAGATCTGTGATTTGGATCGATTTGATCAAAGATGCCGTACCCTTATCATCCGATGAAGGACAAGATGGAGAAGCTGGACCAGTTTGGATTTAATGCCATGGCCAAATTGAAGGATCAAAAGGCTGCGGGGACCAAGTAGGTCATCAAAGAGATGTGAAGCATCACCTAGCTCTCGCATGATCCAGCTCACGTACCCGTCTCCACTCCATATGCCTAGAACAAGCATGAAAGACCGCTTGGACATGTCCCGCACAGCAGCGGATAGGAGGTGGGATCAGACTGCCAAAGCTCGGAAAGAAGAGGAGCAGGAGGAAGCGGGTCAAGCTTCGAACACATCCGCGACCGCATCCTCCTCGCGAGGCGCACCTCCTCATCCCCCATCTCGCTCCACTGCCTCCTCCACTCTCGCTGGTCCTTCTCCTCTCCCTCCTTCCCGTGCCAACTCGAACAGGCCAACTCCAGCGCTACCGCCCCGAATGGCCAACGAAGCTGGAACGAATAATCCACCACCGGCGTATGGCAGCGTTGTTCCTCCTCCAGCTCCTCCTTCCAGAAAAGTATCAACGGGCGGAAATGCGACATTTAAGTGGAGTCAGATCTCGCAAGCGGACAAGCAAGCGTTCTTCGAACTGCTAGATGAGGTGAGCGTACAAGCCAATTGGCTCTTGCGTCGTTGCGCCCAGAGCTTCCCAATCCTGACCTCCTTCTCATCCATGCGCTAATGATATAAAAGTTCTTTGCAGAGCGTGCGTAGAGGCTCTGCGACCGCCAGCTCTGCGTACTGATCGCGTAGCATGTGCATCATCGCAATCTTTCAGTCACAGCGCGCACCTCCTCCGCACCCATCCCAGGTGCGGTCACCCAGCCTCGTCCGCCGTCTTTCGCTCCCAAACCCTTGAGTGCCAAGCCCCCTTCTTCACCTTCGATCCGCGTGGCGCCGGTCAAATCCTCAGCTCCCGTCCCTGCCTCAACAGGCTCTTATCCACTGCTCACGGCGTCTTCGAAGCCGTATGACGAAGAATCTACAGCTCGGACACTGGTCGATCAATTCATGTCAAAGACGGGCCCTGAATGGACCTTGCCCAACGCCTGGTACGCACAGTCACCCTACGCTCCTTCCTTCGTCGTCTCTCATCGAGAATGCACTCGATCTTCAAGCATACAATGGGTGGGCACGGAGCGCACCGTCGTCGGACACGCAGCTTTCCAAGATCTCAGTGTGCTGTGGTACAGCGTATCGTGGTCCGAAGGAATCTTTGGGAATAGCGGAGCAAAAGTCAAAGTGGCGGTGAGGGATCCCCCGGCGCCCTTGGATGCGGCACGACTGTATAGCGAAAGCCAAAGGTTCGGCGAAGAGGTCGCGCGGTTTGTGGAGACATGCGAGGGAAGCAGTGTAGGCGATGGGGAGTGCTGGACATTGGCCCAACAAGCTCTTGTGCAGCTGAACGCTACTAGCGGCCTGACAGGTCCTTATGCAGTTTGTGAGGTGATCGGGCCGATCGCAATCGGCAGCACTATCGTCTGCATATACGTTGAGCTGATGTGGACTACCTACCGTCATGACCGCGCCTGCTAGTCGAACCCATCTCGTACACCCTTGGACATCTTGTTTACGCTGGAGAGGCGGATGCAGGAGGCAGGTGGAGAGGTGGAGACTACGCCTTGCGAAGAGGAGACATCTTGCAGTGGAAAAGCGCTCGATGTTCCCACGTCCATTCTCCTGCCGGATCGTACGTGGTGAGTTGAAGATTCTTCGATCTGCCGGTCGATCGGTCGCAATCAAGCAAGCGCTCGTCAAAGCGCCGTCTAGCTAAGGTAGCTAACTATATGCTACACTCGCTTTCGGGCCACCCCTTTGCAGGATCTCGGAGCACCAGACCACACAGCCGTGCTGCTTTCCGATGCATCCGCTCCGGAGTGGTACCACGCCCTGGCTTCCGCAGCTGATCCGCACGACGCTCCTCCGATGGCCCCTCAGCACCTCGGTCATTTGACAGTCATGGAACAATCGGCAAGAAGCGTCTGCAGCCGCACCACTTATGATCTGTCGACGCTTTCAAGGGGCAATTTGCACGTCTTCAGACCCGTCTCGTACGCCGCGCTTGGTGGCAAGCCGGACAATAGCTTTCCGAGTGAAGGCAAGAATATCAAAGTGTTCAAGTAGTGCCTGCTTGACGTATACTGGGCCAAACCTCTGCTTGTCATCATCCCTTTAACACTGTTGGTCCCCCTCCTTCCTGTACTCTGTATCGCGCAATGTCACGCCGAGATGCTCTGATCGCTTTTGCACGCTCCACGACGTGCATTGACTTTACTACTTGGGAGCGCTATACCCGTCGTACGAATAGACGACTGCGCATGAACACCCAGAGCAGCCAGGAAACCCGGCTAAACAGCCCGCAACTTGGTTTTTAGGTGAGATGTGGCATTACGTCGCAACTTCAGAGCAGCGCAAATCTACAGCTCTTCCTTGGCCTCCTCCCGCGACAACTCAAACACCCTGAGCGAGCCTCTGAAAGCTTCGTGCCAGGCGACGCCATTGTCTTTTCTGAGTATCTCATACCCTTGCTCCGTCCATTCCCACTCCCTCTCTCTTCTCATTCGCTCCTCTCTCAATTGCATTTCCGTCTTTGGCGGATTATTCTTCTCCACCGCGCTAGGCTCTCTCAAGCCTCTTGCCAACGTCCTCGTATCCCTGATTTGCCGAGGTAGGTCTTTGTAGTAGCTCTCTCGCGCCTTGGACACGTCCGTAGGGGTCTTTTCGAACCGAGGTAGAATAAAATCTTCCGACCTCAAGCCCCAGTCCAAATCTCCACCCTGAGGAGGAGACTGCCGATACGCTTGCACTGAAGAAGCTCCTTCGAACTCTCGCGCATTGGCAATCGCACCGAGAGCAATGGCCAGACCCGCTTCGGCGCCTTGTCGCACCTTTTGCCTTTGGTAGAAGAACTCGTAGATGCGACGAGGTGCGTACCTGAAGCCGTAAAGATTGATGTAGTCGACAAAGACGAGAGGCGCTTGAGCAGGGATTTGCGCGGGAGGTGCAAGACGTGCATCTGCCGCTGGGGATGAAATGCCCTCGACGACGGAGCGGGGACCCATGGTGAAAGGTATAGAGCCCGTGGCCCCCCCTCCGTGCCTCCGAGGGGGCAAAGGTGCACCTGCTCCATCCCCTTCGCCTTCGAGTGAGGCAAGCGCAGCAGCCGCGTTCCTCTCAGCATCCGACAGAAATGAGCCCGAAATCGACGAGCCGCCTTGAGTGGCTGTGTCGGAAACCGCCGCGCTACCTTCCGCCTCTGCTAGCGCTTGCTGCCACTCTTCATCATCTCTGCTCAGAGGCGAAGCATTGCGCAATCTTTCGGCCTTTTCTCTGGCCTGCGCAACTTCCGGATACTCCACCTCGTCGAACACGGAATCTTCTGCAAGCCTCTTGGCCAATGGCTCGTCAAGATCCGACCGAGCAGCGGGCAGAGAAGTAGTCCAGCCCTCTTTCAAGCCCCACATGTATTCTTTGTATGCGGGCCTGCCAACGATTACTGTCGCACCTTCGAGCTCGCGTTGCAGTTGATCTTGAGCTGAAAGAGCGAATGGTGACGATGCGGTGAGCTGTGCTTCGGATGGAGGGTCGGAGGAAGAGGCTCCGGGACTTGAGGGTGAAGTGCCCCATGCTTCCAAGCCGAGAAGCTGTCTTCGTCGAGCGTAAATGTCTTCTCGCACTGCTCTGCCTAGTCCCCCGTAGCGCGTGCCATTCGTCGTGTCCCAATCTATCGCTGCTGCTACCAAGATTGGCTGCAAGACCGGCGCGCTCGAGCGTCAGCGGTTTTCGGACCTCGCAAAAGCCTCCTCTCGGCACTCACCTTGACGAATTTCTTGAAGAACATCAAGCTCTTGTCGTAGTCGTCGTCTCCCGGACTCTTGGCGCAGTACACTTTCACTTTGCGCGTGAACTGATTGGGCTTGAGCGGCTGCTCTGCCAGATGCCTGACCTTGTCCTTGTACTCCTCTCGAATCCTCTTGCATTCCCTTCGATCGTACACATAGAGAGCAGTCAAGGTAGAAGTGGTGCCGATGAATATCAGCCAATTCCGAGAGGGCAGCTTAGGCTGCCATGTCAGAACGCTGCGCGGAATGCCGAGATACTGGAGGGGCCGCAAGGTTGGCGGGATTTCTCGAGGAGGCGCGGGCGGTTTGACAGCGGCGCTAATTGGTGGGCTTGACGTGGAGGTGGAAGCAGAAGCTGTCGGGCCTGACCCCGGGGCAGGGTACCCGCTATTCCCTGCCGAGACCATCTTTTGCGTGACTGTCCCCAGAAGCCAGAAATTGAACAGGCGAGGCGAGGAGGTGTCAAAATCGCGAGTAGTCACAGGTCAAAGGGATGAAGATGCATCTCCCCCGACCCGATCAGAAGTTGAGTCCTTCTCTGCAGTAAAAAAAGTCGCGATTCGACGCAGCACCCGCAAAGGTCTGCCTCCGTGCGTTGAGGTCACGTGATACGGAAGTTCCATCCTGAGGTGCATAGTCTTGCCAATCAAAAATCTTGAATCACGAATCAAGGTTTCGGCTCAACTTGACTACTGACCGATCGCTCGCTTCGACTACTGATCCACCGTGCATTGGTGATGCTACACTACCCCTCATCAAGCTGCGGCTAAAGGATGGTGAAGCGATGGCGCGCGTGACGCGCGGTCAGCGTTCATCCATACGGGGATCAAAACGAGGCCGCGAGTCAATCCATGTTGGTCCCACAGATCTGCTGGTAGCCCACCGTCTGAATCAGAGGCACATGACTCCTGTGAACATTGCGACGCATTCATATATCTCAATTTCTGAATCACGTGATGCATCTCGTTTTGGCGGCTTACCGCAGTGGTTAACGGGATGGACTTGAATTTTAGATCAAGAGCAATTACGACACGTGATTTGCGAAATCCATTGGGGCAACCTTCGCAGGTTCGAATCCTGCAGCCGTCGATTTTTTTCGCCCTTTTCACGATTTTGAGAGCTTGTACCAGTGGTGTGAAACGTCCGGACGCCATGGCTTCAACTCAGACTTTGAATCCAAAGGGGAGTTGTCGAAGGGCAAACCAACCTTTGGGGATTGGACGAAAATGGGGATGGAACTGGAATGTGCTGGTTGACGCGTCTTACACGCGTGCGGCCAGATCTTTTTGTGTCAGCTAGGCTGCAACTACTCGAGCATACATGTGCGCATACCTCCACATGACTCCCTCCATCCGCACCAACGCTCGGCGCAAGGGAATCCGGTGAATGCTTAAGCTGACCTCCATCTGCTCGCGCTCTGAGCCACCCCTTTCCAGCGCTAACACATCAAAGCGGGCATCAAAATGGACGCGCAGGTGGACCGCTTAGTAAAGGAGGCTCTCAGAGCGCTGGACGAGTCGAATGGGTAAGCGGGTTCCTTCAGAGCTGTGGCGCTGATCTTATCTCGCTGATGTCTTCTGCTCACTCGCGATCACCAATTTGTGTCAGGAAACGCGTTCTCATTGGACTTTCTGGCATTCCTGGATCAGGCAAGTCCTCTCTTGCGCGAGCGGTGATTGCCGAGATCAGCCGAATGATGCCAATTTCGGCTATGGTCGTACCGATGGACGGCTGGCACTTGCCAAAATCCGCCTTGGATGCAATGCCTGAGCCAAAAGAGGCCTACGCTCGGCGTGGCGCGGAGTGGACATTCGATGGCGAGGTGGGTCATCATCCGCAACCGTCACGCGGCGAACGGTGAGCTTAGCTCTCACATTGCCCTTACAATTCCGACGCAGGCCTTTGCCGACTTTGTAGAGGCGTTGCGCTCCGCAAAATCCTCCCTGTATGCGCCCACATTCAGTCATTCCACAGCCGATCCAGTGCCGCACTCTTTGGAGGTGCCACTAAGCGTGAGATTGGTGCTCCTCGAAGGTCTGTACTGCAATCTTTCGGAGCCACCGTGGGAACGTGGCGCGAAGGCACTAGACCTTAGGTGGGTGGTGGACATCGACGAAGCGGAAGCAGAAAAAAGGTTGGTCGCGCGACATGTTGCCACTGGTGTGGCAAAAGACAGGGATGAAGCTTCTTGGAGAGGTGAGTGGCCAGATGTCCGCCTTCTTTCCGCTGTCTCGTCTGACAATCTGCCGTCCATTGCACTGGACTGCGTTGGCCTTCTCTGCATTGCGCTGTAGCCCGTAACAACGACTTGCCCAATGGAGTCTTTCTGATGCGGCACGTCTTGCAGCCCGCACGGCACATCGCAAGCCTGGACGATCCCAGATGGGAAGGTCAAGAATGAAATGATTAGGCCGCACAATGCTAGTCTCACAGATCCTGCAGCATCTTCAAAGCGATTCGCGCCTTAGCTCTCCAGTACTTTCGTCCTAACGGAAGTCCGCAAATCCCGCGCGTAATGCGCCTGACAGTCCTCGACTTGGCTGCGCACGGCGCTATTCTGAGGCTCGCACTGCAGCCAACCCGACATGAGATACCTAAGGCTGCGCCTTCGCATCTGACTACACCCACGCACATCGCCACCTCCGCTCGCAGACGGAGTCCCAGTCTAGCAGCGAGCTGGCCTCCTTCCCTTTTCTTGCTGTCTTGAGCGGTGCCCGCCACTTGATGCCAATCGATCTGGCTTGCACCACAAAAGGCCGAGGATCACCAGACTCCGCTTGTCCAGCAGAAGGGGCTCCGTCCATCCTGTTCTTGCTTTCGATATCCTGAGCCCTGCAGACCTGCAGTCTCGACGCGTACAACACTCAAAGATCTCTCTTGACTTTGCAAAGCTAGCATCGGCGGCTACTCAGCATGCCGAGAAAGTCACTCCAGACTATATGGTCTTTGCTGCTGGGATCAACTTTGTGTGGACCGTGGGCTCAAGCTCTGGCAGACACAGCGCGATCTGCATCGCAGGCTTCCCTTCCACTTCTGACGAGGCCAGCACCTGATAAGATTGAGTGGCTCGTGCCTCGAACGATCGATCCTGTGGCCGGAATGGATGAAGCGCTGAAAAGCGAGGTACTGGTGAGTCTGGAGGCGTTCGAACAGCGAAGTAGTGAGACAGACTGCTCTGACTCGGCGTCAACTCTGCCTTGAGGTTTGCAGCGCGAGTATCGCTACATAAAGGCGAATTTTCTCAGAGCGAGCGAGCACGACGCGTCAATGGCGAGGCTTGACACCCCGGCGATCAGAGCTGAAAAAGCACGAAGGGTCCATGCGATGCTAGATCACGCGCCTGTCAAGGTCTCGCCTCAAGTCAGACAGACGTTTGTCGACCACAACCAAGGGCATATAGAGGAGTCTACTTTCGAGCGGCCATTTGTCAAAGCGCTTTCGCTGCACGAAAAGTATCAGCTCATGGAGCACATCAAAGCTCAGGCTCGCCAGCACCAAGTGTATCCCCATCACTGGCAGTTGCTCAAGCTTCCAGATGAGGAGGAAAAAGTCTTGAGTCAAAAGTACGATGAAAGTAAAGCTCGTGCTTTCAAGAAGGCCGAAGCTGCCCTCCGAGGCCCCATTCAAAAGAAGCAACGCGTAGATAAGGATGCGGTGGAGAATGATGAGCCTCAGATCCCCCTTCGCGAAAGTGAGCAGTCTCGCTTCCCGCGCCCCACACGACCTTCGACCACCACCCCCATACATCCGCATCGAGCCATTGACAAAGATCAGATTGCAAGGTCTGTTCGCGATAGGCGTCAGGGCGATCGCCTTTACAACATCCTGCACAGGGACTTTGGCTCGAGAAGGGTCACACCTGCTATGCTAGGCGTGAGCTCTGAGCACGTCAACAAGCAAAGATCGCCTGTTCGAATCTTTCCCTTGAAGAATCCGACTTCGCGGCTTCGTGCAACGTAGCCCGTCATTCCTCGACAACTATACGCTTCCCAATCAAACGACACCTAAGAACGGCAAACATTGTCCCATCTGCTATCAGAGCACTAGCCCGGCCGGCCTTCTGTCCCACGTGTGAAAAAAAAAGTTGGTCGACTGGTCTGGCTGCGCCGACCATGATATCACCTCGTGCAGAAATGGAATTGTCAGGTGGCCGTCAGCGGTGTGTGGCGATTCTTACGCCACCTATGAATACTTTGAACCTATTGGGCTGCGGCTATGGAAGCGGCTATGACTACGCTTCAACGGTGTGCGTGGTGGCAATTCGACTATCGTTTGCAAAGTCCAAATTATTTCCTGCAAATGAAGCACTGCCAGTCGCCCACAACAGGGGCTCCTTTGGCCAACCGCACCGACCTTGCGACGTCACGTCACCTTTGCTCCAGTCATTCTGCCAAACACTGACGCGCCGGCCGACTTTTGCCACCGACTACGCAGCGAAAGCGCTTGAGCGCCAGACTACCTCCAGATTCATGCTGTTCGGTGTTTACAAGCCTCGGCAGAGCCACCGAAACTCGAGGCGAGGGTGGCAACCTCATCGGTACCATTCCGCACGTCAGATTCACGGCGACGGTCTCGTCCATATCGGCACGGTGTTTGGCAAGGGAGACGCATGCTGATCCTCGCCACAAAAATAGCAACCAAGGGGAGCCGAGACTACTTAAAGGAAGGATTGCACCTTGCTGGATTCTGATCAGACGCCACACCAGCTGGAGCTACAGCTCTTGCACCGACGCAACTTGGCCATCAGGTTGCTTTATCCCTGTTCACCTAAGCTACTCCTTGCGACGTTCGATTCTAGAGCACTCCTCTTCATATTGACCAAAGCGTCATATCTGCTGTGAACGTGCCTTGCCGACAAGTCCACACCAGCGGCCCCCCGGAGACAGATCCGATACTCTTCTTTCTCCCTTCTTGCGATGCTGTCAACACCTCATAGCACGGCGCTGAACCTATTACTCTTTTTGGTCTTCGCTGCGCCAGCTTGCGCGCTGTTTGGCAGAAATGGCACAAACTCCTACTCTGCTGCTCGCTGGCTGCAGGATGCGAGAAGCCGTCACATAGACCAGGATGCTGCGGATGCCTTTTTGAGGAATCCCCTCAATGGAATGGATCCAGGTCTTAGGCGTCGGCTTCTCGTGAGTCACACCCGAGACTCAAGCGAGCGTCGACCCAAGCTGACGACATCTCTATCACCTCAAAGGCCCAGCAGAGACATCGCGCTCAGAATTACATGAAGTGGAACGGTGAAGAATGGAATGCATTCCATTATCGGCCCGACACTCCCGCGGAGATTGCAGAGAAGCAGCGAAGGGTCCATCTGCTGCTGGACAGCGCGCCCATCAATGTGCCTGAAGCCGCCAGAGCGCATTTGACAGCGGAAAGGCGACTAAACGACATTGACGCAATGCATCTCCAGTATGGCGGCGAGCTGCAAAATCACATGAGTCGTGGTGACCGGGAGTCTCTCGCAGATCACTACAACCGCCTCAATCAAATTCATAGCGTCTACCCGTTTGCGCGGGATCTTGTTAGGCTGCCGCGTGAAGAGCAGCAACGCCTGGAAGATCTTGGTCACGCAGAGCATAGAGCGGCTCAAGCCCGACGCCAACGCGACCGAAGCAGATCACGAAGTCCACCTCGTTTCTCGCGTAGCAATCGCGCTGATCATGCATCAGAAGAAGAATCTGCATTGCCGTCAAGCTCAGCACGCTCACGCTCTCGTTCAAGCTCTCCTCCCGACACTGCGTGGCTGCCCCACCCGCGCACTGGATAAGCGGACGACCGCTCACAGGCGCCGTCAAGTCTTGAGCGTCTGCTCTGCCACTGTTGCCAGCAGTACGTACAAGTCGTAGCCACGCTCTGCTTTCAGACACGTCTCGTCCATCGAACGTGTAGCGGCGCACGCCAATGCCCAGAGCCCCATCCACGAATGCATGCAATATGAGAGGCATTCTACTCACCAGTCTTGTAATCGCCTTCCTATCGTTTGCGATTGAGCGCAGTCGCGTTGATGTCCCCGTGGCGACCATTTCCGAGACAATATTGAGGGCGAGCAAGACGAGAATTTCTATCACGGCCATTTCGGAGGTAGTGCTGTCAATACTGACTTGCACTTTGTTCACGCTTAGGCAAAGAGGCGCCGCTTTACTAGTGCAGACGAACGCAGACGAGGAATGTAACGGACGATGTCTCGGTACCGCTGCCCTTTGGTGCCTGACACATCACCCCCCGAGGGAAGAGGTCGCGTGACGGCTCATCGTCGACGGCCACACCGTGGCGTGGCAGAAAGCGTTCGCGCCCGCCACTCACTGTACCTCTGAGTTGCTCAGTGCCTACCACATCGACGGTGGGCGTCAGTGTTCGGCGTCCCAGCAAGAACCTTTGCCGCCACAGGAGCGCTACCTGCGCGCCCTGTCGACGCTGTTCTTGTCAGCACGCCAGCCTAGTTTGCCACGCTGCCTACAGTACAATCAGTTGTACAGCGGACTTTCACCTGCATTCAATGGCCACATTTTCTTGCTCTTCCCTTGCTTTATCCTTGGCCCCTTGGCGCTGGTCGCGTGAGCTACATTTACGTGGACTTGTGACGATCTCCGCTTCCGATTCTTCTCACTTCGTTTCGCAGGTCGGCTACTTGGCTGCAGATTAGCTATCGCACTCTCCTCCGCACCAGCAACTATTTGGTTGAGGTTATCCTGAAAGGTCGTCGGTGGGCGTTTGAGCTGGACAATACAGTCGACGTTACTTCTACGGACAACGATGATGCTCGACGCCATGCGACGTCGTTTCGCAATCTTGGCGATGTTTGCCGTAATGCTCTCTGGAGCGCGGGCTGTGGTGCCAGGAAGCAGCTCGGCCACTTCAGCGATGGAGTCAGCGGGCAGCGCAGCAAAGCACTCACTTGACTTCGATGCTGCAATGAAATGGACCAAAGATCCTACCTATGGCATGGACGAGAACCTGAGGAAGGAGCTAATGGCGAGTAGAGTCGTTTGTGCACGACGTTGCTCCTGCTGACCGCGCGAGTGCTTGCGTTTCGTCGACTTCCCGGACCGAAGGATCGAGAAAGACACGAAGCTAAGCATTTTTGGCTCGAGACTGGCCGTGAATACCAGCAGCGCACGAACAGAGCAGACACGCCGGTAGAGATAGCCGAGAAGCGCCGCAGAATCCATATGCTGCTTGATAGCTCGCGAACTCACATTCCTGATGAAGCGCGAGCGCACTTGACAGAGTACAAGGACGACCCAGGCGATGGTGGAGTGAAAGACCTGTCAATCACCAACAAGATCTACATGGACACCAAGTTGGAGAGAATGCTGCATCCGGAAAGTTACCACCATCTTACTCGACACTACGCAGATATGTCTCGTAAACACTCCATGTTGTTTCCATTCCATCGCACCCGGCTAGTCAAATTGCCGCCAGGGGAAGGGGAGCGCTTGTCCGCGGAAGGAAAAGCGGAATTGGAAAGAATGCGAAAGGAAGATCCTCCAAAGCCTAAAGGTGGATTCAAGTACGAGTTCGATGGACCCGACGTTCCTCCTTGGCATCTGCGACCAGTCGATGAGCGAGCAGATCCTCCGAAAGCCAAGCGTCCTCGCACATTCTCGGGTCTTCACAGATTCAGTAAGCCGCGCGCCACGACTCGTCGTCGTACAGGCCGCGTCACTTCTCGAGCCCACTCCGCCTTGCGTTCCCCATCGCCCGAGCCACAGTCCCCTCCTGCAAGAGCTACTTCTCCTGAAAGCTCGAAGATGTCTACTGGTCGTTCGTGATGGCCTCTTTACTCTGCTATCCGAGTCTCTGCTTTACTCCGTGATGAAGGCCTCCCCCCCACCCCCTTCCCCTCTTCCCACATACAGTCCACTGTACGTACTTACTTCGGCGAACGCTCGTATTTTGAGTGCGTCTCATCGGTTGCGACTGCACTGCGATCACGTAAAAATCTTCTCACCAAATGCAGCAAGCCAAAAATACGACCGTGTGGCCCTCTTGAATTCGATTGCGTGAGAGTCTTGAGCCGTGCGTGACAGTTGATGAGCGGAGAGGACCCAAAACCAGGTCGATCGCTGTCGAAGAGTACCCTGAGATTGCTTTCAATTCTCAGCCTAAGCCACTCCCCTTCCTCTTCCGCCTCGTCCCCTATCCGGTCCACCTCTTGCTCCTCGTCCTCGGTCTCCGCCTCTTCCTCGTCCTCCGCCCGCTCCACCTCTACTTCCCAATCCAACACCTCCGGAAAGAGGCCCGTTGTTCCCTCCCCCTCTGCCTCCTCCAGCTCCACTGGCTGCCTGTCGCGCTCTGCGTGCTGCCTCTTCTTGCTCACGAACACTGTCTACCAATGCGTCTGCTACGCGACAATATTTGATCTGAGCGAGCGTCGTCAGGAGGTAGTCAGCAGCAGCGGATGAGACAGAGGTGGATCTGGTCCGATTCGATTACCTCTAGATGCGCAGGTGGCGCCTAAAGGCATGGGATGGACCCCATGTATGCTCTGCACTCACAGTACTGCCACGAATATAGCATTCATTCATCTTCCAGAATTGCTCGCCAGTCTAAACATTGCCATCACCGCAATGAGGAGCCTTGTCAGCCATCCTGCTCCACGCTTGTTGGCGTGATTGCGCGCACCCCACTACTTTGTAGCGCCCACACAGTCCACCCAGCTACTCACCGGAGAAGTCAAGTACACATCCCTCAACACCAAATTCATGAAGTTATCGCATAGGTCCAACGTTCCATTGAAAGTCTCTCCGTTTTTGAGCTCTACCAGCTATCATTGCGGGAAGCGGGTTTGACGAGGGAGGGAGAGCGGGTCGATGGGGGTGAGCGATAGACAAAGAGACCAAGAGAGAGCGAGCGCTTACCATCGGTTTGCCCTTTGCGGCGTTGAGGAGAGTGAGCGGCAACATGCTGCTTTCGAACCTCGCTCCGGCGAGCCGCTCTGTGATCAGCTGACTGCTGCTTCTGTCTCCGATCTCCGATCTGCGATTTACGACCGACTCGGACTTGAAGTCTCGATAATTCTGAGGTCGTCAGTATTGCTGTGAAGCTCGAATGGGTCAGATGGTGGAGTTCATCAACGCCACCTCATCATTGGGTAGGCGTTGAGAGTGAGTGAGCAAGTCGTTTGACCGACTTTTGAGTCTAACTTGCTTGATTCTCTGGGCACGAATCACGAATCGCACGCAGACCGTCATCCCAACACGCCCAGCTATCTTGTCACGTGCGCCGCCACCCGATCTTCTCGTGCGCTTCTCGATCCGTCACGAGTGGCCCCGGCCGTGCAGCCGCTGCTTCAGATGATGTCTCCTCGACCTGGATGCTTCCGCATCAGAACGGAGCCCGAGTTTAAGCACCATTCAAGATTCGTGATCCTTGGAATTTGCAACGGTCTTTAGCTCGTCCATCATCCGTCCCCCAGCTCACCAAGCATCTCTTGCCTCCTGACTCCGACAAAGGCAGTTGTGAAAGGCCTCGACCACTTTGTCCTTCATTCTGGTGCATCCCTACTTTTTGCGTCCCCATTCTCATGCAACGGTGCTAGCACATGTTCGGATTTTCTGCGCGATGGCCGGTGCAAGTGAAGATTTGGACCAGCTAGCTCGCTCCACCTACCTCATTCCGTGCAATGGAGCCGCTAAGGCTCACAAATCCTCTCGCGCACGCCAGCTCCATGCACAGCACCGCAATGCAGTACCTGAAATCGGATTGCAGAGATTGGAAGCCTTCGAGAATGACGAAGTGCCTGCACGAAGACGAGAGGGCAATCTGAGAGCTGCGCACAGATGGATAGACAGGGCATTCAAGGTGAATGATGACGCTTCTTCTTGCCTGTGATCAGTTCCAGCAAAGAAGCTCGGGCTCAACTCGATGGCTTGCCTTTTCAACTTCTTGCAGCATGGCCTCGCATCAGTACATGCTTCTACGCTGAGCGCTTTGAAGCACTGGGCCGATGAGAGCACCTCGAGTGCGACTTTGGATGGGGAAGCTTCAGCTCCTTCATTTTGGCTCCCGCAGCCATCGAATGGCCCAGTGCTTCGGACAGTGCTCCTAAAAGGAACTGCCCGTTTGCCGACTCAAATCCTCAAGCGCACACTCACGCGCAATTCCCAGCCAGCTGCATCCTCTGGACCGCGAGAGCGGGATATTTTCATACAGATGAATGCCGACGATTACGAGACTCATGCGCAGGGTGTCGATCTCTTTGTCCGCCTTGTCAGAAGAGAATGTGCGGCTGGCGGGGCTTGGGATGAACACGCTCCCGATGCGCAGGCAAGTGGGAGCGGTCCCTCGCGTTTGGCCACTCTGTGGAGCTTGCAGAGAGCATGCAAAGGTGCGCGCATCTCGAATCGAGCCCAAGTCATCCTCCTTGCCCACAGGCCTACTGACTGACGCCGACGCTATCTCTTTCGCAGCTCGCACAATTTTCTTTTCGCTTCCCGAGCTGTCCGAGCATCCTCTCGGAGCACTTCAAGATCTCCTCCAAGCGCTTCATTCTTTCTTTGGGCTGTCTCAGGGCTGGAAACACGATCGTGCTCCGAGACTTTGCACCATCTTTTCGGATTCTAGGCGTTGTTCCACAAGCTCGAAGGAGGAGAATGTTTTGGCTAGTCATGACTTACCTCTGCCCGCCACGACGAAGTGCTATCTGGACGTGCACGGCATCGATCTACCCGATGACCAGGCAGTCTGGGAAGCTGTTATCCATTCTGTGAGCGGCAACTTGCCATCAGACTGATATGCACGGAGAGTCGAGCGAAGCTGATGATCGCAATGATCTATCGCAGCTTTGGTTTCGACCGCACGAACCCCCCCCATTGCTGGTGAGCTACGAGTGCTGGGCGCAGCTGGAAACCAAATACAAAGCCTTAGACGCGGACATCGAATCACTTCGTCAAGCTCTCAAGGTGAGTGTGGCATTGCTCAGCTCAAGTATGACCGCCTCCTTCTAATCGTCCTTTGGTCGTCGCGCCGCATGCTGCGCATTGCTGCAGCTCATTGCGCTTCAGCACTTCTCGACATGTTCCGCATCCGCTTTGCTCAATCTCACATCGAGCTCAGACGCTCTGCACAGCTCATATTTCAATGACGCATTTTTCGTTCGACTTCGGCTTGCCCTACTTCACGGCACACAGCAGCGAAGCTCGGTGCCTCCTAGGCCATCTTGGTCAGCCACTTCGTCCAGCGGGCAGCGGATGACAGGTGACCTGACACCTGGCCAGCATCTCAAACGCTTGTTGGAGGATGACGAATATCTCCTCAGAACCTGCGAGCAAACCCTCACAGTCTCAGCCCATCAAGGTGCGATGAGCTCAGCGCTGCTGGCGACTGACTTACTTAGTTCGCTCAGCGATGTCGCGCCCAGCCGTGGTCAACCAGCTTTCAGCGCGTCTGAAGTCTGGCGGTTTCTACTCAAGAATGGTGATCAGAATGATGGAGATGGCTCAAGCGTCTCACACCTTGTCCAGCCGCTGCTGACGTCTTTGCGCTCGTTGGATACTGCAAAGCTCATCGAGAGGTTGAAAGTCGCCTCGATCACTTTGCGGCAAAGCACCATGCAGGTGGCCTCCGATGACCACGCAGACGCCCTCCAAAACGGGTCGCCTGCCTCATTACAGCTGGTCGACATGTTGCAGTCGTGGATCACTCAGCTCGGCAGCCAGTCTTCGGCCGGTAGCGCAGGCGATGAGGATGCTCTGCTCAACGGAGATGCTGCAAATCATTTCCAAGATGTGCACCGCAAGCTGTTGCAAGAAGAATCGATGACTACCTCGAAACGAACAGTGATCAACTCCATCTCCTCCTCCTTGCGGTGAGAGCGAAGCGTCGAGTGTTGTCGAGTCATAGAGAGCTAAAGTTGAGATTCGGTCCACGCACTCACACAGCTCAATGTTGAAACAAGCCTTGAGGGACGATCCGCTCACACGCCTAGCGAAGAGATTCGACTCTCCCGAATTCGTCTCTGCGAGAGTAGACGGACATCTGAGAAGCACACTGCTCCACGCTCTCAATCATCCCTTTGACGCTGTTCAGGATGGACTCTTGAGGCATCGAACCCTCGCAGAAACTCTGCGTGTCTCTGGCGAGCGTACTGAAGATACTTTGGGCGTCATTAGAGAGCGCTCAGAGATGCCCATGCCAGATGTCTGCGTGGCTTACTCCCTGTACAGGGATTCGGGAAGGATGATTAACCTGGCTGACTGGTACGATGCCTTCACTCAGCAAGTCTCGCTGCCGATCTCTTCTTCGCGCGCAACGTTTGCCGACGACCAACAAAGTTCTCGCAAACGTCCTAGCCCAGCTTCAGCCGGCGGTGAGAACGGCCAGACCGAAGGGCCGGCGGGCATGGAAGCCAGGCCTGAAGATTTGGATCAGGTCAGATTTGCATGCGCGGTCAATGAGCTGGCTAGCTTGGGTTTGCTCAGAAGAACAAGACGCAAAGCGGAACATGTACTCAAAACGATTTGGGACTTGCCTCCTGCACCGTCTTTTGGACATGTACCTGACACCGGATGACGCCGTTCATGCTTCGAACGGCCTTCGAACGGCGCAACATGATGCGAATGACTGGACCCAAAGAATTCCTATGATTTGCAAGGTATGGAAGCAAAATTTGCGCGGACATCGTGTGTGAGGCGAGAAGCGTCGGATGTATTGTGTGTGGCGCGCAGAATCTGATAGGGATGTGCGTTTGGACGAAAGAGGACGGGATGCCATGCGCACTGATGGGTCAATGTACACCGATGAGTTGGATGTTTGCGGTCAATGTACACACGAGTTGGATGTTTGCGCCCAATTCCTATGCTCCAAGCAGACTGCGGACCAGCTCCTCGGCCGCCAGAGTTTCAGCAGCAATCAGGCCCAAATCCTCCCTTGCGTGATGCCTCACCACATCCACCACGCCGCTCTCTCTCGAGGGTAACAAGCGTCTCAATTCGACATGCAGCACCAATCTAGCATGTTCCCTCCTCCTCATCAACCTATCCACCTGCCCCCTGTCTTCCGCAATAGATTGCGCCAATCTGTTCGATTCCGCTTCTGCTCCATTGTCCGTCGTCGTCGACGAAGGAGCGGAGATCAGGGATGCTAAATCCCTCTGCCTCTTTTGAGACGCTTGAATACGCTTTTGCAGCGTGCCCACATTATCGGGAATCAGCTTTTCATACCTAGAGACCAGATCTCGCGCGGCTTGATGCTGATCCCTTTGATACTGTCGGTGCGAACGATGAGGTCAGTCGATCCGAAGCCGCATGGCTGCAAGAAGTCAGAGCGCATTCCAACGACGCACCTTGAGACCGTCCAGCGTGTCGAGCCATTTGCTGGCCCTTGCAGAGCACAGGTCGGCGAAGTCTTGATTGCTGTTCGTCAAGCTCTCCATCGAATTGGTCACCTTCTTCGTCCTCTCCACTGTCCTCTCCTCATCCGCAGACGGCCCAGAATGTCGCGTCGAAAGCGTTTCGTTCAAGCTTGCCAAAGCGAGCGAGAATCTGCCATGGTCCAAGCCTAGGCCTTCTAGCCGCCTGGCCAAACGCTCAAAGACTATGCACAAATGACTCCACCGCTCGACGAGCAGAGCATTCCTGGCCTTGAAAGCCGAGACAAGAGTCTGGACCTCATTGACCTCCGGAATGGCCTGAGACGTCAAGGCAGAGCTCGGAAGGGAGAGGCAAGGCGAGAGACACTCTTCGACGAGCGCAAGTGACTCGGGAACGCTCGTTGTGGATGTGAAAGGAGAGAGCAGGTGCGCGCTCGAGGTTTGCTGAGCCAGACGCCAATCCGTCAATGACTGCAGACGAGACGTGTTCGATCTCGAAGATCAGCTCAACTCGCAGAGGCGTGAACATATGTGAGCCAGCTAGATCACCCAGAGACTCACGTCTTTCTCGGTCAGAAAGGCCCTGACAAGTCCATCGCCTCGGAGCACCGGGTGAGTCACGATTGCACGGAGATATCTTTGCAAGCCTCGCCTTCTGGCCTCCAAAAACGGATCCGAGCCAGCTATTTGTTTGCCCCCAATCGGTACTGCCAGGGGAGAGAATGAGACTCTGGTCAGCGACATCTCGCACTGCGCCATGGGACAGACATCCCATCCGCACACGAATACTCACTTGAAATTCGCTTTGGCGGCAGAATCTGATGTAGCGCAAGAGATGAGGCAGAAGTCAAGTTGGGTCAGTAAGAGGAGCCGGTGTCGTGCGCTGAATTTGCACTCAGCGCAATGCTGATCACCCACAGGCAGGAGTCTGAACGGATACCTCTTGATCAAGCAGTTAGCCAACCAGGTGAAATCCGAGTATCTTCGGACGACGTTCCATTTCTCGCTTGCGCCGCTCAGCCCGTCCGGGTCGCCCGAGGTCGAAGAAGGTCTCCAGCTCTTCCTCCTATTCTTCGAGCTGACATCTACGCTGGCAGAAGCTGTGGAACCAAACAGCAAAGCTGTCGCTTCATCTTGCGCCGCGTACGTGCTCGAGATGGAGTACAGCGTATGACGAAGAAAATAGATGCCACCCGTCTCTTTTCGTAGACGGACGCTGACGCTGTCCGCCTCGCATAACGCTGGCAGTAAGTGCGCCGCATGGACAGCGGCGATGCTTGGCCTTGCTCTTGAAGGCCCAGCGCCATCCAAAGAGGCGAAGCCGGAAGTCGACCGAGGAAGAGGTTCGACGCTCGGTGAGTCGGTGCTCGTAGGGTCGAAGCGAAGCAGAGGCTTGAATGCAGCTGGCTGGGCGCTGGTAGAAGCCCCACCGTACGCAAAATTATCAGGCTCATTCACGATTGGCAGACCTTCCCTGCGCTGTGCGTCGGTTCGAGCTGCTGTGCTTGCCGGACCGGTGCCGACGCCTGTTCTAGAATATGCTCCAGAAGAAGCTCCTCGAATGCGGGCTTGACTGACGGACGAAGTCATCGACGTGCATGCTTCTCGAACGTCATTTAGATCTAGCGTGGGGACAAATGGATACGAATCGCCCTGTCCTGTATTGATCACTTCTTCGATGGCCTCGGTGACATTCTCGACGGAGAGGCGCAGTCCATCTTGTGCTTGGGAGAGCAGAGAAAGGCACAATATGTGCTCGTGAGTCGAGACGCGCGCGGATTGACAAGCAAGCGTGATGATCTGCGATGATCGAAGCAAGAGGTCAGTCACTCAAGCCACTAAAAACGGATCGATTCGCAAATTGGGGGATTTGGCAAGCCTGGCTTGGCCCCAAATCACTCTGCAGACTCTATTGTGTGTGGTAACGACTCATACCAGCGCAAGCACTCACAGCTTCTACAACCGACGCCCCTGCACCTGCGCTGCGCAGCATCCTGTTCATCTGTCCGATGGATATGCTCTCCTCTTCATCCGAGCTGCCAGCTTCACACCTCCTGCAGATTTGCCAGACCTGGCCGTAAATGACGGGAAGCAGATCAAGCAGAGCACGTGGATCCGATGTCACCGGACTGCCGCTCCTCCCAGCAGCGCCACTTGTCGGCTCGTCTAGCTTGACATTGTATGCGCGCGTGACGTGCCCGTTGGCACCCCATGGATCTTCATCGTCTGAATCTCCCCCCTGCCCTGCTGCCTGACTAGGCCCAGGGCGAGAAAAATGAGACATGCTAGCGCGCAGTTTTCAGCAAGGTGGTGCGGAGGGCGAGCAGCAAGGTTCGGTATAGCTGATTGGCCAAAAAGGGGGCGCTGTATGTCGGTGTCCGTTTCGTCTTTAGGCGTGCAAATGTGCGAATCGCGAGGGGCCCTTTCCTCTCGATGTGCGCTGATTTGTGAGAGGTGGTCTGTCGCACAAGCTCCGAGAGGCGCAATGGTGAGTGTGATTGAGCTGGAGCGGCAGGGTGAAATGTGTAGGGGATGACAAGCTACAATGAAGCGCACGACTTGCCAGCCAGGCCGAGATTCGTGAATTGTGGTGTTGATGCAGGCATGACTGACTGCGCACCAAGATCAAGTTGTCAAGCTCAGATTGTGATCGAGTGGAGTGCGATCATTCAAGATTCAGATTCAGGGTTCACCAGATTCACAATTCACAATCTAGAGAATCTTGAATTGAACATCAATCTCGAATCTTGAATGAAATGTGGTTACACGCATGCGAGAGGGACATGTGCGGAGCTATGGGCGCGTCTGCATGGAGACGCGCGGGCGCGCCTTTATATAGGAGTCCGTGCGTCTTTCGCGCCCCACTCTGACTGCAGCCTACTGTGCCATTTGGACGACGGAGGTCCGGCGCTCGTTCTGAATCAAAATACATACGCAGGCAGGTAGGACGCGCGTGTACTTCACCCATGCATGCATGCCGATATACAGCAGCTGGCGCGCGCCCGCCGTTGCTCGCGAGAAGCCGCGCGCGCTAATTTGAGGAAAAGCCCCTGAGTGCATGCTTGCGCTTATTGGGGTCTGAATCGCGTGTGCGCGCGTCCACAGACGTCAGAGCTATCTACAGGCAATAACGCGAGGTCTGCTGCTGCTGCTTGCGGGCTGCCCTCACGATCTTGGTCAAGTCGTCGGCCGCGGCGCCAGGACGAGCCACGTCTCTCCTTTTTTGCATCTCCAAAACAGCAATTGTCCTGTGCGAGCGAGGCTGCGCCATTTATTCCGGGGAAAAGGTGCAACGGTCATAGTCAAGAGTGATTGGAATCACGAATAGTACGACTAGATGTAAAGCAGCAGCTGCAGCACGTAGGCTGTCACGATTGCAGGTCGCCGCGTGCTCGATCGCCGGCGCGCCCAAGGGTCGAGCGCGCGATTCAGCAGCCACAACATCGTCCTGCGCTGCGCTGCGTGATGCGTGAGATGCGTGGGCAGGCAGCAGCTGGCAGGCAGGCAGGCAGGCAGGCAGGCAGGCAGGCAGGCAGGCATGCATGCGCTTTTCGATTGCAAGCTCGTGATCCTTTCTTTGACTGCACCGAGCCGTCCATCTCATCCCTCTCATCTACTGACACACTTACCTCTTCATTCCATTCCGCCCTTCATCGCGCGTTTCTCCCCTTCCCTCCCTCTCCTCTTTGACGACAGAACGATTGACGACGCTACGAATCTCTTACGAGTAACGAGCCACGACAGGACACGAGATTGTCCCCAGAACGAGACCTCACCATCTGCGCCACGCCAAGAAAGTGGGCGCCCACAACGCGCAGCGTGCAGGCCGACCAGTCTTCGACGAGCGATATTGCAACGACCATGGCGGACAGTAGCGCAGTGGTCGATGATGCGAGTGATGTTCGAAGCGCAGGAACCAAGGCTTTGCTGGATGCCCTGATCAATGGCTACAACAAACAGGGTGGGAGTGGATCGCCACCAGCTTTGCACGCTGTTGATCAAGGTGCTCGACCAAGCGGTTCCTCCTTAAAGCTGCGCTACTCTCCTTCCTCGATCGGCGTTGCTCCGAACGACGCAGATGCAGTGCGAAGTGCGGGCACGAAAGCCCTGCTGGATGCTCTCAGCAATGGCTACACCAAGCCTGCTGGCGGTGGAGCGGCACCCGCGAATCATGCTGTCCAGCAAGGAGTCTCTCCCGATGGAGGAGCTCGCAAGCTGCTGTACTCTCCGTCATCCATCGGCATCACGCCCGTCTCTCAGACCGCCCCACCTTCCAATCTAGCAGCCTTTCCAAAGCTTCTATCCGCTGATGTCGACCCATCCTTCCAGGGCCACAAGTCGCATGAAATCGTGTCCGCCTTGGCAAAGCATCACGATGACATGCAAAAGCTAGAGGAGGAGCTCAAAAGGTTGGGAAAGGATGGTGACCTGCACAAAGGTCACCACTCAAACGAGTTGGCGGAGGCACTCGTCGCTTGGAGGCACAAGCATCCTGATCTAAAGATTGCCGACTTCAAGGCCGACAAGGGCTTGAGCAACTTTCTGGCCGGTTCAGCGGGTGCAACGGGTGGTGCAATCGCTCTGAACTCTTTGGAAACGCCTGCAAGCTTTGCAGTGGATGGGACGACGACTACGGCGATGACTTTCTCTTGGGCCGCTCAGCTCAAAGCTTTGCAGTGGGCTAGAGTCATCTACTGTATCACGTGGATTGTCGGAGGCTTGTTTCTGCTCTTCTTTGGCTTCGCCTCGCTCTACTGGCTTTCCAGAAAGGGCAAAAAAGCAGGCACACCCTTGACCCCCGCCGCAGCTGCGCTTCCGGGCCTTCGAGGATCAAATGGTAAAAGCAAAGGGAGCAGAGGACGATCTGCACCTCTCGCCGGAGGAATCGGCGGGCTTCTCATCGGCTTCTTTGGCTTTTCGACTCTTGCAAGTCTCATCAATGCCGCCATCTGCATCGCCAATCCGGCTCGGACAATGTCTTCGGGCGCCTACTTTGCAGTCTGGCTCGTACCTGGACTACTTGGCGCTGCGCTTTGCGGCCATTTCAAATTTGCTGCCAGGCTGTTCAGCGGCTTGCTCGGAGCTGCAAGTCTCACCATCATCCTCACTGCCATGTTCGGCATACACACTTTGCTCATTCGCGCCATCCTCGTCAGCATTCTTGCGGTGCTCCTCAGCGCGCCACTCTTGTTGCCCCGATCGGCACTGCTTCAACGACACCTGCTCAACCTCAACACTAGCCTCATCGGTTCGGTCGTCTTCTTGAACGGTGTTGCGCTCTTCGCGCCACCCGAAAAGTCTACCGAAAGCTGGATAAACCTAACAGCGGTGCTCTTTGCTCCGGACGGATCGGACGCTTTGAGCGCTGCCGTGGACAATTGGGGCACGTCGGCTTTTAAAGGATTCATCGCTGGGGCGGTCCTAGCAGTCGTCATTGGATTTTCATTCGAGGCTTTGCTCCATTCGCACTCGGGAGAGGATGCCGAGGCTTCATGGAACGACTATCTGGGCGCATATACGGAGAGATACGAAAAGAGTGGAATGCTGCCTGGCCAATACGAAGGAAGTTTGGCCAGACAGGGCCTTTTCGAACCTGCTCCGACGCCCTGGCAGCGCATCGCGGCTGTGTTTGCTGAGGCAGGATCGGCAAGATCCGGACCCGCATCGTACGGCAACATTCCTGGCGGGCAAAATGTTGACGACAGGGACACAGATGCAGATACGCTCACTGCGATTCCAACCAGGAAGCGTAGCAGAGGCGCTTCGAGTCGCAGGACGCACAAGAGTGGCAAGACGTCTCGAGGCGTGCCCGCTAGGTTCGAGGCTCTCAGTAGGAGAGACAAAGATTTGGACTTGGAGAATGGGGACGACAGCGAGAGCGAAGGGGATGACTTGGACGCTACGGATGTTGAAGACGTAGCTGGCGATCTTTCCCAAGAAGCGTCGGATAGCAAGAGTCGTTTGAGCTCCGCTAGCAAGGGACCTGCGACGTCCGAGCAACTCAGCGCCTTGGCTCGCAGCACATACGCTTTGCCATCGCCATTACCTCGTCCACCTGGATCATTGAGCACCGCGACGCCCTTGCCGTCGTACAGATCGGACGCGACGGCCTCGACGGGCGTGGGATCGAACATGTCCGGCAGTACCAAGGTGTCCTCCGTCAGCACAGCGCACGATGGCACGCCCCACAAGGCATTTGAGAATTACAGAGACGCGGGAGCGCCTAGGGCTCCCAATTCCTCTTCCAGACCCACGAGCCCTCTGAATCCCGCTTCGGGCGCAAACAACGGGAATGCGGTGCAGGCTACGCCAAGCTTGATCAACGCGATCAGTCGTATACAGGCAGCTCAGGCTCAGGCTAGAGCTTGGCAAGCTGCTCAATCGTCGAATAGCAGCCCGTACGGCGATCAAGATCCCACCGGCTTGCCTCGTGCCACTTCGCCTAGAACACCAAAATAGGGAGAACAAGACGATTTTGGCAATTGTTTGAGGGTTGGAGTGGACAAGAAGCGAGCTGTGGACATTTACGCGGACTTGCTCTTGCTTTGTCCATCACTGGAGGATGCCCCTACACCGGCCCAGCCCTGACCAGCGCGTTGGTGGCGCACATTCTTGGAGGCGCTTTACTACCGGACAATATTTTTCCTTCGCACGCGAAATCGTTTATATCCAGCCACGCAGTTTGTTCGGATCGTTTGGCTTTTTGCGGACTGCATATATGTTTCGTTGGGCGTCGCACGATGTTTGGCTACTTTATCGACTCTTGCGAGTCTCGTTGCAACTCTATATGATTCATCGTTCGCTTTGCTCCCATTGTCTGTTGTGCAGATCGCTGCGATAAGGTTGACGGTTGTCGTCCCTCACTGGGCAGCGGTGCCTGCGTTTGGTACTCACGACTGCAAGAAGCGCCCGTCCCCTCGGTCTTTGCTTTGGACCCCACGTTGTGGGAGAACGGGCCAGATATGGATTCTGCGCGCTGCGCAATGGCCTTTGCCGGGGCCTGTCGATGTGTGAGCGGAATGCTCGACAGGACGAGGCAAGTCCATAGCGTCATCGATGCAAGTAGGGGTCGTGCCATGAGCCCATTTGGAGCGAGTCGAGAGTTACGGAGTTTGGGTAGCGAACTGGATTGGAATTTTGGAAACCGAAAGGCGATCACGTGACTAAATCACGAACAGCATGTTGTGTGGATGGATGGCGTGATGCGCGAAATCAAGCATCTGATGACTCGACCCAGCAGCAGCTAGCGCGGTGGAGTGAGAGGTTGCAGAGAGCGGAGTAGGCTGGCTGGTACTGACCACCATTCCACTCGTGACTGCAGAGAAAGGTGCAACGCTAGGGCAAAGGGTCAAGCTGAGGAAGATATCGCATGCTGCCCTGGACACACGAGAGCCGTACAGTCAAGTCGAGGGTTTGAGCCTCTGCTCGCGATTGGCAAATCGTCTACCAGACAACGGGTGTGAACGTATCGCGGCGTTCATCGGTCATCATAGAAGCGGGCTCAAGGAGAGCAACGGACGGGGGCTGTGCAGGAATTCCACTGATCCTCCACCTGGCGAAGGATTGAAAGCGGCGCCTTGGGCAGAGTCCATGACAAAAAGGCCGACGATATCAACTCATTCAGCGGTCGAGACTTTGTAGGCTCATTAACGCTTTACGTCCCTCGAAGCTCTGATAGCGATCAAGAAGAGACGTGAGAGCGCTCAGCGGTCTCGTTGGACCTATTGGCATCGTTCGGGCGGCACAAGCGCACCAAGAAGAAGAAGGAGGAGGGGTAATGTGTCGACTTTTGGTGTACAAGGGCGTGGAGCCGATACAGCTCTCTCACTTGGTCACACGTCCGGCTCACAGCATCATCAACCAGGCTTTCGATGCTCGTTTACGATTGGACGCGACGCGATCTGTGAATGGGGATGGCTTTGGGGTGGGATGGTACGATGCGTCGCACGATGCAGAGCTAGGCTCAGCACCTTGCATCTTCACCAGCGTCACTCCAGCTTGGAACAATCAGAACCTTCAAAGATTGGCGGAAAAGATCAAAAGCCCTTTGGTCTTTGCTCATGTTAGAGCTAGCACTGCGGGAGCTCTGAGCGAGACGAACTGTCATCCTTGGAGGTATGGCAGATTGATGTGGATGCACAATGGAGCCATCTCGTCCTTTTCCAAGATCAAGAGACGACTGCTGCAAAGCTTGCCCGAGGAGCTCTTTCTGTACCCGCAAGGTCATACGGACTCTGAATACGCTTTTGCTGTGTTTTTGTCTCACTTGCCGGATCCGGCCAGTCAGAGTCCCACGGATCACAAGGTGCTGCAAAACGCAATGCTCAAGACGATTGCAGATTTCAATCGCTGGGCAAGGGAAGCGGGCGTTGACGAGGTGCGTTGCTGTTTCGCTCGCAGGGATTTGCTAAATCATGCCCTTGCGCTCGCATGCTCATCGAAACACGATTCCGCTGCGCAGCCAAGCCTCATGAACTTTTGCGTCACTGATGGAGAGTCAGTAGTATGCACTCGGTACGTCTCATCTCGGACAGATGAGGCGGCGAGCCTGGTGAGCACTGCACTGCACCATCCGTTGCCAAACGTTCTGTTTTCAGAACTGAGACGCTATGAAGGACCGATTTGCAGTACTTTTCGTCTGGCACCTCCTTCTACGAGCACTCGCCAGGTACCTATCGCATGGTGAAAGCGGACAAGCGAGAGCGCATAGTCGTCGTAGCTTCCGAGCCCTTGACATTTGAGAAAGCAGACTGGATGGAGATCTCGACCAACACGCTGGTCTGCATAACACCCAGGATGAATGTGCTTCAAAAGCCAATCGTGGACGAGTTCCATACGGAGCGATTGGAGGATCATTTCAGATCACCTGCTTTTGCACTGAAGACGGGTTTTGCGCCCAATGTGCCTCTCAAAGTCGCCTCTGGCACGTCGGTAAATGCTACCTCGAACGGCAATGCTACCTCCGCTCAAAACTCGGAGAGGGATAGGAGCACGAGCAGAGAGACGGTTTTCAGACCTTCAGACGCGTCTTTGAGCCATTTTGTCGCTAGCAATGGATTGACAGGCAGCACGAACCTCTCACGAGACACACCGACTTCGACACCCCTCGCCACCTCTTTCGATGTCGATCGTGCAAATGTCTCTCTTCGACAGACGACGCGAGCCGCTTGAGGCCACCCCGCATGGTCACCTCGCCCTCGTTGCGTTTCAAGATCGCACCCCGTGCACCGCCTCACTCCTTTTCGCCCCAGTCTCTGCTCGCGCTGTACAATACAAGTTTACTCGGCATGCACAAACGATCAGAGCGTCCATGCACAAGAGCGCCGAGCTAGACTGGAGCCATATCGCAAAGGTGTGAATTCTAGCGCTGCAAAGCGCACATGAAGGCCTGTGCCTCATAAGCAGCAGAAGAATCACAAGGGATGTCATACAAGCGAAGGGGAAAACAGGTCGCGGTAGCCATGATCAGCGGGAACTTGAGAACATCATGAAGGGATGTTGTATGCACCAGTGGCAGACTCTTCGCCGCTCGCGCCTCCTTTTTGCAGGCCTCTCTGCACAGACTTTTCCTCATCCGAGCTCGCGCTGGTCGCGCCCACCTTGGCATCCTTTGCGGGTGTGTTGCTCTCCGTGCCACTTCCAGCAGCGCTAGCTCCACTTCCACTACCGCCCGCTAGCTGCCATGCTGGAATGCTCGGTTTGAATCCTAGTGCTGGAGAGTCCCTGCCCCCGCTTATTCCTGATGATGCTCCACCGACACCGCTAGAGTACCGACTTGCTCCTGCTCCTGCTCCTGCCCCTGCTCCGCCGCGCGAGACCAACAAAGACTTGAGAGACTTCAATTCAGATTGCAAGTCCGACAAGGATTGAGCTTGCGCTGATTGCGTCTTCTCAAACATCTAATATAGCACGAGAAAGGTGAAAAGCTCGTTAGACGGACACTCTCAAATTTCTGCGAATTCGATGCGTCGGGGTTGGGGGCGTCGAGTGTTTTTTTTTGGGGGGGGGGGGGGGGCACAAAACTCACCTTTGGTAGACTCTTTTTGATCTCTTCCACCTCATCCACCACTTTCTTAATCTCCTCATCCCTTCTCGTCTCTCCCTTCTTGATCAAATCCACAGCGCTCTCCACTTCCTTGATGCCTTGATCGACAGCCTTACGCTGCTCCTCTACACCCACCTTGACGCTTTCTGTCGTCTCTTCCAGCGCTGACAATTGAGAGGAGACAGCGTCGTACTTAGCCGTGAGGGACTCGAGATCGGTAGTCAGCACATCAGCGTTGGGCGGCTTCAGATGTGGCAAGAGGTACTTCTGTGGTTGGGAATTTGGCAAAAGGGGCGGCGATTCGGGTCGGGTCGGGTCGGGGTCAGTAGGTGTGCAGTTGTACGGTGTGCGCTTTCCAAATGCGGCCGCACACAGGAGAATGGCGTAGGAAGCTCTGTTGGCGGCGCATACATGCGGTCCATAGTGATCGCACTCTCTTGGAAAGCGCCATCACCGCGGCTACGCAGAAGATTTGAATGCGCTCACTCACCCTGGCAAGACTCATCACGCCGTACCCGGCAGTTCCAGCAACGACGGCCATGATGAACCAATCTCTCCAATCATTGGCTCTCTGATTAGGCTGACCATAAGGATATTGACCAGCTGGTGCTGCATAATAAGGAGCAGACTGAGCATACGACTGATGAGATTGAAAAGGCCCGACCTGACCCTGAGCTGAAGGAGCGGGCGAGAGATGGGTGGAAGAGGTGGTGGTGGAAGATAAACGAAGAGCTTCTTGAATCTCGCTCTGAGTCAGACCTTTGGAGGAAAGAAATTGCAGCCTCTGATCCATTGTGGACGTCGATACTGCCGGATCCAGCAGGAAAGAGACTGCGGATTGCACCATGTCGGCCCTCGGCGCTGCATTGGTGCTTGCAGACATGCTGAGCTTCTTTGAAGGTGCGGAGGCGATCAAAAGTTTGCGTGGGGATCTGTCAGTGCGTCACGATTGCTCGGCAGGGGAAGGTGCTTTGCAAAAGTTACAAATGTCGATGTGGCTACGGAAGCGCGGTCGGAAGGGAGAGCCTTGTGACTGTCGAACCCTCTTTGATCGCGATCGCCAATTGAAATCACGAGTCGTGAGTTTCAGGAAGAAAAGGTGCGACTTCGCCCTCCCCCCCCTCCCGTCTCATCCTCGATCAACCTCGAACAAACGTGGTCCAGCACCGGTACCGGTGAAGCGGGCCGAGCATCAGCAGCGCAAATCGCGTGCGCGCGTGAGACGAGTCGGTGCGGGGGTACAAACAGCCGCGCCTGCATGCATGCGTTTGGATATGATCGAGCATCACGTGAACAGCGAGTCACGCTGGAGACGATTTGCCAAGCTCGCTATATCGACCGAACCCCTCTGCATCTATCTGACTCGACTGCTCACAATCCTCTCACAGCAGGCTGCTGCGAATGTCGAGGCTCGGTCCTCTGCTTCACGCTGTACAACTCATGCTAAGCTTCAGAAGAAAAGTCTGCAGCATCACGCAGGCCTGCTAGCGCGCAAGTCAGCAAAGAGCAAAGAAAGGGTCCATTTGAGGATTTGTCTCATTCATTCCAAGAGAGCGACGTCGCATCTAGCTCCCTGACCGAGCCAAGCCTCGTCATCCACCTCTCCAAGTATAGCGTTGCTCCGCGGCAAGGTCTGCGCATTCGTCGCGCCTTGCATGTGGGGCAATCTAGAAGGAATGCTAGCTGGACCTAGTTCTACAGGCGCTCCTCTAGGAAGCTGACCATTGGTGTAGTCGGACTCTGCTCCCGGAACTCTTGAAGAGCAGAGAGCTTGCCGTGCTCGGACGCTCGAGAGCGTGGCTAGCGTCGAAGCGACCCAATTGGGATCGGTCAAGGGTGACAGGTCGTTTGGTTTCCATGCCGGTAGTTTCTGTGAACATTGATGAAAATTGCATTAGCAACAGCCCGCGCACGTGGTCCACCGGCAATGCTCTAACCCAGCGGGGAGAGAACAGCCGCCTACAAGGAGCACTTACCGCCTTGACCTCTGCATACGAAGCTTCGCAGCCGCTACATTCCCTTACGACGCGCGGAGGGCCTACCGCGGCGCTGGAGTGCGCCGGCGTTTCGACGTTCCGACCACGAGGTGTGCCTAGGCTGAGCGAGCCCAAATTTGCATCAGGCTGAGTTGTAGCGGTCGATCCAGCTTGGCTCGCCTGCGCAGCAATCTGTGCATTCGCTTGAAAGTCGACGAAAAGCCGCGTATCGAAGATGCGAAAGAGGACATCATCGACGCGCAAGAAGAAGCGACAGAGCAGCAGGAGACAAGATGGCATGACTCTCTGGGGTGCAATTGCTCAAGGTCAGCTTGCCTTTAGACAGATACCTTACCGGCTTGCTGCATCCTATCAAGTCCCGAGACTGGTCTTAGCAAGTACTCACCACTTTGACGCTCACTGCGCTCGTGCCATTATCCCCCAGCTCGTCTTCGAAAAGCACGACTTCATCGAAGAACAAGATGGGTTCTGTACCCGGTCCCAGTCTCTCGGTGGGTATCCTATCAGTGGCCGAATCGCTTGCCGGTCGAAACTTGGAAGCAAGCTGGGCAGCAGGGGTCCACGCTGGTGAAGCAGTGCTGGGAGCTTCAGCGCTTGCGCCATTGGGGAAACCTGGAGGAAGAGCGATCTGTTCTGTTCCAGCATAGGTGCTAGTGTACGTCCAGTCGTAGTCACGAGCAGCACCGATCGCTGTTCCACTCGCTTCTATAGGAGCATCACCGCTAGAGCCCGGGATATGCGTGGGTCTGGAAGCGTCATCGATACTGGAAGCAGCAGCAGCGGCAGAGGCTTTGAGAGCCGGGGCAATGTCCGGGCGAAATGCAGTCGAAGCTTGTGCCTGGGAGCCGTGCGTCACGTTCGCTGTGGAAGAGGATACTTGCTCCCGACTGCGACCCCACTCCTTCGCATAAGCCACCTTGACCTTGTTCCTCCTCTTTTTCTTTTCTCCAACGCGAGCTCTTGCCGTTGTGCTGCCGGCCACGCCAAAAGAGATGCCTTCCAGCTTGTGGGCTTCTGCAACGCCCTCGACGCACTTCAAAGCTTCTACCGAATCGAGATCGTACTTCCACCCTGTTGCCTCATGCTCAATGGAGACTCGATTTTTAAGGAAGGGCATCTCTGGCATGGGGATCTGAAGATCCGAGGACAGCTCATCGATGGCAGCGGACGAAGCGATGGATCCGTGCGTCACTCGGATGGTGAAGCCAGCAATTTTGATGCCCTTGTGTCTCAGCGTATCGGCGATAGAGCTGGGACTCGGTGCAGAGGCATCGCTCGATTGCTCGTGTGGGACAGAGCCAGATGCGGATGAGGTATAATCGAATAGCTCGTGAGGCGCACTGGAGCTGCCAGAGATGGACCGCATCCCAGACCCGTTCCTGCCAAGCAGATTCGACATGGTGCGCTTGGACGTGGTTGCGAAAGGGTTGTGATTGAGGTGCAGTCGCTATGCGAGCGTGATGTACGCTTCCTACTTTGGCCCAGCGCCTGCTCGTATGACACGTAGCGCAGTGTGAGTAGAGTGGTGGATAAAAGCTGCTCCCAGCAGCGCTCTGCGATCGATGTTCTTGAGAGCAGCGTGATGCGTGATCGTGGATGTGGGTGGATGTGTGCTGCTGCATCGCATTCGTGTTCCCGTGCACTCGATTCTTGATTGATTGTGAATCAATGCGTCCCACTCGCACTCACAACTGACAGGCGGGCTGCTGCATGCATGCATCAACCAGCACGCAGACGCGGTTCCCCGCCTGCTGGAAATTGTTCCCCGCGCATGCAGCATGCGACCAGTCAAAGTCACGAGTGTGAATCAATGTGAATCTTAAATTAGAGCTTTAAATTTCAGCATGCCCTGCCTCGATGATCCCACAAGATCGATCAAGCGACGCAAGCGCTGAGTATACGCCTGGCGCTGAGACTGGCATTCTTGATTCACATTTGACGTGTTCAGTCAAGTCAAGAGTGCACCAGTCACAGTATCGCCTTGACGATGTTACACTCACACTACCGCCTCCATCTGTCGATCATCTTGTCAATTTCAAATGCATCCGCTTGACATCATATATACCCCCGTCACGCGTGGTGAGCACGAATTAGCATGGCATTCTTAACAATTCCACAATCGTGAATGTGTACGGTACGGGGAGGCCGATGCGCGGCGCGGCGCAGGCATCAGCAGTGGCATGCATGAGCCGCGCGAGACGGAAGCGGAGTGTTATTTCCGCGCTCACATGCTGCTGCATGCACGCATTCAGTGACAATCGTGAATAAGTGATTATTCAAGATTTCTGCTGCTGATTGATCAGTCCAGTCAGGATGAGTCGAGGGTGAGGTTTGAGTGTGAGTGTGAGTGTGGGAGTCGCAAGCCGTCATCAGCGACTTGTGACAGTAGTAGTAGTGAACCACAATGCTCTACCCCACCGCCTCATCCACCGAGACTTTCTGCCTGCTAACCATCACCAATCGTGGCTATTACCTCACCTTCCTCGATTCATCACCTTTCTACTTGTGCAACGCTGAACTTGACCCTCTCCCTTATTTCGCCTATTCACACACCTACTATACCTCTTACGCCTACATTTCCCGCTCATCCGGCTCGCACCGCCCAGCCCCTTCCGCAAGTCGATCCTTGGGACTTGCATTCAACGATTCGACACCCGCACATCGCACAGCATCACTCTGTTCCCATCGCTACACGGCGAGTGAAGTGCCGCCACAGTGTCGCAGCACCTGCATCGCGTCATCGACGAGGCAGACTGAACGCGTGTACGCACCTGTGTAGCTGTCGCCGCCATGAACGTCTCGAGTGGAAGTCACTGGTTCAGATCCACAGTGTCTGCAGCAGACAGTCTATATCTGGTTCCAACACCGGTCAGCACACCATGGTACCATACACCATCGGAACGCTTGGTGCCATTCATGACGGACAAGTACTTCTCCGTCTTGGGCCCCGTCGTGCTCTACTGGCTGGCATCAGGTTGGTTCGCCTTCCTGGACTACATCCAGCTACCCTTCTTTGAGCAGTATAGGTTGCACGAACCCGAAGAGGTGACGTCGAGGAATCGAGTGGGCCCTTGGAAAGTGGCGGCCATGGTCATGCTTCAGCATGCCATACAGGTCGGCCTAGGCGCCATGGTGCTGGATGGCAGTCAGTCTGCGATTGAGAACGCCAGAGATCATCAAGAGGGAATGAGGGACATTGCCGCCTACGTGTCCAGCGCTGCGCTCGGCTTGTTGGGTAATTCAACTGGTCTCAGCTTCTTGAAAGTGGCGGGTCCTTCGACAGTCCACTTCATCTACTGGTGGGGCATTCCAGTCGTTCAATTTTGGTGGGCTTTGTGAGTATCACGGTGCGCGCACGAGCTGCATGCGGGGTCGATCCGACAGCTGCGCGCAGGATATGAGAGGCTTCTGTGGACTGCTCTTGCTGACGTGTCTTGCCCTGACCATAGCTTTGTGATGGATGCTTGGCAGTACGGACTGCACCGCTTGTTTCACGAAAGCAGATTCCTATATCGCCACTTTCACTCGCATCATCACCGCCTTTACGTTCCGTACGCTTACGGAGCGCTGTACAATCATCCACTAGAAGGTCCGTAGCTGGGAAGCATCACGACGCACAGAAAGCTGCCTCGAGAGAAGCATACATGCGCATGCTAAGTAGCAGTTTCCCCTCTCCTCCATCCGCACCCTCACAGGTCTGCTGTTAGACTCTGCCGGCGCCGCGCTCGCGCACGCCGCAGCGCTGATGACGATCAGACAGGGAGTCGTGCTGTTCATGTTTAGCACTTTCAAAACTGTCTGCGATCACGGAGGATACGCATTCCCGCCATGGCTTGACCCTCTGCACCTCCTCTTCCCTAACTGCGCCGAGTATCACGACGTGCATCATCAAATGCAAGGCCTCAAGTACAATTACTCTCAACCTTTTTTCGTTCACTTTGACACCGTATTTGGAACGAGGATTTCAAAGGAAAAATTCGACAAGCTCAAAGCGCTCGGCAAGGAAAAGAAAGGTACTTGGGGCAAAGACGCGAAGGCGGCAAGTGCGTCGTCCACGGCACTCAAGGACCCTCATGCTGCCGAGGACTTGAGACGAAGGCGAGGAGAGAAGAATGACGGCCAGCACGATCTACCGCCGGAAGAGGCTGTTGAACTGTTCGGTGGGGATCCGCTCGTCACGACGAATGCGGTAGAGTACGCAGCCAAGGCTGGTACCACAGTCTCATAAGACAAGCCTTGCGCGGTTCGCACGCCACACTTCGTTCTTGCCCGAAATCATCGTAGTCTCCGGACACCTTGCCACACGTGCACACGCTCTTCTATAATCATACCTGATGCATATCTTCGTGGTTGCGCTCACGCACTGCTGCTGTGTTGGCCGATGTTTCGCAATGTATGCGCCTCTTTCCGCATGTTCAAGACTCGGGTCTACGCGATTGAAGCCTCGTGGAGACGACGCGGCGACGTGCGAATGCTGCTTTTCAGTATGGGTACAGGAGCCAGCTCAAGGAGCGGGAGCCAGTGTAAGAAGAGCGTGTGTATACGATGACGATGAAGCAAGAGACGATGAGCGCTGCGGTGAGGAAAGCCATGATGGAAACTGCGAGAGTGCGGGAGATGGGCGGAGGCATCGAAGCGGGAACAGTCAGCTAAGTGGAAGGGGGAGAAGGAGGGAGAGAGGGTCGCACGAGGGCGCTGCAGATACGCACCGGAAGCGCGAGATGGTGGGAAGTTGCCTTGGATCAGACTGCGCTGCGCTTTGAAGAAGCGATACGTGCCGAAGAGCAGACTGAGCGCACCCAGGGCTATGCACACGCATCCGATCGGCTTGCCACTGATTTGCATCGCAAACAGCGACACAGACAGGAAAAGATGTGGGGGCAGGGGGCAGGGGGAAGCATCAGACCCACAAAAGTTGGCCGTGCAGAGGGCAGTGTACGATCGATCGATCGCACTTACAGCTTTTCGGGAGTGATGGAAGGGTCTTGCGTCGATGCGAGTTGGAGCATGCGCATCACTTCTTCTCTTGTGAAGGTGTCCTGCGGTACGGAGGCATCGCTTGAACGCAGAGCCTCGAGTATTTGCTGCTGAGGCTGTTGAATCTGATAGATGTTGTTGTCAGAGGAGTAGAAAGCTTTGGGCGGTGAGCTTGCGAGGGATGGAATGCGCAAGAGCTGCGCTACTGCGATTCCAATAGAGACTAGACCCAAAGACGTTCGCAGCCAGGCCAAGCTGTGGGAAAGGGGTGCGGCGAAGTGTGCGGTGGGGGACCAGATGAGAGATGCAATGTCGAATTGCCGATAGCATGCTTAGAGGAAACTCGGCAACTCACAATGTACGTTCAAGCGCAAGGTGATCTCTGGCCACGCTGCCCTTATTTTCCAGCTCGAGGGAGAGGGCGATACGCGGAAAGTGTGGCCAGATTTGCCCATCATTTGCGTCTTGATTTGCACCTTGCGACATGTTTGAACTGCTCGGCTCGGCTTCGAAATTGGCAGTGGATGATGTGCTTTACAGCAGGGCGTCTTGAAGATCTCGCCGGATCTCTAGGGGGCATGGGACTGCTCAGCCAGCACAGCCAGCTTGTGCTGCTTGAGAGCCAGTGATGCGACAAGCGACGTCTCGTCTTCAGGAGCGCTTCAGCACCTGCTGGTCCGTGCTTCGCGCCGCATCGAGAATGTCATATAGATGCGTCCAGCGTGAGGCTGGTGGATGTAGAGGCGAGGCAAGTTTTTGCCTTCTCACGTCCCACGGTTCACAAAGTTACCACACTCATCAACATTCACAATTCGCTATTACGCTTCGTGATTGCTGAAACAGTTCGCGCTCATCGGATTCAAGATCCTCGATTCAAGATTGATTTCCACTCACGACTTGCATGGCGGAAGGATGGCGTGATCTGAGAGCATGTGAATCGTGATGCAGCATGCATGCCCACAGGCGCGGGAGCCGTGGGGTGCGTGCGGTGTGGACATAGACGAGAGGTGCAGGTATACCTACCTATATGTAAGATGCGAACGCGCGCAGTCACGAATCGTACAGCTTGGCTTGGCGGCGTCGCACGCGCCATGTAACAAAGAAAAGTATTTGAGCACACCTCTATAGTTCATATTGTGACTATTAGCTCCCGCGCCAATCACGGCCGTATGCCGGAACGGTAACGGGCTGCACTCGAATTTATTCGAGAGTTACCGAGAGCGTGTGCTCTTGTTGCGATGCCGTGGGATTTTCCCTACTTGGTTCGACTCCAAGTGCGGTCGAGATTTTTTTTTGGCCGGCCCAATTTTTGTTTTGCCTTGTGGCCCGATTTTCGGCATCCTCGAATGTTAGACATGCTCCGGAAACTGAGGGAGGACTTATGAGGCAGAGGTAGCCGTATTGAAGCGCGAGTAGTAGTAGTAGTAGTACTTGTTCTGATAGCTCAATACGTGACAAATCATTGAGGTTTGGATAACCGCGCCGTTTTACTTGGCAGTCATGTCAACAAGATGCCGCGTGTGAAGCAGAGCAAATGAGTGGGAGAGTTTGAGGGGGTTACGGCGATTCTGAATGTGACAGTGCATAGCGTACTGTGGCAAGTATCCAATGAACGGTGTATGCTCTGGGGGCCATGTGGTCATAAGACAGAGCCACAGTATGGGGTTGGAAACAATCAGGGCTGCTTCAGTCACTATAGAGCACACAGTATGAGTAGGAAACTAATAAGGCTCCTTCAGAAGAGCAGCAGAACACTGACCAGAAGCGCTTTCAGCTTGCCACCAAGCACAACAAATCATGGGAAAGAGACACCTTCCGTCACAGTGAATAACAACCATTTGTCCTGCACAGGCTTGCAAAGAGGTACACAACATGGGAACATGCAGGCTCAATTTCTCACCTCCAAGACTCCCACACAGACATGTAGCAATCTCTTCAAATATCTGACCGAGAAAAGCTGAGGGCGGCCAAATCACGTGAATGCTCCTGCAGCCGCATGCTACTCATCAGATTCACATTGTTGTTTTTAATTTCGCCTCCAGAAGAGACTCAGACTGGAAGCATGACCGTGAATCTATCGCATCCATCAGAATCTTGAATTGATCCTGACGCTATTCAGCACGACGAACACGACACATCCGTCAAGATGAGCAATTCGGAAGAAGCATTGCAAAGCTCAGCAGCTTCCAGCAGCGTTTTGCACGTCGATGAGAATGGCAAGCATCGGCAAAGCCAGAGGAAAGTAATGCGAAAGTCAGCACCTTTCACGACCTCTGAGCGACTGACGCACATTCCGTCCGGCAAGCCTGTGCTGCTCAAACTTCCATCGGGACATCTCAAGTCAGTCGTGCTTCAAGCAGCAGCAGAAGGTGGTGTGAGAGGAGGCGACGATCTCATCTCTCTGGGCAAATTTGGAGTGTTTCGAGGCTCCGAGATCGTGGGATTGCCTTTTGGACATTCTTTCGAAATCGTGGGCGGCGATAAAGGGGGACCGAGCAGGTTGAATGCTAATGGTGGCGTGCTGGGCAAGAGGAAGGCTGGAGATGAGGAGAAGGACCTCTTAGATCAGAGCGAGGAGGATGTACGAGATGGCAGTGCTGGCCCGACTTTTGGCACGGAGCCGGTAGAGGGAGGCGGCGCGAAGGGCAGGCAGGGCAAAGCGTCCAAAGAAGCCGGACTTCCAACTCCCGGCCAGCTCAGGGTGGTCATTGAAGCGCCAGGTGCAGAGGCGATTGGTGAGTGCTGCTGTCGAGGCGCTCGGTGTGAGCCTTGCGGATGACGTAGACCCATTCTGCTGGATGAGGCGCATCAAGGCCTGCGCAGATCGTTGCCGCTGACACCATCAACTCCTCCGGGCGTCGGCTGTGCTCACTTCTCCGGGATTTAGAGGAGACGGATGCGACAAACGAGCTGTACGCGGATGGCGATCCAGACTCGGCGTATGCTCAAACCGCGCAGCTATTGACGACCATCGATATCAGCGCGCTCAAGGATGCGGGGGTGGACGGCAAGGTGAGCAAGAAGAGTGGAGGGGATTGAGTTGATCTGACAGGCCAAGCTGAGATCTATCTCCTCCCCTCCCTTGTCTGCATCAGACCATCATACAGCAAGCCACGGAAGGCAACATCAACTTTGCTCAGAAGACTGCATTTTCACAGGCCAAGTGAGTGCAGCTGTTGCGCCTTCATCAATCCCACTAGCATTTGCGAGCGCCCTGACGCACCCTTGCTCATCTAGATATCGTAAGAGAAAGGAAAGCAAGTGAGTGCTCAAACCTGCTTGTATTCGCGCCTGCCATGGGATCGAAACTCACTTTGCTGTCCCACAGACACATGCGAATCTTTACGCCGCTCGCACCAACACCCTCCATCATAGCAGCGCACAACGCCGAGCGCTCAGCAGAAAAGATGCGAGGTCTGCGGGAAGACTCGATAGCGCAGATGTTGAGCTTTGCGAACGTCGCTGCTGGAGGCAGGTATCTGATCGTGGACGGGGTTGGAGGCGCATTGACTGGTTCTGTGCTCGAGAGGCTGGGCGGCGAAGGCCGAGTGCTGGTCATTGGAGATAATGGTGAGCGCTAGCCAGCAAACGCATTGTTGATCATTCTATCGAGGCTCACAAGACTGATCGATCTTTGCGAGCTCAGAATCGCCCCCTGCGTTTGAATCGCTTGCTCAGCTGAATTTGGAAGAGGAGCACCTATCGATACTGCGAAGCCTGCATTGGGCAGCCACAGAGATAGGATGGGAGCCACGTGAGTAAGGCTTTTCATATCGGAGCGGATGGGGTGCGTGCTTGACAGCTTGAGCATGGCAGTGCGCCCTCATCGAACTTTGCAAGCGGCAAATTCGTATCCAGCTGCTCGACTGACCGAGTTTCTTGCCTCTATCAGAGAGCGAAATTGATGTGCATGCAACTCACAAGCCGGCAGGCAAACCAGTCAATGACCGGGACAGGCAGAGATTGAGGTAAGACGAGCGCATAGGGTGTAGGCGCTGTTTTCCCCCCCTTTTTCGTGGAAGTTCAGCTCATCTTTCGAATTCTTTGCCGACGCACCAGAAAGCGGCAGGGCCAGCACGAAGAGTATCAAGAGACGCGGCAGGAGCTGCTGGATGGCGACTGGGACGGGTGAGTGTGCACAATCGCCGCACCGAGGTCTGTCCGCTGGACGCTAATCAAGTTTCTTGGTGAACGCTGGCACATCACTCATGGCAGACTTTTGGCAGCCTGCCCTTACGAGACGATTTCTGTTCTGCAGCGATTGATTCCGCACTTGGGCGGCTCAGCAAGCATTGCCGTACACAGTCCTTTTGTGCAGGTGAGCAGTCGAGCCGCACGACGACGACAGCCCGAACCTTTTTGCTCCGCTTGAAACCCAATCGCTGACCTGGAGAAACTCGTCCGTGCAGCCTCTCATCGAGGCCTCTGCGAGATTGAGGTACATTCCAGAACTAATCAACGTGCTCATCACCGAGCCTTGTCTGAGAGAGTACCAAGTGAGTTCTGATTATGCTCTCCGTGCTTGCGATGCGTCAAAACCTTTGCGCGCATGTGCCCTCCCCCCCCCCCCTTACTAACCGTGCTCCCTTTTTGCGCCCAAGGTACTGCCTGGCCGGACGCATCCTCAAATGATCCAATCCTCCACTGCAGGCTACGTTCTCTCGTGAGTTCGACGCGTGTTGGTGGGTGATAGCTGCGAGAGGGGGGTTGAAAAGTCCGCTACACGCGGTGCGGCAAAGAGGCATCCGAGGAAAGCTAGCTGAAAACCAAAACACGCATCTGGCTTGCCTTGCTCCGCTTTCTGCTTGTTCCCCCGCCCATCAAGCGCGACGCGTATTCTGAACGACGACGAAGCTGATCGAGTTGTGCAAGAGGAAACGAGGCTGAAGGAGGCTGTCCTTGCACGGGGAGAATGTGAATAGAAAACAATAGCGTGCACGCTCGCATGCACGCTCGCATGCACCCAGATGGCCGACCCACGCCTTTCAAACCGCATCAGCATTCGTCACGTCAAGACATCAATTTGATTTGTTAAACTTGTACCTCTTTGGATGCGCCCCCAAAAAAGGTATGACCCGCGCAAAGAATCGGCATCCTCGCTCTCCTTGTGCGCTCCTCTGCGCCCTCTACTTGAGGTAACCATTGGATTTGAGCCACTGCTCGACGTCCTGCTTGTCCGAGTCGAGCCATCTGACGTTGGTCCTGATAGAGTCCAAGCTTTGAGCCAAAGCCATGGAGATCTTGCTAATCTGTTTACCTTCAAAGAAGCTCTCAGCGTCCTGTATAGCCTCTTTATCCGCCAAGTTGGACAAAGCATACTTGACGATATTTCCAAAGCTAAAGTTGTTTCCCGCAAACCTTGTATTCAGCTTGTCCCAATTCTGCTTGATCCAGTTCCAAAGCGCCTTTCTAGCCTGCGGAGACAAGTTGGCTCCGAGTCCGGCAGAAGTGTACATGAAGTCTTGCGTCTTGACCTCTTCCAGCGTTAGCGTCAATGTTCGCTGGATCAACTTTTCCTCCCTCGTAGCGCACAGGGCCAAGTGAGCAGCAATCTTGTGCGTCGGCGTAGGAGGTTTCCTCCACACGCCAAGCACCGATTCGTACTCTGCCTCTCCTCCATGCTTGACAGCCGTGGCATATACCGTCCTGAGGATGTCGGGATGAATACCGCTCTCGTCTTGCGTCGTTTGCCAAGCTGCAAACCTGGTCCGCAGCTCTTTCAGCGTGTGCTCATCACCACCCGCAGCAGCTGCCGCAATGGCAGTAGCGCGCAGCTGCTTCGTATCCGGAGACTCGCCCTCTGGAAACTCGAAGCCCAACTTTTGCACCGTGCCGCCAAACACCTCGGCTCTGAAGTGGTCGATTGCAGACCTGACCGCCTCCGGCTGCTCGTACCAAGTCGAGGCGAGCGCAGCCAAATTGGTGCTGATCATGCTCTGCACCAGGTACGTCGGATCGTTTCGAAGCTCCTTGACCAGGGTGAGCGCTGCGCTAGTCTTGCTATCCGTAGCTTTGGCCAGGGTGAAAGCGTCGGAGACGAGCCCCACACGATCCTGAAGACTGAAAGCGCTATTAGGCTTGGCAGCCTCGGCTCCCAGCTTTGCGAGTCTCGCGGGCTCATAAGCCACGCGATAAACACCAATCGTGTCGGCGTTGAGCTTCCACGTAGAGTTCTTGACATCCTTGAGCGCAATTTCCCTCGACCTTTCCAGATCCAACACAGCGCTAGGGTCCACTTTGGCCTCTCCGGAAGCGGATACCGTCTTGAGCTGCAAGGGAACGTACCACAACGTCTCATCCTCTTCCGGCTTGACATCGCCAGTGCTCAAGAACCTGTTCTGACGAACAACGATGCTGTCTTGCTTCTCTTCGACCGTAATGACGGGATAGCCAATCTTCAAGATCCAGTTGCTCATGATCCTAGCAACGTCCAGTCCCGAAGACTCGCTGATTCCAGCCCACAAGTCCTTTGTTTCGGCGTTGGAGTACAGATGCTTGGAAAGGTAGATGGCAACCCCGTTCAGAAAGACGTCTTCGCCAACAATCGCAGCGAGCATCCTGAGCACGCTTCCTCCTTTGCTGTAAGAGCAAGCATCGAAAATCTGAGCGATTGCATCCTCCACATTCTCCCCCTTGAGCGGCAGCTCGATGGGATGGCTGGAGCGCTTGGCATCGAGTTCGAAAGCGCGCTCCAGATGAAGTCCAATAAATTCGCTCGCGCTGTCCCACTCTGGGTAGAGTCGGTCGAGGATGATGACTTCTCCCATGAGCGTTGCGAACGCCTCGTTGAGCCACAAATTATCCCACCACTTGGGCGTCACAATGTTTCCGAACCACTGGTGGGCAATCTCGTGCGATTGCACCGAAGCTGTCCTCTTCATGCCCTGCAGGCCGCTCTTCAGCGGGTCGTACAGGTAGACGCTGGTTCGACCCGTGATCAGTCCCCAATTCTCCATCGCTCCCGCATCGAAATCGGAGGCGACGAGCGTGTCCAACTTGGGCAGAGGGTACTCTTGCTTGAAGATCTTTTCGTACACGGGCACAGCACGAGCAGTCACATCGAGAGCGAATTGCGCCTGATGAATGTACTCTGCGGTAGTGTAGATTTTGATGGGCACAGTGCGACCCGTGATGGGGCTCTTGAAGCTGGATTCGAGGCTCTGAAAAGGTCCATTAGCGAAGGCTACAAGGTAGCTAGACACCAAAGGAAGCTTGTCGTAACTGGTAACCTCCCACTCGTCACCGGCTCCGACAGCGTTTGCCACTTCCGTCTTGAGAGTCTTGGCAGCTTCAGTGACTCCCGATTGCACGCCAAGCTCCGTGAGGCGCAAGAGCTTGTCGGCATCCGAGCGGCTGATTGGCTTGTTGCTGATTGCAGGCATGTCTGGTGCGAGCAGAGGAAGCAGAGGACAGCCTTTCTCAGCGCAGCTCTCGAGCCTCGCAGCGGCCCTATCTCCAACTTACTGGCGAGGGCTGTGGTGTCCTTGCGATGAATCATGGTGAAGCTGTACGTAGCCTTGGCCTCTGGCTCGTCAAAGCACGGGAAAGCCTTTCTGGCAGCAGTGGCCTCGAACTGAGTGAGAGCATAGAAGCCCTTTTTGCCCTCGTGCTCCCAAGTAGAGCGATAGTAGCCTGGAGTGGGGAGTGCGAATGGGAAGCAGCGGACTCAGAGCCGAGCGAGCGATGACAGTCCCTTTCTTGCTTTCTCCACTCACCCATCATGCTCGCGTCAATCTCGGACTGCACGTCGACGAAGGGGGGGGGGGTGGTCCATCAGCATACATGGTGCACTCAGCATGCCGAGGGGTCTGGCAGCTTCTCCAGCCTGCCTGGAACGCGACCTGAGCGCCAAGAAGAGGCGGTTTGACTGGTCAAGGAGCAGCGCTGAAGTCGGCTCACCTCGAAAGCTACCGAGATGGTGGCTTTGCTGCCTTTGGGCAGCGTCGTGGCCAGCTTTGCAGTGATGCGTTCGTGTTTCTGTGCACGGCAGCGAGGTGAGCAGGCGAGCGAGCGAGTCAGTCAGCCGAGAGGGACGATGACTGAGCGGGGGGGTGGCAAAACCCCTCATTGCCTGCCAGCCAATACACCAAATCACCTTGTCGACATCGAGCGAGACGATGCTCTTGTTCTCCGTCTTGAGGGCATCGGCCTGTACGGCGGCCTTGTTGACGTTGAGACCTTCTCCCGCATTGAGCACGATCTGATCCGTCTCCTTGATCACGTCCAGATGAATCGTCACCAATCCGCTAAATCGGAGGGACTGCAGATCGGAAAGGATGGTCAAGTCGTAGTGGGTAGGTCTGGTGTGCGTCGGCAGACGGAAGAACTCTTCGCCGCCGCCCGCCAGAGAGGCGACTGGCGCAGCGGTGTTGCTGGATGTCGACATGGTGACAACGCTTCGAGTAGAGTGTGTGCGCAAGAGTTTGAAGGGAGTGATCGAGGTGGATAGGCTTTGAAGCTGCGTAACGCGCAGGGATGAAAAAGCGAGGAGAAGCGCAAGGAGTGGAAGGAGGATCCAGAGCAAAGCGCGAGCCGGCGTTGCGTTGGGATGATGAGGAGGAGGAGGAGGGCGAGGGGGAGGGGGAGGGCGAGGGCGATTAAGAGGATGATGAGCCCGTGTCTGTGTCATGGGTGTAGTCATGCTACGCTAGCAAAAGCAAAAGACAACCAAGAAAAAGACCCTTGAACCCACCTCTTTGCGCGTCTGCGATCCGCTGCTGCGAGTGCCAGTCTGGGTGAATGTGGTAGGCTGGATGGAGTCAGACTGCAAGGGATTCGTGCGAGCAAGTCTGAGCGTGTAGAATGATCTACGACTGCTGCTGCTGATAACGACGATGCCTTGCGAAGAGGTGCGCGTGCGCGTCTGGATTCGAGCGAAGCGTTGGCTCGCTCGTGCAAGAAGCATCAACGTGGAAAAATCGCAAAAGTAGGGTGATGTGATCGAAACTTGCCCCGATCCGATGCCGATCTCGAATCAGGTGTGGTTGGTGTTGGTTGGGGCAAAGCGAAGAGATGAGAAGGTGGGGACAATAAAGCAGGTCGGGGTCGGGGTCGAGCGTGTGCGTGTGCGCGTGCGCGAGTGTGTGCTTGCGGGGGGCGTGATCGTAATGTTGCTAGATGTGCGTCTTTGGAAGCGAATAGGCAGATCAGAGCCTGTCTGTCGTGTGATCCAGTCAGCAGAAAGATCAAAGTCTGATCTGAGTCTTGAGTGTGCATGCTGGCGCCCAACTCGCCGGCGGGGGGGGAGGGGAGCCCAACTCGCGACCGCGGGGTGGCTCGAGCGAGTCAGCGCAAGTCCGTGCTTGACGGCGCATGCATGCAGCTGCTACGGCCTCCATCAAGCGCGGGCAGGGTCAGTGTGCACACTCACGACGTGCCGTGCCGTGCCGTGCCTTGCCTGCATGCATGCACCTGTGCTCGACCAGGCGGGCCAAGCATCATAAAGCACAAAGCTCGCACACATCAGTCACGTGAGTACATGTCCACGCAGCCCGGCCGGCCGCGCACGCACAAAAGCCTGTCCAGTCCAGTTCAGTCGGTCGGTCGGTCAGTCAGTCATGCAGCACGCGCACGGACAATCATCACCCCAGCAGCAATCCGATTCCACGATCGATGGGTGATATGCAGCACATCATATGCGACTCTGACTGATGTAGGCACAGCACAGCAGCACACTCGCGCTCACACGCCCCCGGGGCCCGCGGGCGGCACATTTGCCGGAAATCGTCCGCGGCCTTCGCTCCATCCATCCATCCATCCATTCCATCCATCCCTCGCCGTTCCCCCCCTCCCTCCCTCTTCACAGAAACATCCCACAATCCCCACAATCCCCCCCACGCAAATCTCCACCGCCACCGCCACCGCCACCGCCAATCCAATCAAATCAAATCAACCCCAATCACCCCAATCATCGCCCAAGCATGGAGAACATCACCACGACCACACACACACACACACACACACACACACACACACATATAGGGTTGCACGCGCAGAGCTGTGGCATTCGAGATTCGAAAGCGCCATGCAAGCATAATGGAGGAAGAGAGAGAGAGAGACGAGACGAGACGAGAGGAAACAGAAGCGCTTGGTGTGTGTGGGGGCGCACGCCCAGCGCGAGTTGCGCGTCGAGTTGCGGGTCGAGGTCAGATCAAGCAGCGTCCGTTCGAGCTGGCAGAGAGAGTGGAATGAGACGGTTGTGGATGGGGGTCGGGCCGTGCGCGCATCGAGGGAACGGCATCATAAAGGCTTGCTTTCTGGGGCCGGCCCCAAGGCAGGACCCCATCAAAAAACAGAAGAAGAAAAAATTTCCCACCCTCACCACGTTCGGCCTGCATCAAGTCGTTCTGTTTGCCTGAACATTTCCCCGGCCCCCCTTCCCGATTCGAATGAATGTTGTCATCCTCCTTGCACGTATCCCCCTTCTTGATCACTTTCGGCTTTTTCCCTTCCAGATCCCAACCCCCTGAGTTCAAGTCTTCACGGCACTGCGCCGCCCCCCGCTTCTTCGTGTATTAGAATTCTCCAAAGTAAGAACCTGGCTTGACGCGCGACTGTTGTTTTTGAATAGGAGGGTACTAGAACGTCGCAATCAGAATTTGTCGCCCGTTTTGCAATCAGAAGCCAATTCGCGTGCAGGCGGTGGGTGAGCCAAACCCACCGAGGTGGCGAGTTGAGGAGGGAGAATGCGAAGAGAGGGAGGGAGAGAGAGGGATAGCAAAAGGTTGAGCAGGAGGGAGGCAAGAGGAGGAATGAAAAGGGTCGCGAGCGAGCGAGCGAGCGAGCGAGGTAGGTAGGAAGCGTGCAAGAAGGGGGTTCGGCCAAGTTTCAGCTACGTTTCGAGAGGGCAATGCGAAAACAAAAGGGGCAGACTACGCGGCCAGCTACTGTACATAGCAAGCGACCCGAGGGCGCGCGAGCGATTACCCATATGGGCAGATTCTTACACAAGTAGTGTAGCAAGACGAATGTGAAACAGAAAAAAAAAGGAGGCAAAGAGGGTGCAACATGGTCTCCGGAGACGAAGGGCCGGACGGCCACACTCAACGGGCTCCAGCACTGCAAACGAACGCAAAAAAAAAAAAAAAAAAAAAAAAAAAAAAAAAAAAAAAAAACTCACCTTGTACGGGGCGGCCTTTCTAGTCTCGTCCCTAGAAGGTCTAAAGGAGCTTCTTCCCTTGGCATCATTGAATCTGGCCAATTGTTTCCTCTTGCCATAATCCGTCTCCGACTCTCCCGGTCTCCTTTTCAACTCTCCCGTCTTGGCATCCCTCTCATCCGTCAGACCAGCGGCGGCGGCGGCGGCGGCGGCGCCAGAAGCCGCTGATGCTGCTTGAGGACCTCCGTTGGCCTCGTTGAAAGCAGGATTCGCCTTTGCGTACGCTTCTGCCGCCAACTTTCTCTGGGCGTGCGCTGCAACGCGAGCTTTGAAGCCTTCTTCCGTCTCGCCCGGCTCCTTCTCCAAGTGCTGCTTGTGCTCCGTAGCGGCCAAGTGCGCCCTGAGCGCCTCATCCGGCGCAGTCTTGACCACGTGCACGCCATCCGGCGTGTGGAACGTGTGCTCCGTGGCTACTTGAGCCTCGAACGCCGCTCCATTCCATCCGTCGTGCGACTCGTAGGCCCGTTGAGGAGCAGCGGGGCTGTGATCAGAAGGCATCTGAGCCTCGTAAGGGCTGACATACTTTTGTCCCTTGGCCTCTGCCTCTTTTCGACGTCTCTCATCCTCCTCCTTCGTGGGCAGTCCCTCCGCTTTTCTCTCTCTGCGCTCCTCTTCATCCTCAATCTGTTGATGATGCGCAAAGTGCTCCAAGTCTTCCTTGTGCGTGTAGGCAGAGTCGTCTTGCGTCTCGGGCGTATTGTGGTAGATCTCTTCGTGGTGCACAAAGTACTCCGACTCTTCGTCGTAATGATGACCCAGCGAGCTCGTGCCGTACTGCTCAAAGGATGGAAGCCCGTCCGGTCCAGCTGCGATGAACTCTGCCTTGGTCACGACGCCATCCCTGTTGTGGTCTAGACGACGAAGCACCTCGCTGACGATGTGATCGGCCTTGGCATCGTGCACTTCGTAGGTAGGTGAGACCTTGACCGATTCGCTGTGGTGCACGCCGTAAATAGCCTCGATCTCGGGGCGCTGCAATCAAAGGCTCCTGCTATCAGCTGCCTTCCCTGTCAACCCAAAAGCTGCATTCTGACGACACTCACGTCGAGGATACCATCGCGGTTGAGATCGTGGAGGGAAAAGAAGGCGCCAAGGTCGAAAGCCCCAATGTGGTGCTCGCTGGCCATATGACGTTGAATGTAGCTCTCCTGACCCTTCTTGTGAGGCTTCTCGTGAGCTATCTCAGCGGGTTCGATGAGATCCTCTGCGCCGCCGGAATGCGCCAAAGCAACTTGCTGCATGTTGAAAAAGACGAGGCAGATGAGGGCTACGAGGACCAGGGGAAGACCGCTCTGAGCTGGACGTGGAGGAAGAGCAGGATCGGGCGCGCTGCCGGCTGCCTGCTTCTTCTCTGCAGCGATGCGCGATGCTTCCTCGTGCACATCGGTCACCTGTGCAGAGCGGGGGGGAGCATGTGCTCGATCAGATGAAATCGGACGAACCAAAGCTGGTGGGGGGGAGCAACACTCACCGTCTTGTGTGCTGACGTGTACAAAGAGTGAATACGAGGGTGATTCGCAACGGCAGAGTAGTACTGCGAGGGGGGGAGAAGGAGAATATTTGTGAATGGATAAGCACCAGCGATCTCCCCCAAGTCAAGAATGAACGCGAGCACACTCACCTCGTTGAACTTGGCCCAAGCAAAGTCGGTGCGAGCCTTGACTTCTGGTCTAGCCAGCACTTCGCCCGCCTTTCCTCGCAGACCCTCCACAGCCTTTTGAGCGTGAGCAGAGGCGGTCTTTGCTTGGGACGCATCAGCAGGTACAGTAGTCGTCGTCTTTGGACCATCTGGCTGACCAGGTGCATCGCCGGGGACAGGAGCAGACTGGGCTTCCTTTTCCGTAGCGCTTAGATTGGCCGCGCTTCCGCTAGGCGTGTGCTCCGTCTTTTCGGTCAGATTGACACCACCCACATTACGTTTGCTGATCTGCTCTCCCAGACTCTTGTCCAGCGATGACAAGTAGGCCAGGAATTTGTTGGAGAGACCGTGCTGCTTGTCGTAAGCGATGGCTCGCTGAGCAACATCATCAGAGATGGTGTAGCCGTGAGCCAAGAGCTCGGCGATCCTAGCTGTGCGAGGTTTGTCCTCCTGAGCCACGGATTCGGGAGTCACGCTGCTTGCTGATGCAGTCGTGGAGGTCGACACTTCCGCCTCGGCTGCTTTCTCTGCAGATGCGGCAGAGGGCAGGGTGATGGTCAGGACGGACCCATCTACCACGCCTCCCGACAGCCTGCGCGGGAGAAGAGAAGAGGCAGCAGGGCTCGACTGATCAGCTTTGGCGTACGCCTGCGCGTATGCACGACAGACTCACATGACGGCAGAAGTGGCGGCCGAAGGACGCTTAAAGGTGACCTTTGCAGATTTGGACGTGGCGCTGGCGCTGGCGCTGGCGTGGGCGACGGAAGCATCGAACTGCACCGATTCGACATCGCCTACGAAGGAAAAGTAGTCGTTGAGAGCGGTGAGGGAGGTGTTGGGAGCGATGCCCTGCACGTGTATGACGCTGGCCTCGCTCGACATGATGAGCTGAAGTGAGGAGTCAAGAGTGTACACTTCGTGATGAGTGCACGTGCAAGAGTCGAGGGAATAGGCTGCAATGACAAAGGAGATGTGATGTGCGACAGTGGCCGGGGCAATGGAAGCTTTGATGGTACAGCGTCGTGAGCGCAGGCCTTGCGAGGCTGTGATGAATGAGCTCGAGCGACTTGCGCGAGTGTTTGCTGCGTATAATGAGAGTCTGAAGCTGGTGTACAACGTTCAGCGGTGAGGTGAGGTGAGGTGAGGTGCGAGCAGATGGTCACGAGTTGGAATCAAAATCGTGAATTGGTCGTCAGCTGCTCACACCTCGCGCGACTCGACTGGAGCAATGCGTGCGTGCGTGCGTGCATGGCCGTATTCGTGATTTGGACGGCGGTCGGGCGGTCGGGCGGCGCCTGCGCCTGCGCCTGAGCCTGAGCCTGAGCCTACGCCCTGCAACACTGACTGCATACGCAGCCATGCAACTCTTGATTGAAGATTGTCACTTAATTGCGATCGCTGCGCACGGCCTGAGCGTTGACGCTGCATGCATGCATGCGTGCATGCTGGTGCGCCTTTTCGTTGCGCTGAAGCAGGCGAGCACTGAAGCGTGGCGTGGCTGCACTGCACTGCAAGATTATTCTCGAGCACGTTCCCCCTTTGAGGCAAGTTGGAATCACGAGTCCACGGATGAGTCACGAGTAGAAGTTAGGCCCCAACGCAGTCAGAGTGCAGACCGTAGATCTTGATTCGTGATTGATGAGTGTGGAGGGGGGGATCAACTGATTACATGCACATGCACATGCGCCTTCACACTAGCACGTACTCAACGAGCTGCTGGATGGGCAGGCAGCAGCCGCTCGCACAAGCTCAATCACAATCACAATCACAATCACGAATTTAGCTGATTCACATTCACATTCAGAGCATAGCTGATCCTCATTTAAAGCAATTAACGCCCTTGTCATTATCATCATCGCTCTCTCGCGACTCTTGACTGAGCTAGCTCGATCGAGGACTATGACGACGATTTGCGCGGCGCAGCGCCGCATCAAAAAGCACGCGCGTGTGAGGCGGTGCACAGTTGAGTCAGAGTACACAGGCATATTTAGCGCGGGCATGAATCACATGGGTGGTCAGTTAAGCGACCGCAGGCTGAATTGTGCACGAGCGTGTGTGTCGATGCGCAAGTCAGTCAAAGTCGCGATCCACGGAATTTGAATCACAATGTTCATTCACATTTAATTCTGAATTCGCAGATTCTACATGTTCAACCTGCAACACATTCACCATCTCTTTGGGCTTGGAAACTCGCGCACAGGGGGCGCGGCGCGCACACCATACAGGAACAAGAGACGTCACGTCAAGCTGCACACAAAGCGGGGCCCCGTGTAGTCAGTCGATCACTTCAATTGGCATCTTGGCTCTGCGCAAGGCGCCACGCATCGTCAAGCATCAATAGTGGACAGTTGTGACTTGCGAGTGCGAGTACAAGGGTGTGGTCATCGGTCATTTAAACTAAAAAGACGAGTCGGCTTGCATTCGCAACACGGCAGCCATGACAGAAGCGCTGAAGCGGCGCATATCTGCCGCAAAGCAGCGCATGAGCGCAAAGCTGCTGCAGCTACACGATCCCTCTGCTTCCAATCTGAATGACGATTCCAGCGCTGCTCTGCTGGCTTCGGATTCGTCGCACAAGTCTCGCATCATCGGGTCTGACCACGCGCTCCGATCATCTGGACCAGGAGAAGCAGCACCTCCCGCCGGCACATTCACATTGCCCACCTCCACATCCATCGCTCACCTATCCGCTCTCTTGCTGCTCCTACGCAACCTCGAATCCAGCGTGCGCAAAGCTTCCAACGAGTTGAAGAGAATCGCAGATGCGGAAAGAGCTAGAGCGCGCGATGCTGCTGCTGCTGCAGAGAAGAATGACGCAAAGCATGGCGATTGCGGCGATTGCGATTTGCCGGCATATGGCCACACCTTTAGCGATTCTCCCGACGAGCTGGATCTGCCTCCTCCCCCTTCCCACGGTCAAGCATCACGATCCAAAGCCCACCAGTCAACGTCCGACAAATCCAAACTGTATCTCGCCGAAGAAGATGACGACAAGGCTTGGGAATCTTATATTGCTAGATCTAGCTATAGGTTTCAACTGTGGCAGGAGAGGATATCGTCGCGCACAAGCAGTAGTGATGCAGAGGCGCAGCTCTTGCCTCCCTTGGACGTCTTTATCGTCTGGGCTGCGCTCATCACCGAGCAAGATGCGCAGACTGTCGCGGGCCGCTCGTTGCTGCAATCTCCCCACTTTCCCCTGCAGTATGTGGTGAGTGATCATGAGCGCAGTGCACCGTAGATGAGCCAGCACGAGGCTGATTGTCGTCCGAATGTTTCTCCGCATCGAAAGACGGCCTACGACTCTGCTAGCCTCTCCATCAAATCGTCCTCGGCTTTGCGGGAAGCTGAGCACATGATAGATGCGAGTGAAAGCGTCGAATTGTGGCAAGCATTGACGTCTACCCCGTTTGTGGCTCCTTTGCTGGAGCACGAATCGCTACGAAGCACCACTTTCGATCCGCTCACCACCAAGGGTATTCCCCTGATCTGTCCCTCTCCCCTATGCGACTCTCATTCGCACACAAGAGCGGATCAAACCTCTCAAGCAGCAGCCATCAAGCACATTTCCTTCCTCAGAAGAAGAGCTCACGCCATGCCTACGTTGAGAGCGTCGGAGAACAAGAGAAGAGGTTTGGCAGAGAGCGGGTGGAGCAGAAATTGTCCTTGTTGCCAGACAAGGATTTGCATGGATACGATTGCGGGAGCGCAGCTGGTCGCTGATCTGCAAAGATGGTGCGAGGATGGTGATTTCGTATTGAGGTGAGTATTCTAGCAGGCTACTACTCCACCCCGATTGCTATAGGTGCACCTACCTGATCACGCCATCACTTATGCGCTTCGCAGTGGACTCGCCCATCACGTCGAGACTGGCATGCCGCTGCCGCTTTGGCACGCCCACGCAATAGCGGCTTCCATCTTGACACCGCTGCTCTCGGCAGAATGCCTCTCCACTTCACGTCGATCGACGAACCTCACTTGCCTCACTCTAGCTTCTCAGAGACTGGAAGCTCAAGATTGCGATCTGGAGCTGGATCTAGCCTTCCTTTTGCCTCCTTCAGGCAACATCTCTTCCGCCGTCGCTTCCAATGCTGCTGCTGCTGCTAGTGCGGCCTCGTTGGGTACTAGCGGAAACAGCCTTTCTGCTGCGCTTCGAGCGGCCGCAGCAGCCTCGTTTAGCAGCACGCCCGAAGAGATCGGCCTGACGCACGAGTGCTCGTTCAGCAGAATGCAAAGTTGGTTGGTGCAGCACGGGATCAAGGCTCATCCGAGCGTCATCCAAGTAGCAGAGAGGGGATGGGACACGACTTGCCCATCATCATCGACCGGCGAGTCCAGTTTGACGCGCAACGCATCCCACCACTCTAGAAGGGTCAAACGCGTGGGCATGACGATTGGACACGAGAACAGCATGGCGGACAAGATGGGAGGAGGAAGTTCGGCTGGAGGATTGAATTTCAATTTCGATTCGATTGCGGAAGATGCCAATACGCGCATGACTTCGCAAGCTGCGAAGCAAGTCTCGCAGAGCATCGGCAACGTCATCAGCCAGAGGCTTTTGAAACCGTACAGAGATCAGTGCAGGATCGGTCTGCCGCCGATGCGGCCAGGAGCAGGAGCAGGAGCAGCGACGACGACGGTGACCTCGGCCGTAGAAGCGGTCAAGGGCATGTCTGGATTTTCCAAAGCGCTAGAAAGTTGGGCTTCAGCTCATGTGCTAGCGTACAGCAGCGCTTCGCAATCCGCCTCCGCCGCCCCCTCCACAGCTTCTCGCTCTTCCGAAAAAGATGACGACGGCGGCGGCACAGCTTGCGCTCCTCCCTGCTTGACGACGACGACGCTTCAAAAATCCTTTGTCAAACAAGCCTTGCACGAATACGCTTGCACGATGCAAGATCTGCAAAAGAGGTGCAGCAGCAGCAATGACTACAACAACAAAGCTCTTGGCGCGCTGCTGGGCAGCGCTTCCAAGTCGAGGTTGCTGGGACGTAGACGCGCGGGAGTGGAAGAGGTGTTGCTGGATAGGGAAGAACTGTGCGAGTTGTTGCTCGAGGCTGGACCGGGCGTCAGGTTAGCTTGGATCGTGAGTTGCATGCGCGAAAGTCTTCGATCTGGAAGGCAAGCTTCCTCGCATACTCGTTCGCTTCCAAGACCGCGAAAGAGAAGAAACAAAGATGCAGGGAAAAGGGAGAAGCTTGCCGGGGATTCTCGTTGTTGCTTTATTTTTTTTTTTGAGCTGATCCGACTTGCCTTTACTTGCTCCTCTTCCCCCCCTCCTCCTCTAGACGCACATGCTCTCGACCGATTATACCACAGATATCCATAGCAGACTTCGAAGCGTACCTCTACACTCATGGAGCGCCATCTCCGCTCCCACTCATCTCTCGTCCGTCTAAGCTTCAAAAAGCTTCGAGGAAGGCAAGCGAAGGAGGGGAGGGGCAGGGCGCGCCCCCACTTGCCTCTCGCCCCACTTGCCCCTTTCCTCTTTTCCACTCCCCCGCCTCGCCGTTGGGGTCATCCTCGTGAAAGATGGGCCCAAAAGTAAGTGTAGATGGCAAAATATCGTCGTGTGGTGTCGTGCCCTTGCCTTGCCTTTCTGCTCCGCCCCCTTGCCTTTCTGCTCCGCCCCCTTGCCTTTCTGCTCCGCCCCCTCCCCTCCCCGAGCCTCGCATTCATCCCATCCCATCCCATCGCATCTCTTACTTTCGTAACTCGCACCTTGCGCGCCTCGAGAAAGGGAAGAAGAAAACAAACCATAGAAAAATTAGGGGGCGCCGCGTCGAACATGTCTTTCCCCCTGCCTACACACTCTCTCCGTGGCAATGCATTCGAGACTTGACAGGTCCTCCTTCCATCTTTTGGCCCTGAAAAGGGAGAAAAAAAAAAAAAAAAAGAAGAAGAAAAATTCCCATTCACAATTTTCTTCTTCCCCCCTCTCTTTTCGGGCAAAATCGAAAGCTTGTGCGCAAGAAGATTTCCTCTGATCTGACATGTATTTCTAACGGTCATGAGAAGATTTGCAAAGCGAGTTGGAAGGGGGAGGGGGGAAAGAGAGATGTCGAGTAGCGTATTGGGGAGGGATGGATCAGCCTTGCGATGAGGCGAGACGAGGCGATGGACGTGCGTGGGGGGCTAGCAATAGGATTGGGGTTGATTGACCGACGATCGATGAAGCCTGGTCGATGAAGGTGACGGATGAATAGCGACAGATGATAGCTGCTAAAGCTGCTCTTCTCTTTCAGCTTGGCCCCACCCATCCACCCACTCGAGCCTCTCTCCATCCATCGTCAGTCAAGACTTCTGAAAGCGATGCTTGGATGAAACAGACCAATTAAGCTGTTTTTGTCCGATTTCCCCTTTCCCCCCTTTTCAGATTCTTCCAGCCTCTTGCAACTTGCTGACCAGCTCATCCACACTTCCGACCTTTGCGCCTCCCTGCCTCTTTGGAGGTTCCTTGACCTCCAACGTCTCCAATCTAGGCTTTGCATCCTCTTCCAGACCCAGATCCTTCAACGTCAACTTCTGAAAGGGCTTCTTCTTGGCCTTCATGATGTTGGGCAGCGAAGCGTATCGAGGTTCTGCGGGAGGCGGGGGCGCGCACAGAGCGAGGGCAAATGGTGCGAAGGGATGGGTCAAAGGGGGCGCGCTCATCATGAAGCGCGCGCAAGCGAGCGAGCAGGATCGAAACGCACCGTTGAGTCTGAGATCGGTGGTGAGGACAAAGGGCAGCGTGGTCTCTACAGTTGCCAAACCGCCATCGACTTCTCTGGTCACCTCTACCTTTTCCCCCTTTGCGAATTTGCCCTTGAAGTCCAATTTGCTGGCAAAAGTAGCTTGAGGCCAATTCAACTTTGCAGCCAACATCTGTCCCGTCTGACTGGCATCATCGTCGATGGCTTGCTTGCCCAAGTGCCAAGCCCAAGCTTCCTTTTCGTCTGCATTCTTCTCCATCTCTTTGGCCGTCACTGCAGCTAGAATCTTGGATACTGCCAAAGGCTCCAACACCGCATCTTTGCCCACCTCGACGTGGATGGCATCATCGGCGCCCATGGCCAGTGCCTGACGCAGAACATCCGCAGCCTTGGCAGGTCCGATGGATACGGCGGCCTTGTTGCGTTGGGGGGGCGGGCGTGCGCGTGTGTGAGCGAGCGAGCGAAATCGCACCAGTCCATCAGCACTTTGCAACCCCCGCCATACATTCTTTCCCCCCGCCTCCCCCCCGCACAAACTCACGATTCTGCTAATCTCATCTTTGTGCTTTTCGCGCAACCTGACGGCTTCCTCCACGGCAATCTCGTCGAAAGGGTTCATGCTGTTCTTTACGTCCGTATCCACACCCTTTCCATCCGGTCTGATACGAATCTTGACGGCATAATCCACGCATCTCTTTACGCCCACCAGCAGCGATAGACCTTGATGCGCGGGTGTGGGGAGCATCGTGAACAATCGAGTGAGGCGGGTGTGCGAGAAGCGGAAGGAGATGCGGGAGCTTGGAGGGGGGTGTTGAGCAGCGCGTATGCGAGGATGCCCTTGTGAGGTTGAGGAAGAGGGTGAGGTGTGCGCGTGTGGATGGATGGATGGATGGGAAGATGTTTGGGGAGGATCAGGTTGATCTGATCAGCTTGCACGACGATCCAGCTCAGGTCAGGCGAGGCGAGGCGAGGCGAGGCGAGGCGAGATGCGCGCGCGCATGGACATCGCATCGGGCACGACACGCACGCCCGCGCGCCAGCCGGTACCACCCATGCATGCATGCCATGGCCATGATGCCCGCGCCCGCGCCCGCCCTGCTCGCGACTCGGTCATCCCCCCCCCTGCAAGCCAAGCGCGTCTTCGGGCAAGCCGGGCATGATGTCGATGTCGCTTACAAGACATGCTGCATGCGATGCGCTGCACGGATCTTGCTTTCATCAGAGGCTCACGTGATGACAAGGCAAAGGTGGAAGGATCGAGAGTATTCTTGTGTTCTAGACGCGCGGGATCATGCGCGGCGATCGATCTCATCTTTGGGAATCTTGAATTAACATACAAATATGTATATCACTATGCATGTCAAGGTGCGTCATCTGGCGGCAAGCGCTTGCCGTGGGTTGTGAGATGCCTGCTGCTGCATGCGCATGCTGCTGTGCGGAGAGTCGTGAGTCGTGAGTCTGAGTCGTGAGTGTGATGCTCGGTGCATTGCGTTGCCGTGGGGTGGTGGTGGGAGTTGAGGCGAGGCGATGCGATGCGATGCGATGCGATGCGATGCGATGCGCACGGTTTGGCTGTGCCGCCCACGAGTCGTGAGTTGTATCGAGTATGGAAGACTTGCAACTTGTAACCATAGGCAAGTTGATTACAATACAGTATCACACATCGGCGCATTCAGCAACATTCTGGAATCCCCCCACCTCTACACCTGACTTCATTCACTCCACCTCCATCATCCCCTTCCTCCCCATTTCACTCTATTGCCACCAACAACAGCAGCAGCAGCAGCACCCCAGCATATTCTCTTCCCGACCATGCCCATCCTCAACGTGCACGCAGGAGCTCTTCCTTCCTTTTCCCTCCGACTCAAATCGGACGATTCCCTCTCCTCCATCCGCACACGTTCCGCAAGCAAGATTCGTCTGCAGTTGGACGATGGCATTCCACTCGTCGTCAAGTATGCCTGGAACGGTCAAACATTCGCGCTAGAGGATGGTGAGTTAGGCCTCGGCGCTGTGTTGTGTTGTGCGCCGGAGATTGGATGGTGGGATGTATGCAGCTAGAGGAGAGGATCCGCAGTTGACCCACACTTTCTTCCCCATACACGCTTGCCACCACAGAGGACGACTGGGACATCTTCACCGAGCGTGTAGCCAACCAGAAAGAGGCGGATCGTGAGCGATGATGATGCCGGTGCAGGGGGGGCAAAGTGCGTCTCCGTGTACGCCCGCAACGCTGACACTTCCGCACGCTCTCCGTCACGTTTGCGCCAGTGTATCTGGAGTCGCCAGAGATTCCTTCGCGAGAGGAAGAGGATGGCGCATCCATCGCATCGGGTGCAGGTGCGGGTACCAAAGTCGCCAATGTGCCCATCGTCAATGACAGCACGCTCGTAGCGCGCACTCCTGGCCGAGGTAAGAGCGGAGGAGGCGGAGGAGGAGCATCATCCGTCTCCATCCATCGCGTCTCTCCTCATCAAGTCACCAGCGTGGAGGAATTCACAGATGCCGGCGGAGTTTCTGCGGGCGGAAGGGACAGCTTGTTGTACCCTGCAGCCAGGGAACCTGCTCCTTTACCAGGCTACTCCAAACCCGTCGTTCCCGAGTTCCCAGCTTTTGATCCGTCGGCCAACGATGCAGCTTCCGTGCGATCGGGTCGGCAAGAGAGACGAGGCGCAGCTCCTTCGCTAGCACCGAGCGAAACGCCATCGCACAAGATCGCCTTTCAAGAGTTTCACAGCAAGTTGGGCGTCAGATTGTTAAAGGGAAGTTTGGGACCGGTGCAGGATGTGCCCATGATGCTCAAATCGGGCTACAGGCACGTCTACGTATCCCGATCCTTTGCGCTCAATCACGGATTCATTCCCAAAGACACGACGCCGGGAACCTATGGTTTCAATGGCATCACCAACCTGGGCAAGTGGCCCGTCCAGGTCGGATCCAAAGCTGTCGCTTGCACCGTCATGCTCGCCGAGGACTCTTACTTTCCAGTCATTTTGGGCAGAAGCTTCATGGAAAAGAGGGGTGTCAGGACGGGTGAGTGGAGAGGCTTCAGAAAAGGGGTGGGGTTCCCAAGCGGCGATCGATCGATGTGGTCGCTTGATTGTCTGTCTGGCTAGACCAAGCGTTGCTTTCTTGGCGCGTTCGATGTCGTGCACGACTCATCCTGCCTTTGCTGACCTTTTTTTCTCTCTTTTTTTGCCCCTTGCTATTCTCCTTTACACTCGCGTGAACGCCGTGCGCCGCAAATGCGCAAACAGACCCCATCGATATGACTTCGGTCACCTTTATGGACAATGGAGAGCGGGCAGATGTGGAAGTGGTGGTGGTTCGCGACGAAGCTGGAGAGCCTGTTCCCATTCCCTAAAGGAAGAGAAGGGAGAAAGACCGGCATATTAGCGTCAGCACGCGTGTCGAACGCGACGGCAAGGGGAAAGGGGGGGG